GACAACGTCTGCGCAATTGAACGAATTTCATCCAAAGAGTCTCTCCAGTCTTGTTCATGCAACACGCCCCGCAGCCATCGCCCATGGATATGGTCAACCCAACTACTTGATCTCCAGCAGCAACACGTTGGTGCTCTCCCGTCGATCCTTCTCGAGCACTGCTCGCGTCCTTAAGGACAAGAACGATAACGGCAGTGGCAAGGGAGACGATGGTAAAAGTGGATCAGACGGCAAGGACTCTGGATCAGGATCAGGATCAGGATCGGGATCTTCGTCGTCTGGATCAGAAGGAGGCAGCGCTGGATCAGGATCTAGCGGTAGTGGCAGCGGGCGCGGCCGCGTGGCAAAATTCACGTTTGATGTGGGCTCAGGAGGTCCCTCAACCAACATTCTCGAGAACGGACTGTCAAAACCAGCGATCCCAGAGGTCTATCCACAGGTTTTGACGCTGCCGATCGGTCGTCGACCGCTCTTTCCGGGATTCTATAAGGCGGTCGTGATCAAGAACCCAGCGGTGGCGAATGCGATCAAGGAGCTGATGAAGCGCGGTCAGCCATATGTAGGCGCATTCTTGTTGAAGGATGAGGAGCTTGATATCGATACAGTCACCAACATGAATCAGATTCATCCCGTCGGTGTCTTTGCCCAGATCACGACTGTCTTCCCTGCGAGCGCTGGTAGCGATGAGGGCTCTATCACAGCTGTGCTGTACCCTCACAGGAGAATCAAGATCAAAGAATTGCTCCCACCTCTGATTTTATCTGATGGATCGGAAGCCCCTCGTGAGGGTCTGCTGGTCAAGGAGGCCGGAGAGGAAGGTGGGGAGAAAGTACAGGCGGTCACAATCAAGGTCGGTGAGGAAGGATCGACAGCCTCGACAGAGGCGACTTCAACTGCGATCGACAACACAACCACGGGAGCAGAGACAAGCACAGCAATCGAGGGTAGTACCGTTGATGAAGCTTCATCTTCGACCACGATTACCAAGGACGCGCACCACTTGCCGACCGCATTCTTGGCAAAGGAGTATGCGGTGACGTTGGCGAATGTCGAGAACATGGTTGACGAGCCCTACAACCGCAAGAACCAGGTCATCCGTGCTATCACATCCGAGATCGTGGCGGTTTTCAAGGATATTGCATCGCTGAACCCACTTTTCCGCGACCAGATCGCCAATTTTTCGATGTCGCAATCTGCAGGCAACGTCTTTGAGGAACCCGCCAAGCTTGCTGATTTTGCCACCGCAGTCTCGCAAGGTGATCCTGAGGAGCTGCAGTCCGTTCTGGAGTCGCTTTCGATCGAGGACAGAATGCAAAAAGCGTTGTTGGTGTTGAAGAAGGAGTTGATGAATGCCCAGCTTCAGAGCAAAATCAGCAAGGATGTCGAGAACAAGATCGCTAAGCGTCAGCGGGAGTATTATCTGATGGAGCAGCTCAAGGGTATCAAGAAGGAGCTGGGCATCGAGTCGGATGGCAAAGACAAGCTAATTGAGAAGTTCAGGGAAAAGGGCATCAAGTTGGCGATGCCTGAGCAGGTCAAGAAGGTGTTTGACGAGGTAAGCACAGCTTTTCTTGGACGATGTTTGCGATGAGCATGGCCCTTCATGCTCATTTGCTGATAGCGACATTTGGAATCTATACCGATGATAGGAGATTACAAAACTGGAGCATTTGGAGCCAGCGGCATCAGAGTTCAACGTGACAAGAAATTATCTGGATTGGCTGACGAACGTGCCTTGGGGCGTGCGCTCCCCCGAGAACTATGACATTCGCCATGCCACGCGTGTGCTTGATGAGGACCATTATGGACTGAAGGACGTCAAGGACCGTATCCTCGAGTTCATTGCAGTTGGACGTCTTCGCGGTACTGTCGAAGGCAAGATCATCTGTCTTGCTGGACCACCAGGTACGAACTGATCCTGCACGCAAATTAACGCTTACCAATACCATGGCTACTTCAGTATTATTCAGATCTTAATTCGTGGTTGACTCTTATTTCGGCTGCTAGGTGTGGGAAAGACCTCTATCGGCAAATCGATTGCCCGCGCATTGGATCGCGAGTTCTACAGATTCAGTGTTGGAGGCTTGACCGATGTGGCCGAGATCAAGGGTCATCGTCGAACCTATGTCGGAGCCATGCCTGGAAAGGTCGTTCAAGCCCTGAAGCGTGTTCAGACCGAGAACCCACTCATATTGATTGACGAAGGTAACGAATGATGCATTCGGGAGGGAGATTTTGCATATATGCTTTGCACCCAAAAGCACGGTCGCTGATGATTACGTTATGTCTTCAATACGGTTTCCAGTGGATAAGGTCGGTCGTGGACATCAAGGAGACCCAGCATCAGCGCTTTTGGAGTTGCTGGATCCTGAACAGAACGGCTCATTCCTGGATCACTACATGGATGTGCCGATCGATCTTTCCAAGGTCCTCTTTGTCTGCACAGCCAACGTTCTCGATACGATTCCCGGCCCTCTCCTGGATCGTATGGAAGTCATTCAGCTCTCGGGATACATCTCTGACGAAAAGGTGGCGATTGCTTCCCGCTACCTGGCTCCAACTGCCAAAGCTGCTGCTGGATTGGAGGGCGCCAACGTAACGCTGCATGACAACGCAATTGAGACCCTAATCAAGAACTACTGCAGAGAGTCTGGAGTCCGAAACTTAAAGAAGCAGATCGACAAGGTATTCCGAAAGGCTGCGCTCAAGATTGTTCAGGAGTTACCGGACGTTGAACGTGTTGAGCCAAAGAAGGATAGTGCGCACGATAAGAAGGCCAAGGAGGAGAAAGACGGTAATACGGTGCTTACAGATTTTATCAAGAAGGTCCCTGATGAGACCTTGCTTGACGACGAAGAGGCTGCTAAGATCAATGAGCAATCTGAGAAGGATGGCAAGGACACGAAGGCCAAGAGTAAAAGCACCGACAAGGAGGAGGAGAAGCAGCCCAAACTCAAGATCCCATCCAGCGTCAATGTCGACATTACAGCAGAGAACCTCAAGGACTACGTTGGACCTGCAGTCTTCCAGGCCGACCGACTTTACGACAACACTCCTGCTGGTGTCGTTATGGGACTCGCCTGGACGTCCATGGGTGGATCTGCTCTTTATATCGAGTCTTGTCTGGATGGAGGACTTTCTGAAAAGTCTCGGCCTAATTTCTTAAGAACAGGCCAGATGGGCGACGTGATGAAGGAATCGACATCAATCGCCTACACGTTCGCCAAGAACTTGATCGGCCGTCGGTTCCCTGAAAACCGGTTCTTTAACAAGGCGGCGATCCACCTACATGTGCCCGAGGGAGCAACGCCCAAGGATGGACCTTCTGCAGGTATTACGATGACGACGTCGTTGTTGTCGCTGGCGCTCAACAAGCCCTTGGATCCGACGATTGCCATGACAGGAGAGCTGACGCTGACGGGCAAGGTGCTCAAGATTGGAGGATTGAAGGAGAAGACGATTGCGGCGAAGCGGTCGGGCGTGAAGACATTGATCTTCCCTCAGGCGAACTTGCCGGATTGGGAGGAGCTGCCCGAGAATGTGAAGGAGGGTGTGAACGGTGTTCCGGCAGCATGGTACGAGGATGTGTACAAGGTTGTGTTTGGGGACTCGGTTTCGGAGGAAGAGGGTAACGCAGTGTGGCAGAAGGAATTGCCCGGCGGCGAGGAGGCCGAGGATGAGCCTGATAACCGGGAACCGAGGAGGGATGAGACCCACAAGAAGAAATCGAAGAAGGAACCTGTTGAGGCGGAGTCAGGTATCAGCTGGAAGTCGATGTTGAAGTGGTAGAAGCGGGAGAGGTAGCATCCATTTATGTATAGAGTCGACGATGATTTATGTTAATGAACCCCTGCAGTGCTTTAAACAACATCACAACAACAAAAAACACACACACCTCATTGCGCGTAAAATAAAACATAGAATGCAAAAGGAGGCGAATGGTTTTTATTCTATGCCATGGCTATGATACAATGGTGCAATGGTGGCGGTGATGATGATGATGATGATGATGATGGTGGTGGTGGTGTTTGTGTGTTTGTGAAGTCTTAAGACGGCATATCCGATTTGTTAGTCAGCAACTTCTTGGATAGTCGCAAGGCAAGACTTCGGTTGCTGACAGCCCAGATGGGCTCCTTGGGCATCAGGGGCTCGACAAGCTGGCTCCAGCGTAACCTGCACTGCCATCCAGTCTTGTGTGTCCTTAATGGGGTGCTATCGACCGATCCATCGGGCGTGATCCGAGACATGGCCTCCGCATAAAGCGGCGCCCTTGCTGTCTGTACGCCGTCAAAGTGCTTCGCGATCGCATCCCAATCTCGTCCTCTTCGCTCCAGTGTCTTTTCGATCAGCAGCTGGTCCTCCTCTGGTAGCCAGATTGTCGTCGATATGAGGTGCTTGTACGAGGTCTCAAAGATTCGTCGACAGGGCGACCGGTTCCATCCGGGCATCGACTGTGCTAAGGCATCATAGTCGATCTCTGTCGATTTTTCGCCCGCCGCAAGAATGGTGTAATACTCTTGCTCCGTGACCTTGATCGGTCTATCAGATGTCAGTAACCATCGCTGTCGGATCGCGCGGGCCGTCCGCCATGGCAGGAACCGTTTCTGGATGTCGCTCCAAACCAATCCTTGAGTCCGGATCCCCTGGTCCAGCAATTTCAATTCCTCGTGGCTCCAAGAATTTATGGGGACGGGTTCGACAGCTGTTTTTTTTTGCTCGACTGGGCCACTGACCACATCCATGTTCTTGCGTAGATAATTCCAATGATCCTTGCAAACCAACGCAGCTAACCCGCTCTGAACCTTACTCGCGATCCATTCCCAACCTGCGGCCACTGGTACGGACTGACCCGTCTGTTTCGTATAGTACTTCAACGCGCGCTGAAGTCGGAGGGATCGTTCCTTGGTGAAATAATACTTTAGGTCTGATGGTGGGAAAGTCGCCTGCAGCTCCTCGATCTGTCTGTCAAATGCTTCTGGGTCGATTTCCGGGTCTGGAAAGCCCTGGGTCGTCTCCTGAAAGTACTGCTGACAATCTTCAGGGGAACGATGGCCGCCACCTAATCTCGAGAGCCGTTCGAAATCCGATCCAAAGTGTTTCCAGAGAATCCAGAAGGCGCTCTGCTCGGTTTTGGTCCATTTGGTAGGGTGGACGTGGATGGGCATATCGAGTTGTTTCCAATGCGACCGACACTCTGCAGGAGTGCGGAGTCCAACAAGTCGGGCGGTTTCCTCCCAGTGGCCCTCAATGCCGTGCCGGAGAACCTGCTGGATCAGCATGGTTTCTTGATCGAACGTCCAATGCAGTTTGCTGTTCGCCACGCAGCTGTACTGGTGACGAAGATGTGCGACAGTGATATTGAGGATGCGCTGGGTCAGTAGCTCATTTCGCTTGACGGACGATGGGTTGGATGAGGATGCTGTCGTATCAAGAAAGCGTTCATGAAAATCCTTGAGTATCTGATCCCAGTTCTCCTGGCCGTGCTTTTCGACGAGCTCTAGGATCGCCAACGATTCCTCCTTTGAGAATGCGATCCACTTGACTTTACTCTTGGTCGCGGTCCCTGACGATGCCGTTTCGTCGTCTGTTCCAGGTTCCATTTCCCATGATGCGATGGCCGAGTCGAACCTCCGCATGGATCTCCACTTTGCTTTACATGCAGTTGGCAGCATATCGAGCTCCTTCGCGATCGTCTTCCATGACACACCCTGCCCGACCAACTCGTTCACGCGTGCGACAGTTTCGGGCGACCATGGCTCATGCAATGTTGGTTCCAGAGCACTATAGTACCGCGAATAGCAAGACGCATACGGGCGGTTGAGTGCGAGTCCGATTTCGGGCCATGGTGTTCCTGCAAGAACCATCTCCTTAATCTTTCGATCCGTCTCTAGGTCCCATACCGCCCGCTTCCTTGTCATTACCGTTGATTCTGTAGCGAGAGCTTCCTTGACCTGTCCCTTTGTAGTCGCAGCCGCAGCTTTTGCGGCGATGGAGGCCTCCTGTTTGGACTGGGTGATCAATCTGGCTTGATCGACGAGGTACTGCAGTCGGATTTGGTCTTCGATCGGTGGAGGTTTCCATCCTCGACTGAGCGCGGGGTTGAGGATGCGGAGGTAGCGACTGTAGCAGGTGGTATAGGGTCGGCCGATGAGTTCACCAATGGTTCGCCAGTGGACGCCGTGGTGGAGGTGTAGGGAGAGAATGAGCGCGTCCAATTGTTCGTCCCAGTTGTGAAGGGCCTTCGTGGAGGGTTTTGATACTAACGAAGATGATGATGTTGATCGAGCTATAGATGAAGTTGGATGAGAAGGAGCAGGTAATACCGGCGTCGTTGACGTTGATGACGATGTCGAGGACGCGGTATTACGAAGGGTATGTTCCGTGGATAGGCTCTTTAGTGTGCGGGATTGGGTTCGTGCGGCGACAGGGTTGGACTCTATGACGGCTGCATTAGCTTTGATGCGCCGAGCAGCGACAAAGGTCGAGTATCCATTCCTGCATTCGCGTCCATGGTGACCTGTGATCAACGATCGATCCACCAAGCTATATCGACAAGCTATCCGGTTAAGGCGAAGGTCTGAAGTGCGAAAGAGAAAGAGCGGTATCGTAGCAATTCCTAGGGCTCTTGTTTTCGGAAAATAAGGCAAAAAAGACAATACTGGTGGGGAGTTGAGCCTGGAGAGGAGAGTCCGGTGCATGGTTGCATTCCCTTGACTCGTCGCAGTGCGAAGTAGAGGAGAAGGAGCTCCGGGGAAGGGGGAGGGCAGGTAAAGAACCAAAACAATGTGACCGTTCTAATGATTGGTGGCAAGGAAAAAAAATGTGCTGAAGACCAACCCCCTCGCTTGCGACTTTGTTCATCCTTCCACTTCCTTCTCTAATCCTCCCTCCCTCCCTCCCTCACCTACCATCCTCATAAGACATCATGGGACGAAGGTTCTCCAAGAGAAAGAATGCGCCCCCTCGCAAGGAGCGTGATCCTAATGCCACCTACACCGAGGTCAAGAAGGAGAATGCTCAGCTGGAGGAGTACTACAAGGCCCAGAATATCATGTCTGAGGAGGAATGGCCCATCTTTTGGGAGCATCTCAAGGTCACCCTGCCTACCACCTTCCGCATCACTGGTACCCGCAGGTAGGACGGTTGCATGGACCCAAGTCGACTTTAATCTTCGTATCAGGAAGTATACTAACACGCACTTGGGATCATTGTCTGTAGCCACGCGGTCGAGATCCGCGACACGGTCAAGAATGCGTTTGTGCCGCACCTGAGCAACATCTCGGTCGATGGTGTTGTCGCCAACCCGCCCCGCCCCTTGGCCTGGTATCCCGATGAATTGGGATGGCACTTTGATGTTCCCCGCACCTTGTTGAAGAAAAGCCCAGAGTACGCCAAGTTTCACCAGTTCTTGGTCGCGGAGACCGAAGTCGGCAATATCTCTCGTCAGGAGGCCGTCAGTATGATCCCTCCCCTGCTCCTTGATATTCAGCCTCAGCACTGGGTAAGCGAGAAATCTGGATCGAGCTTCTATATGAATTATGCTACACCAGGACAGGAAGTACCATAGTTACGGAGTCTGCTCCCGGATCAAATCATGAATCAAAGCCTGACTTGACAATGCATCAACTTTTTATTAGGTGATGGATATGTGCGCTGCCCCTGGATCAAAGACTGCTCAGATCATTGAGATGGTCCATGCTAACGACCAGTACAAGGCCGTTCCAGGTGCGCCCAACTGTAGTGGATGGAACAAGCATTGTGCTCCAATAACAGCATCACCCTTATTTGCGATCTAACACTATTACCTACTCTCAATCGTTCTTCATCCGGGACCTTTTCATCGCTTGGTTCGACACATCAACAAACAGCTGGATTGATTCTCGCCAATGACTCGGATTACAGGCGCAGCCACATGTTGATCCACCAGACCAAGCGTCTTCAGAGCCCTTGTCTGATGGTCACCAACCACGACGCATCCATGATGCCCTCATTGAAGCTGGCGCCCAACAAGGCTGGCGAGTCTGTTCCCTTTGAATTCGATCGTGTCCTGGCCGATGTGCCCTGCAGCGGTGACGCTACTCTGCGCAAGAACCCTATGGTTTGGAACAACTGGACCCACGGCGGCGCCATGGGACTCCACCAGTAAGTGTTTGAGCGGCAAATTTTATGTTTAGCAGGAGCTGATCTGCCAGGTTCAGTCCCCTAACTGGTCTCTATCACGGTTTTATTCAAATAGGACCCAGATCAACATTTTGCAGCGTGGTGTTCAGATGCTCAAGGTCGGCGGGCGCATTGTGTACTCGACTTGCTCTTTCAACCCTATGGAGAATGAGGCTGTTGTTGCCGAGATGCTGAACCGCGCCAATGGAACGCTGGAGTTGGTCGATGTTAGCAATGAGCTGCCACAGTTGAAACGTCGGCCTGGTCTGTCGGCCTGGAAGATGTTCACCAAGGAGGGACAGATAGTTGACAAGCTAGAGGACGTTCCTACGGATGCCAAGGGAAGATACTATCCCAGCATGTGGGCACCCAAGAATGCTGGCGAGTTACATTTGGAGAGATGGTAAGCGGCAGCAGGCCTTCTGATGATCTCAGCCGTTTGTCTGTACAAAAGGGTGTGTCGATCTAATGGTATGATTGTTTCTATTGCTACTAGCCTTCGTGTCTACCCTCACTTGCAGGACACCGGTGGATTCTTTGTCGCTGTGTTCAAGAAGACCGCACCCTTCGTTGTCCCCAACCCTAACCGACCCATCACAGAAAAGCCAGCATCATCATCAGAGGCGAGTTCGAGCACTGCGGAGGTCGAGGAGGAAGTCAAGGAGGAAGTCAAGGAGGAAGTCAAGGAGGAGACTAAGGAAGAGTCTGAGGATACCACTACTGCTGGAGACAAACATAAATTGGATTCACCTGCAGTCAGCGAGGGATCAGAAGTGAAGAAGCCCCGCATGTCCCGCGCAGAACGCTTTGGCGCACCTGGGCCCAAGGAGGAACCCTTCTTGTTCTTGGACGCCAGCAATCCTGATGTCGAGTTGTTTTCAAGATTCTACGGACTGGATGAGGATTTCCCCAAGGATCAGTTCTTGGTGCGTTCGGAGGGCGAGAAGAACAAGACGATCTACTTTGTTAGCGAGGCCGTCAAGAGCATTCTCAAGTCGGAAGACATTCATCGACTGAAAGTCGTCAACACAGGTGTGCGGACGTTTATTCGCCAGGATTCAAACTCGCCTGCGGAATGCACGTTCAGGGTCCACAACGAGGGCATCGCGATGATGCGGCAGTTTGTGTCGAATGCACGTGTGATGGCCGTGCAGCTCAAGGAGGTGATCACGCTGCTGCAGTCGCCGTACCCAAAGATTTCAGAATTCCCGGAGGCGATCCAGGAGCGTCTGACGGCCTTGCCGACTGGATGCTGTATCTTTGAATTCGACCCAGCACTGGAGGAGAACAAGGACCAGCCCAACCCTCGATGGGAGGGTCAGGGATTGACGGGCTTTGTGAAGGGCAAGCTGGTCTTCCCGGTATGGAAGGCGCAAGTCAGTTTCAACATGTTGCTGAACAAGCAAGAGCGTAGGAGTTTGGCGATGCGGTTGGGAGTTGATTGTGTGGACTCTCCCCATGTGGTCGAGGGTGGTGCCAAGGGCACTGCGGCCAAGAAGGCGGCAGAGGAGACTGCGGGATCTGCAGATGTGTCTGAGGATGTCTCTGCAGAGGATTCGCCTATGGTCGAGGCGGATGAGGAGGGCGATGCTGCCGAAGAGACGGCGTAAACATGGCTGGGTGTACTTTTTACTATTTTACCTATTACACTGAATACATACATGGCATTATGACTATCAACTATCATAAACTATACTCTATCTACTATCTAGCCCTGGCTGCAGGACTCGTGCATGATCCTGACACATGGACACCAAAAAAAAATGAAGTATAAAAAAGCGTGTGCGCGTATTTCCCACCCACTTTCTTTTACTTTTTCTTTCTTTTGTTCATCATACCCCTCTTCTTTCCCCCCTTTCTACCTTTCTACCTTTCTACCCAAAGAATAACCCAGAGCATACATACATATACACAAAGCAACAATGTCTCCTTCGACCCTCTCTGTTGTCACCCCCGTGGACTCGACTGTCTTCGCAAAGGTTCAAATCTCCTCGACCGAGCAAGTGCAGGCGGCAGTGGAGCGTGCGGCTAAGGCGCAGAAGGGATGGAAACAAGTTCCACTGAAGGACCGTGTCGAGACCGGACGTCGATTCCTTGAGGTGTTTGGGACGCGCAAGGATGAGCTCGCCAAGGAGCTGACGATGCAGATGGGTCGCCCGCTGAGGTTTACGCCCGGGGAGATCAAGGGCACACAGGATCGGGGCAAATACATGGTCGACATTGCGGAGGAGGCCCTCAAGGACGTTGAGATCCATGAGGCTGGACTTGAGGGCAAGTTCAAGAGGTTCATTCGTAAGGTGCCCGTGGGAGTTGTGTTGATCGTCGCTCGTAAGTTGGCTTTTGAAAAATATCATTGTGTGTTGCAATGTGTAATGACGGCGGATGACGATGGATGACTTGTTTCAAGACTTGACAGAAAGAGAGACTGAGAGAAAAAAAAAAAAAACTGACATGGAAAACGTATGGTCGCGATACGGGTATATTTTTTTTTTTTTAGCATGGAACTATCCTTACCTGTCCTCGTTGAACGGTGTGCTGCCGTCGATCATTGCCGGCAACGCTGTGATCCTGAAGCATTCGTCACAGACCCCACTCTGTGGCGAGCGGTTCGCGCAGGCGTGGAAGGAGGCTGGCTTGCCCGAAGATGTCTTCCAGGTACGAAATGGACGCCTTCCTTCCTCTCGCACACATCTCTTTTTCTTTTCTCGCGTCGCTGTTCGGCAAGATGATTAGAAATCCTCCGCTCGAGGAAAAAGGAAGAGTCAGGACCGGACGGCGCAAGGCGCTTTTTGGACGAGTAGACACATGAATCAAAGGGGGAAAAAAAAAGAGCGCGAAAGGGATGATCGCCAACTGCTGTTGGGACCTTTGGCCTAATGCCTGTGGGAAGAAGGACCCAAAGGACGCATATTTGGGCTGGGCGTATTTCTAAAATTTCAGCCGGAGAAAAGGGAGAGGGAGTGGACGAATTTACGGTCGACGTGTACTCATCCCCCCTATTCATGCTGACCTTTTACGGGCGCGATGATACGCGACGATCCCACTAATGCTGATGACAAACACCCCGCTTCTTTTATATCCGGTTTCTACGACGTCCCGATTTAGTGCATCCACATGTCCCACGCCGACACCGAGAGCCTGGTTGGACACCCTCTCATCAATTATGTCAATTTTACGGGATCCGTCGAGGGTGGTCATCAGATCCAGAAGGCTGCCAGCAAGAAGTTCATCGGTAACGTAGCAAGACACCATGTCCGCCCCCTTCCTTGCCTTTTTTTTTTTTTTTTTTTTACATTCTTTATTTCAAAAGACATTGTATATGTATACATCTATCTAACCTTGACGATGATCCGTGTACGTCATTTTTATATATTTTTCATGATGATGCATCAGCAACGGGATTGGAACTCGGCGGCAAGGATCCTGCGTACGTCCGTCCGGATTGCGATCTCAAGTACACGGTCGAGACCCTTGTTGACGGCTCGTTCTTCAACAGCGGACAGTGCTGCTGTGCTGTCGAGCGTATCTACGTCCACGCAGATGTCTATGATGAATTCCTCGATCTCTTTGTCAAGGAGACCAAGGTAAAAAATGAAGAAAAAGAAGACGACGACGACGACAACGACAACGTCAAGCAACGCGAACACAATGTGACCAATGTTAAGAAACGATATCAGTATTTTACTACATGCTGACGCGAAAACAAAAAAACAAAAAAAAAAATATCTGCTGTTTATTTGGAACACCGTGATTAGAACTACCGTCTCGGCAACCCACTTGATCCCGAGACGACCCTTGGACCCATGGTGAAGGCCAAGGCCGCAGACTTTGTCCGCGGACAGATCGCTGAAGCAGGTAAGCAAAACGGAGTGGATTCTTTTTGGGCACCCTCTTCAAAATCCCACCCTCCTCTCTCTCCCTTGAATCGAAACTAACCAACAAAGTACACACTATACCTCTGTCCATCCATCCGTCCGTCTTTTAGTCTCCCAGGGCGCCAAGACACACATCGACGTGTCTACGTTCCCGGCCGACAAGCCCGGCACCCCCTATATGGCACCCCAAGTCCTGACAGAGGTCACACACGAGATGCGCGTCATGACCGAAGAATCCTTCGGTCCCGTCATCGGTATCATGAAGGTCACCTCGGATGAGGAGGCCATCCGTCTGATGAACGACTCTGCGTTCGGTCTCTCGGCCTCGATCTGGACCAAGGATACGGATGCGGCCCTGAAAATCGGTGACCAGATCGAGACGGGTACCTGGTTTATGAACCGATGTGATTATCTGGATCCGGCCCTTGCCTGGGTCGGCGTCAAGGACTCTGGACGCGGTTGCACCCTTTCCAAGTTTGGATACGACCAGGTGACGAGACTCAAGTCTTTTCATCTCAAGTTGGTCACTGCTTGAAAAAGTGTATCATCGCATCGCATCGCCCATCCAGGAATATACATACAATTGTGAGGGGGAATTGGGATTGATATTGTTGGGTGGTATTCGATATTCACATCCATTAAACGCTTAGAATACATTATTCTTTCTTTTTTTGTTTCTTTTTTCGTTTCTTTTTTTATTGTTTATTTGCTTTTTTCTTTTCTTTTTGTTCTTCTTCTTCTTCTTCGGAAATAATGGCGACCAACCGCAACGAGGATTGTCCATAACGCTTCTTGTTGTCTAGTGGTGTGGAGGCATCGCATGCATCTGTTGCTGTTGAGAATAGGCCTGTTGCTGCTGCTGTTGCTGCTGTTGTTGCTGCTGCATCTGTTGTTGCTGCATAATCTGCTGCTGCTGCATCTGTACAGCCTGGTACGGCAACGGCGGTTGCTGCGGAATCTGTGGCTGTTGTTGGTACACATGTTGCTGCTGAGAACTTGACGAGATCGGTGCGCCCTGCTGCGGTGGCTGTTGCTGCGGCATCATCTGTCCATTCATCTGTGCCTGCTGCTGCTGTTGTTGTTGTTGTTGCTGTTGCTGCTGAAGATTCGCGTACCCCCGGATATCGTTAAAGTACACATGGTTCAACGCATCCTTGGCCGTGATCCGCCTCTGGGGTTGGTAGATCAGCATCTGCATCAAGAGGTCCATACCAAACGTGTCGATCATCGGGACGACGGATGATAGAGGCTTGGGTGGGTAGTATGGGAAATCCTTCCTGTACTCCGATAACTTCGAGACCCCGGGCCATGTCTCCTCTGTGGGTGTGCCCATCACCTTGAAGATCTTCATGAGCTCATCCTGGTTGTTTGATCCTGCGAATAAAGGGCGTCCAAGGTACATTTCTGCCATGATACACCCTGCAGACCAAATGTCGATCGATGTCGAGTACGTCTTTGATCCAAGCAACACATCAGGCGCACTAAGCAAGCATTCGAATATTAATAATTACAGAGAGCAGAACGTGCATTAGTTACGAATTGCATCCCGATCAATATTTCTGCACACTAAAAAAAAATGAAAGGAAGGCCTTTGAATGTAGACCGAAACTCTTTTTTTTTCCTCCTTGTCATCTGCCATCTGCGTGATGAAAAATTCACGATTCAAAAGGTCCTGACAAGTTCAACTGATAACGCTGTTTCCCATGCCATCTTTTTCGCTGTGTACTGTCAATGGTGCTGCTGCAACAACATGGATGGCTGTCCACTACTTGTCATGTTGTTTCCCGTAGTTGTTCGTTCGGTCGTTCGGTCGTTCGGTCGATCGATCGAAAGAAGGAAATGCAAGACTCCACAAATGTAGACGCCGATAGCAAAAAAGAGATTCCAGTCTCGATTCTCCCGTATGTGTGCGTATGTGTGTGCTCGAGAGGTGGTGGAGTGGACAAATGGAGGTAATAATAGCAAATGTCCCCATCCACCCCAAGACAATCCTCCTGACGAAGCCAGAAAAAAAAGAAAATCGCACATAGATAGGGTCTGCAAACAAAGGAGCACACACATACACACACATACACACATACACACATGCACATAACTAAAATCGTACGCGCATGCACTCAACAACAAAAAAACATTTTCACTCACCGATACCAAAGGGTGACGACCTCGTTCGAGAAGGTGTTGACAGGAATACCAAAGGCTCTTGCGAGTCCGAAATCGCCCAGCTTGAGTTCTCCCTTGCGGTTAATCAACAGGTTCTGGGGCTTGAGATCCCGATGCAGGACCCTGTTCTCGTGGCAGAAGGCGACGCCCTTGAGAAGCTGGTACATAAAGGCCTTGATGACGATATGGCCGAGTGCGCCCCGGTTACCGTGCTGGTCCATGTATTTTTTAAGGTCCTGGTCCATATACTCAAAGACGAGCGTCAGCTTGTTCTCAGTGTGGATGACATCGTGCAGTCGGACAATGTTGGGATGGCGTAATTCCTTCATCAGTGAGATCTCGCGGATGGCCGTCGAGGGTGCGCCTTCTTCAGAATCGAGTCGGATCTCCTTGAGGGCGACTGCATCGCCATTCGACCGGTTCTTGCCCTTGTACACGGTCGCGTAGGTGCCCTCACCAATCTTTTCGAGTGCTTGGTAGCGCTCCATTGCGAATTATGCGGTCTTTTTGGTTTAACAAGAAGGAAGGAGAGAAGCAAGAGTAGGAAAGAAAAGGAGGAGCGGAGGAATGAAGGAGTGGAGGAATGGAGCGAGGGCAGGAAGGAAGAGAGGAGGGTGTATATGTTGGGTATGTGGAGCAGCAAAAAATGACTAGAAGCTGTCAAGGGTTGGGTGAGACCCTTTTTGGTTCGAGCGAAAATCGGCACTGCTGCATCTTTAATGGTCCAGCCACCCCGGATGGTGCCCCTATTCGTCTGCCTCTTCTTGCATAAGCAGGGCACCATCGGCCTATCCTTGGCTCCTCGTGCGTGTCCATGGGCCCCCATGGATCTTTTTCAGGGATTCAATGGCGCCATCAGACGCACAAACCCCGTTTTAGATCGCCATCTCCTCTCATCGCTCTCTCTCTCTCTCTCTCTTTCTCTGGTGCCAACATGCCGGGCATGTCCTCCGCCTTGCTTTCATCTTGACCCTTTGCATTAAGAGCAAAAAGAAGCAACGAAAGAAATGAAAAAAGATAGATGCGAATGTGGCAGAAAGAATGAAAGAAAAAAAAATATAAATATGAACGCGAGATGAGCACGCAGTATCATGTTACGCGAAGCACAGACCGACTCTTCATTATGAATGAAATAATAAAGTTGTGGATCACAGCTTGGTGCCCATGATGATATGGCTACGGACCGCCATCAGCCGGTTCAGTGCCTTGCCATCCGTCTCGCCCGTCTTGACCTCCGTCTTGGCGTCGTCCACGATCTGCTTCAGAATCCTCTCCATCTCCTCCGTTGTTGCTCCTTCGCCACTGCCACCGTCACTGCCACTTTGCTGCTGCTGCTGTGCCTGTGCCAGGAACCGATCTTGTTCTGCTCTCGTAGCTGCCAAAGACGCCCCTTCCTCCCGTGCAGTATCATGTCCGAACGGTCGACTCCAGACATCCTCCACATAAGTCCCCTGCTGTAACAGGTACTGCACAATATCCTGTCGCTCACTCGGCAAATGCTGGATCAGCTGCAGGGTCGAGAACAGAGATTGTGTCCGCGGGCCCAAGGTTGCTTCACTGTATACGAACTCCCGACGCTCCTGCTGGTGCTTCTCAATCCCTTCTGTCTCGATCTGATCCACGTAATCCGAGTAGGAGGTTGATTCAAGGAAGGCAAGGACTTCGCCTCCGTCCATGTGTTGTTGTCTGTAAATATCATTCGAGAGGGGTCCCCGTTCTGTGGAAGACAACGTGTTCCACTGTTGTTGAGGATGTTGTGCCTGTTGGCGGTGACCTGGTACTGGCAGTTGAGAGGCGCTTGGAAAAGAGGCAGTGTCGGCAGTCGACTTTAAATACTCGAGGAACGCAGCGTGGTTCGCAGGCGTGAGATTCATTGGCTGCAACGAATGAGCCTGGAATGTAGATTCAGACAGCGTGCGCTCCTCCTGTTGCCACCCTTGATACCCCTGCTGTTGCTGCTCATGTTGGAGATGTTGAAGATGTTGAAGATGCTGATGTTGTTGTGAGAGCGCAGATGGTGCTTCCGGAACCGAAGGAATCGAGAACCCAAACGAGGACATGGACGGCGGCTTGTATGGCTGATCCTCCTGCAGAGTCGACTCGGATGATGCTAGAAAGTTATCCCAGTTCATCTCCCCTGTAGCAGCACTCGGTCCTGTCTGCTGCGAGGACGATGGCCCCCTGAATCCTGTGGGCTGTGTTGATTCCACAGTGGTACCCCCACTAGTGCTGCCAAGGGTCTCCATGGCACTGGTTGCATGCTGGAAGGTCCTCGAAGCCGACGACGTGCTTGCTTTCGAACTCGAGCCCATCAGCGGGTTATTCGGGGACCCTGAAGAGGGGCCTAGGCTGTGGTGTTGCCTCAGCAGATCGGCCTGTCGAGGATCGAAAGCCGAGGCCATATTCCTGGCTGATGTTACAATTGATTCCATCAAGCCTGTCGAAGGTCCTGATGGTTGTGGCTGTGACCCTGATGATGATGATCCGTGAATAGAGGGCTCTTTGCCTTTCCCGCTTGAGGGTGATGCATGTTGTTGGCCGTGGCTGTTGTGTGCTTGGTTGGGCTGCTTGGGATCCATGTCGGCTACCTATTTGTTTATTTTTGAAGTGGGCTGTGGAGACGAAAATAGTCAGACAAAAGCGGCCCGGCTGCGAAACAAGGGGCGGGCACGATCGCCATGAGAGCAAAGGACAGGTTCTGCATCGCGGCACAGAAGGGTCAATCACCTTTGTTGCTGAATGACTTTTGCGGAGGGAGGAGGGATGCTCAGCGGAAGGTGATGCAAGGCGAGGAAAGGGAGCCAACCATGTGTGTGCCTGGAGGATATATTTCACGTGGCCGAGATCGTTCAATTTTGGCCTTTGCGGCCCACTCCGGGAACCATGCACCAGGCGCCCTGTAGTCTACCATGCGCAAGCTCAAGGCGCGTCCATCGGTCCCTCGTATGTTCCTATCTGGATCGAGCTTGAGCATATGCCTCAGCAACATACAGCGCAGATGCTCTGCTCTACAGAGAAAAGAAAAAAGCGATCAGCCACTTCCGTCGGCCTAGGCCTGTCCCCTATCGGGCTTGTGAGTTGATCGAAGCTGCCGCTCTTCGTGCTCAGGCACGCGCTGAACAGGTAATACCGTCGATCAGATCTCGAAATATCGGTCCATCCTACTTTGGTGGCGAATTTTCACAGCTTACTCAACAGGCTCTGCTGGCTAAAAAAAAAAAAATGAAAAATCATCGGGTTTAGTCAGCTAGACTGCAAAGGCGCAGCGATGGTCAGGAACAGAGTGCTCCGCAGAGCGTTTGCTCCTGTCTTTCTGAACGACGACCTGGACCGATCCATCCCGCGGACAGATCGCTCTCCTATTTTTTTATTTTTATTTTCTTATTCATGCATACGCACGCTGCAGGCTGCAGGCTGCACGCGTACACCGGGTTGGGGCGGGAGAGTAGCGAGTCCAAGTCCAAGTGGCGAGCGAGATCAGAGACAAAAAAAAAGGAAGATCTCTGGCCGTGGAATAACCGGGTCCGACCCCAGATTTCAAACAACCTACATTTAGATATCGAACCGCAAAATGTATCGTGCCGAGTGATCCCAGGGGAGGGTCTTTCTCCTTTCTTGAGAAAAAGCCCTTTCGTGCTTTTTTAGAACCGTAATAAAGATCAGCCGCGGTTATGTTTTTCTTTTTCTTTTTTTTTCTTACGTCGATGGAGACATGGATTACTGGTGCTATGGAGGGCTGGAGGACTTTTCTTTTTTTTTTTTTTTTTGTTCCCTTCGCCCCTTGGCATTGATCCATTCCCGTCTTGGCTTTGTGGTAATACGTATCCACTTGGGATGTTCCTGGGATTCTGTGTCACTGAGAGAGAATCGGGAATGGATAGTACATGTCGCCTTGGCTGCTGCCAAGATATCAAACCTGGGGATGATCCAGATGTATGGCAGGATAGTTAGTCTCTCTATGCATGAACATATGTAGATCTACCCAAAGGTGATTAGCAAAAAAAGCCTAGACGACTTTTTGCAAACATGCGCCAAGGAATTATATTTGTAAGTTCATACTAAAAAACCCTGGAGCGCAAACGCGCGTCGGTTCCTCCTTTCCTTTCTCACAAGCCAAAAGGGCTGAGTTGATCAAAGGGCGAGGGCGAGGGCGAGGGATCTAACGGTTGTCGGCCATCGTTTGTTTTGATGGTCCGCCCCAATTTGCAAAAAAAAAACCTGCTTCCCTTTTTTTTCGTTGGATCCGCGCAGTGTAGCAACTGTAGTTGTCTCGTGGTGCTGGGCTGGGATAACTCTTTAGTCCCGAATTTGCTGAACCCAAAAGTGCGTCATGCTACGTCAAGAAACAAAGCGAGGCTGATTGGGGTGCCTGGAGGGTGCCCAGAGATGACGGCGCAGCAGGGCATCTTTTCCGGTGCAGTGGCACAGCATCTAGAAAGATTCTCCATTTCCAGGTGGTGTCGAGTCGTTGGGGGGCGGATGATGATTGGTGCTCACGGAGAGGAGGGGCTGCGGTAGCGGTGGCAAACACAAGACGCAACCCAACCAAAAGTGATTAGAAAGAGAATAGCGCAGTTCCTGGTTTTGGAGGGAAAATAAACCAACAGGCTCGACCAACAATGGAAAAAAAGGGAAAAAGTGCGCCTCCATGGAGGCAGGCACCCGCCGTGAGGTGGATGTCCTGAATGCCCTGGATGCCCTGGATGCCCTGGATGCCCTGGATGCCCTGGATGACGAGCACGATGGGGCTGTCTGGACGTTGTCTTCTCAGACCCCGAAAGAGCCAGAGCCAGAGCCAAGGGCCAAGAAAACAGAGATGTGGTCATTTTTTCTTGTCGCTTTTGCCACCGTTGCGGAGACCGCAGCGGTCGTCAGTCAGTGTGGGTACGTGTCGTCCGATGCGGGAGTCATGGCTCCCCTCTGCAGACTGCGGGCTGTCACGTCTCCGGTCTGTTTTGGGCATTTTTCATTGCATTGGTTTTCTGCGTCTTTTTTTTTTTTTTTTTGCCGGTGCCTGAATGTGTGCCTTTCTAGTTCTGACTGTCGACTCCTTCTCTTTTCGACTCTTTCTTTTTCTTCTTCTTTCCTTTCCTCACCATTAAAGCATTTAAATCCTTTGCACTGCCCCATTCGTTCCCATCACACGGTCGACATTCGGTTTAAATCTTTAATCTTCACACTATCCCCCCAACCTCATCACCATCTTTTCCTTCTCATCGTTCCTTCCCCACTTGAACTTTTTTCACCGGCCCCTCCAAAGTTGTTTTCCTAGTAAAACTTCTTTTTTTTTTTCATCCCTTCAGTTTCTTTAATCTTCTTTTTTCTTGTTCAATATGTCCATTCGCGTCCTCATTGTCAAGAGTGCAGAGAGAATCTAAAAAAAAAAAAAAAAAGTGACACTTTTTTGTTTAAAAAAAAACCTTTCCCCAAACCCCAGATTCTTTTTTGAATTCATCACTCTCTTGACACTTGATCCTCGATCGACATATTCCTCTTTTTTCTTACTTTATCTTTTATTACTATTCTTATTATTCCGCTTATCCAATTGTGTCCTCTTAATTGCCGTACACATTTAAAAAAAAAAAAAACGATAAAGGTAAGAAGCAGGAATTCAGGTTGTGGTTCTGGGCAGGAAATAGTCAGAAGCAGTATGACGCAGCATCAGCAGCAAAAAAAATCAATCAAGACAAGCGGAGCAGCAGTAGCAGGGCAATAGCACACAATATAGGAGCATATGATGCATAACAATCAAGACATAAGGGAAAGAGAGGGGGGGGGGAAGGGGGGTGAGCAGCGGGAGGAAATTCTTTTTTATTTTGATCGGATATGAGCACTTTCCGAGACAACTTGAGTAACAAAAGGGCAATCGCCGAACAGTAGCAAAAAAAACCCAGACAGCCAAGAAAAAAAAAAATAATCTAGGATGGGATGCGCTTCCAAAAAGGACACACCGGATATGTTATTCATGCAATGCACACAAGGAAGGAAAAGCGCGTTATTGTGGTGAATTCCTTGTTGTCTCGGCAATGGTTGCCTGTCTCGGTATGCACAGTCGGTATCATGAGTAAAAAAAAAGAAAGATCCTGGGATGGTCAGATGAGCAAGGCGATATGAATTTTATCTGTGATGGGCAGTAGTATCTGGAAATGATTCCCTACAGGGGGTTTATTCACGGTGGTTCCGGATAGCGAGCCATTGAACTCTGCCTGTGACTCTACGGTATGACTATTGCTATGAGCTATATGGTTCAGGAGAGGGAAGCAGGAATGTGGGTGGATGGGGTGGGAAGGAAGGATCTAAGGGATGAGTCATGGTGGGATGTGTGCGATGCGATGGGATGTATTATTCATGAGAATGCGATGTGAAAAATGGGCTTGGGTCGAGTATTTCGAGGGATTAGGAATTGAGGGGCGAATCTGCTTATTCATTCGCGTGCCTTTTATGTCCCTGTTTATGCGTGTATGCGTGAGTGTGTGTGTATATGCGTTGTGCGTGTGTATGCGTATGGATTGTTCTTTGGCTTTGCAGGAAGCGCACAGGTGCAATAGACAGTATGCCGTAGCTTAGCCAAAAGAAGAAGGGCGACCGCGATAGGAAAGAGGGATCAGAAGCGGAGACTGGGAGGGGGTCTCTCTTTTTCCTCCTCTTGGCCCTTTTGCTACTGGCCACTGGCGGGGTTTCATTCGCCGGATTTAGTCAGAGCATTCCTTTTGTTCCACACACCTGCCGGGCGGGCAATCCCATGATGAGCAACCGCACTAAAAGAACTGGATGGGCCTTTTGATTATCCATCCCTTATAACCCTGCGCTGCCTCGCTGTTCATAACCCACTCGCTCACTCGCTCACCACCACATATACCTCCCGCTGCCGTAGCATAAACACACCTCTAACTGACCACTCATCTTCCTCTCTTTTCTCTTCGCCTTTTCTACCTTTTCTAGCTATTTTCCTATTTCATCTTCCCTTTTCCGCTCTTTTCTCCCTCCTCTCCTTCTTCCCTTCCTTGGCTGTCTGACTCAGCCAATCCCCCCCCATACAGCCCCCCCCTCCGCCCAACATGCTGTGCCTCCCCATCCTCACGCAGACCACATTCTGCGAAGCAGCTGCCGGGTGCCCTGTGGCCCCGGCTCCTATTTCTTCGTCCTCCTCCTCCCTTTCTTCGCATCTCCACAACACCCCCCTGTACAGTATCCCTCTCCCCCCACAGCCCCATATGCAACCCTCCCTCGACTCCTTCTCCACCCCCTCCTCCTCCACCCCTTGCTCCCTTCCCGCCCTCCGCTCCTCTTGGCACCACACCTCTTCCTCCGCCACCGCCACCGCCACCAACACCAACACTAACACCAACACCACCACCCCAAAGCACTCCCTGATCCTCGATTCTCTCACAGCCAACAAGGTCACTATGGTCGAGAACCTCGTAGGTAAGTCTCTCTCTCTCTCTCTCTCCCTCTCTCTCTCTTTCTCTCTTTCCCTTGATCGCTCTACTGATCCCTTGCTGACCATATCCTCCATATCCTAACAACGCAATCGTCTCCAACAGACACCGCAGCACTGATTATCGAATCGATCTGGCCCAGCCCTGCTGGTGCCCAGTACTCCACAAAGGCCCCCGTCATCCCCCTCCACATCTTCGTCAAGGAAACCCTCAGGCGGTCCCGCACCACCCTCTCCACCCTCCAGCTCGCCCTCTACTACATCTACAAGGTCCGCAACCAGGTCCTCGCCGCCCGGGAAAAGATTCGCCAGGATCAAATCTACCACCTCCAGCAGCAGCAGCGCGCTGCCCTCCACCAACCCCAGCCCCTGTCCCCCAACGGCTCCAGCGACGCCTTCTCCGCAGAGGAAGAGTTCAAGCAGCGCGACTACTTCAACTCTCTCTCCCTTCATGCCCACACTCAGACCAGCACCAAACATACCCTTCCCATGACCCCACCCGGAACCAACAATACCCCGTCCGCACTCTCTCCCATCTCCCTCTCTTCCTCCGCCTCGACCTCGCCCATCCTCGCAAAGTCCGAGCCAGTCGGCTGCGGCCGTCGCATGTTCTTGGCTGCACTGATTCTCGCCTCAAAGTTCCAGCAGGACCGCACCTACTCCAACAAGGCTTGGTCAAAGATCTCGGGCCTGCCGGTCGCAGAGATCAACCTGAACGAGATCACCTTCTTGACCTTGATCGACTACCGCCTCTTCGTTTCGCAGGCAGTCTTCCAGAAATGGGTTACCATCCTCACGGAGAAGGGCAGGATCCGGGACAGGGCCGCTCTTAACCGCAGCTGCAGTGCGCTTAGCGCGGATGTCCAGCCAAAGAGACGCAGCTCGATCCAGTATTGCAGCAACACCCTCCCCTCGCGTATGACCTGCGTTACCGCCTCGTCTTTGGAATACCAGCACCAGCCTCAGGTTCAGCCTCAGCAGCATCAGCAGCAGCAGCAGCCATCATACAAGGACATGGTGCCTCACCTTCCCTCCTTCTCCTTATTCCTTGAGCAGCAGAAGGCAGTGCAGTCTGCCGCTCCTCTTGAGCGTCAGTTCGATTTCTCGCCTGTTGGTGCGCCTGTGTTGCCAAAGCTGAGCATGGACAGCAACAACAGCTCGTTGAACAACCACACCGCGAGCGGTCTCCTTCAGCCTGAGGCCTTGCCAAGACAGCAGCAGGGCATGGGTCTGTCAATGACCCATCGGTGGGTGTTGGCTCAACGACGCGAACTTTTGCGTTCGCGAATGCAGGCGATGGGGTATACTTTCACAGAATCGCCTCGGTCTTCTCCCCTGGCTGCACCTCAGACCCAGCCTCCCCAGCCCTTTGGATCGTCTGTGCATCTGCTTCAGCCCGTCTTTGAGCCCCAGGAGCAGCAGCAGAACCAGTACAATAACATGATTCTGAACAATTTCCAGAACAACGTGATCACGTACTCTCAGACGAGGACCCTTAGTCTGGACAAGATGCAGCAGCGTCTGGAGACCAAGGGGTTCCAGTTGGAGGAGAAGCATAGCAGCTTCATGCCGTCGCCTGCTTCATCAGTGTCTCCTCAGGGCCTTGCTGGCTCGAAGCGTCGCATGAACGAGACGGAGACGGCGGAGGAGCTTTCTGCAGAGATGCGAAGCAGAACTCGCAGACGCCTGAGCGTTTCCTTTTTGGTAGACTGTTAGTCGTGTACTACTACTATTATTACTACCACTTACCACCACTACTACCGCGACTAGTGTTCTTTTTTTTTTCTTTTTCTTTCTTTTTCCTTTTTTTCTTTTTTTTTTTTTCTTTTTCTGAACGTCCTGTCCTTTTTGCGTATGCCTAATCATTGTGTCCTGTCATCCTGTAATGTGCCCTTATACTTGTTGTTTGCTGTGTTTTACTTTCTCTTGTACTATTCCATTTGCTCTTTTTTTTTTGTAGATTATCCTACTTGCTCTCCCTCACTAATGTGTCCTTTTAAGTCCCCCTTCCCCCTCCCCCCCCCACAAAAAAATGAAAAAAATTGTACCATTATTCAGCTCTCTCTCTCTCTCTTTATTTTTATTATTTTTTTCTTGCTGTTTTAAAAGTGTAGGGCCCATTTGTTATTATTATTACTATCCATTTTTATTTGCACATCGTTATCAAGCTCAAGATATGTAGGACACAAAGAAACACATTGTAGCAAAAATGGACAGAATGAAGCGTTCTCGTTAAAAAAAAAAAAAAAATCTCTTCAAGTTCTGGGCCACAATGTCATGCATGCATTTGATGCTCTATGATCACGCATGAAAATGAGTTGTACACATATGACAATTGGAGCAAAAAGAAGTAGAAGAAGGAGGAGGAAGATGAAGAAGGAGGACGAGGAGCACTTTGAGCCGAGGAGAGAGCCATGAAAGGGGAGGGGACAAAGACTATCCCTGGGTTCGCGTGTGTGTGTTCCGTCCGCCTCTCATGTTCGTCCATCCATGCAAGGACTCTTTTTTTTTAAGACTATTTTTTTTTTTTAAATTAATTATGTAGTGCTTTGGACGGAGGGTGAAATAAAATCGATTGTCCATTTTATTTTATTTTTCTCTCATCATGTCATATCTTTTTTTTTTGTTCAGGACGCGTGTCCTACGAGTTATTTTTTTATAGATAGAAAAATCGGAGGGGAAGATCTGTGCATAGCGACTTTTTTTTTTTGAGAGGGAGAGAGAGAGAGGGAGAAAACGGATAAACGGAATAGGATGTTTTTGGAAAATCAAAGAGCCGGATGCGGCATGCAATGTACAGTCACCGCACAATTTTTTTTCTGCCATAGAAACATAGAAACAAGCAACTTGTTTGTATACAAATATACGTGTATGGAATGAATATGTTGTGTGCATAGTTCAAAACAGTTGGGTATCGTTTCGTTTCGTTTTGGGGTGTCGTGTCGTGTCGTGTCGATACACAGGAGCCATCGCATGAATTCATGCAGCAGCCAGCACACACACACACACACCCAAAAGAAATAAAAAAGATCTTTGTTTCTTCTTGGTTCTCCTTGGGGGGGGGAGGTCTCTTTGGCTTTCTGTGTGTAGATTGCACAGAACCAATAAATGTAGTGTGCTATAGGAGAGAGAGGGAGGAAGGAAGGAAGGGAGGGATGACGATCAAGCTGATCGAGAGACAGCACAGCATTCCGATTCCTTTGGGGTCTCCGTGCTGGCGACCATTGATGGAACTATTGTGGGGGTCTGAATACGAGTGCTGGACTGAGACTGAGACTGGGAATGGGACCAGCCCTGGTGCCTGGATTATATTAAAAAAAGTAGCAAAAAAAGTAGCAGTCCCGGAGTCTCGGAGTCTCGTGGTCTATGTAATAGAACCAATCCTGGGTGGGCTTAGCTGGAGAGATGCACGGATTGGTGGCAAGGTGAGAGAGAGAGAAGGAGGCACGTGAATGCGATGGGATGGGATACGCGAGAGGGGTCTTCATGCTCCTTTGCCAACCGCTGGCTGGGAGCGGAGGAGGGCCGAGAACAGGGCGCGTGCAGGAAGAGGGAAGAGGAGGGAGAGAGCGAGAGAGAGTGAGAGAGAGTGAGAGAGAGGATGTATGGAGTGTGTGGTGTAGGAAGAGGGAGGAGGAGAACGAGAAGGAGAAGGAGGAGGAGGAGGGAACACACGGACACGAGCTTCGTCCCTTCCTTCTCCACATCCCACTCCCACTCCCACTCCCTCCCTCGATCCCTCCTATTGCCCTCGTCTGCGCTGTCCCCCATCCCACAAAGACTCCTTTTGACTCTCTTATCTCCATCCTCCTCGCTCACTCACTCACCCACTCGCGCCTCTTCTGCCTCCTCCTCATTCCCCTCATTCCCCCCATTCCTTCCCCCATTTCCAAATGATCCGCTCCCCTCCCTCCATCCCCATCCCGCGCACCCTGCCCCTGCTCCCTTTGCTCGACAAGGTCCTCCTCCCCGGCGTCGTCACCCGTCTCCACGTCTCCCGTCGCGACTCGGTCCCGCTCTTTGAAAAAGTCCTGCGCACCTTCGACTCTAAAGAACTCTCCAAATGCATCATCGGCGTCTTCCCCGTCCAGTCCTCTGCGCGTCCCACAAAGTCTTTTCCTCCTCCTCCTCCTCCTCCTCCTCCTTCTCCTTCCTCTGCCTCTGCATTCGGCCACAAGTCAATAAAACCAAACTCGGCCTCAGAGAAGGACAACGACAGCGACAATAGACGCGAAAATGGGTTCGAGGAGGCCCCGATGGTGGTCGGCAGTAGTGTCGGACAGGTGGTCTCGATGCGTCCGGGGGGACATGGCAGCGGACAGGGTGTGAGCTCGGTGCTGAGTCCGGCGGATATTCATACGACAGGGTGTGCGGCTCGGTTGGTCCGGCTGGAACGAGTTGTTGGTGGATTCACCGTGGTGCTTGAAGGTAAAGAGGGGTTGAAAATGTTGAAAATTCAAAAATGAGGAGCCAGGGGGGAAGAGAGGAACATGCGCATGCGCGTGAAGATGCATGAAGAAACTCTCTTCCTTTTGGATTTTTTTGGTCCTGCAAAAAGTCCAGCACCTTTACTAACCTCCATCTTCCAATAATTAACGACATGGGGGGTTTCTCTTTTCTCTACCTTCTAGGCATTGTACGTCTACGACTGAACAAGATCATCAGTCAAGCGCCCTTCTTTGAGGCGGACGTGACACCACTCCCGGACAAGGCCGTTAACAAACACGACCAAGAACTCCAAGATCAGATCGTGATTTTGAAATCGACCTCAAAGGAATTTGTATCCCTGCTGCAGACCCTGAAACTGCCAGCACCGGTCCTGACGCAATTACAAAGGTTTCTGGAGAACGTGGCGGCGATCCCGGGCCAGGTCGTGGATCTGTTGATGAGTACGATCGAGTGCACGTTCGAGGAGAAGCGGGTGATCCTCGATGCTGTGGAACTGAAGGAACGCATCCCCAAGGCCGTCGAATTGTTGACCAGGCAGATTCATGTAAATATACGTCTCAAACTTTGTGAAGAGAGGAGGACGTTTGTGGTAGATACGATGTTATTCTACAGAACTAACCACCCATCTTTTTTCAACGTTTATATATATATATATTTTTTTTGGCGCGCTAGGTCTTGAAGATTTCACAAAAGGTGCATGACAACGTTGAGGGGAAACTGAACAAGAAGCAACGCGAGTTCTATCTCCGTCAACAGATGGCTGCGATCAAGGAAGAACTCGGCGAGAAGGACGTGGGCGAGGAGGACGAGATGACCCTGATCGAGAACCGACTCAATGCCGCGAATTTGCCGGCGGACGTCCAAAAGGCCGCAGACAGGGAGCTGAAGAGACTGAAGAAGATGCAGCCGGCCTCGTCGGAATACTCGGTCATTAGGAATTACCTGGACTGGTTGGGCGACCTGCCCTGGTCAAGGTCAAGCGAGGACATTTTGGAGGTCGAGAGGGCGAGGACTCAGCTGGACGATGACCACTATGGGCTGGAGAAGGTCAAGCGGAGGATCCTTGAGTACTTGGCCGTGACAAAATTGCAGCGGATTAAGGGAGATGTCAAGGGTCCGATCCTGTGTCTCGTTGGACCGCCTGGTGTACGTTACATGAGCGCGATTGTGCTGCTGTCTACACGCATTCATGTTGTGGGAGGGAACACTGACTAACTAGAAACGAATCGTTTTTTTCTTTTTTCTTTTTTTTTTCATGTTGGCGCAATAATAGGTGGGCAAGACGTCCTTGGGAAGATCGATCGCCACGGCCATGGGAAGGAAATTCCACCGGATTTCGTTAGGCGGTGTATGGGACGAGTCCGAGATTCGTGGGCATCGTCGGACATATGTGGGAGCCTTGCCGGGTCTTATTATCCATGGGCTGAAGAAATGTGAGGTCAACAACCCAGTGTTCCTACTTGGTAAGTGAATGATGCCAAGGCACCTTTTTTTTTTTTTTTTTTTCCGTTTAATGTCTAACGAGACCATTACATCTGTTTTTGGAATGGAATAAAAAGACGAAATCGACAAGGTCGGCTCAAGAGGACACCATGGCGATCCCTCCGCAGCCTTCCTCGAAGTCCTCGACCCCGAACAGAACAATACCTTTGTACGTACCGGTCGTATTTCAAACTGGCAGCGCATTTTTTTTTATTTTCACCATACTAAAAAAAAAAGATTGGGCGACTTGCTTGTTTTATTTTTTGCTTTCATTCGTAGACGGACCACTACTTGAATGTACCGTTTGATCTCTCAAAGGTCCTGTTCATCGCGACTGCGAACTCTGTGGAGACCATCCCTGGGCCACTGCTCGACCGGATGGAGCTCATCACCCTCCCTGGATACACCTACGCCGAGAAACTGGCCATCGCCACCAATCACCTGCTGCCGAAACAGATCCGGTTGCATGGCTTGACCGAGGACGACGTGAAGGTCACGGAATCGGCTTTGCTCAAGGTCGCGACCGGGTACACGCGCGAGAGCGGGGTTCGACAGCTGGAACGGGAGGTCGGATCCCTGGTCAGGGCCAAGGCTGTGGAGTATGCAGAAGCTCAGGAACGGAAACTGTCGAACGTTGTTTCTTTTCCTTCTTCTTCTTCTTCATCGTCATCGTCACCGTCATCAACAACAGCAATAGCAACAAGGACGGGCGCAGAGTACCAGCCGCTGGTCACGGTCGCAGACGTGGAAGAGATTCTCGGACAGGAGAAATATGTCAATGAGGTCACGGAGCGTATGCCGACTCCGGGCGTGGTGACCGGGATGGCCTATAATGGTGTCGGAGGCGGGATCTTGTTCATCGAAGTGTCTCAGATGCCTGGAAAGGGACGATTGCAGCTGACGGGAAGTTTGGGCGATGTGATCAAAGAAAGTGCTCAGATTGCGTTGAGCTGGGTCAAGACCCATGGGTACGACATTGGCCTGACATTGAGTCGAGGTCAGAACATTATGGAGAAAGTTGATGTCCATATCCATATGCCCGATGGAGGCACTCCCAAGGTACGAAGAAGGAGCATTTTATACACAATCGCAAGGAGAGCGATATCGATTGGATGTGTCCTTTTTTTTATTTGTGAAAATGACATTTGATACTCACATTATTCTTTTTTTTTTTTGTTTCTTGCTGATAGGACGGGCCTTCCGCAGGTATCGCCATGGTGTGTGGGCTAGTATCGATGTTCTCGAACCAGACCGTCCCAGCGACGACGGCGATGACGGGCGAGTTCACGCTGCGGGGGCTCGTGATGCCTGTAGGCGGGATCAAAGAAAAGGTGATTGCGGCCCACCGTGCGGGCGTACGCAAGATCATTATGCCGCTCAGGAACCAGAAGGACGTGACCTCGGATGTGCCCGTCAATGTACGGGAGGAAATCGAATTTGTCTACGCCTCCACGATCTGGGAGGTTTTGAGGGAGGCCTTTGAGGGGCGGATCGTTGCTAGAGCCGGTACTCCGGTCGCGAACGGTGCTTTGGATAGCAGAATGTAAAATACGATCCATTTTTTTTTCATTTTTTCATTTTTTCATTTTATTGTATAGTCTATTAGTATTTATTAGTACACATTTTCATTGTTCCTGTGGATATTTTACATTTGCGTGCGTAGTAAAAATGACTTGATTCAAAAAAGATATTTGTAAAAGGTTTGTGTAAAGCGGATCAAACGTTGCCGCTCTGGCTGGCCAGGCTGAAAAAGATCCCGTCCTTCTTCTGCAACAACGTCTGTGGAGAATCAAATTCGGCCACACGGCCCTTCTCGAGCACCAAGATCCGATCGCTGTCCATGATCGTGTTGATCCTGTGCGCGATCGTCAGAACGGTACAGCCGACAAACTCCCGTCGCAAGGCTCGTTGGATCGCATTGTCGGTCTCGATATCGATCGCGGCCGTGGCTTCGTCCAGACAAAGCACCCGCGTGTTCTTGGCGAGCATGGCCCTCGCCAGAGACATCAGCTGCCTTTGACCCAACGACATGTTCTCGCCTCCGTTCTCGATCTTCGCAGAGAGTCCCTCGGCCAGGGTCAGGATGTAGGGCTTGAGCGAGGCGGATTCGAGTGCTGCCCAGAGCTCGGCGTCGGTATGGTTCTGGAACGGGTCCAAATTCTCGCGAATCGAGGCTCCGAACAGGAAGGGCTCCTGTGGGATGATCGTCAGATGCGACCGTAACTCGTGGAGGCCCAGGGTCGAGATATCGATCCCGTCAATGTTGATCGACCCCTCCGCTGCCTCGATAAGACGGAACAGCGCCAGGGTCACACTGGACTTTCCGGCACCCGTGCGACCGACAATCCCGACGCGCTCACCGCCCTTGATAGTAAGGTCGATCTCCCGGAGGACGAGATCCAGACCTTCACGGTACCGGGTGCTGTAGTTCTTGAAGCTGATCTCGCCGCGCTGGGGCCAGGCCTCGTCCGTTTTGGAATCGGGGATGAAATCGCGAGCCTCTGAGGGGAGCCGGGCGTACTCGCGCACACGTTCGACCGAGACGATCGAGGCCTCGAGCTGGCACGCCGTGCTGAGGATACGGCTCATGATCACCGTCAGCACTCCGATCTGCGAGAGAACGATCGAGAAGAACCCCGAATTGACCGAATTGCGCTGGACGATCGCCAAGAGCGCCACGAGCGTCAGCACCAAGACGCTCATAAAGTCCAACATGATCTGGAGCCACCTGGCCGTCGCGTTCGTCAGATAGCTGGTCTGCTGTGATCGGTCCAACAAGGTCGTCGCATGGATCGCAAACCGGTCCGCGTCGTGGAAGGCCCGGATGGTGACGAGGCCCGCCAGGGTCTCTCCGAAATGGGCGTACATTGGCGAGTGCGCTGCAGAATCCAGACGCTTGAGTTCCCGGGACGAGACCAAGAAGAAGCCGCCGAGCCAGTAATATCCAACGCCAAGGGGGATCATGATGATCGCAAAGTACGGGGTCGCGATGATACAGTACACAAAGATATTGATCGCCATGAAGGCAATAAACAACAAATTCAGGAATTGCAGAGGCAGATCAATGTCCACAGCCTGGATGTCCTTTGCAAATCGGTTGATGATCTTGCCCGAGGACGTGATGTCGAAGAAACTCATCGGCGACCGCATCAGAGGACCTAACATCGCCATGTGCAGCTTCTTGGAGGCCTTTCGCGCCATAAAGACCATCGAGATCGTGATCGTGAACGCCAAAGCCAGAGCCGAGGAGAGGATCCACGCAAAGTAAGTGAGGATCCACCACTGATCGGAGTGTGGGGGCGGTGTGCCCGTCACCTGAGCGTACTTATTCTCGTTTCCCCAGTTCTGCAGCCAGATCTGGGTGTACATGTTGATCACCAGGAAGGCGACTGCCACAACGAGGAAGACCACCAAACCAGAGATGCCCAGGGTCGAGAGATAGAACTTGTAAACAGTCCAACCGACCTTGCCCTCGCCCAGGATCTCCTCGTCCACCTCGTCCTTGACGTCGACATCAAAATCTTCCTCATTGACTTTGGATGATTTGGCGCGTCTAAAGGTCGGTCGCTTGACGGGACCTTCAGGTCTCTCCACAGGATCCTCGGAATTTCCGGTAACGGCATCGATGAAGGCCTCGTCGCCCGAGTCGCTCGCGGTGGATCCCTCACTACCCTCTGCGTTATTCTCAAGAGTCTCCTCAGTCTCCTCGGCCCTCTTGGACGCAACGATCTTGCTCTCCTGGATCAGACGGAACAAATCGCCTTCCTTGTCCTTGATAAGGTCGCCATAATGACCATCCTGAGAGATTCTGCCTTGCTTGATGACAACGATCTGATCGACCTCCTTCAGATGGTTGACGCCGTTGGTGACGAGGATCCGGGTCTTGGTCGCGAGGATCGAGGTCATGGCGTGCTCAAAGATGTGCTGGTCGACGTGGGCATCGACGGCCGAGAGTGGGTCGTCGAAGATGTAGACATCAGCGTCCGCATACACGGCGCGAGCGATCGAGATACGCTGCTTCTGACCCCCAGACAGGTTAATACCCTATACCGATGACAATGGCCATGACAATGACGATGATGATAAAAGAAATATACATACATGAGTGAATAACAATAACGAGTAGGGAAAAAAAAATGAAGTCAATGTACAACATAGGATGAGAATACTGTACCTTTTCTCCAATGATGGTCTTATCACCATTCACAAGCATCTTGAAGTCGGGCACCAGAGCACAGGCCCGGACCGTGTTCAGGTACCGTTCCTTGTCATAGGGACGTCCAAACAGGATGTTGTTACGGACCGTGTCGTTCAAGATCCACGCAGACTGGGACACATACGCCAGAGATCCATAGGACCGAACCGTGCCCGAGTACCTGTGCATCTCTCCCAGGAGCGCGCCCACGAGCGAGGATTTGCCCTCGCCCACGCGACCCACGACTGCGATCAGGGAGCCACGCTTGATCTTGAGGTTGACATCGTACAGGACTGGTCCCATACTATCGCGCATGTTCTCCGATGTCGGGGTCGGCGTCCGGTCCTTCTCGTTCTCCTCGTCCTTCCCGCCCAAAGTCCCAAGGGATTCTGCAGTGAGCCTCTCGTCCTTGAAAGTTTCATCCTCCTCCTTCTCCTTCTTTTCCTCCTTCTGGGCCTTTTTACCCTTCTTGGCCGCGTCGGCATCCGTTTTAGCCTTTTGCGCGGCCTCCTTCTCGCTCTTCTCGATCGAAGACTGGATTGCCTCAGGCGTGTACCATCCAAAGGTACCGTTCGAGATCTCATAGGCTAATTCTGAGTCGGCTGGACTCAACTCGCGCAAGACGTTGTCCTCATCGACCTCCTCCGAATTGAAAAAGTCCCGGAGTCGGTTGTATGCGACCTTGCCGCTGACAATGGTCGAGATGGACGAACTGATCGACCCGACGGGATCCTCCAACATGTTGATCAAGGTGATGGTCGTGAAGATCCGACGGATGTCCAGGGGCGCCTCGGGCGTGGCCATACCCGAATAAACAGCCAAGGTCGCGAAGATCGAAAAGGCCGCGATCGAGTTCAGGAAGACGGACGCGATACAGATCCAACTATAGAACTCGCGTAATTTGTTCAGCTGCTCCAGACGGACCTTGGAAATGTTCTTTTCGAAATAGGTCTCCCACGCATACAGTTTGATGGACTTGATATAGTTGACCAGCTCCGAGAGCAACTTCATGCGGTGATCCGACCGCTCCATCATCGCCTTCTGACTCTTTCCGATCAGGGGCGAGAGAACACCGACGATGAAAAGGATAGCGAGGACGACGCCCACGCTAGCAAAGATCGCGTACCGGACCTGGGCCCATAACTGGGCGATGGTAATGATGATCTCGAGAATCGCGCTCCAGCTGAGATGGATGACCTGGAAGAACGCAACAACCTTGTCGACATCCGTGCTCATGTGGTTGACGATCGAGCCCATGCCCTCCTGTTTATTGGTCGAGCTCAGACGCAGCGATTTGCGGTAGATCAAATTGACGAGCACACCTCGGGCTCGGAGACTGGAGTTGTAACAGATGTTCTGGAACTGGTTGTCAAAGATGGTCGAGAGGGTAGCGCTCGTAAAGACGGCGATCAACAGCCCGAATCCGACCCAGGGCACCTCGGGGACGATCCCTCCCAACTTGGCATTCGCTGAGTAACTATCGACGAACGAGATCAATTGCGAGAACAGGACAGGACGGACATACAACGCGGCGATGTACAGGATTCGAGGGACCGCGGCTGTCACGAAGCTATATCCGACAGTGTGGAGCACGACACCAAGGAGATTCATATGGCCCTTCTTGAGCTTGGGGTCCTTTACTGTGCTACCAACAGCCTCTTCGTCCTTGACCTTCTGCAGCCTAATCGCCTCATCCGCATCCATCTTGGCCTTTGTGGTCAGGTAGAGTGGGTAGCTCAGCAGCTTGGGGTGGACGCTCCAGAGATCATCCATGCGCAGGGCCTTCTTCTTGCCTAGGTTGAGCAATGGCAGTAACCAAAAGAAGGTGATCCTCGTAAAGAAGTTGGCTCGGGGTTCAGGCGAGGGTTTGCTCTGAGGTACGACGACGACATTGGATCGAATGAGCGAGCTGCGGTTGGACTTAGGGATGTTCTCGAGGATGAAGATTAAAAAGGAGACGATCGTGAAGAGAAGCCTGAGGAGCGGGATCGGGGCCGACAGACCGTCGGGTGACTCCTGAGTCCAGGAGCGTGTTGGGAAGATGGAGATCAGGGCAGTAAAGAGCCAGAAATTGAGGAGGCCAGAAGAGGGATTGGCCATGTTGAAGTACTCATACCAGTGCAAAACCACTGCACCGATCTGTGTAACGTTTTTTTTTTTTTTTTTTTTTTTTTTATAAGGGAGACAAACGCAGCCAGTTAGCTTCCTTTCGAGCTGACAATCATCGTCTTGAGATCGCTCTCCTCTTTGAAGGGTATGCAACAGCGGGGTAGAACCAGCCTTGGATCCCACAGGGTCTTGAGGGATAGAAGAGCAAGGAATGACAGATACGAAAAAAGACAGTGCAAACATACCAAGGCGATCAGATATACGATGACGCTCAGTAGACTGGATGAGACATAATTATCTTCGGAGACGATCTTGATCAAGAGCCCCAGCTGGATGGCGAACGCTGCCACCACGAGAAGCATCTTGATGTAAAAGATAGCGTTTGGCTTGACACCATCTAGTCGTCCCTTCCCGAGGACCTTGTGTAACCGTGGCGAGAGAAAGATAAGAAGACATGCGCTAGGAACAAGTGTGAGCGCACTTTTTTTTTTTTTTTTAATGTCGAGGAAGGGGGGGAAGGGGGGAAGGAGGGGGAAGAGAAGGAAGTACAGACGATTAGATGGCGACGCGCTTATAAAAAATAATTGCGACTCCAGGGGAGCGCATCACAAGCGGCCATGTTTCATATTATTCTTGGTAGTGGCTGCGACGGTACCTGTCCTGGAAGCACTGCGTAAAGTCCATGGCGCGTCTTTGGCTGAAGACGGCCCATCCCTCGGTGTCGCAAAAAGTCATCCTTGGATGAAGCGGATGGTTTGAGTTAGGAGCTAATGCAGGGGGGACAGATGTTGTCCAGAACTAGTGGTGACAACTACAATGGTCGCAAGCAGCAGCAGCAGCAGATGCGACAACAGTAGTTACTAAAGGTATTAAAGGTATTAAAAGTATTAAAGGTATTAAAGGACAAGGTATGGAGCTGTGTTATTTTGAGGCAAAAACATAACCCAAAAAATAGCCAGCAAGGGCCCTCTTCTCTTTATACTCAACAGTGGATTGACCGCAGCCTGCCTGGGGGGATGCAATCCTATCCAAATAAGGCATGCAGCCAGTAGACTATGTCGTTTCTTTGCCAAGGATGAGCTGAGAGCGCCGTCCGCCCTCGCCCATCGCCCATCGCCCGTCGGCTTTATTATCCGGATGGGAAAAAAAGCCAAACTTTATTGGGCACAATCCAATTCATACGTTCCCTTATATGATGTTGTGTTCGCAGTGATGCTTAAATTGTATCGTTCGCCCATTCTTGGCATGTGGACAGCACCGTCCCCGGACGTTGGAGCTCTGGAGCTCTAACCTTTCTCATGAAGGAATCAGACTCTCATATTTAGGGACACTCTTCTTCTTGGGAAAAGTATGAGTCTGTTCAGGCGAGCTTTCTTTCCTTTCTCGGGCTCCTCGACAATATAACAAACAATATACCGATCTGCGCCCACATCCAAGAAGTAGAAAAAAAAAAATTCCAAATTCGGATGCGTCTTCTCTTCTTCTTTGTACCTTGTTTGCCAGGCAGTAAATGGGAAAAGAAATTCAAGATCTTCATGAAGGGTCCATGACCACGAAAACACGCCCGTGTCTTCTCTACTATGTCTATAGACCAGCTGCTCTGCAGATGGACATGCCGAGGAACATGTGCCTCTTTTGTATTTGCCCTGTTCTAATTTCTATGTACTCAACATGCGCGGTTAAGGTTCCGTCTGTGCAGGAGACTCGGAACGAAAAAATGATCCCAAGAGAACTTTTTTTTGAGCCCTGCCAAGACGGCCCACGGGCCTCATTTGCAAGGGAAAAGATATGTGAATGTTACTGGTTGCTAGCAAATAGAGCCGTGTCGTTCCAGAACGCGACAGAATGGTCTAAGTCCTTGCATTCCCTCCCAAAAAAAAAAAAAAAAAAAAAAAAAAACGTCATAGACAACGACGCGTACATGAGAACCCTTTAAATCGGCGCACTGAGAGTCGATTTTTTGGCAAGGGCAAGATGCCCCAATATGGATGGAAGACATGGCACATAATCCACTGCTCCGCATATTTTGTGGACCATGGATGACAGGGACTTCGCGGCAAAGCGTATCGCGTCTCGCAGAGCTGTTCTTCGTCATTTACGCGACAAGATATTCGCACGGAGGAGTAGCAAAGGTCCCAGACGCTCTACCATGGATGCGGCGTCCAAGGTAGAACAGAGGGAGTTTCTCTGCAGCATGGGGATACATGTGCACTTTGCGTGCGTTACACTGTGAGAGTGCCGCAACGTCCACGGAACCGATGTACGCTGGGGAAAGTGAGACAGCACCGTCATAGTATTCGTAGCCGACCGAATGAACTGCCTCGAAATCGCTGCACAAAACAGGCCTGGCGCCCTTATTCAAAAACCTGGCCCCTCATCACGAACATACCTGCCAGTTCTTTTCTCGCTTTCTCTCTTTCTCTCTCTTCGGGGGGTCATCATTTCTTCATTGACCTCCACCGTTCCTTTTCTTTACAACCACTCTCCCCCCCGTTCATTTCCCTCTATCGACATGTACATATCTCGTTCTTTTTTCTAGCGTCCGCATATCTGATCAACACTACCTCCCCTACTTTTTGTGCCTCACACATCCCTACTACCCAAGTGAGTCTTCACAACCGAGAAGAACACAACAGAAAGCAAACGTTCATACTTTTTCACAACTGCAAAAAAGATAAAAAAAAACAACCCCGAAATGAAGTTCTTTGCACCGTCACTTGGTAAGCGCACCGCATCGAATTTGTTTGTCCACTCGATCCTACTTGCATCTGTGTCGTTTTGTGGTTCCCTCACATGTTGATAACCCTTTCTTTTTTTTCTTTTTTCGTTCCGGGTCTACAGCCGGAGCATTGGTCTTGGTCACTATCGTTATCACCCCCCGCACCCAATTCATCAATGCCGAGGGTCTGTGGTTCATCCGGAGCAACAAACCCGTCCATGCCCAAGAGAACCAGTACGAGGTCAAAGACGCCCAAAACGACATCATACCTCAGGCCCACGATATCCTGCACGCCTCAATCGCCGGCTCCTCGGATCTACCAACCACAACACTCGACGTCTCGAACACTCCAGCGACACCACCTCCCGGATACGAACCTACGTTGGCGACCATGATCAATACCCCTAAAGCCCCGGACGAACCATATTTCCGGTATGCGGTCATGGATGCGGTCCGTGAGAAAGTTGGTCGTTTCACCGATGCTGCCAAAGCTGCGATCGCCCCCAACACAGAGGATGAGATCTTTCTGAACGAGGGCCTCGATGAAGGGGCGACCGTGCCACTGGGCAATAAGGAGACAGTTATCGAGGATGAGGACAAGAAGAAGGGCCATATCCTGACCAGACGCGGAGATGCAGTCCCCAATCATGACAACGACAATGCAGAGAAGGACGCGCATAGCCATCACCGCTTCATGAACTGGTTCGCCTCTATGCTCTCTGCATCCGGAACCTCCTTGGAAGAAGTAGATGTAGAGGCCACCACTCAGGATAGTAAAGTTTCAACCAAACCTGGAAACGACGGGCCTGATCATGTCCAGGTCTCTGATATTAAACCCAACGAAAATCCAAGCCATGGCGACGGTCACATCGTTAGAATCCTGCGGATCTTTTTTGACAAGGTCAAGCGAGTCATACCGATAGACTTGGGCGGGGAAGAAGAAGCAGAGGCCGAAGATGATACCGACAACAGCCTCACCCACCCAGCTCACATCCTGAAGGATCAGGAGGAATAGACTTGCAGAGGCCAAGAAGGCCACTGCGGAGAAGGCCACGACCGAGAAACTGAGGAAGGATTACGAGAAAGAAATAAAAAGAAGGCTGCGGAGGCTGCCGCCAAGGAAGACGCTGCCGAGACTGAGAAGAAGCACCAGGAGGTTTGAGAAACCCCGAGACTGAGTTCGCGAAGGCGGCGCGTTTGGCTGAAGAGGCCCCCGAGTGAGGGCTAAACGCGCTGAGCAAGCTGCCACTCGGACCTAGACTAGGACTCTAAAAAAAAAAAAAAAAAACCTGCTTTGACTCGGGGCGTTTTCTCCAAAGCAAAAAAAAATAAATAAAAGTTCAAAATAGGGATTTTATTTTTTTATTTTGAGCTCGATGAACGGAGAATGGTATGATATGATATGATATATAAATATATGGTATGTGCTGCCAACGTCTTTACTTGGTCCAGCCTCGCGTCTAAAGCACAACTCGACTCGAGCGTCTTTTTTTTTCCTGTTTTTTTTTTTTTTTTTCTTAATTTTTTTTATGCATAGTTGAACGCAGGCTGGAACTCCCTGCGATATTTCTTTGGTTGTGGTGGCCATTCCTGCTCAAACTCGAGCGATGGTCGTTTGTGTGTGTGTCTGTCATCGGTCGCAGCCCAGGGTCCTGCCTGGTCAGGCCTCCACGGAGCCATCGGATGGTCCCATGTGTGTGATCTCGCCCTAACGGACGCTGGGGGAGGTCCACTGGTCAGACGGTACGTGTTGAGGTTTCCATGTCCCGCAAAGAACTCGTACGCGACCACCAGCAGGGGCTCCAGCCTTGGCTCTGCATCCGGGCCATTTGGTCCCATCGCAACATTCGAAAACTCCTAAGTTGATCAAAAAAAAAGAAAAGAGGTTAGAATCCACTATGATAAAATAATAGAATTGCCGTTACGAAAAAAAACATCGCGCTATTATGTTACCTGGACAATTGTCATGTTCTGTAATGACGACTCCATTTCCTCGTTGGCCCCACCTCGAAGCGTGCGCAGGAACTCTTCCAGCCATGCATCCACAATCCGGAAATCGTACACAAAGCGATCACGATGGCACGTCGCCTGCTTAGTTTCCACGCTCCCAACTACCTCCTTGCCGAAAGAGTAAACGGTCGTAGTGCATCTTATTGTCATTGCATGACTGGATTGGAAAAGGTTCTTGGACAACAGCCGGGCTTGCCTTGAGAAAGTTTCTAGGTTCAATCCCATCTGCAGCACATGATAAAAAAGTCCATCAGAACACTGTAATGCTTGACAGTGAGATGGATGCCCAAAGCCGGTGACAAAGATGTTGTTGTTACCTTGCAGCGTATGAAGAGACATCGCTTATGAATAAAAGACTCTTTCAGGTACGGAAACCGTGTCTCATCCAGGATGCGGATGTCCTCTGACTGAAGCGAGTCGTGGAACGGCGTCGAATGCTCGACCAGGACCGATTCGCGATTTAGGAGCTATTCATTCAATGGCACAGCAACTCGATTAGTAAATCTCGTGCCGTTATCGCATATCCAATTTTGGCCAAATGCGTCAACTATACTTACTTGAGGTAAGCCAGGGGTGTTGTACAGACAGCTCTCTTCCAGGATCAATTTGAAATGACTCGGCCAGAACGCATGCCTCTCGCTACGGTAGGACAGCGCAAGATCGCTACCCTTTTGACTGGATGGATGGCCTTGGGAGTGTTCGATCGCTCCTGCACTATAAGCGCCAGAGGCCGAGGAATCGTGTGAACTGGCCTCCGAATATCGCGCTTCACAACGCTCGCGCCATGAAGTATCCAGTCCCGAATGATTCCTGTCGAACCCTTGCGGATACGTCTCCTCCTTCAAGTAGCCAGCACTTGAACTCGAATATCCTTGTTTTTCGGGGACAAACCCTGAGAAACCACCGCTGGGGCGCTCCGCTGCTTGGTCTCGCTCAGGCTCGGGGTTCAAAATAGACGCAATCGATAGCTGCCGCTTGTGTTGTGGTTTCCTCTCCTCATCATCGATCTCGAACGAACGCCGCTTCTCTAGCTCGAATGGCTCGATAAGGTTGTCGTCCGGTGAGAGCGGCGATGTTGGTGACGTGGGCGAATCCTGCAGCCTCTCTTCACCGAATATCTTGCGGATTTTGACCATGGCGGCCTCTAGCCAGGTTGGGTCATTGCTCTCATCGGGGGAACCGTCGGACAGCAGCTCCATGACTAGTAGTTGACATCACAAGAGGCGATTAGATGTCAGTATATCTACTACGCACGAGTGCATACATACCAGCAAATTGTGAATGACACATTTTTACTGCGCAAGCAACACAGTACACACTTACGGATCAAGTCCTCCTTCCGTGTGTTCTTCAATACTTGAATATGCGATGAAACTTGCTTTCTGGTCCTTGATTGCTTGGTCTCCTTGTAGATGTATGCTGCAATTAACTCGTTGCGTCCTAATACAGCGGGAATGATATATTACATTTCGATGTGGAGCATCGTCAGGTACAACAGTTAGTGGGCCATCGCTCTTTTTTTTTGTGTATTAATTACGAGTGTGACACAAAGCATTTCTCAATCAAGGTTGTCGGGCGATCCCACTCAGGGGCATGAGCACATACCGTAGTGCTTCTCATGCAGCGGGACCTTGCGGCGGCCCAACTTCGGAATCTCCGCGATGGCTAAAGACACAGGTGAATTGATACGATAATAGATGGCGTTGATTAATGAGCTGCCAGACACGTAACATGCATTCGTAGGTTGCTGTAACGATGGCCCTCAATCCGGGAAAAGATGGGAAGGAAAGAGTGAGCAGGCGGAATGTTAACGATGTAAACGGGATAAAGGGCGTCGTGCAATGCGCGTAGCGTACGTGTTTTATGCATAGTACGCGGCCACGTATGAAGAAAGATATTAAAGGTAATTGAGAGATCGATAGATGGTATCCTGAAGAAGATACCCCTCTCCTGTCGTGCTTCTCACCGATATTGTCGGCAGTGCAGTGGAAGATACCGTAAAGTGTTCTTTGTAGAGGACTCCCCCCCCCCAACCTTCTTTCGTTCCTTCCACGGACTCTTATTAATTTCCTAGTGGAAATTGCAATAATCCAAAACTCAAATCTTATCGTATATCATAATCAATCGGCCGCAGAGACGCGCACGCGAGAGGAAGGATAAGCAAATAAACAACAAATGTAGACGCGCTCATGCTTTTTTTTTTTTTTTTTTTTCCTTGCCTCGTCCCTCTTGTCCTCACCTATACAAGCTTCGCCGACTTTTTTTTCAATATGAGCAGTAAACACAGTATACAGCGCGCGCTCTATATTACTTGTATAGGGGAAGCAAAAAAAAAAAGTACGTCGGACCATGTCCAGAAACAAACATCCCGGCACAAGAGCCATCAGTTTGATCATATCATGGTAATGTCGACTGTAAGGAAATGCAAAGAAGCGGGCATGCGAATGAATCCATGAAATGCATGAGCCATTTGATCAGGGACAACGGTAAAAGAGGTGGGGGTCCCCTGATTGTAACGCGTGCAAGAATATGCTCACGTTAATTCTTCTGTATCACCCAATTGTGATTATCCCATATTATACTTTGCCACAGTATTTCAAGAATGATACATGCGACTTTTAGGCAACGGGGCAATGGGTAATGGGCAAAGGAATGCAAAGTTGTGCAAAGTCGTGGACGAGGAATGTTGAGCACCGACGCTTGGCTCACTTTTGATTTCCAGCAAATTATTTCCTCTGAAGCTTACCTTCCATGAATGCTTTCTCGACGGCATGAGGCCAAACCTTTTTAAATGAACATTACGAAAGCAAAAAAAACAAAAGGCAGAGGAGAAGAAGGAGTCGAATAATTGACGTTAGTAATGTGCAAATAGACAAAGTGGTTTAGCGGATAGAGGAGCCGCGCGTTTGTGCACACCAATGTTTAAATGTGTGTATGAGTGTGTATGTGAGTGTATGTGTGTATGTGTGTATGTGTGTGTGTGTGCTTGTGTCTGTGTGCGACGGTGCCCGTCTGCACAGTATATTGCTACGCGGTATGCAAGACCGTGTATTGGCATTTACAAAGCACGCTTTACAGGGACGCAGGGTGTCTCGGCTCCTGCCCAACAAAAGCAGGGCCGACATGGAAGGTCGCACCGAATGATGATGATATTGAAGATGTTTGTTGACATGTTTGGGTTTAAGTAGGCTGAAGGATGAAAACGCGAGCATCAGGTCACCATATTAGGGAGCATGTACCACGGTAATAAATGAATATGAACACGCGTGTACAGGTAGTGTCGCACACTGCATGGCATGAGATGTATCGGATAGATAGATGGATTGGCTTGATGGATGAATAGGAGATAAAAAAAGGAGGGTGCGGCACAGAGTACTAACGCTAGTACTAGCAATTTTCCAATAGCGGTGTTGCGATGCGTGGTAGTAATGACAATGGCGATGACAATAAACAAACAAGGGACCACGCACATGAGCAAAGGGTGCACTTCTCCGTCCTTATTATCTGCCATATTACTCCCTGTTGTTTTGAAAGGAATGCTGCAGAACACGGTATGAAGCCAAGCAAGAGAAAGGAAGCACTAGCATTGCAATACTGTTTGATAGTTATTACTATTCTTTCTCCTTGGTAAGCAATATCGTAAAAAAGAAATATGCCACCATTCCCATCTCTGGGCCTATGGATGCGAGGGGCAGGGGGATAACCCAATGCAAAGAGGTCTGAAGGTCTTTCGCATCAAGAAATGGGCCATCATGGCCTTCAATCGCGTATATCCCCACCCCCGCACGGATGTTCAACAACGGTTGGATGGAGCACGCGCATGAACGGACATATCAACCGCAAGTAAGACCCGACTCAAAAAAAGGGACGGAGATGAATGAAGATATTGTGTGGCAAAGAGTCATTCTTGGCTTTAGCAGCAAACCAACCAAGCAAACAACCAACCAACCAAGCGAGACAACAAAAAAAAACACTACTCCTCCTTCATCCCCCAGATCATCCATGTCTCCCTCAACCATGGTAGATTCAGATACAGGTATCTGCGATTCACTCCTCCTCTCTCTTCTCACGCAGCAGAACATCGGCGTAGTCTCATGTCGATGACCAAACCACAGTATGACTGTGTGTGTATGCGAGAATGATGTTTTAGAGCACGGAAGAACCACATCCTAGCCCAACTTTTCTTTTCTTCCTTCCGCTGTCTCTCTTTCTCTTGTCGTAATAAACAGATCGAGCATGCGGCGCATGAGCACATGAGACATGCAGCCATTGATTCTTTTGGGATAGGGGAATACAAATGTATCCTAACATACCTCCTCTTTGACCTTCTTGGATCCCATGGGCATGCTGGTGGCTGAGGCTGTCCGGGGAGCGACCGAGGAAAAGGACGAGGATGGATTGGAGGTTGGCGGTGCAGAGTAGTAGGGCGGGTTCAGTGTTGGGCGTGCTGAGGATGGAGAGGAGGCCGAGTATGGTTGGGAGCGATACAGATGTCCGGAGTTGGCAAGCTGTGTAGTTGTGATTCTCGGCAGGCTGTGAAAGAGAGTCATGTTTGCAAAAGTGGGATGGATGTGTGATGATGTGAATGTGTGGGTGTGGGTGCGAGTGCGAGTGAGTGGGAGTGTGTGAGAGGGTGAGAGGGTGAGAGGGTGAGAGTGCGAGAGGGTGCTGAGGGTGCAAAGGAGGGGAGGCTGTTTGGTGATGGATTTCGATCTCAAACGGGAGAGAGGGGGGATGGGATGTGCCTGATAGAGCAAACAGGCGCAGATATGCAGAGGAAAGAAGAAAAGAAGAGAGGGAAGTAAAAATGGTGGCAATTGGATCGCAGGAGAGGGGTCTTGCTTGGCTTTTTTATACTCGGCCAGATAGCATGGACGGACGGACGGACGGTATGAGGGGGGAAGCAAGTCTATGAACAATACGGCAGAAATGAATTGGAGATGAGTCGGACTGGAGGAGAGATATGCTCAAATTGCAGGAGGGACTTGGAATGGGTACTGTTTGGCAGGCACAGGTACCGGGCACCAGGCATTTACTGTAGCAGGCACCAAATACCTTCGAACCAGCAGTGATTTAATTGAGTTGAATGTGGGTCCCTGCAACGCAGCAGCGACGAGAGCATTTCCGATGGAGAGAGAGGAGTGAGATATGCGATGCGATGCGATGCGAAATCGAATTCGAACGGAGAAAAAAAAAGAGGTATAGAGATGGCATACATGTTAATATGTTAATACGTTAATATGTTAATATGTTAATATACCCGCTACCCATAGTCAATACCAACACCAATATCAACATCAATATAAAACACCCAAATTGCGAATATTTTAATCGACAAGAGAACAGTAAGCAATTCAGTCGAAGGAAGGGTCCAATAGACAATGTTCGATCAGAACGAACGGACATTTCGTACGCGTTTAGCAATGCGACAATATGAAGTCGTCCATCGGAAGGGACCTCCGACACGCATGATCCCGCACCAAGACCCGCGTTGCTGTCCATTGGCCCCAGGTAACAGGGAAGGACGAGGAAGAGATCCTCCTCCCCCCTTTTTTTTGTCTCTCTTGCTGGACATAAAAAAAGCATTGACCATATGGCCATATAGTATATTTCGGATGAAACATGTGCAAATGCAAATGCAACCGCTTTAATGCAAACAAAAGGAGGAGAGGAAGCCAGACTGGGACCAGATCAGAACCCATGCAGCTATGCGAGACCTGAGATCGTATTGGCATAGTGTCTTTTGATTGTCCCGTGCCAATGCCAATGCCAATGCCAATACCAATACCAATACCAATACCAATGTCAATGTCACTGCCAATGCCAATGCCAATTGTGACGCTCATGCCCAGTGCTTATGCGCCCCCATACCAATGGTTCAATGTCAAAATACCAATGCAAATGCCAATACTGAGACAAAAAAAAAAGAGCCCACAAAGACACTGCTGATCATATCCAGCATGATGCTCGTCCGATTCTCCTTTTTCCGTTTTCCCCTTTTGTGTTCTTCCCCATTGCCCTTCCATCCGTGAATAGAAGCATAACACATGCACGTCCGCCCCTTTTCATCCTTCCACAGACATCAAAGGATCGAAGGAGATGATGTGGAGATGGCGGTGGTGGTGGAGGAGGAAGAGGAGGAGGAAAGACTCTCGAGGCGATTGGTAAACGTCCTACTACGGTGCAATGCACTGCCATGCATACACGCACACAGTCTAGTCCAGATGATCCATACGCTGCTGATTGGAACAGGGGTATACAATACCCCCTGTAGTGTCTGATGCAAGGACGGGACAGGGCACCGGAGATTACCTGGCCGCCAATTGGCCAAGAAATGGCCGCCAGGCACGAGGACTGGAATTCAAGAAGGGGGAAGGAGGAGGAGCCAGAAAAAGCTTTCCAGGAACTAGTCACAGCTGGACAGCCCCGCCGAGCTGTGAAATCGTGAACAGGGCACAGCTGCTGCTCCAGAAAAGTCGACATATTGTCGACTTTTCCCTTTCTTTTTATTTGTTGTTGTTGTTGTTATCACTCCCCTTGGAGAATGGATGATCAGATGCCCACAGCCTTTCCATTGTCTGCGCCCTATTTTTGTGTTCGCCGTAACAAAAAGACCGGTATGAGGGAGAAGATGGCGGAGGGAGCTAGTTGCTCCCGCAACTATCGCTTAGGTCATGGACATTCCAATCAACATCAACAACAACTGCGACCATGCCAAAAAGTGTCAACGCTTAGAGAAAAAAAAAAAGCGAACGATGAATGGTGCATAGTTGTTGAGAGCCCTCACCTTTTTTTTTTTCCTTTTTGTGTTCGTGTGTAGAGGATTCGCGCGGGGTATGTGCCCATTGCTTCTGTTGTGTAATGCTCACTCGATCCCTGCCTTTGCTATGCTTATCCAAAGAGCATGTCTGTTCCATATTCCCATTGTCCTCCCAATGCACAATACGATATATAGCACCTCGGTAATATGCAGACCTGCCTCTTCCCATTCCCCCTCCCCTTCTCTGATAGTAATCTGCATCCGTGCTCTTTTCCCCCCCTCTCTGTCCTTGTACTCGCTGTGTATACGTGTGTGTGTGTGCATTGTGTTGTGTTCTGTTATTGTGTTCTCCCCGCCTTAAAATTCCCGCCCTCAATGAGTTGCACAACAGATGCGAAATGAATCCTATGCGTTTGAATGCATCGGCGACTCATTGCATGAAGAGTGGCAATGGCGATGACCGAGAGAAAGGTGTATATGTATGTATATGTGTATATGTGTATACGTGTATGTGTGAATGTTTGTGTGGAATGCTTTAGCCGAGGGAGTGTTCCTCGGGCGATTTTTTTTTCTTTCAAGAGCGGTATGTGTGTGTATATGATGTACCTTTGTTTTGGGCAGAACACAATGCCTCGAGGGAATGGAATGGTGCTCGGTCGCGAGAAGAGCAGGTCTGGCAAGCAAGAGATGTCAGTGCTCGGTAATGTGCGCGAGATAGAGAATTGCAGTCGATATAAAGCGTGTGTGTGTGCGTGCGTGTGTGTATGTGTGCATGTGTGTATGTGTATGTTGTAGGTGTGTGCTGTGTTGAATGGTGCACAAGAGTTGCGAAGGAAAGTGGAAACGGGGGAGAAAGAGAAGAAAAGAAAAACGCCCTGCGCCAAGTGTGCGTCTGGAGAAGAATCGATGGCGAGCCAGACAGCAGACCGGCAGGCACAAAGAGGGGCCTTGACATGCCTTTCCCAATGACGACGGTGAAAAAGCGGAGGGCGAGGGTCGTTTTCTTGCCTTACATAAACAAACCAGTCAACAAAAAAAAACAGGATACATTCACTTTTGCAGCTGAAACGAGTCAAAAGTCTGCATAGCATCCATCCATCTCAAAAGGGCGTATGTTTGTTGATATGTCCCGCGTGCCATGCTGACAAGAGATCTTCTTTCCTTCGTCTCGCACACGCTTTAGGTCCGATCGTCCTAAGGACAGTTGTTCTTTCCAGCCAAAACTATGTCATCGCTGCGTTTTCATGCGCAACCCATTGGTTGCCTTTGGCAAGGTTCTGCCACCACCCGCATTGCTCGGAGGGAAAGATAGCGGCGGGATGCGTATCTTTTATTCTATTTTATGTGAAACGATTCTTGTGTAAATAATCTGCAACCACGGGCCCTGAGTTGGCGCGCATAATCTACTAAGGGGTATCTGAATACATGCATCGACGCGCTGTTCAGAAGCGAAGCTGCAGGAAGCCCAGATCTGTCTCCGCATCGACCTGTGCTGCCTGCAATCCACATGACTTGGCCGCCTCAACATTTTCTAGCATGTCGTCGAGGAAGAGGGTCTCGGACGCGATAAGACCCTGAGCCTGGAGGATGTGTTCAAAGGCCGCCTTGGATGGCTTTCGATGACCGATTTCATGTGAGTAAAAGATCTTGTCAAAGAATGGGTGCAACGAATCCTCCTCATAGTCCGCCAGGCACACTTTGTCGACATATTCGATGTGGATCGCGTTGGTGTTACTCAGCAGGTAGACGTTGTAACCGAAATCTTTCTTGAGCGTCCGCATCAGCTCGAGACGGCCCTTGGGAAAGTCGAGCAGCATAGCATTCCAGACTTGATCGAATTGTTCGTCCGCCACAGTCTCTGGAAGACCAACGGATGACCGAACAAGGGCACGAAAGTCTCCTGAGGAGATCTTGCCGGTCTCATAGTCGACAATGGTCTGTGAGGAGGAGTGGTGTGACAACGTGGGGAAATTGGTGGCGCCCAGGGCTTTGAAACCGCTTGCTGTTGCGGACTGGTCGAGTCGGAGGATGACATTGCCAAGGTCAAAGATGATGTTCTTGATCATCATTGTAAAGGGACGATGAGAGATCACAGATCACACAGCAGGGGATGAGGAATGAGCGAAAGATCGATCGATTCAGCCGTTCCTCAGACACCCATAAAATATCGCTCAGAGAACCTTACTCAGCGAACCGAGTGCAAACTTGGTCAGATCAGCCCAGAGCCGTCCCATTCATTCGTATCCGCATGTCAGGTAGATGCACTCATAAATATATAAAAAGGTGTTTTATTGCACGCTCCTTTCGACAGCCCTCCATGTTGCCCTCTGAGTGTTGTTGCTGTACAACTGTCATTAACACGTTAAGCACGGCTGGCATGCTTCTCCACAAAGTCCTTGACAGCTCCCTTGGGAAGTGCGCCGACAAACCGGTCGACTGCCTCGCCATCCTTGAAAGCCATAACGCAGGGGATACTGGCAATCTATCATCGCGGTAGCCATCGTGTCAGTCGATCTGCTCCCAGATACTTTGATCCGTGAAAAACAATTGAAAGCGTTAAACGTTCATACCTGGTATTTAGAAGAGACAGTGGGGCATTCATCAACATTGACGCGGATCAAGGTGACGGCTCCCGAGTTTTGCACTGCCTCGCGAATGATGGGGTCGAGCATGTGGCAGGGTCTACACCAACTGGGACGCAATAGTTGCAAGGAGACAATGGGGCCTTAGTAGTCATACTGCTATTGTGCAAGAGTGCTCTCCACCGCACAAAGACGTTATCCAGATGCGAGACAGGTCTTTCGCTTACTCTGCGTGGAAATCGACAAGAACGGGTTCCTTTGCGCTAAGCAGTTTGCTGAATGTCTCGTCCGTGGCATCATGGGCCTTGCCTGTCAAGAGCAGTGATGAGCTCCGGAAATAGCGGGCTATTATGAAAAAAAGGGAAAAAAAAAAAAAAAAAAAAAAAAACGGCCAGAAGCCCGATCGGGGAGTGGTTGATTAACAAGGTCTGCGCATAGTAGATTGATGACTTTGTGGCCATGGTGCTCTGTTGGTCTATGTCGGTTGAAATTCTGATCTTGCCTTGTGTACCCGAGCGAGCAACCCGCTGCACATTCCTGGAGAGAAGACGAAGAGAGTTCATTGTCGAGTCGAGGTTGTAGGATTAGGAGGGAATCATTCGTTCGCCTCTTCTCTTCATGAAGAGATCTGAAGTTGCGGGGCAGAACGAACCTTATTTGGCGGTGTCGTGACCGGACCCGCGCCGCGCGATATTGCAGATGCTATTACTGGCCGGGAGTCCAGGACGACATCTAGATGTCAGTAGGAATTTGCAGGATCAAATAAGGCGCTCTATATATTCTACCCACCTCTCTCTACTCCTATATGTCGCGTTTGATGTGCCGACTGTAATATTCCTGGATACGAATACAACCACACAAAAACCTCATTCCTGGATCCATAGCCGCATTAAAGAGGTGCCGGTCCATCCGCATAATCAGCCCAATAAGACGGCACCGCAGTCTGCGCCCTTGAGTGCCTGATCCATTCATTCAAACCCCTTGATAGTAAAAGTAAAAGGAGAGAACGAATGATGGATTGCGCCTCCATCACTATACATGTATATCTTATTCCCTCTATCTTTCTTGCATAGAGGGCGTGGAAGGATGAGGAGCCTGCGCGTTTACTTCCTTGCATTCCTGACTCGTTTTTGTTTGCCCACAATGTACACGTGCACTATATAAAATTGCAATATTACCATACTCCCCTTGTTTCTTCCGAGCTACTTGAGGCCAACTGCTAAAACAGAGATGGATAGACAGACAGATAGATACGCATGCAGACGAAACTTGAGAAGGAGCGAGAGAAACGGAGGGCGAGGGTATGTGAAAATATGTAGATCAATTAACTTCAGTCATGCAATTGACTATCCTATAGACTAGCGCCGACTTGTTGTCACTCATGCTGTCAAAATCGAAAACCATGGACACGCCGTGGATGGTCCTGCGATTCGTCCGAACGCACAGTTGCCGATGTCAACATTGAATTAAAAAAAAATCAAGGCCATCTTCGTAACGAGCTTCAACGTGTGGATCGCTCTGTTGTTCGTTCCCACTCCTGGATGTTGCTTTTAAACACTCTAAATGTTTAGTTAAGGGATGCATCTCGGCTTGCCGAGAAGGACAGCTGAACATAGTTGAACATAGCATGGGGCCCGGTAGACAACAATGCTGCTGTCTAACTTTTCTCTCCGTATTCCTAGGTTTTCTGACCTGAAAACGATGCATTGACAGCAAAGCAAGGAGATAGACTGCACTGCCGTCCTTCTCTCGCAAAAGTCACTTCTCGCTTCACTGCCTTTGCGGACAAAGATGGCAGGGGTTCATGCGCTTGTTGATCGGAATGGATGAGTTGCTCTTATGCGCTATAGGCAACGACAGGAACAGCTGGGCTAGTGGATTGTCCCAGCAGAGACTTACTTCTGTTCTCGTCCAATCTCATCCCCAGAACGTCCATTGCGTATGGTCTCCTGTTCCAAGGCCTTTAATTCTTTAAGTCCTGCTTGCCACCGGTGCTTCTGGTGCTTTCCTCCTTGGAGCTCAGCGAACGTTGCATACACAGCATTCGGAAAATTTGGCCATACTTCTTTCATTTTACTTTTGCGGCTCCCCCGGCTGGATGGCATATCTTTCGCCTGGATTGCAGACTCCAGAGTCCTCTCCCCACACTTCTACCCCCTGTTGCCTAATGTTTAGTTGGCGATTATTCCTTGGATTATAGTTCACCCCTTTCTTCGCTTCTAATATGAGATCTGCCGTCTTCCCTTCCAATGCAGTGTCCCGATGCCTTTGACACAGCAGCATCCCGACACACATGGGTATGGTATATTACTGCCCCCTGTTCTGCACCCCCTCTCCACATATGATGTACCGCTGCTGCCTTGACAGCGGCGCAAGGTGGTGCTACATTGCATTACTTGAGGAGGTGTTCTTTGCACCCTCCACGGCTCCATTATTTCCCACATCGTACCCCTCACCCTTCATCTTTCCAGCCAACTTTCTTGTCCCCCCCCTCCCCTCAAATAAGGATTGAGTGGTACCTGGAAAGGAGGACCTCCTAGAATGTGCTTCTTGTTCTTGCACCCTTCGGTGTCTCATATAAATATTATGGCCAACAACAGGATTTCCGTTGCACATCCATTTCCCTTTCCTCTTTTCACGATAAATCGCGTACTTCACTACTCACACCCACAACTCGTATGGATCGTCACCCTCTCCTCTTTTAAACGCTCCAATCCCGATTATCCTTATATACCTTTTTACACTAAGACACCTGTCTACATACAAAGAACAACCCCACCATGCAGAAGTCTTCGAAGTCACTCAACCCTCTGCCATATGCAGATTTCAGAAGCGATACAGGTAAGGCGCGGTTTAGATTATCGCCCTCTTTATCCAGCCTTTATCGAGACATGTTCTCATCGCATATCTTTTATGAACTTGTCACCAGCGACGGCCCCTACGCCAGACATGTTTGCGGCCATGATGAAGTCCTCCTTAGGAGACGATGTCTACAATGAAGACGACTCCGTCAAAGCCTTGGAGCGCTATGTGGCTACGTTATGCGGTCACGAGGCTGCACTCTACTGCTCGTCAGGAACAATGGTATAAAACAAAGATGTTGACCTCTCTTTTCGAAGCGACCAAGATGTTGAGAACATGTTTCTAACCTTCATCGGATCATGTAGACCAACCAACTGGCCCACCGAGTTCATCTCTCGAACCCACCTCAGTCTGCCATAGTTGATATCCGGTCTCATGTCTTCAACTATGAGGCAGGGGGTATCTCCTTCCACTCCCAAGCAGCCGTCTATCCTATCATGCCCGCCAATGGACAATACCTCACTGTAGAAGACATTGCACCCCGCCTCGTATTTGATGTAGACGTCCACTATGCCCCCACGAGGGTGATCTCGCTCGAGAACACGCTCAATGGAACCATCATGCCTATCGAGGAGATTGTTCGGATCCGGGAGCTAACATTGGAGCATGGAATCAAACTACATCTGGACGGGGCACGGCTATGGCATGCCTCGATCGCGACGGGCATCTCGATGCGGGAATACTGCAGCCATTTTGATACGATCTCCTTGTGTCTCTCCAAGGGCGTCGGTGCCCCGATCGGATCTATCCTCGTAGGTAAAGAGGATACCATCAAGAAGGCAAGGCACTTCCGACTCTTGTTCGGCGGTGGGTGGAGACAGGCCGGGTTTCTGGCCGAGGCAGCTCTGTTTTGCATCAAGACCAATTGGCCGACGATGGAGAACACGCATCGCCAGGCACGGTGGCTCGAGCGTGCTTTTAGGCAGGTGGGCTGCCGTATTACCAACCCGGTCGATACAAACATGGTCTGGGTCGATACCACAGATGCAGGATTCGGAGTCGATGTGTTGATGGCCGAGCTGGCTAAGGAAGATATCAAGATCAGTGGCAGTGGGTTTAATGCAAGAGTCGTTCTGCACTACCAGATCTCGGACGAGGTTATCGGCAAATTTATCGATGTTCTCCACAAGTTGGCCAGCTTACCGCGCATGAAGGTCGCAGTCGATTTGACAAGGAAATCAATGCGAGAGCAACCGTCAGGGATTTACAAAAGCGATGATGAGAGCCCGCCTTCATCTCCAGCACCTTGCGCCCTGCCCAGTCCCAAGAAGCTGCCGCTGGAGGATCCAGAAAACCCGCGTTCAAAAGACAGCACCGATCCTGAAGTGGCCACATCGCCGCTACCAGACAAGGCTGTATTCGAAGAAAAAGATCTCTCAAGCAAAAAACCGCACTGCTTCTTTGAAGGGGAGGAGCAGGAGAAGGATTCGGACGGACTCGTGACGCCACCAACACTTCCGCTTGGGGCTATCCGTCGCAAAGACCAATGGCCGCTTCCAAACTCGTTCTCGTCACCTTCGGCATTCTTGAAAGGAGCAGATCGACCGGTAAGCGCATACGGCGCCCTGAGCTCCGGCGGCAGCCTAGAGGAAGTCGGTAACGCCCAGAAAGAGCAAGATGAGTCCACGGTGCGCAGAACACAGTCATTGGACATTGTAGAGACGATGAGGCAGCAGACGGCGTTCGACAAGGGCGCTGACAAGTCGCTTGGAGCGGAGGCGAAGAAGATGAACAAGTTGCAGTATCGTCTGTCCCACAACCCCGCGAGCAAGGCTCTCAAGCGTGCCAGTGGCCGGATTGTCCGGTGGGGCTCTCTTTTATCCCGCGAGTCATGAAGCTCCTTCGCTTCATCGGGCCCCCTATCTTGCAACACACGATTAGCCCCTTCCCCAGGGCTTTCTTCTTTCCCCTCTTGATAGTCACACAGCCATGTTCCTGGAGGCACAAAGTTAAAAATAAAAAAAATCTGTTCTGTCCATGAGGTGCTGGTAAAGAAAAAAAAAAAGACGCGGTCAATGAATACGCGTTCCCTGACAGCGCGGCTGTGGCTTTGCACAACTCTCGAGATCGTGATCCTTGGCTGTAGATCGTGCGCGTGAGCGGGGGGGAAACGATCGCAAACCAGCTCCATTCACTCCTCCACGCTCAAAGAAAGGTACCTTCACTTTCCTGAACAATAAAGCCGCTTTCCTTCTACTGAAGTCCTGTGGTCGAATCTCGCTTTTAGAAGTGCTTGTACCCTGTGCCTGAACAAAATAGCGTTTTTCATCCTGATCTATAATCGGCTAGTTTTTTCTTTTTCTTTTTTTTGCGATCATGAGGGAGCTGCCGCAGAAGGAAGCCAACCTGTTCAGGGAGATCTTGGTAAGGGACCGAGAGACTGAGAGACTACTGACGGACCCTTGAGATCTCGAAAGGCGAGCAAGAGCGAGATCACCCGGCTGATCAGCTCTCCCTTTCTTTGTATTCGTGAAAACCGAAATAGAAATGCTATGAGCTCAAGCAATACAAGCGCGGCTTCAAGGGAGCAGATCAGATTCTCAAAAAGTTTCCTGAACATGGAGGTGAGCAAATACATGGATTTTCTCTTCACAATGGGCCGCTATCATGCACCATGCACCATGCACCATGCACCATATCATTATATTTCGGATGCATTGACTGACCCCAATTTTGTTTTTTGTTTTCTGCCTCTAATCTTAGAAACACTGGCAATGAAAGGATTGTTCTATAACCACATGGACAAGAAAGATGAGGCGTACGAGTTTGTGAAGAAGGGTCTCCGTCATGATCTGAGGAGCCATATCTGTAAGTCGATTAATTCTACAGGACGACCACAGCGTGGGAGGACGATATGGCACCTCCGGTGTTTAAAAATTGAAGTAGTGAATGATGAACTTAATGGTGCTTTTCGCCCCCTTGTCTCTGCTTTAACTCTTAGGTTGGCATGTTTTTGGATTGCTGTACAGATCAGACAAGAACTACGAGGAGGCGTCCAAGTGCTACATTAATGCGCTCAAGTTCGACAAGGTAGACAAAGGGATCTCAGTCTCAGTACCTAGATGGGCCATTTTATGATCTTACGGGTGCACTCACTAATGTTCACATTTGTTACCCACATCCTCAAATCACAGGAAAACATCCAGATTCTTCGCGATCTTTCGCTTCTGCAGATGCAGATGCGCACACTGGAGGCCTACGTCGAAACTCGCCACACACTACTCGAATTACGTCCTCAGAACAGGCAGTATTGGGTCGCTGTCGCCATTGCCTACCAGCTGATGGGCAAACCCGAGTTGGGCGTCAAAGTTTTGACCGCATACGAGGAAACGCTCAAGGACATTCCTTCGACCCCGGATTATGAGCACAGCGAGATGTTGCTCTACCATAACGTCCTATTGGAAGAGGCAGGCGATATTCAGGCAGCGTTGGATCATCTGGACGCGATTGAGAAGCATGTCTGCGATCGCAGGGCTATCAAGGAGAACCGCGCCAAGTATCTTCTCGCACTTGGGCGAATGGAGGAGGCGGGGGCTGGATACAGAGCGCTGTTAGCGATCAACCCGGACAACATGGCGTATTTTGAGGGTCTTCGGAAGAGCGTTGGACTGGGAAGCGATCATTTGACGGCGAAAGAACAGGTCGAGGTCTTGGAGCTGTTCAAGGGGCTTCAGAATGAGTACCCTCGTTCAAATGCCGCCAAGCGGTTGCCTTTGCGTTATTCGACTGGAGAGGCGTTTGTCACAATCGCGGACGAATATATTCGGAGCATGCTGAGAAAGGGCGTTCCATCGTTGTTTGTCAACATCAAGACCCTGTATACTGATAACGAGAAGCAGCAAGCAGTGGAAAAGTTGGCACTCGGCTATTTGGGGGCGCTGGACAAGTCCAAGGGTTTTGACAACTCTGGTAAATGGATACAAAAATCATTTTAGCAAACTTGACCAGCCTTTCCGATCGAGTTTGTGACATAGTTCTAATGCCATATCACCTGTGAAATGACGTATATATAGGAACCATCGTGGAACCACCAACAGCCCTTCTCTGGACGTTGTATTTTTTGGCACAGCACTATGATTATAAGCGCAACACGGATCAGGCGCTGGAATACATTAATCGTGCGATCGAGCACACGCCCACATTGGTCGAGCTGTATATGACCAAAGGACGCATCCTGAAGCACGCTGGAGATCACCTTGGTGCGATGGCAGCACTGAACGAGGGTAGGGAGTTGGACCTGCAGGATCGTTTCATCAACTCGAAATGCACAAAGTATATGCTTCGTGCGGACAAGATGGCCGAGGCTGAAAAGACGGTCGTACTTTTCACGCGCGCGGATATTGCCAACCCCTTGAACGATCTTGTGGACATGCAATCTCAATGGTTCCCGCTCGAGGCTGGTGAGAGTCATCTTCGACAAGGACAGATTGGGAAAGCTCTGAAGCGATTCCATCAGATTGACAAGGTATGTTCAGTCAACTAACATTGATGTTATACACTGACCAATGTCAATTGGACATTTTTCTGACCCTTACCGTCTTTTATTCTTTTTGCGTAGCACTTTAATGACTACACGGAAGACCAGTTTGATTTCCATACGTACTGTCTTCGCAAGATGACCTTGAGGGCCTACGTCTCGTAAGTGACAGTAGCAGTGTCGAGTATCGGACAGACGCACCTATTCATCTCTGGGCCGCAGAATAACCTTTGGTCTATCTACTGCTGATTCTAGGCTCGTGAAGCTGGAAGATCAGCTTCGCTCCCATCCTTACTATGTCCGTGCAGCCCAGAATGCGGTGCAGTGCTACGTGACCCTATTTGACAAACCCGATGGCGCCAGCACAGAGGAGATGGAGGGCATGACTGAGGCGGAGAAGAAAAAGTTCCGCAGCAAGCAACGCAAGGCCGAGCTCAAGGCCCAACAAGAGGCCGAGGACAAGAAGAAGAAAGCGGCAGCAGCAGCAGCGGAAGCAACCAAGAAGGCTGGCGGATCAACAGTGGCAGCAAAGGTGGATGAAGACCCGGAAGGGACAAAATACACAAAGGTCGAGGATCCTCTGGCGGAGGCACTCAATTTCTTGAAGCCCCTGCAAGAGTTGGCTGCTGAAAGGATCGAGACACATCTCATGGGCTTTGAGATCTATATCCGTAAAAGTAAGTTAGAACGGTCGCTGTTGTTATCGTTCGCATCTTTTTTTTTTTTTTTTTTTTTGATCCTTTTGAAAATGCTTGAGCTTACTGGGCGTTTTCTCACCTTTTACTACCCTTATTAGACAAGCTGCTGCTGGCGCTAAAGTCGCTGCTGAAGGCTGTCAAGATTGATCCCAACCACGCGACCCTGCACGAGCAGCTGGTCCGCTTTGCGCTTGCGGTCCAGAAGCAAAAGCAAGCCTCGTCCATCAGGCCTAGCGTCCAATCTGTTATTGATCAGCACTGGTCCACGCTTTACGAGGGTCAGGATCTCGATGCCTTCTTGGCGGCATTTGTGGAGAAGAACAAGAACCAGGACCTAGTCCCACATAAGATCTCGGCCGCCATTTCAGCATCCCTTGTCCACCCAAACGAGAAATCGAAGGCAGAGGCGTTGTTGTTCTCGATTGAGGAGGAGCAGTACAACAAGGTGCGGTCGTTAGAGGATGTGATTCTGGTTCAGAAGACGCTGAAGAGTCTGCGGTCGAGTCGGTTGCCCGAGTGGAAAGAAAAGGCCAAGGCATGGTACCCCAGGGCAACAGTCTTTCAGTCCTGAGGAGCTGATCAATTTTGAAGATCCAAGGAGACCAGGCGATAGAATAGAACGTCTGCTCCTGCTCCTGCTTCTGCTCCTACTCCTGCTTCAATAAAAACTTGTTTGTTTTGGTCGACATCTCTGCCTTTGCACGACAAGATACCTTATGATAAATTTTCTGGATGATATTGTTGCGCTTGGAGATGGTTCTTTTACAGTTGTATGGAGTAAGGAAACCCCCAATCTGAATGCCCGAATAATTTGTGTTCCACACTGAATACAAGGGTCTAACGCACAGCTACGCACACTGTAGCGAGTGATCAGCACAACGGTCTTCTTGTTCAACTGGAACAAGGAACAAAAGACCGCTGGCTTCGATCCTCCTTTTATACAGGCACAACCCCAAAACCTAATATCGAATCCTGCGTTGGGGGACGTCCTTTGGTATCCCTGACAGGTAGAACAAGACAACGCGACTGTTGTTCCAGTTTCCATGCTGTGCAATCTCCTCGACGCCTGCACCCATTTCCTGTGCGTGTCGAGCCCCAGATCCTCGACCAGAATGAGTGACCTTCTTCGAGGTTATGTTTTCTCGTTCCATCTCTTGTTTGTGCATTTGATAGTGGTCAGAACTACTCAATGGAGAGAATTCGTCTCTACCATGGATAAGATAGGCCTTTTCCCAGTCTTTCATGTCGAATTTCGGAGGTGGGGAGGAAGAGTCTTTTGAAGAACCTTTCGAAGAGCCTTTCAGATGCTATGCAGATGAACGAACACAAATTTTCTCTGCTGTTGTGAGTGCTATCTTGCTTGCCGATGTCCTGCCTTGCCTTTTCCTTGGATAAAACAGACATTCCAGACATTCAAGAAAAAAAAAAAAAAAAAAAACATGCTTACCCATTTTTCAAAGGAATAGAAAGCTAACGCTCCAACTGGGCACACTCTACGTCGACGTTGCGAATGATGGATCCAAATCTCTTGTCGGCATGTTTGTTTGTTTTTCCTCGCAGCATTTGTAGAACGACACCAAACGTATACTGTCCACCTTCTTGATCCCTTTGAGTGCCAGTGGTACGAGTGAAATCGCGCGGGAAAAGGTTGCACAGTCTTGCATCTCGCAAGTTTTCTCCTCGGCACGCAAGGAAGTGATTTCAAACAAAGGAGAGTCGGTTTCGCTGCCCTTTCCTTTCTCGTCTCCCGCACCCCGGATACTTGTAGTTATACATCCACCCTCCTTTCATCGACTCTTTCAATGTCTGAAGATCGTGCCCTTCCTCAAGTGTGAGCTGTGGGATGTCGTCTTCACTGTTTTGCTTTCCTAGTCTGACGTAGTGCTCGTCCATTATCACGGTAAGTTGCTTGGACCGAAGCGACGGAACCAGCTCGCTCGTGGGATGGTTTGTCGGATCTTTCACCTGTTCATTATAGAGATCCATGGCCGCTTTGATGTAGGTATCCATGGTTGACTTGGAAGGAAGTCTGCCCTTGCTGGCCTCCCCCTTTTTGCGGACACGAATTGGCTGAATCCTAGTTTCGTCGTCTGTGTGCTCGGTAGTGTTCATACTCATGTACCGGAGGAACTTCTTGTGTTCAACATTGTAGTTCCCCTGGTAAAGACGATCACACCATTTCTAGAGAGAGCGAGAGAGGCGACAGACAACAACACAACAGTGACCTTGGTTAATATGCAATGGTGATGGAGAGAAAGAGAGTTACGCATCTTGGATCTCGAAACTTCTATCTCTTTACTCTTACCATCCAATGGGCTTTACACCTGTCGTATTGAACAACGGTGCTCTTAGACTGTATCAACCGGCGTTTTGTCGTGAGTGTCATGCAGATCTTCTCTTCTGCCAACCTGTTAGCGATGCATTTGTCCATTGCAGCCTCCCTGACAGCTGTTGCCTCCTGTATCGCCGACATACGATCCTTGCCTTTTCCACTGCTCTCGGTTCTCCTTTTCTTTCGAGGTGGAAGACACACTAACTGGCGTTCCTCCACCACTTCCTGTTCTTCAAGAGTGACTACACCCATGAGGTGCTCACCGATTACACAACAAATAGGATAAAAGCATCTCAGTTCACACACAGGACACACAGATCTACCTAAACAAACGCTGCATGTCGATCATTTATATTGTACATCTGCATTAGCATACCTAGATCACAAACAATATCATCATCTGCATCACTCGTGTTGCCAGGAGCACTGGCACTGGCACTGGCTTCGGCTTCAGCTTCAGCTTCGGCTCCCGCAGTATTAGGCTCGATGTCATCATCATCATCATGATCTGGCAAGGGGACTCTCTCCATGTCTGAGTGAACGATGCATTGGCACATGAAAAGATAGAATGTCGAGGTCAGTGCCAATGAGTCAGGACGTCAACTCGCATGTGCATGTGTCAAGTTACCTTCTCCAGTCGCACCAACAAGAACATCATCTTCAAAGATAGCCTCCTCCTCTCCATCTTCTTCTTCCTCATTCATGCCAGCAGTGTTTGCAGCTATGTACCATAGAGAAAAGTGTATGAGTGTGTGAACGACTGTGTCAGAGTTTAGCTCTGATTGGTATTGTCATGTGACGCTAGACGCGTCTAGGAAAGGATCAACGTCGCCTTCATCACAGAAAGCTCCATGATGTAAAGATGAGCAAAGACAGCACCGAAACGTCTAGAACCATGGATCACTAATCAGGACCTTTATTCGTCTGATGTATATAAGGAAGGACAGACTATGTAGTTGAACTCCAGTTCATATACTCACAATAGTCTAGCCAATAAACAATTGTCTTCACACATTCGTCTTTGTTCACTCGTCTCCCACAAGTCTTACAAACTGAACGGCTCAGTGAAAATTTGGTGTGGCCAAAACGAACCCCCTGTGGTAGAGAGAGGGTCGCGTCGCAGTGTAATACGGTCTTGCTGCTCTTCTTCCCCGCTGGCCACAACAGCGATGGGGCAACGGAATCAGCAAAACACAACCGATCACACTCACTACGACGGGTGCCAGGCGAGCGCCTTGCTCTCCTGGTCCTGTTGATCCTGCCCGTCCAGTCCTGTTGTCCTGGCCCTGTTCTAGAGAGAACATGCTGTTCGAGTTGCAGCACCACCAACAGTCAAGGAAAAGCCAAGACAGTGGAGAGGTCATGGCAAGGGGTAGACCAGGGTACGGCATAGTATCTGGCCCCTCATGGATCCACGGAGCAATCGAAAGCAGCAGCACAAATCCAGTACTACCTCAAGCAAGCCTGAGGAGGGGTCGCACCATAGGGTAGTCCAGGGCATGGCGTAGCCTGTAGTCCCACATGGACCCACGGAGGACCCTGCTCGGATCCATCCTCGACGATCCGTACACAACGCCATGCTTGGTGCTGCACACAACCATTACCTAATGATAAATCTGGAAAATGAAAAAAATGGAGTAATGGTTAGTGAATTGAAGAGACAAGCACAACCGCACAATTTCCTTGATGCTATTAACCCACACAAATGTGGTGGTTCCAGTCACCCAGCGGTGAAAACAACCGCAGCTGGGCGGAGAATTCTGTTCACCATAGCCATCATCCCGAAAGAGACAAACGGCATCGATTGCAGCTCCACCACGGTCAAAGACTGTGGAGAGGTCATAGCAAGAGACAGTCCAGCGCCTAAGCATAGACTATGTGCCTCTCATGGACCCAAGGAGCAACCAACTGCAACAGCTCGAGATCGGCAGCACCACCTCAACACAAGGACAGAGCCCTGGACGAGAAGAGGTCATAGCAAGAGACAGTCCAGCGCCTAAGCATAGACTATGCGCCTCTCATGGACCCAAGGAGCCGATCTCGCTGAAGCGATATGGATCCCTGCTCTTCCCAGCGAGAAGTGGACTCGAGAAATGGATGAGGTCGTATGGAGGGAGTATTCGCACCACATCGTTCTGTAATCCTCATGAACCCACGAGACTGACGGAGAACATGTTCAAAATGCAGCACCACCATGCATGAACATGGGGAGGTCGAATGGAGAGACAGTCCAGCGCCTAAGCATAGACTATGCGCCTCTCATGGACCCACGGAGCAATCGAAAGCAGCAGCTCAAATCCAGCACCACCTCAGAACGGGACTGAGGAGAGGTCATGGCAAGAAGCAGGCCAGCGCCTAAGCATAGCCTATAGCTTCTCATGGACCCACGGAGGACCCTGCTCGCATCCATCCTCGAAAATCCGTACACAACGCCATGCTTGGCCTTCACAGACACAACCATTACCTTGTGAACAGGAATGTCTTGATATTGGAGTCGAATCGTGCGCAATGTAGTTGAAATTCGTCGTCGTGGTGTGGTTGCCAGTGTTGATGAATCCTGTGAAGCAACCTCGCGTTGTGAAAGCATTTTTGCCACTGAACGAGTTAACATTTGCGACTTGGATCTTTCGTGAGAGTAAATCTTAAACGCCACAATCCAGGGGTGAAAGACTCGCTTGCAAGCAAGATGCATCCATCGCGGCTATGCAGTGATCCTGCCGAGGCACATTGCGATTCTGGCGTGATTGCACTCGAACCACTCGCTCTTTTTGACCCAAGTACAAGTTGTCACAACCAAGGGATACCAACGGCGATCAGCGGGCATCAGTGAATCTGAGACCACTCACTCATTTTGGTGGCACTTTGATCACTTATATCATTTCTATCACTTCCATTAGATCTCTCAGTATGCCCAAGCGACCCTCGACACCAGCCGCAGACCAGGTAGGGTAGCTTTGCAGCAAGGATGATAGAAATATGTGTCTGTTTTGTCTTGTTTCCTTGACACTGACACTGACACTTTCTTCGTTCTCTACCTTGCATAATCTTCAGGCACGGCTCCCACAAAAGTCCCAGCGGACCAACGATGGCGGCGCCGACACTGACATCGGATCCCACGCCGAGGACTCTGGAAGCAACTCATCCGTGGAAGATATGAACACATTTTGGGGCGACATGGTAAGTCAACGCGCTTTACATCTAATGCCGCTGTTTCCTTTCCTCTGCGTCCCCTCTAACATTTTTCCCTTCTTTCCTCACCTTTAGAATGACCCGGACACGCTCCTGAAGACGAAGCTGGCGCTTGCGATCTTTAGCGATCGACCCCTGAAGCACGAGACCTACGCTGTGGAGTACCTTGCGAGTATGAGGCCGTTATCTGCACCAACACCCAAGGCCGACGAGTACCTGACGTACCTGCAGGCAGTCTATCCAGCAGCTCCAGTGAAGGGCATGGCCAGGGCGTGGAGCAAGATGAAGCAGTACTTTGGCGACACCAAGAAGGCAGACCACTCGGCGATTGAGAATCTGATCGATGTCACATCACTCATCGCAGCCTTCAAGGAGGCCCCCGAGATTGCCACATCTGATTCGACCACGTCTACGGCGACGGCGATGCCACCACCTCCATCACCACTGATGGCGATGCCCAAGGCGGCGACATCCTCTTCGCGATCTTCAATGGCATCAAGTTGGTCGCGTTTTAACAATGTCAGCAACAGCAGCAGCAATGGCAGTGGCAGCGGAAGCGGAAGCAGCAGCAATGGCAGTGGCGGAGGATGCGGAAGCAGCAGCGGCAATCCAACACCAGGCCAGATCCTGACCATGAAGAGCCTATTCAAGGAGAATTTCAACAAGTTTCGCGGTGGCGCCTGGTCGTTGCCCTCAGGTGCTGTTCTGGACGAGCGTCTCCGTGGTGTTATCGAGTGCCTGCCCTATGAGAGCGCGCTCCATAGTTTCGTTATCGAGGATGTCGACGCGCTGCTCCAGCTGTTCGAGGACACGACGGACCAGAAGGAGATCGAGCGCATCATGGTCACGCGCAAGGACGAGGGACTGCCTGTGCTTTCGCCCGCCGAGCACAACTTCCTCCAGCAATACGACATGCTACCGGTTGACCTGGACGAGTTTCTCGCTACCCATGGATGGCGCAATGTTGGCGACGCTCTCCAGAACAAACCGTCGGAGGAGTTCCAGAAAGTTGCGCACGACAGCATCACCCATGTGCTCCGCATGTACCAGGAGAGTGACCTCGCCTTCCCCAAGGGCCCCGCGGAGGCCTGGTTCAACATCCACCTGTGGGGTTATCTCCGCCTTGCGCTCTCCCGTAGCCGCTCTTTGGAATACAGGCCTGGAGAAGTCTCCTCGGATGCCTCAGCCAACCGACGCAACAAGCGACGCACTCGGGACGGTCGGCAGTACGCCGGCCATAAAGTTGACGGGCTGGTTGTGGTGTCGGCGCGGTCACTCGAGATCTGTCACATGGAGGCCGCCAAGAAGGACGGAGGAGCCAACACCACGAAGTGCCTGGATGACACCAAAAAGTTGCTCAAGCTAATGAAGGACGCACATGACATGATCCGCGAGAAGGCGACCCAAGATATTCGTGATCGGCTCGTCACTTTCGGGCTGCGCATCTCGGGACCCACGGCCACGATCTTCACGCTGCGCCAGCGCCCCGGTCGGTTTTACCAGGCAGTTGCGGAAGCGACCATGTCATTTCCGTCTATTTGGCCGGACGGCGACACGGGCACGATCATTGCCGTCATCTCCCGGATCCTCATGCTCCGGAAGGCCATCCTAGCCATGGCGGCATCCGTCGCCACTTGGACCTCGTTGGCCATCGACGGCCAGAACCCTGGCGGCCATGGCGACTGGATCGCGCCCACAATGACATCCCCCCAGCTTCTGCCCACTACACCCATCATCCCCACTGAGGACATTCCTCCATTGAACCTGTAACGGTGCTTCCCCCTCCCCCCTCATCTTTGTAACTTATTGTCTATTGTATTAATACCAGTGTTGTAAAACACCCTGTATTTTCTATCCCTCTTGCTGGTCAAGGGTCTCCTCCTCCTCCTCCTCTGCTACCCCATCGATCTGTCACAGAATAAAGATCTCTTTGCCCCGCTTGTGCCGCCGTAACATTGAGGCGAAAGCACCATACAAAAATAATTTGCTCCGCAATCTTTGTTTATTTCCAAAAAAAAAAAAAAAAAAGTTTCCACCTTGCTTATCCATTCTTTCTTTTCTTTTTTTTCAAGTCGATCCAGCCACCACAAACTCGCTCGCCTGGGTCGCCAACTGCTGGAACAACGACTCGTCCCGGCGCAACAGTCCCCTCGGCGCCGCAAACTCGACGACTTCTCCTTTATCACGCACCAGAATCTTGTCGCTGCCCATGACCGTCCATGGCCGTCTTGATACGATGCGCAATCGTCAAAATGGTCCGGTCCTTAAACTCGCCCCGAATCGTCTGCTGGGCCAGCTCGTCCGTTTGCACGTCCACCGAGCTCATTGCCTCGTCCATCACGAGGGTCTGGGACTTGCGCAAGAAATCCGTTCCGGAGAGTGCTGTTGCTCACATATACTGCTGCAGGCAGGATAAACAAAGAAAGTATTGCTGAAACCCCCCCCCCCAATCGTCTACACTGCACGTCTTTCTGATGCTATATATCATCTGTGTTGAGTAAGGGGTTTCCCTACGAACCCCAGACCTGAAGTCGTATGCTCTGTACGCCGGTCTTTGCATCTTGATCATATCGGCTGCACCCTTTTCGTTTTAGCGTGCTCAACCCTGGAACGATGGTGACAACGATGTTGGTTGCTGTGATGGATGACGATGGCAGTGTGCTATCTTAGACGACATGTACCGGTAATGCCAGCCAGGATAGGAGAAGAGAAAAAAAAGAAAAAAGAAAAAAAGAAAAAAAAAAGAAAGTAGAAAGGAGAACAAAGGCAGGTCGGGGGAAGAGCGAAAAGAAGGAGAGAAAGGGGGAGGGGCGATGCTGTTCAATTGGCCAATAGGAGCCGACCAAAATCTCAAAAATTCTTTGTCTCGCGTTCCCGTCCTTGGTCCGTGCCATTGTCACACAAGGCGCGCGAAGGCAGACTGAATGTCGTGAGGATCCCCCATCCTGCCTGCCGCCGGTTTTGCGATCGAGCGTTAGAGAAGAACATTGCGGTGTTGGAAGAGAAAGGAATAGAGTAGAATTGTTTTTTCAGTTGAGATATTTCTTTGCTTTATTACATGCTACGCAATTCTGGAGCGAGATCCAGCAACAGCTGCCCTTCAGAGTTGGACTGCTGACTCTTTTTTTGTCTGCTTCTTGTATTATTTCCTCGGTGGTGGTGAGTAGTATTATGTTTGAAGTAGATATGGCCGACGCCTGTTTATGCACGGGTCACCATCGAGTCCTGCAGCAGGTCCATCATCTTTTGCAGCTGCTCGTTCTCGCCCTTGAGGGTCTCATTCGAGGACTATTGTGATACAAGAAAGCACAGCAACATGTTAGTCCACATTGTGCCTGATAGTTGTATATACCACATATCATCATATCATGAGCAACCTTGGTGCAGTTGCACTTCATACCTTGATATCATGCAACTCCTTCTGGATCTTCACCAACTCCTCTGCAATGGCCTTGCTGTCCTGAGCTTCCGCAGCGCCGGCCTCCAATACCTTAACCTTCTCCTCCAGGCCTGAGATCTGCTGCTTGTACTCATTCTCCTTGTTCTCGACCTCCATCTGGTGGTGCGTCTTCAGTCCATTGAGCTCCTCTTGGTGAGAGGTCAACACTCGCTGGAGACGTGCCTCATGATCCTGGCCGTGCTGCTCGTGCATCTTGGTCATGTTGTCCATGTTCGCCCTCGTCAGCGTCTGGAGGTCCTCAAGCTGAATCTTGTGGGTTGACTCCAAATTCTCCAACGCATTGGAATGCTCCTGTTTCAGCTGAGTCTCCTTGGATTCGACCGCTGCCAGGGCCTCATCACGCTCCTTCTGAGCAGCCGCAAAACTGGCACGGAGAATCTCCTGCTCCTTCACGAGCTCCTGCTGCTTGGTGGACAGCTCCTCCTCCTTCTTTGCCAGAGCCTCATTCAGCTTCCTTTCGTGGTCCGCGCGCAAGGCCTCCAGTTCCTGGGCGTGTGCGGCAGAGTGAGACTGAGAGAGGGCATATAGCACCATCGGTGGAAATATTAGTCAGTATGTGCCGCCTCTTCTGTTTTCTCTGCATCATCGACCTGACAATGAGAACGCAGTTATTCCTCTTACCTCAGTGTTGCTGCGGTTCTCGGTCTCATGCTTCGCAATCAATTCCTGTAGGGAGACCTTGGCGGCATCAACCTGCTCCTGAGCCGCGGCCTTGGCACCAGACAGCTCGCCTTCCAACTGGGTCTTGACTCTCTCCAGGTTCTCAAAGGCCTCCTTGGCAGCCTGCTCTGCCTTTGCCAGCTGCTGTTCAAGGTCCTTGATAGCTGAAGCGTGTAGCGATTTCAGATCCTCCAACTCTTTGGCACGAGCAGCATCCAGTTCCGCGCGGTCTGACTCGAATGTCTCCTTGACCTGATCCACTGCGCTCTGAACCTGCTCGTTGGCCTCGTTCTGCAACTCCTTGACTCTGCTCTCGTGCTCGGCACCCAGCTCTGCAATACGGGCCTCATAGTTATTCTCCAGCTTCTTGAGTTCTGCTTCCTGGGAACTATTGACATCAGCCACAAACTCGGCAAACTTGCCCTGAACTGCATCCAATTCAAGCTGCATCTTACCCTACAAACCAAAGGTTTAGATGTAGATGTAGATGTAGATGTAAATGTGTGAGCTCGTTTTCAGGTACTCGAATACAATACGCAAAAAAAAATAAGTCTATCAACATCAAATCATCCATTACGTACCTTGGTAATGAGCTCCAGCGTATTGAGCTCATTAGCATGCGTCGCCTTGAGCGCCTCAATCTCAGCGGCATGTGCGGCCTTTAAGGCCTCACTGTCAGACCCCACATTTGATTTCAACGAGGACACTTCAGTGGCATACTTCTCTTGAAGCGTCTTCAACTCAGACTCCAGCTCGGCCGTGCGAGCAGTGTGCTTTTCCTGAAGCTCCTTCAGCTCTGTCTGGTGAGTACCTCGGACGCTCTCGAGATATTCCTTGTGTTCAGCTTCCATTTTTTCTTTCAGTTCGGTCAGTGCAAGGGCATGCTTCTGTTGGAGCGCCTCAATCGCTCCGGATTCGGCGCCTGCACGGTCGTCGAGGGCTTCAGTGTGTGCAGCCAAGACATCATTCAGCTCCTTGGAATGGCGCTCACGCAGGTCGTTCTAATTTAACGAAAGGGAGGGATTGAGGGTACGTTAGCCATGGGGCACTCCATGCTCATGCAGCATCTCTGCTGTCATTATTCATAGCGGTCGGGGCAGTACCTCAGCTTGGTCCTTAGCTTCCTCAATTCTCTCCTCAAACAACTTCTTGAGCGCATCGAGCTCCTCTCCATGGTCCAACAGCAGCTGAGTGACCTCCTCCTGATGACTGAGCCGGAGCTCTTCCAGCTCCACATCCTCAGCTCCCGAGCGTTCCTGTCTAGCCGCTTGGAGCTCAATTTCCAGACTCTGAAGTTTGTCTTCATGGATCCTGTTGAGCTCTTCGAGCGTGGATGAGTGCAGGGCCTGAGATTCCTCAAGCTTACGGCGGAGTTCAGTAACCTCTTCGTACTTCTTGGTATAATCTGCGAGTTCCTGATGAAGCGACGTCAACTCTGCCTCCTGCACAGCGTTCTTCTCGGATTGGTTCTCAGTCAGCTCCTTGATCTTTTCTTCGTGCTCAACACGCAATTTCTACAACAATTCGGGTTGCGATGAACAAAAAGTATCGTTAGGAACATGAGTGGTTGCTGCTGCAACAGGGTTCAAACAGGACCCTAACGCCTGTAATTTGGGCTCAACAGCAGTGTTTGTTGTACACGGTACCTCGACAAGTCCGCTCAAGCTCTCGACCTCGCTCTTCAAAGCAGTGATCTCTTGCTCCTTGGCAGCGATCGCTTCCGAAACGACAGTCTGGCTCTATTTATGTGGGGGGGTGGGGCGCATAAAGATCCAAAGCGTACGGTGAGTCAATCAGGCCATTTGGTTTTCCTTGATTGAAGGTGGTTTTCTGTCCCCTGGAAATTTCGGCATATAATCCATTCACGTGGCGGGTCATTCGCATTCAGGGCATGCAGATGGACAGTGCGAACAATTGGGCCAGCCATGACAGAAGACAACGCACACAAAACAAACAGAGCGGGAGAGTGGAATGGCACTTTCCCGCTTTACAGTCCAAAAAAAAAAAAAAAAAAAATATGCGCACCTGTGCCTCGATCTTTGAGAAATCAATTTCGGGGACAACGGTCTCGCCTCCATCGCTCGAGACAGTGTCCGCAATCGCATCCGCATGTGAGCTCGAGCCGCTCTCCAATTGCCCTCGCAGAGCAACCAGTTCTTCCTCCTTGGCCTGTAATGCAGTCGATGCCTCCTCATACTAAAAATGGGACCAAGGGCAATTGATGGATGTTAGCGCCCTGGCGGGGACTTCAATAAAAGTCTATTTATCGTATAATTAATTGTCTTACCTTGGCGCGAATAACGGCAAGCTCCTTCTTCAGCTCCAGTGCCTCAGAGCCAGTGCTGCCCGTGGATCTGACAGAGCGAACACTTCCTGCAGAGGATGAGCCAGCAACGCTCGAGGGAGCCTTGGGGACCACACCGGTCCTGGATGTGGTCATGGTGGTCACAGGGGTGCGTCTGAGTGCTGAGGACGAGGTAGAGGTAGTGGGCTTGCCAGCTGTGCGTGGGGTGGTGGAAGTAGCAGTGGGTTTGCCAGCTGTGCGATTCGCAGTGATGGTAGATGTCCTGGCAGGGGCTGGGCTTACTATAGGTTTAGTAACGGCTGTGCGCGTGGCGACTCTGCCAGCAGCAGGGCTGGCGGCCGGTGCAGTTGGTACGCGACGAACTGTTGAGGTCGCTGGGGTTCCAGCTGTTGTGGTAGGGACCTTCTTCGTGCCGGACGTAGTGGTGCTTGGGGTCACGGTTCGCTTGATAGGGGAGGTCCCTGCTGCAGTCGTAGGGGTGCGAATAGAGGCTGCAGTCCTGGCTGTGGTGGATGTTGCCGCGGGCTTGACAGGTGTCCTGGGCGTAGCTGTAACCTTGGTTTTGTTAGCAGCGACAGCGGCAGCAGTGGCAGCACGACGAGCTGCGACAGAAGCGGCCCCTGCGGCGGTGGCAGTTTTTCCAGGGCTGGCGGGAGCCGTGGTGCTCTTAGCAGCAGCCTTGCTGGGACTGGCGGGTACCTCGGGTGTGGCCTCAGACGCAGCCTCAGATACGGTTTCGGGCGCAGCTTCAGGTACATCTTCAGGGGTGGGATGGCTGTCCTCTGGCGCGCTGTCTAGTTGGCTAGAGGAAGTGGAGTCAGGCACGGTGTCGGTGGTTGCCTGGGCGTCCGCTGCCACGGGGCTGACGGACTCAGGGAGGTCTGCCTCCTGGTGACCGCCCTCAGGGCTGGCTGGGGCGAATTCGGGAGCACTTTCGACATCGGCCATTGTGGTGTAGAGTGATTGGGTATGTGCTTATGAAGAGGGGGAGGTTGAAGGAGGGATGGATGGACAAGATGACAAGGTGTAACAAAGAAAAAAAAAAAACGGATGTAGTTCCTTTTTTATTTATTTTCTGGTGCCAACACAATACGCAAACAAACACGCAGCACTGGGGAAGAGTAGCTGAGTGGATGAGCCTGAGTGTGGAAGAGAGTGCTGATGAAAAGGGGATTAGGGATGAAGGGATGAAGGGATGAAGGGATGAAGGGATGAAGGGATGAAGGGATGAAGAGGGCAGAAGGTACGAAAGAATGAAAAGAAAAGAAAAGAAAAAAGAATGAGAGAACGAGAGAACGAGAGAGCGAAAGAAAGAGTGCGAGAGAAAAGGGAGGGAAGAGTGGATGGTGCTGCGTGCAGGCTGTCTACGAATGGGACATGGATGGATACACAAACACATAGATATCAAAGACTGTGTACAGTAATTGTGTTAGTGTGTTTGTGCCATAAGCAGCCTCCGCACATCCACAGGGTACACAGACAACCCTGCCAGCCCGTCCCTTCACATTCTTCGTGGGGATGGGGCGCATGCATGCAAGCCCATTCGTCTTATCCGTACGTAATTTTCTATTTTCTATTTTTTTTTTATATATATATATATCAGACAGGAACACGAATAAGACGATCCCACACACACACTAAAAAGAACTGGCGAAAACCAATGCCAGCTGCAGTCCAGTCGTCTGTCTCCTTTGCAAAAACCAATGACATCTCGTTTTATTTGCTGGAATAACATCAAAAAAGCACGTAGAACACATTCCATCCTGGTCAATCCTTATACATACCCACAAACAAATCAGAACCATAAACACAACCCTAATTGCGGTGTGGGTGAAGTGAAGGAATGGGGGGAAAGAGGGGCAAGTGGGAAAAGAAAAAAAACTTAAACGTCTGCAAGGCTCTCCTTGTTGAGAAGCACCTCAATCCCATTGCGGGAAAACAACACAATGTCCCCCGTTTGCTCGGGCTTGAATCCAGGTGACGCCCGGATCTCATAACGCTGCAACAGACGTGTCAGCGTCACTTGTGCGGTCGTGTATGCCAGATTCTGTCCAAGACAGATACGAGGTCCCGCATGAAACGGCACAAACATGAACGGCTTGATCATTCCCACGCGCTCAGGGCCCCAGCGGTCAGGATCGAACACGAGAGCGTCCTCTCCCCAGAGCTCTGGCAGCCGGTGGGTTGTGTATGCACTGTAGGACACTGCCGTGCCCGCTGGGATGTAGTATCCATTGGGCAACACATCCTCCTCAACACTCTGTCTACATTACAAGAGATGAAAACGGTGAATCAACTTGGCCCATATGGTTGTCACAGTCCTGGTATTCTGCTGACTGCAAACACCCATGTCTACCTTATATTGAAAGGAACGGGAGGACAGAGTCGAAGCACCTCATTCACCACTTGCTTTTGGTACCTGAACCGTAAAACATAGACAGATATTAGATGGGTATCGAATACATCGACAATAATGTTGCACAGCTGATCAATCTCCTGGACTCACTTCAGCTTCTTGATATCGTTGTACTCTGGGATTGCATTGGGACCAATAACCTCCAAGACCTCCTTCTTTAGCTTGGCAACAATATCAGGACGCTGGCTAAGGTGCCACATCGTCCATGACAACAGTGAAGCGGTCTATTCAAGAAATAAGGCGGAAAAGAGCGCGAATCAGAGGACTACATCCCTTTTTTTTTTTTTTTTTTTTTTTTTCTACAGTGCCGCGTTCACACGAGGCAGTAAGGTTGAAGTGTACTCGCTTACCGTATCTCGACCAGCGAGAAGAAAGTTCAACAACATGTCGCGAAGATACTTCCTGTCAAAGCTGTACTCTTCCTGGGAATTCAAAAAGTGATCGAGAAGGGTAGCGTGCTCGTCCCCTTCGCCCTTGCCTTGGCCTTGCTTTTCCAGTCGCGCCAGGGCACTGTCGATAATCTTGTACACAAAATCATCCAGTTTCTTGATTTCCTTCATAAAACGCCTCTTGGGCACAAGGTATCTCCACAGTGGCAATCGGAAGCGCCAGGCTACGATCGATTGTGCATAATTGAAGGCCGTAGCAAACTCAGAATCGTTGTCCTCCAGTGCGTGGACAGTCTCGCCAAACAAGAACTCTGTTGCCTCGTCTAATGTGAACCGACAGAAGAGACTCTGCATTCATGCAAATGAGAACTCTGTGAGAAAAACGCGTGATAAACAAAACGTGGCAAAGTTTAAATTGTAATATTTACCTGGACATCAAGAGCTTTGTCTGGGTTGGCGTCGAGCTGGTTATCGATTGCCTTGATAAGCTGGTCGACATGTCTGTTAATAAGAGTGGCATCCTTGAACTCTGATGTCTGAAAATGAGGTCTGTCGGTCGCAAGTGTTATGTACCAGGTTAATAACCGGACATAGAGCGCATATGTCCATGTGGACCTAAGCATAGTAATTGCCTACCTCGCGAGCTGCCTTTGTGTCTTCCATGTCTCGCCATCGGCATTAAAAATGCCAGACCCTAAGAACTCATGGAACATGGCCTGAAACTCGGGGCCTGATACATCCGAATGATAAGACGATGTTTGTTAAAACACATGGATACAATAAGACAGGGTATGAAGACTGATATCGATGTTGTCTGTACCTTTCTCATAGTTGGGTTGATTTTTGGCCAAGATATGCTGGATGCTCGACGGATCTAGGACAATGATAAAGTCTTCGTTGAATCCTCGGAAATTCACCGTATTTCCGAACTGCTGGAGGCCTATTCGCAGGAACTCCATCTCGTCCCGACCAGCCAATGTCGATAGGACGTAGATGAGTATAGAATCCAATTGCAGGGGCAAATAGCTCGGTGGGATGGGGATAGGAACGGACTTTGCCTCGAGCTCCGTCTTTGGTTTCTTGGGCCTGAGGACATAGGCGAGGGCAGCAGCCGCAATAGTTGTGCCGAGCAACAAATTGGGGTGCATAATGAGAAAGAGGGAGATAGGCGGGCGACAGGAACTTGACTCGAGCACGTGTGTGTTTGTGGAGCAAGGTCTAAGCAAAGTTTTCCGGCAACTGCTGTGGACAATGGGGATGAGAGGGAGGGCCGGCTGGAGGAATGATCGCGCGAATGAGTGTTTGAGTGTTTGGTCCAGTGGCGGTGGGATGATGGAAGTAATGAGAGCGAGGGTATGAATTGTCTGAGGGAAGGGGGTCCCTCCTCTTTTTTATATGCGCGTCCGTTGGTGACAAGAGCTGCTGAAGAAGCATCCATGCATGAGCCATGTTGATTTCCCGATTGACCTGCCGCGTACTTTGGGCACGGTGCAGCCCAGCCGATGTGGAAAAACACACAAGCAAAGCCCCCTCGGCTCGCTCTTCGATGGAGCAGGTCGTTGTGTTGTCGTTGAGCCTCAAATGCAGCCAACTGCTGCACACATGCTCGTATGAGCGGCGTCCAAGCAGAACACACGCTTCTTTGTGGTCAATTGATAGACGGCCAAGTAAACTCTAGATAGAACTATCGAAATTGGAGGCGAGCAAATCGCAAATGCATGAGAATAAAGGTGGAAGAAACACGACAGAGATCGACGACATATTCAGTAAGGATACCAAAAGCCGATACATCGGTCGATCCCATAATTGAGCAGCGATCAACAACAAAAAAAAAATATAAAAAGGGCCCTTGTTTGTCAAGGCACAGCGGTCCAGAGACGTCCGAGCCGCGCGAGCCAACAGAAAGAGCGTGCGTAGGGGTTGACCCGATAGTTTTTGAGTGAGCACAGAGGGGCTCATCATCCGGTGTACGCGCCCAATTTTAACCTGCATGCATGCAGGCTGACATGATGAACACCCATCAACGATCTATACCGTTTCTCGGTATTCCCGACCTTCACCTCCTGGAGCTTTCATTCAATAAAGGGGCGTGTGTACCCTGGAGCAGTGCTGGGGCCTGTTTGATAATGGACTTGGACAAAAGCCATTTGATTGGTCTGCGTAATGAAGCAATGTTTATTCATACAGGCACATTAAATGAAAGAGAAAAAGGACTAATTTACGCAAATACAGCTCCGCCGAGGGCAACCAGCGCCAGCAGCGAAGCGATCTTGACCTGGATGCGCGTGCCACTGCTGATTGGCCCCTTGGACTCGGGTTTGCTTTCGTTGGGTAAAGTCGTGCTGGAAGGGCCAGGTATGGGATCCTTCGTGCTCATGTTTGTGGGTAGGTTCTGCACGAATCCTTTGTCTAAGGTGTCGCGAATTGATCTTGTCAACTCGTGATTCTTTGTGTCGCTATCCATGGACCAGATACTGACACCGCCAAAACCATAGTCCTTCAGGTAATTGACCTTGTACGCAAAGGTCTCAGGAGTGTCATAGCCAATCCACTGGTCGTTATCGACGACCATGTACATACACTTGCTAACGTCGTCCATCTTGGGGGCCTGGGTAACCTGACGCTGTGTTGCATTCGTGTCGGCAATACTAGTGCCACTGACAATTGTCTTGGCCTCAAAGTACGACATGGCGCCTTGTTCTTGGCATCCTTCCTTGCCAGGTCCCACGGCAGGTGCTCCAGGCTCAGTGAGCGTCGTATCTTTGAGGGTGAAGCTGACCCCCGAGAGCGAGAGTCCGAGGTTGAACTTGCGGGGGTTGACAGTCTTGGGGGCCATGGAGGTGACGGCATCGACGAGAGAGTATCCATTGTATTCTGTGTCCTTGGCAGGATCGCTCAAGGGCGCAGCGCAATAGACCATGGACTCCCAAGGACTGAAAACAGTAGAGAGAGAGAGAGAGAGAGAGACACCAGAGATTAGTCAGAAGAAGGACGAATTCGCAGACGATATGACAACTGAAAGTAAACGGTGATAGCTGGTCCTAGTTTCTTACCCATGAAGGTTATACGCCATGATGTTGAACCAATCAGCTATCAAAGTTCGCCGGGGACAAGGCGTGTTAGAATGAGGAAATCATGAACGTGTCAAGCGATAGTACAGAATACCATACCATATTCAGCAAGTTTTGGAACGTGGAAGTAGTCGCCGTGGAAGGGTCCTCCAGGCAGAGCAATGCTCAGAATCAGTCGCTCCTGCTTATCCTTAAGTACCTCCGCATTTGCAGCTGCCCTCATCTCCATCATGAAAGTAACAAAGTTCTCAGGATCAGCATCGCGGCCTCCACGCTTCGGATCAGCAGGGCTATATGTCGATACAAGAAATGTCCGATTAACGCTCATGGAGATGTAGAGACAGAGCAGGAGTCCGTTGGTCAATCTATCTACACTTACTATTCCCAGTCAAAATCAAGGCCATCAAATCCATGCTCGCGGACAAAGGCGATGGCCGAGTTGATGAACTTTTGGCGGTTCTCGGCTGACGAGACCATAGCTGAATAATGCTCCATCTTCATATCCCAGCCGCCAATGGTGATGGCAGTGCGTAAGGATGGCTTCTTGGCCTTGAGGTCGTTCATCTCCTTATAAAGGGGCAGGTCATCCTCGTGTTGGGACACAATCAAACCCGCATCATTAATCAGTGCGAATCCAAAGTTCAAATGGGTGTATAGGTCGACCGGGAGATCGGTAGGCGCGAACGGAGTTTTGTCAGCGCATTCTGTAACGGTCTGCATGGTGTGTAGGATATTCATGGTTATTATCTCGTCTCGTCCCATAAATTTTCAGCAGCGCCATCCATCAACTTCTTGGACCAAAATCAGCTTAGCATGCCAAAAAGCAACATTGAGTATAGTATATTTACCTTGGAATAGTATCCAACGACGCGTTGGGCGTTCACCAGCGCGGGCAGAACTAATGCCAAAGCAGCCACGATTCGTGTCAAATACATGGCGGGATGAGGAGATTAAGTCGAGAGAGTGAGCTGAGAGGGGTAAGTTGAGTGGCGAGGTAGGTGTGGGAGAGAGCAGGATAGACGTTGTAGGGGGGATGGCTGCAAGTGAGTAGGGACTTGAGAAGAGAGACGAAGAACCGAAAAAAAGAAAAAAAAAAGAGCGACGTGGGCCATGCGGATTATATCTTAGTCGCGTCGCGTATTGTCCTTCCTCTGCAAGACCTACAAAACCAGAACGAATAGCAATAAGCGACAATCCCGGTCTGACCTAGATAAGAGAGAGAGACCCCCACCGTTAACTGATATGCCTAATGCATATAAGCGAATATTCCTCCGGGGAACATCTGGCAGGATTTCTGGACTGTTGAGACACAGTTTGGATTGGAATGCTTTTAGTGCTTGGGCCGAGTAGCGGGACCGCAGATCGAAACAGATCGGGTATCATCCTGCTCTATCTATCTCTTTTTCTCTTTCGTTCTCTCTCTACTCCATAGCAAAAGAGACAGAGAGAAAGAGAGAAAGAGAGCGGTTGCCAGGCAAATGGGTCATGGGGAGAACTGACGGTAGACGTCCGCGATCTATAGACTGGTATCCGGATATGCGCTGTTGGAGATGAAGACACGCCAGCACGTGCACAGCAAGCACGCGTGCTTGTCAGGCACGCCATATTCCATATTCCTGGGGGAGGAGGGGGCGTGGGGGCGTGGGGGCGAGGGGAGGGCAGGGTTCGTGCCTGGCTGCTGCCTGGCGAATCAGATGCGGCCATATTCTTTCATGCAGTCCACACATTCATGACAATCATCATGACGATAGTGCGGTCTCTGCTAGATTTTGTTCCTTGAATACGACTGGCCGACGGCAATTCGACCGCAGTGCTCGGCCGCGTTTTGCTCACCCCCTTACTACTCATTCCCCCCACCACATACCGCCTCTTCTCACCCCTCACCCACCTCTCCTTCTCTTTCTCTCTCTTTCTCCCCTCCTCATTCGCATTCACATTCGCCTCCCACTCCTCATTCATTCCTCATTTTGCATTCCCAGTCCACGCTCACCAGTGATCGCCCCCCGAGTATGCAGTACCATTCCCAGGCCAGTGTGCGAAAGCGTCTCGACTACTACTACCGTGCCGTCAATGCCGTTATCCTGAATCGCCAGAACCCCACCACGGGTCTGATCCCTGCTTCAGTGGCCGTCACCACCCATGGAGACTACCGTGATGCCTGGGTCCGGTAAAGATTATGGGCCTAATTGGACATTTGGCATGAATTGCAAGTGCAGAGTGTGTGCGATCAATGCGGAGATGCTAACTGTTATGCTAAATGTTTGTGTGTTATCAATGATGTTGCCGATAGTGATAATGTGTACTCGATTATGGCTGTCTTTGGGCTGTCTCTAGCCTATCGCCGAATTGACGATGATGAGGGTCGCGCTTGTAAGTCTTGAGCAGGGACGAATACTCTATGAAGTTTGGTCTTGGGTCGTTGGGAACCGTTTAAGAGCAGACACACGTTGGTACTTCAGCGCACCGCGTCACCGCCTGCAGATCAGCCGTGCGAATCTGTCCTGGGCTCTTATCTATAATACTTGGCCCGTGTTCTTTTCATTGTGGGCAGAAAGAAGGTTCATGGATGTGGTTGCCCTTGTCCATTTTATCGCTCAATTGAGGTTGCGCAACCTCGGCTCCCTATTTTCTTGTATCTTCTTTTGTGCATTGCTGTAATGGTAAAAAAAAAAAAAAAAGGTTAAAGGATTCTCTAAAGAGCAAGGACAGTGGACAGCGAGAGAGAAGGGAGGAACAAGTCGCACAGGTGCAGAACGCCCCTGAGAAGCTCCTTCTACGCGTAAAGAGAGAGGGGGTTTCTGTCTGCTGTCGTCATTGCCTGGCCCACCGTGCCTTTCCTCCGACTTGCTGTGTCCTCCAGCTGTGGGAAAAAGAAGAAAAGGGCTTCCCCTATATGCCCCGTGAAAGAAAGAAGGAACTGATTTTCCTAACAAACAAAGCACATCCCTACAATTGTGATAGATGAACTCGAACACGCTGTCGTCAAGTTGATGCGTGGCCTGCTCTTCTGCATGATGCGACAGGCGCCCAAGATCGAGCAGTTCAAGAAGACCCAGGGGTTGAATGACTGTCTGCATGCAAAATACAACACCGCGACCGGTGACACGGTCGTCGGTGATTCCGAGTGGGGTCATCTGCAGATCGATGCCACGTCGATCTTCTTGCTGGCACTGGCACAGATGACAGCCTCGGGGATACTGATCATCTATACCACCGACGAGGTTGACTTTATTCAGAACCTGGTCTTCTACATCGAGCGCGCGTATCGTACCCCCGATTATGGTATCTGGGAGCGTGGCAACAAGATCAATCACGGCGAACCGGAGCTGAACTCATCCTCCATCGGTATGGCTGTTGCTGCGCTGCAGGCCATTAATGGCATCAATCTCTTTGGATCGCGCGGTGGCCCTAGCTCTGTAAGTTCATTTTAAAGAATATGCCTGGATTTCACCAGTAGGACTTTGTGTCATTGACACACCATGCTGGAAAATTTAATTCCTGTAGGTCATTCACGTCCTACCTGATGAGATCACTCGCAATTATACAACCTTGCATTCGGCCCTGCCCAGAGAATCCAACTCGAAAGAGATTGATGCCGCATTGCTGTCCGTCATTGGGTTCCCTGCATTCGCCATTGGCGATGCCAAGCTGGTGAAGCGCACACGGGACGAGATTATCGAAAAACTTGGCGGCAAATACGGTTGCAAACGCTTCCTGCGCGACGGACATCAGACTGTCCTCGAGAGTATGTGCCTTCCTCCAGAATGAACGGAAGCATATGAGAACAGCTATATCAGTTTCTGCAGCACTAATGTACTGATTACCATACGGTTATTTTTGCCACAATAGACACTACTCGCCTTCACTATGACGCGCAGGAGCTCAAGGTCTTTGAGGGTATCGAGTGCGAGTGGCCACTTTTCTTCACATATTTCATTCTCGATGGTCTCTTCAGCGAGAACGAGGAGCAGGTCGAGGAGTACCGCGCCAAACTGGAGCCCTTGATCATCGATTCTGCCACGCTGCTCGACTTTGGCCAATTCATCTCTGACTCCATCTCCGAGAGTGATGGCGGTCGCACCCCCAAGACCCCTACGTCTCCTGGATTTGCCACACCAGCGAGCAATAATGAGGGCAAGCTGCCTGAACATATTCCGCTCATTCCAGAGCTGTACTACGTGCCAAGCCATCTAGTCGATGCCGAAAAGCAGAATAACCACTCACAAGCGCGTATCGCCAACGACAACCTTCCTCTTGTCTGGGCGAACTCGCTTCACACCCTCGGAAATCTAATTTATGAGAATCTGCTTAGCGTTGCCGAGATCGATCCCCTCGGAAGGCGCTTCAACGCTCGCAAGACTCAGTCGAGCGATACGGTTGTTCAGATCGTGCTGCTAGCAGAGGACACTAACTTACAGAGTATGCTGAGCATGTACGGACTGGAGACGCAGACCATGGAGCAGGTCCACCCTATCACTGTCAGCCATCCACAGGGTCTGAAGGAGGTGTACGCAGCCTTGGGTAGGAATGCCAAGTTAGGACTATCAGGACGGCCTAAACGACCTGTTGGATCTCTCGGAACATCGCGCTTGTATCGTGTGCAGGGCCACCTATACGCGTTCACACCCCACTTTATGGACAATGAGGAGTTTTATCTGACCAGCGACAACGACTACCTGATCTCGATCTTTGAGCAGGAACTGGCGTTCGTTCGTCAGTACTGGGAATACCCTGGGAGGCCCACCATGGTCGTCCTTTTGACCCATGCCATGCTGGGTGGATTGACAAAGTCACGGACGTTCACTTCACAGACGGATGTCGATTCCCAACGCCTGACTACCTGGAGAAAGTCCACCCTTGGATCCAATCCTCACAAGGACAACAAGCGCAACCTCCTCAACTTTTTTATGACCCTGCGTAGTGGTGTCTGCAATAACGTTCGTGTCCGTCTGGGAAGACTGAGCGAGATGATCAACACGTCGTGCATCGAGTCGCTTGACTTCTTGGTCACTAAGAAGGATATCGACTGGCTGGGCATCTTGCGTGGCGCTGCAGATCGTCGCAAGGGTCGTACTGCCAGGAAGCTGGGTCTCAACGAGAAACAGACCCAAGCAACCACGCCGGGTGCGACTGGGAGCAGGACTCCTGGAAATCATCGCTGGTCCATGCGCAGACATTCTTCCTCTGCTGGCCTGCCGTTCGCTTCACTGGTCACCCCTGCAGTCAATACAGAACTCGAAGGAGACAGCTATTTCGGATCTCAGGGTCGTAGTTCTACGGATGGTGTTTCTCCGTCTCCTCACGCAGCCGCTGGTGAACCATCAGAGCCCTACACCCAGAAGCGATACAGGAAGGGTCAAGCCAAGGCATTCAAACTCAAGGATCACGAGGAACCACGAGTCATTCGCAAGGGAAGCAGCACCGGACTCAATGCTGGAATCCTCACTCCTGACCTCGTCAACCTCGAAATCTCAGAGGCCCCCACCGGCGAGAACACGTCGGATAGCGCAGCTTTTGCTGCTGGCGAAGACGAAGATTCGGATGAGGGTTCGCCAGATGGAAACATGGACAGCTTGGGCTTAACCCTCGGTGATCCATCCAACATGGAGGCGGCCCAAAACATGCTTTCAATCTCTGTCAATCTTTATGACCAAGTTGGTACGCTATTGTTTAATGCAGCTCATGACAAAAAGAGCAGCCACCATCTCAGTTATTAACCATGCACTACTTTGTCATATAGATTTGCTACAGTACTTACTTTCTTGTCAAGGACCGGATTATTTTGTCAACAATCTGGATGCCACCGTTCAAACACTTTTGGAGGAGGTCTACTTTAAGTCGCTCCAGCTCAAGCTGTGGTCGATCGTTCGCCAAGCTGCTGGCCTATTGAACAAGGTCGTCAATTCGCTTACAATCAACATCACGGATCTGGTCATTCGTCAGAAGCAAGTGACTATTGGATCGGGTCCCACGGAGCACTTTATCACCAGTCCTCTGGGTCCTGATGTCTTGAGTAGGATGATCTATGACGGTAACTTTGACGATGTCCGCGAAGGACCTGTGGTACAGGAGGTCTTGATCTATCTGGGATCGTTCATCAGAGCTGACCCGGAGATGTTTGAGGGTATCATGCGGCTTCGGACACATTTCCTGATCATTGCTCTTCGCGAGGAGATCTCACGTCTTAACAGCTGCGATGAGACTGAGGCCGTCGAGCACCTGATGCAACTTTCTCCCTTTGAAGTCAAGTCACTGCTGGGAACCGTCCTGTCGGGACCCACGCTGAGCTCCAACGCCACCAACACGCTCCTCCGTAACCAGTCCGTCAGCGCCGCCAGCCCAGCAGCTGAAGCCGGGGACAGCAACTTGTCGACAAACATCGCATCATCCACTTCATCTGTGCCCCTGGGTGCAGTGCCAATCCCCAACATGGGCAAGAGCTTGACAACGTTGTCGATCAAGGTCCAGTCCGGTGGTTATCACTCTGGCAGCTTCTCCAAGATCCTGATCAACGAAAGTACCATGTCTGTGTCCTCGCGCGGCATCAACATGGTGGTCATTGATCCCCTACAGAGCGTCCTTATCGAGTCGGTCTCGTTCGATACCCACATCTCTGAGGATGAGAGCGACGACCTTGCGCGACTTGTAGACTGGCTGCAGCCAGGTATGATTGTCATCTGTAGTTGCAAGGATGACTGCTACGAGCATCTGACTAGTGCCGCCCGTTTGGCGCTGAAGCAGCTGGGCAGTGGACTCACAGCCAGCCTACGGTACCGCGACTCTTGGTGTATGATTGGAGAAAAGGGTAAGCAAGAGAGGCTTGTGTCCATTAATTGATCATGGTATAGCTAGCATGCCTATTTTTTTTTTCTCCCACATTAATCGTAATGGGTGCATGCTTGTTCTTCCTACAGGTACCGAACCCGGCACTGCGTTGGAGGCACACAAGGCCTTTATGGACGGACCGACCGCAGTTCTGGAAAAGACCATCGATTTGAATCAGTACAAGGCCAAGGCCGATGTCCAGGAATCCTTCCCATCGCGGTCGGCCATCGCTGCCTTTGTCCCCAATTCTTCTGGTCGCTGGCTACGTCGCCGCAAGAACGACGGCGCCTTGAACCGTGTCCCGGACAAGTTCTACCCGCGGGTCTGGCGCATCCTATCGCGTTCTGCAGGCTTCAGGGTCGGCTCGCACGTTCTGCCGCGTGATCCTATCATCTCAGAAAAGACGCCGGAAGAGTTCAACTTTGCATTGGCGGTAGAGAACTTTTTAGGCGTGATCCTGGACCCTGCAGAGCGTCAGATTGCAGTCGAGACACTGATGGTGATTGCCAAGATCGAGGATCGCAACCCTGGTATGGAGGTACTACCTGAGGTGATTGATCTGCCGATGATCATGCGCGAGGCTATGAGCAAGTTCTGGAACAAGTGGGTTGTGAATGGACCAGGTGGACGTGGACAGAGCGTCCCTGGAGGCGCGCCTGGGTCAAACATCGCGGGGGGTGCATCACTGGGCAAACCCGGTCTGGAGCAAGTTGAGTTCGAGCACCACGAGGGTCTTGCGCGAGGCATGTTCTACGATCTGCCACAGGAGGGCAAGGAAGGCACGTTTGCATACCTTGCACGGGCGGCATTGAAGCTGCTTCCATATTCTATTGACCTGGAATAGTTTAGCAATTACATATCTGTACACCTATTCCATATCTTTTTTGATACAAACATAAAACCATGTAGAAAAGCCATGTGGAGGAGGCACATTCCTGCTGTGGATACAGAAACAAGGCAGGATTTCCATCCCCTCTGCCGCTTTTAATGGCATCCCGTCGCATGCGCGCACCCAAAAGGGGTTGCATCTTGTCGTAGGACTCAGGGGGCCTTTGGATCAACTTGGATGCTGTTTTTGTGGGTACGAATGAGAGGGAGGGGAAGGTGGAGGGACGAGCCGCATCCGCTTTCGCTGTCGGCATGAACCACGACTACGACCACGACCAGGACCCTGCCTTCCCCCTCTCCCTTCTCTCCCTAGTCTATTGTACACCACACCAACCCCCTGTTACGTCTTAGTCCCTTTTATGTAGTCCATGTACATGTATGTGTATCTATCTGTATATGCACCTTCCCCAACCACTGCGACGAACGAACGCTCTCCCTTGTCTCCTGTTGCCTCCTCACCCTCTCCGCCACATCCATCATCATCCCTCCTTTGGTCCCGTACTGTTGGTGTGACCTTGTCTACAGCAGTCTACACGTTAGTCTTTGTTCACCCTCATTCTCATCAGTTGCATCTCGCCCACTCATTCGCATTCGACCTGGTCATTCACATTTTAAGCAGAAAGAAGAGACGCGTCAGTTAGTCTAGACACGCGCATACAGTAGAACAGACAGCGACGAATTCTGTTGGTTGTTGTACAAGCAACAGGGCGGCAGGGCATCGCCACCGGCGTCTTCTCCCCCCCTTTCTTGGCTTCGATTCGCCATCGATGCGGATCTTTTGCCCTCGTCTTCATTTTACTGTACACAACGCGCTCAGACGCTTCTTTTGAATGGTGGCGAACACGATCTTTCGCCACCATTCCTAAAAAAGAATACACTTTAACGTTTTGGTGGCAACCCTTTTGGACGTGCCCTCATTCCCGCCGCCTACTTCTCCGCCTCTTTCGTCCCTCTTTCTTCTTTCTTCTCTTCTCCCGCTCTCTCTCTCCCTCTCTCTTCCTTCCTTCTTTATATTCCGATCGCCTCTTCCTCTTCAATCTCACTCGCATCGCATTAACTCTTCACTCCACTGCACTTCACCTCACACGTTCCATCGCACTTTCCTGCCCTAGCCAACTGTCATTTCTGTACTTCCTTCTTACGTTTAACATGCTTGCACAGAACAAGGTCCAAGACAGCATCAGTGAAGAACATCTCTATACTTCCCCACCTCAGCATGCACCCCTGCCCCAGAGTTATGGCCAGCGCGAGTTCTCTTGGAAGCCATCCTCATTCGAGGCCTTTTCCAAGCGACATCGAATGCACGATCAACGCCAAGAGGACCAGCACATATACGAACATCATCAAATAAACCAACAGCAGCAGCAGCACCAGTATCACCATGTGAGGCAGAGCCATCAACAAGAGGACGCAGTCAGTTCCCGCGAGGCAAGACAGCCGAGGTTGTGCTTTAACAAGACACGATCGAAGACCATCCACCCAACCATTGCCAACATGGTTTCGTCCACGTCAATCCCATTTGGGAAGTCGCACTCGTCTCCTCTTCCTTCGCCCTATCCCTCATTTTCTCCAGCCCTGTCTCCCTCACCCTCGCCCTTGTTGAGGAATGTACCCATGTCTCCTGAACCGGAATCTGAAGATATCATGCATCGTCCACGGGCAGTATACCATACCCCTTCAGCGTGCAGCTTGTTGCCACCATCGCCCCCGCCACGACGAGATAGCGATGACATGGACATGGACCACGAATACGCATTTGAAGAGCTGTCGTCAGATTCAGTGATGGATCAGTGCGAGCCGCAGAGGGGTTGGTCCTCTTCTTCGTCCCTACAGACAAACTCCCCTTCGCCTCTCATGTCCTGCACACCCGATCAGCTCCATCCTGAGTATCCTCTACACCATCGGCACCATCCCTCTCGGCAGCAGGATCTGCCTCCACCACAGCAACAACCGCTGCGGGATCATCATGTGCCGTCCTCTCCTCCAAACTACATTGTCCAAGATCAATTGCGGCGACCGCAAGATAATCGTCGTGAATATCTCTACCATCCAGGCAGCCATCCCCATCACCGTCGCCACAGCGTACATGGCCGTTACGGGGACTATCATCGTCACCACCACCACCAACGCAGTAGTAGTAGATCGATGCAAGGAAAGTCGGATATGGCCCCAGGAGAACCAGCGATGTCGCCGATATGCAGGTCGAGTTCTCTCAAGGCGCACACAGCCCGAAATTTGAGGCCACGCCTCCTTTCTGTTCCCAACGGCACCGATGTTGGCACTCTGCAGCATCCTTCTGGCTCATTTGATTCCCCGCCTGTTGTCGCCGGATCAGCGTCAAATATTGTGCAACCAGTTGCTGTCAAGATACAAGGGTCACCGTCTAGACCTCAAACGCCACCATTTTTTCGCCCACTTCCGCCACTTCCGCAGCCGCAGCAAGAGCCGACGGATACAGAAAATTTTCGACGCGCACCTGCAGCATCTACTGTCGCACCATTGCTACCTAGGCCCAAGTATTTCGAGTACATGAGCGAGGCTCAAAGGGTGTTGTACGAGCGTCACCCGCCCTCGCCTGAATGTGATCGGACTTCCTCGTCATCGCCGTCGTCTTGCCCAGCATCGCCATCCGATATCTCTTGCGAGTCTTCTGTACCACCGTCGCCAGTTCAATTGAGAAGACATGCATCCTATGAGAAAGTTCTATTGGGGTCTCGTCTTCCACCCCCACGTTCTCATTCTGACACTGCCGCGACTTCTAGTTACGGCTATGACACCCGATCTTCAGAGCCAAGTCGATTGCATCAGCAGCAGGCACAACCTAGACATCAACTTCCCAGGATACCGACATTCGGTCAGATGTCGCACCAGCCGCTCAAAGAGCCAGAGACCCATATGAACTCCAAATCAAGGTCGCAATTGACATCGTCTCTGCCAATTCTCATACCACCTCACAGCGGAGGAGGGGTAGGTCGCTCAGAACATGTCCTTATTTCCACCGGAGTAACCCCACTGCAAAACTTGCCGGGCACGGAAGGTATGACGGTTGTCAGGAACGAGGACGGCGCGATCATGGTTTACAATCCGATAATGGACACGATGTCCTTTCGATGCGAGCGGTGCCCAGGCGAGTCATTCGGACGGATTCATGACCTGAAGAGACACCAGACTTCGAAGCACCAGGAGATGACCTGGCCGTGCGACTTTTGTCACCGTCCATTCGTGAGACGAGATGCGTTGCTGAGACACTATACCGTCAAAGCTGCTAGAGACGATGGACTCCATCCAGCGTCGCATGAGGTCGACAGGCTGCTGGCTGCCCGTGCCCGTGCCAAGATGCTGTTTTAATAGCTTTCGTGCTTTTTCTTCTTACTCCTCTTTTCTGCAGATCTTCCAAGACTACTTCCTTATCCTTAATAATCACAATTGGCATACAATACAATGAAATAATGGAGTCGATCGTGTTCAATTCTAACTGCAAGATTGAAAAAGGCGACCAAATCATATTATTTGTAAGAGAAATCTTCGAGGTCTTTCATGACTCGGTTTGTCAAGTGCTGGGCAATCGACAAAGAGTCCTGAGCCCTGCGACGCTGCCAAAAGACACCACACTCCAAACTCTCGCATGCAACCAAGTCGGTCTCGCTATTGGCCACACCGTTTTCGATGTCTCCCACACTGCTTCCTCCGTTGGGTGCAGAGCGACAGCATGAACTGCATACGTCCACAGTCGCTCTGAACATCTTCTCCGCGTTCGAAAGCCGGTTCTGCATCACGAGCATAGACTTGATCCGTCCTTGCTCGCTCATGCAATCCGCGCAGAGGTCTCTGTTGGGCTTCTGGCCGACAATCATCTTGCTGCAAATCACACAGAGCTGACTCTGATAGTATCGATCAATTCGAGACCCAACGGACACGTAACCCTTGCCGCCTCTTCGTCTGGGCAGGAACTTGGGGCGTACTGACATTCCTTCGGGCTCGGTGTTCGGTACGCCCTCAGAAGGCTCTGCATCTCCAGCCGCAGCGAGTTCATCGACTTCAACGTTTTCATTTTCGATGAACTGATCATCGCCTGCCTGTACTAGTTGCTGCTGCCGTTCTTCCTGCGCCGCAACCATCGCCGCCGTCACTTCTGTGGGCACTACTGTGGTAGCTACCATAGGTGTTGTACTTGCAGACCTACCAGTGCCACCATTACTAACTCCCGAATGACCGAAAGGGACGGCCCTTTGCACTCTGGGCATCTCCTCATACCACGATTTCACATCTGCGCCAGCGAGCTGGAAGATTCTCTCCATCGACGGTATAATATGTTTGCGGATGTAGTACTCGCCATTGAGCCGCAAGTTTTTGTTCACAAGGAGTTGCTTCGGCTCAACGACCTGATCCGTTAACCGAGCCCCTAGGTCGCCATAAACGACTACGTACGGCACACGCTCTCCATGCTGGGGTTCCGAGCGCGGATCGAGCTCCATCCTGCGAGCAGACACTACAGCACCTGGAGGCGGTACTCCTTTCTCGCTATCAATAATAAATACACATCCAGAGTGATTGCATTTAGTTTATATCTCCATGTAGAAGACTGCAGCAATGGCATCGTATTAAGAAGAAGAAAAGCATTCTTGTACCTGTAACCGCCCATACGCACTTCTTTGCCAAACATCAAATCAGGAACAAGAACCCGTCCTTCTAAGACTTTACCGAGTTGGCGCACAAAGTACGACTTGACTAAAGATAAGTCCTGCGTCCTGAACATTGTTCTGAAAAAAAAAGGAAAAAAGAAAAAGAACGGTAATTAGCGCCACAATGCAATCTCGAACAACAGCGGCACAAAAGCAAAGGTACATGGACAATCTTGCCTGGACACTTACTTGATACAAGTCTCCATGATCTTTTGCACTGCAGGCACACCATCGCGTCGGATGGTCTCAATTCCTTTTGCATCGAATATCGGCTCCTTCTGATTCGGTGATTCATACGATGAACCGACGTATCGCTTTTTCGTCACCAGAAAACACTTGTCGTATACCTTCTCAAACTTCAATTTGACCGGCCGCGGGTTCATTCTCGTAATCGTCTCCGCAATATCGTATCCAATCTCAAAGGCCTCCTGCCGTGTCCGACCCTTGAGGTGCACAAACATACTGTCCGTGTCTCCATAAACAACCCTCGCATTCCACTTCGGACTGTCGTTCACAAATCTAATCGCCCGCTCCAGTGTCTCGCGAGCGGAGAGCACGATCGAGTCCGCGATCTCGATACCGGGCATGCGACCTGAATAAGACGCTGAGGTGTAGCCGTAGGTGACATTAGCGATGAACTTGAGGGAAAGTTGACGGGCCTCCAGAAGCTTTAGCAGCGACCTGTTGCCCGGATATTCCTTCATGGCTTTCTTGATCATCACACGGGTGTCGAGGATTTCTGCCAACATCCTGCCAAGAAGACCTCTCCGAATACCCTGGTTCACATACATGACGTTATTTGGTGCAACTATAGAGGCAAAAAAAAAAAAAAAAAAAAAAAATTAGGAGCGATAATCACCACACAGAAACGCTATCCTCAATCCAGACCACATCAGTACGAATAATATGCACTTACTATGCAGGTGTTCTTCCATCAGCGGCAGAGCTCCATCCTTGATCTTATACTCTGTCAATACTCCAATCTTGGTGCCTCCTCCAAGTTTACCGAGGCACGTGGAGTAACAGATGTTGTATGCGATCATGACACTCGGGTACAGACTCTGGAAATCCAATACTACCACAGGATCCTCATAGAACCCAGACTCTGGCTCCATCACCATCGGAATCACTTCGAGAGCCCGCTGGGCCGCAACTTGCGCTCGGCTAGGCGAAATCATGATATAATTCTCGGGCTTCGCTAGACGCACCATCATCGACTCGACCTTGTACTGCGAACCGCGCGAAATAACGCTGAAAAAATCTACACCAAAGACACGGGCGAACTCGCTTGTACGAGAAATGAGCTCCTGCGACTCAATCAGCTGGAGAGTATATTGGACGCGGTGTAGATAATGCCGAATGACTCTTGACTGATGGAGCGCGATGCCATCCAACCACCACTTTGTCAGTGTTTCATGGGTATAGTGTGGAATTCTAGATGCCAATCCGTACAGAAACGAGGGTGAGGATACGCAATACAAAGACATTCTACAAGCAAAAAAGTATGCCATTATTTTACCGTTGTTGCAGAACATGGAAGACCACGTTGCCAAAACCATAGTTCGTGAGCGCGACTTCTCCTCGTATCAGCCTCCATACATTGAATAAATGCCGACCAGGGAACTTCAGGCCCGCATGATGTTTAGTGTTGTAGGAATCCCTAGCTTCGAGGATGCTCATGGTAAGTACGGGCGCTTTCAAAGGTCGGACGCGTGAGAGTAACTTCGACATGTCTAACCCAAACAGGGTTTGGTATCTGTCCACGAGATAGCCCCAGGAAAGCTTATGAACTTCGTAGCCGGCCAGAATATCGGGGTCCAGTTCTCGAACGTGGTCGATGACGGCGTTCATCATCGCACCCTCATTCTCTGCAACATAAATGTCGAACCCCACACGTCCGGCTGCGAGTTTCCTCATCATTCCTGCTTTGGCATGGGTGAATATCCCCGTTCTATACCTATCCATCAGGAACCATACATGTGAGTGTCACGTAGAAGATAACCTAATACCGTTTCATACATTGTAAATGAGCGTCTGCCCTTACCCTGGTGCCCAACCGTTTGATATCAATCCTTCGCGATCTGTCTGCCAGCAATAAAAGACCGCCAAAATTTGATCGTACTTCGGGTCGGGCAGAAGGCCACCACGGGTCTGGCAATAGACCTCCAAACTAAGCACGTCCAAGAAGTCTTTTTCCACCGCAACCGATGCCGCGGTCTTCGTAGGGCTGTTCTTGTACCCAAATGGGTTCTTCTGCGTAGGACCTTCGATCTGCGATATTCGTTCCTTTCGTTTTTGCGTTGATGTTCCGGCAGCTGACCTCAGAGACAATCGGGCGCGCACTTCTTCCTCCTTCAACCAGGATTGAATTGTGGCACGGGATGGTGGCGAGTAGATCGGCTCCCAGAATCGAAAACCCTCTCCTGGGAGAAAACTCTTGTTGAGGCCAAGAGCCCCGTTGAATATCGGCATAGTCTTGATCCCATTCGACTGTACACGGAATTCCTTACCCCCAAAGGCTTTCGCCTTAGACGGGACATCTTGCTCATTCGAGAAATATGGTTTCTGATAAACAACATTAGGCAGCCCATGCTCTGTAAACGAGTGCAGCAAGTCCTGTGTCGTCGGCGGTTCGATCGCGAATCGGTAAATATGTGGTGTAGAACCATGTAGAACGGACGTTTCTGCCGGAATTGGCTCAGGAATCGTCGATTGAGAAAGAACGTCATCGAAAGAGTCATGGATGATAGAATCCTCAGCCAAAACATGCTTTGAGATATCTTCCTGCGACCTTCGCTTCAAGTGAGTCTCGTGAAACACTCCACTGTTCTCGTCATCCATTTGCGCGCCATATGGAACATCGTCTTGGGCAAGTGGCTCGTCGCCGAGAAATGTCTGATTGACGATAGTGCTGGCCCTGCAGTTGTGCGTCGATAGTCGGTTCACCTCTGGGCTGCGCGGTGCTGCAGGAGAGTTCAAGGTGACCGTGTGCTGGTGGGTGGGCTTGTCGACTGAAGACTGCGGAAGTAAGTCAGAGACGTATACAGTATGAGCAGAAGCAAGATCTGGGGAGCTTGGACGAGGCGGAGAATAGAGAAATGCGGGTCTTTCCAAAGGCGGTGAAGGCGAAGACCACATTTCATCCATAGCCGATAGAAAATAGGTTCGACTTGGCGAGGCTGGCTCTGGATAATCATATCCAGTAATAGGCTTGGGTGAATCGCGAGCCCTGCGGGGTTGCTTGAATCGCTCGCGCAGATGAGGTATTATTCCAGATCCTTTCGATACATCCTCTATGTCAAAGTCGCTGTAATCGCCGTCCTCAATCGAGTCATCTACAGGCGTCAGATCCGTCAGCGTCGCCGGTCTGTTATTGCTGTTGCTCATATCCACATGAATTCTTGAAGGTCGATCCGATTGACGAAATGATCTGGGGCGTAACACAGATCTTGACGCTGTACTCCCACTAGCAACGACTTCGCAAAACCGTTTCGGTGACTGTGCAGGTGGTTCCTGAGGGGCAGGCAAAGACGATGACGAGAAGCGGGTCCTTTTCCTTCCAGGGTTTTGGGTCACCTTCCTCCAGTTCCTTGCAGCATCCTCGCCTTTATTGTCGTCGTACAATGGATGTTCGTCGCCACCACCATCAAACTGAGGAATGTTACGGCGATCAACCATATTTACAATCGCTGAATCGGCTTCCTCGATATGCCCTTCTAAGTCGAACGAGCCTATACCATCCCAAATATCAGCCTCATCCGTCCCACCTGCTTCGTCTGCCTCATCTATAAAAACCTCGTCTTGAAAGTCATTTATATCTGGTAACGGAAACTCATCATCTCCTATTTGTTCATCGATGCCCTGAAGGCCGGCTAATCCCTTCAAAATCTCCTTTCTGGAATTCATATTGTCTTCTTCAAATACTTCACCCTATGCAAAAGTGGAAGAAGGGATCAATAAGGTGCGGACGAAATAAAGTAATATGTTTCCCAATGCGGTTTCGACACTTACAGTCTGTGAGATTATTGACTCGTCTACAAGAATGGAGCTGTCCGCTTCGTTATAGACAAATGGAATTTGAGACGCAATCTGCGAACGCGCCTCAAATGACTCGTCCGGGTCTGAGATCATGCGGGGGCAAAGAAAGTCGACGCTCTCGTATGCCGTCATGAAGGAGGCGGTCACTGGATCTTCTTTGATCTCGAAGTTGTTGAAATCTCCTTGCGTTGGCGTTTTCGTCTGGCTCTGAGATATCATCTCCTGAACTAAATCAGCGACCATTTGTTTGTTCAGGTCATGATTTAGCCAAGGGATGCTCACGGGATCACGGACTTGAGTCTTGGGCGGTTCCTGAGTCGGGAGATTACTTGCTTTTCTTCTTTTTGCATCATCCTACGGGGGGTTTTTTTTTTTTTTTAGTATTCGTCCACGATATTGGGGACTAATTAGATTCAACAAAAAAAAAACTGAACTCACCTCCCAAAGATCAGCCATGGAGGGGACTTGCGCTGACAAGGAAGGCGGCTTGAAGCACTCTTCCAGCGATTGGTGCAGCCGTCTTTCTGGAGCCCTATCCCTGTTTACGATCCGATCCACTGTTGAGTCCATCTCAATTTCGCAATGCGATATCCGTCCGGGGTCGTTCTCAGGGGACCAGATCCGCGTTTCTGATACAGATGCTCGTGTCAAACGTTTAGGATGGTCTCCTATCCTTGGGACTGTAAGAATTAAGACAGTAAAGCGTGCTGTTAGCAGCAAGCCTGGTTTAAATACTTGGTTTAAATAGCACACAAGCGAACTTTCCATTTTCATACATGGAACTTCGTTTCTCAACAGCGCCTCTTCGAGCTCAAGCCATCCCATCCCGTAAAGATTAAAGTCGATAAAGAACTGAAGCCTGAAGGGTATATGGGATTCGAACGGTTGGAATTGTGTCCCCATGATGGCTCCACTGCGCATCAAATCTACGATACGGCTTTCGAGATCAGGATTGAACAGGTATACTTTGAGAAAGCACGAATACCCGACATGGTATCCATAGAAAGGGATGCCCTTGACAGGCGTGATCGCTGCCACATATTGGGATTTCCATGGGTCCTGGGGCGTTTTGAAAGTGATGCAGGCGGCGTGGTTTAAGCTCAGTCCCAGTTGCTGAATGTATACTTGAACTAGTAGATGACACAAAGAATTGCGACACTCAGAATATAATTTTTCGATACATTGCTGAAAACGTCGCCGTTCTGATTCAGGGGCAACGGTTGTAAATAAAACGTACGTTGAGATGGCTCCAAGGATCCTTCGTACGGAACGTAAAAGTATGGGTAGGCCTAAATCATGTGTCATAGTGTGTTAGTGGCGACCATGCTGTGTATGCGATTACTGAACGCCACCGAATTGAAGCAGATCGCTGGCGTTGACAGCGGTCTCAGGTACACACCTGGTGGATATGAAGACAGGTCTTTTGTCCTGCCTCGTTAGCGCCGTAAACCCTAACGACAGGAACCTTCAGTACTGGACATCTGGGGGGCAGGAACTGACATGAATCGTGGTCTAGGGGTCCCGGTTCCGCCATGTAATAGTCCAGGTCGGCAATTCGAATTTTGAATCGAACAGACCGGGCAAGCTCCGTAGCGGTACCTGCCGTGATTCCTGTACCGTTGGATTTGTTGTCTGCGAGAGGATATTGCTCGTTGCTGTGCTTTTCCGAGATATCGGTGTCGGTAGTGGATTGTGGATTGTTGCTGTGACTCGAGGGAAGTACAGCGGAGGTGTTCATGTTACAACCGGGCACATCGATTGTACCGCTCATGCACTTCGCTGAACGTTGAGGCCAACACCTGAGTAGGAAGGTAGGACTGATGTTCCTGTTCCGGTGAATGCCGAAAGATGATTGAGAAGTCGAATGAAAGACAGGTTGGGGTAAAAAAGGCCAAGTTAAAAAAGACAAGGGGCTGTGCAAGTAAAAGGCACAAAATTGGTGGCAAAAACATTCCATGCATTATGACGATTGATTGCCATTGCACTTTAGTTTAGCAAAAAAGAAACCGTTTATTCCTCTAAAACCACTCATCTGCAATGCTCAAGCCTTGGTGGTCAGCTCCAATCCACCAAGGATGTCCTGGAATTTGTTGATGTTGCGCAAGAACCAGTCGCCATAGCGACGGCCGACCTTCGACTCTGAAATGTGAATCATATCTTCCTTCAGGCAGAAATCCAGGTCCGATGTACCCTGATACTCTCCCTCCAAAAGTGTGCCTGAGACCCACTTCATCTGACGACTCCTGATCTTCGACATCATCAGCAAAGTGCGAAGCTGCTCAGGGTCAATCTCCAAAAACGAGGCCAGCTTGGCGTTGCCCATAGTCGTGTAGAGCTTCAGGTACGAGCGGAGGGTTGGCAAAAGGATCGAGTGGCGGACCTCAGACAAGAAAACCTTGGTGTAATGCTGAACGGGCTCAAAGGGAGTCAAGTTCATGACCTCAGGGTCGTCCAGGTTGGGTCCGTTGGGGGAGATGAACTTGGGACAAGCAAAGAGGAAGAGCTCCTCAAAGACTTGCATTGCCTCCTCGGGCTTGGACAGCTTGTTGGACTGCTCCGCGTACTTTTCTCTGAGCTGGCTGTGAATATTCTCGTCCAGGCGGGTGGGACAGAGGGTCACGCACATGGTCAAAAGGGCGTACATCTGGTCGCCCTTCTTGTTGATTTGGTCGTGCTGGTATGACCGGGTGTGATACTGCTTGGTGCGGTTGATGAAGGTAAGGATGTGAGAAAAGGCCTTGATGGCATCTGCATAGCGGCGCATCATCATGTAGGCGAAGCCGACATAGTAGTAGGTGGTGACGTGGCAGGCGGTAACACGGGCAAAAAGCGCCTGCTTCTTGTTCAACTCAATGTTGTCCATCATCTTGAGAGCCAAGGTAAAGTCGCCCAATAAGCAGTGGACGCGGAGCAAGCCGACAATACTGAAGTATCCCAACATCTTATACAAGGGACGAGATCCGTACTCTCCAGCAGCTTCCTGCATATCGCCTCCATTCTTCGAAACTAACAACTGTTCGGTGATGCGCGACTTTTGGATGAGCGAGTAGAGAACGTTTAACACACTGTAGCAGCTCCAGATCTGAGAATTGTCGCGAAGGAAGGCGAGCTCTTCATCCGTCTTGTTCTTGATGCGGTTGCGGTAGTTGCAGAACGACTGGAACTGGTAGATGAATTCGTCGATGATATCCCACAGCCACTGGTTTGGAAGCTCGAGCGCAACGGGTCCCTCAGAGTCTGCGACAAGAACAATGGTACGAATTTCAATTGATGTTTTCTGTTAATAACAAAGTCTTTAACGGCACTGGAAGGCTGCTATTAGGCCACCCGATCCACTTTCAAGATAAAACCATGACTTACTCAAGATGTAATTAAAAAGATCGCAATAGTTTTCATATGAATGGAAACGGTGCTCGATCGTGGGGCTGAGGCGAGAGTAAATGTGGCGATAGTAGAGCTCGCGGTACAAGGTCAAGAAGACCTGGTCTACATATGTTAAACAAAAACAGTCAGTCAGTCAATCCAAGATGCAATATAAAATAGACGCGCTCATGAAGTACTGTTGATTTACCATCGTTGACCAAAGGCGAAATGGCCTCGGGCTCTGGCCAGGACTCCTTAGCGTAGAACTTCTCGGTCAACTTGTTGAACGAGTGCTCGTAGATCGAGTGCAGCTCGTACACGTTGTTCTCCAGAACGTTGCGGTGGAAGAACACGATAAAGTTCTTGACAACTTCTGGAATTTGAACCTCCTGGTATTGCTGCGAGGTCTGGTCTGCAATTCGTAGCGTGTAGCAATTAGGATAGAATGCGTTAGAAGCCGTGCTTGGATAGATATTCACGTATCAAAGTCCAAATCATCCCAAAAAACAGCGACTGCGGTGCCTCTGCGTCCAACAAGTAGATCTTCCTGCTCCTGAGACTGTGGGAGGCGATTGACCATTGTAAAAACTGTTATCCTCTTGGTGCTGTCGTCCATGTGTCGCGATGGTTCATAGAATATGTTTCTGGTGAGGTCGAATCGTTGTAAAAGGGCGAAGTTGGGTTGGGCGACTGATCCAGTGCAGAAGCTGAAGAGAAACCTAGGAAGGACGAAGTGTTTTACCAGCAGCCAAGAGTTCCTCATCAAGGCCATCATCCTGGACGGGGTAAGCGCCAACGACCAGATCGACCTCGGAGGCGATATCGATGTCCTCTTCGTAGTTCATGATGTGTGATGAAGGAAAAGGTGTTGAGGGTTCGATTTACCCTTGCACTGTGCCTTGATATGTAAATCCTAAACTGGCCTCAACAGCAACAAGAAAAAAAAAACAAATTTATTTGACGTGCAGTAAACGATTACATCGCACTTATAACTTTTTATTACAAAAAGCACTTCAGCTTGAGAGAAGAGAAGACTGAGAGACCGAGCGACATGGAAAAGAAGAAAAATCGGATAGAGTATTGATCAACGCAGTAACTGACAGGCTAGCGGCGTTCAACTCACTTGAACTTCCACCATATCATCGTCTTCCTCATCAAAGTCTTCATCGTCGTCGTCCAATGCCTCTTGTACCTCTGAGTCCATCTGGGTCGCAGTCTCGCCCGATGCAACTCCAACAGCTGCAGGGTTGAACGTTGTCTCAAGTTCGGCGTTGACAATAGCTTTGCTTGCTGAGCTGGAGGACCCTGCCCCTGATGCTGCTGCTGCTGCGTTGCGTTCCTTGATGAACTCTGGTTTGAGCTGGTACTTTGCTGTGTAAGGTCCTTTCTTAATGAAGTTGCAGATCTCGGCCAAGACCTCCTTTAGATATGAATGTGGCTGCTTGCAGTACTCAACCAAACCCCTGAAAGACCAATAAGGATACTGCTCGAACGCCGCAAACAGCATATCCACAAGCTCATTCCTGGGCATGCGCGTCGTCTTTTGATCTGGTTGTACCTTCGGCTTCTTTTGCTGTTGTCCGTCAAAGCGATAATAGGATGAGCAAGATGATGTTAACAATCAGCTTCGTGGCAAACAATGATAACAAGCTAACTAAAGCATAGAACAAATATTTTACTTACGATGAAACCATTACGAATACCCACACCGGGCAAGAACATGCCACTACGACCGCCTGAGGGATCGGCTCTGTTGTTTTCATTTGTTAGAATCTGAACTGATCGGCCTCCTTTCTTGGCAGCCTCAATGTTGCGCTCTCTCATAATCTCGCGATACTCAGTTGTTTGCTGCGGCGTAACTGTGCACTCGTGCTTGATCGTGGCCGAGAGAGAGGTTGCTTTTCCTGTGGGATATCCAGGTGCATGGGGTGGTTTTGGATGAGGTCCTGTGGGTTCTGTGAAGACAAAGGTGTTTGTGACCTGACTAGGATTCATCTTAAGCGTGTATGTCTTTGGAAGATTTGTTGTGATGTCGTCCGATGGAAGAAGTAGTTGAAATGGTGCAGAATCTGGATCGTTGGGGTTTGTTCTAGGAACCATAGTAGAATACCAGGAGCACGTTAGTGCCGCACATGGCGTACTAGTCCTAGAGCACAAGAAGCAACAGGGGATGTACTCACTGGTTGAATATCCTGACTTTACCGAGATCGACGCCATCCTTATTGACTGTAGCCCATCTATCGGCCAGGAACTTTGGGATCTGATAATATATCGGAGCCGAGCATCAAGGAATAATAAAATGCTTAGTAGGTGACCAAAATAAAAATAAAATAAAAAAAGGCAGAACAGGTTGTAGATACGCTATTGAGCAAGGCATATCAACGTACCTTGACCAGCCATGCCTGTGTTCCTGCTTTGGAAAGATCCAAATCACCAACAACGTTGCCGTCTTCGTCAATCACTTCATCTTCGTCCTCAAAGTTCTCCTTTGCGTCTCCTCCGTCTTCGAAAAGTTCTTCAAAATCTGCGGGACGCTTGCGCGAGAGTCCGTGTTCGTTGTCAGACATTGTAAACCAGCAGGAATGTGAAGTAACTGAAGAATGAAAGCAATGAGAAAAAAGGTAGGATGATGTTCCTAGGAAACGGCCGGGTTCGGTGTATACACGGCCACAAGCTGCACCAACACAATTGAAGGCGTTCGAAAGATGCAACAATAAGGAGCTTAAAGCCCATCTTCCGTTTCATGCTCTGCGCACCGAGAGAAGCAGTGGCTTGTCGGTCATATACTAAGAGATTGAGTACTGCAATTCAATTGACCCATTTTATTCTGAGGCAGCGTGCGGACCTTGCTGATTCTCTCTTTTGAAATCTTTTTCCGTATGTGTGCTGCTGGCCATGGATGTTCATATTGGACTATTGATAACCATCCATTGGGAGAATGAGAGACAGGACCTATCGATCCCGCCATCCTACTACCAAATCCCATTGCGCCCACTCATCGGACACACAGTGCAGTTGTACCATCCACCTGCACTTTCTCGCACTCTGATCCCAGGATGGCCCAACCATGTCGCTTGCGGACGAGTGCTTTGAACTTGACTGGACTGTAACGAGCAAAAGCGACGCTGTGGACACAACTGATGCCGCACCAATTTTTCAGTACTCGAGCAGTGGTCTTTGTGGCCTTTTCGACAAATCAGAACTCTCCTTGCAAGTCAGACCGATGCAATCAAAGGCGATCAGTCTCAATATGAAGTTTGCAAATGAACTTGAGCAACAACCCTTCTCCATCTTAGTCCGGCATTGTTCTGATTCTGCTCAACCTGGAAGCACGCATCATAGGACAGGCACTCTGTCAAACATCAGGATCAGGAGATACTGGATCGGACCTTTGATTTTACTTGCCATTCGCACTGGAGCAAACATCTGATTTGGCTTCTCCGTTTCTTGATTGCTCTAGAAAATGGTCACTCCTCTTAAGAAGCACACCATCGTGAAGAAGCACACCGCTACCTTCAAGCGTCACCAGTCTGACCGCTACAAGACTGTCAAGGTACAATATCATGACCTCTCTTCGACGCAGGATGTTTGAGAAAGGAACAACTGTGTTTGTCTCAGCTCGTAATGTGGAACAGGACGGCGATGGTGGATTTCCGATATTGGAAACAGCTTAATATTGTATTTATGAGAATCAGTATATCGCTTATGCTATGGCATCAGGGAACGCCATTGAAAGATACCATGCAGGACGATTATGATCGACGTACTGTGCTGTACAGAATACCACCCACCAGCAGCGGAGTCATTTTGAATCACCAAGGATATAGTGATGGTGCACCATCCAATTGTTACATCCTACAACAATTTTGACGATATTGATAGTTATCAACATAGGAGTGGGCGAGAGAACATAGAGTTTATGACATGATACTAACAAAGTATATTTTACATATATATCTTGCGTATGATCTAACAGGAGTCATGGAGAAAGCCCAAGGGTATTGATAACCGCGTTCGTCGCCGCTTCAAGGGTCAGATCGTCATGCCCAAGATCGGTTACGGTAACAACAAGTTGACTCGCCACTTGATGCCCTCCGGCTTCAAGAAGTTCGTTGTCTCCAACATTGCCGAGCTGAACCTCTTGTTGATGCACAACCGCACCTTCGCTGCTGAGATTGCCCACAACGTCTCCTCCCGCAACCGCATCGCCATTGTCGAGCGTGCCCAGCAGCTCAACATCAAGGTCACCAACGCCAACGCTCGCGTCAGAACCGAGGCTTAAACTGGATAACTCTTGATCTCTCCTCCAAACAATAATGTCTCTGTAACGCGGACAGAACTGTTTAAAGTAAAATAAAAGTCATCAAAAAAGATGGGTGCTTCTTTTTTTCTGGAGCCATGAGTCGAGCTGGGGAGCTTCTTTTATTTATTTTGCATCAGGATCTCAGGATTGAGCAGATTCAATGATACGGATGCGATCGAATGACTCGATGAGACTGTATAGGCTGTCATCAGGAGACGTCTGCTGGTAGAGCTCCTCTGGACTAACGGGCTTTTTACGCGTGGTCTTCTTGGATCCCTTGGCACTCTGCTGTCGCTGCTGTCCGTCCTGAACGCCCTGAATGAGATCGTGTTCCGATAGTGGTGCGAGAGCTGGATCCTGTTGAACGATCCGCTTAATCTCATCCTGCTTTAATTGGTTGCCAGCCGGATTTTGTTTCCTGAACAAGAGACTGTTGTGTGCCCGAATAGGAGCTGCTACTTTTGCGACTTCCTGATCAAGACCAATCAGTGCCATGTAGATGCTGTGGCGATGTGCATACGACCTTTTGAGCCTTAAAGCGACCTTGACCTTGTCAAACAGGCGGAACTGGACGCTGGTCGCTAATCCCTGTGGGTACGGAGTAAGAGTGTGAGATGGGACTTTGATGGAAATCTCTGTGGCAAGATCTGTGTCCATCTCACATCCGGATATCGCCACTAAATGGTCATTGTTCCTGTCGGCTGTAGAATTTTGTCCGCCTCTTTTCAGCACCGACAAGGGCACTGTTACTTTGCCTGATTTCTCCTTCAGGTATACGGGGCCTTTGATACCAAACCGTGGTACAAATACAAAGAAGCCGTTTTCCCGGATCTCAGAAATGATTCCAGTTTCTACGAACGGGATATCATCGGGCTCCAAGTCATCGTCACCACTGGCAGCAGGGTTCTGTGTCTTCTGTAGTACATAGAGAGTCTGAAAAAGCTCCGTGGAGTCCTTTTGCGCCAGCTTGGATTCCCGGTTCTTATAGTTGAGATGATCGGCAATCTGCTCTACCTTGAGGCCGTTTTTCAGTAAGCTGGATGAAGCAGTTGGGGCGGTCGGCGTATCAAGTAAGCATGCCATCAGTTGACGATGAACAACCAGATCGGCATAACGACGAATGGGAGACTAAAAGGTTTGTCAAATGTATGGCGTTAATGGCAATCCATTTTGCAAAGAAATGAGAGAGAGCTTGATCTTCAAGAATACGTCTGTATACATACCGTAAAGTGAGTGTAGAAATCCAGCGCTAAACCATAATGCGCATATTCATTGACCGACCAAGATCCAGAGGAGATATAGCTGGCTTCTGACATGGCCATCGTGGCCATAGTCTTCAAAAGCCGCACAAACTCAATGTTGCCTTGACTTCCAGCAGCACAATTTCTCAGTGAGTTCGCAAGCGCCAGATTCGAGCTCGTATCGATCACAAATCCCTACAAAAAAAAAAAGGAAAGTCAGTACAAACATTGTGCCATAAATCACATACACGAATGAAGAGGGTAGGAAGGCGCGAGTACATACTCTGCTCTCTGCAGCTCGAAACAGCATCTTAAAGTGGCTCTCAATCGGCGGAGGATGACGGCGGAGCATTGCTGAATCTCTAAATCCGGTGTAGATCCTCTTGGCCACGTATGCGTTGGCCATAACCATGGCCTCTTCGATAATCTGATGCACCTCCAGGGGCTGCTTCGGCAGAATATCAGAAATCCCTCCATCTTCTTCCTTAAACTTGAATTTGACTTCTGCACTCTCCAATTCAAGACCTCCATTGGCCATGCGCCGTGCCTGGAATAGTAGTAACCAAAAAGTCGTTCAGCTGATTGATTCATTGAATAAACTTATTGGTATCCAGACGAATTCATTCTGCTGTTGAAATATACCCTGGCTTTTCGCATTGTTTTGGCGAGGAGGACGATAGCTGGTTTGAGATGCTTACACAGCTTTGCCTCTAATCCCGGCACGACGTCCTTGCCGCTTAACAACCCTTGTGCTTGTTCGTACTCCATTTCGCATGCAGACCGAATGACAGTACGACCGAACCATGTAGTGAGCACGTTCGCCTCACTATCCAACGTCCAGATCACGGACACTATCGAGTGTAGCGAAGAGATGGGTCAGATTTGCGAATTAATAGATACATAAAACATGGTTTCGATACATACTTGCGTATCGATCGACATGATGACGAAGAGAGCACACTTGCTCACTCAGGACTTTCGGTAGCATGTCAAATCGACGATCAGAAAGATAGACAGTCGTTCCTCTCGCCCTGGCCTCCAGATCAGTAAGTGAATTCTCCTGAACAAAATAGCTGACGTCTGCGATGTGAACCCCAAACTCGATTTGACCATTTGCGATCTCCTTGATTGAGATCGCGTCGTCGATATCCTGGCAATTTGGGGGATCGATGCTGAAGACAGTATGCTTTCTCAAGTCTCGCCGCCTGCTCAACTCCCCTGGTTCAGGTGTCCACGGTCGCTCCGGAGTATTGGTAGGCATTTCCTTGAGTGATCCGTCACTGAATCCTTGAGTTGTTTGCGAGACAGAAATCCCATGTTCAATTAGGATGGCTGAGATCTCGGTATCCAAGTCGTGAGCTGGTCCGATGCTGCGCACGTAATGTCCGTTGGGATACTGAGAATTGATAGGCCAGCTGTCGATCCGGACAACAATCCTTTGGTTCACTAAGGCCTTGGGATCATGATGTCGGATCCTGATCTTCGGGATAACTGGGTTCAGGGGCAATACGAGGTGGAAGGATCCTGACTCCTTTTCTGATCCCTCCTGTAACGTGGCAACGTACGGTTGCCAGTTCCTCGACATCACACCGACGACCCGTCCTGTGGGCTTGACTTCGTGGAATCGATGCTGACCAGAACCCTCCTCGTCGTCATCTCCAGCCGCATGAACCTCTTCGGGGTCATAAGATATGTGTGTTGAGGGAGCAATCCAAGAGCTCTTTTTCAGCAGCTCAACGACCACTATATCGCCGTGAACTGCACGATTGCGGTACTCAGAACCGACTATCACAATTTCGCCAATGTTGGAGTCTCCACGAATAAAGGCCTGATCCCGATGGTTAGCGCGGACTCGAAGTACACCCTGAAAAAATCGCTCAGACTTGACGCCGGCCTCCAGCTCGGACATGGGTTTATACTATTGTAAAATTAATGGCGGAGTTCACTTAACATCGGTTTTGACATTCCCTATAGAACTGTGCAGCTTTATTAGGAAGGTAATGCTTACCTCTTGGTATCCTGTTCCTCCTGAACCCTTCTTCGATAGTGCTGAACCCAGGTCCTGACTGTCAAGATCCTCTTCCAGAATTGCTTCCTTTAAAGAATCCAAAAGTTCATGCAACACCGCCGAAGTTGGCCAGTATGTCGTGAGATATTCTTTGAGAGACATGACCGTAATCCCACTGACATCCGCAATGAAGTTGGTATCCTCCTGCCTAAACTATAGATCATTCGCAAATACAAAGTGTATTAGTAGAGGTAGTGTCACCAAAAAGAGAAAGAGATGTTCAGTATGAAATGTGACCCTTACTTGCTCAGAAAGAAGGATGATAGGTACACTTCCTGAGAGATGACGGCGGTACCATACTGCAGTTTGAAGAATAGCCCTCCAATCCCTACGATCAATTGATTCGTCCGGTCCTCGCAAAACACAAGTGTCCTTGCAGTGTTCGTTACAAAACACAATGCTCCTTCGCCTAGGATCTTTGGCAATTTGACGCAAACTCTTATATGTCCTTGACTTATCTTCATTTTGCAACTAATGGGTTTGCAGCGGTTTTTCATTAGCGTGCATGATTCAAATACCAAGTCCATGAATCCAATCGAGGTGCTCATACCCTTAGAAGGATCGTCTCCGTAAATATGACATTGGTCAGTTCCTCCTGCTCGAGTATTTCTACGTATCGCAACGCAACCTATAGGTCAAGAACGCGCATGATAAGTCTACCTGCAGAGAGATCACTGTCATGAGCTACGGCGTAATGTAATATAGAACATACAGAGTAGTCCGGCAACAGACAGTATGCCGGCTCGGAATTCAAAAGACTGGACTCGACCTTAACCCTCTGATAGCATGGTGGCTCCAGCGGACATTGACTTGAGAGACACGGGATATCATTTCGAAGATAGACTGGTGTCCAGGATTGGGTATTAAGAAGGCCAGCAAGACAAAAAAAAAGCGTTAGGCGTTTGGTGTCAGATACAACGGCAAGAGCACTGTCATTCAGCCGTGCAACTCACCCTCACGGACTTTCTTGACCACTGTGTTCTTGTTTGTTTTGCGAAAGTGCACATTCTCAGTCCTGAGCATGGTGCCAACTTGATGGGATGTACTTGATGGTGTCGTGGAATCAGCGTGATGCTCGCCCAAGCAGTCGTCACTTGTGCGGGAATAAAAATTGAAATCGTACGGCGTTTTTGTTCTCGCTGCCATCACCTTCTAATCTCTTCCTCTTTTTGCTGCCCACGCAAGATTTTACATATCCCAGCGCTTTATTAACACACTAGCGAAACCATGGACTACGGGGTATATGGCGGACACGATGGACATAATGGAGGAGAACATGATGGTGGACACGATGGCGGACACGGCGGAGGCGAAGGCACCTGCAGCATGAACATGCTGTTCAACTGGGACACTGAGAACCTCTGCGTCGTCTTTGAATCCTGGATGATCAATACGCCAACTGCGCTCGTATTCTCCTGCATTATCATCATCGGTATGGCAGCTTCGTACGAGCTACTTCGGGCGCAGTCTCGTCGGTACGAGGAACGTTTGATCGAGGGTGCGCGCAAGCGACACGGTGGCGACCCCTCGTCACGCGTTGTAGATGCTAGCGCCGGCATCGCCGAGGACGAAACACCCCTCCTGACCTCTAGGGCAGGTACTTTGAGGTAGCTAGTGATGTCGACATTGCGGTATATTTTCAAATATCGGATAATGTTGTGATGGACATCAACTAACCACAAGGATTGTGTATGCATTCTCGTCTCATAGGCTCTCCAACCAACAGCAGCTCACGCGGGCCCTCTTCTACATGGCTCAGGTCTTTGCCGGCTTTTTTTTGATGCTGATCTTCATGACCTATAATGGCTATCTCATGGCAAGCACCGTCATTGGGGCAGGCCTTGGCTTCTTTTACTTTGGAGGTGATTCTCTGTCCTCCCCTACCAAAGCTTTGAGCTGCCATTAAGATATGGATCCTACGCAAGTCGACTTCTTGTGCAGTAGTTTTCATCCCCTCACTCAATACTTCGAGTATTTTCGTGAAGAATAATAAAGACCAGATTTTTTTGCTGCTTCTGCGTCTTTGACATGAAGAAAACAGTCCAAATATGGAATCTGATCTCCTTTGAGCAAGCGCCGCCCAAAACATTTCGAGTCCTTCTTCTGTACCCGACCACACCTTTTCTCACTTTACCGCAAAAGTTCACCGTTTTTATAACTTGCGCTCATTGCATCGAAATCGAAGCGGGAAATCATGTCAGCCCATGGCCATCCAGATATGACCATTCGCAGCGCGATCAACGAAAATCATAGCAGAGGGAGCAGCATCAGTCTTAACAAACCAAACAACGATACTGGCTCCAGCACCGGCGTGGATGACAGAATCAGTGCCTATCACAACAGCAACAACAAGAACGACATGGACGACATGGACGAATGTGTTGTTGAGGCTGAGGACAACTCTCCTTCGAGGTTCTTGTACTTGCTGATCACTTGCCTGGCGATCGGCGGCTTCCTCTTTGGCTACGACACTGGTGTCATTGCCGGCGCATTACTTCCGATCAAAGAGGAGTTTGGGCTGAACAGCCAGGAGCAGGAGTTTGTGGTTGGAGGTATGTCTTATGAGAGAGTAGACCATCATGGACCAGATGGAGGATACGCCGTTTTGACTCGTTGGTTTGAGAAAAGGGCTCTCAGCAGTATCCCTCGATCCCATTCCCTTAACCCACCGGTCTCCACTATGAATTAGACTACCATGTTGTTGTTGTTGATGTCACGTAGCATCCTGTGTCACTATGCAGCTCGAACTTTATTCTTTGGACGACTAAACCAACTCCAATTTCTAATGCTCACTTTTACCAGGAACGACGTTGGGTGCCATCCTCGGGGGTCTCTTGGCCGGCGCGCTCTCGGATCTCATCGGTCGCAAACCGGTGACACTGCTTTCGTCGACGATCTTTATTGTCGGTGCAGCTCTCATGACGTTTGCTCATCAATACTGGCTTCTTCTTTTCGGAAGAGTCGTTGTCGGAGTCGGTGTTGGTAATTTCTTTTTCTTTTTTTTCTTTTTTTTTATGCCTGGCTCCTGCTAATGGTCTCACTCTTAATATTAGGTCTCGCTGCTCTCGTGGTCCCATTGTACATTGGAGGTGAGTCGACCTGGACGTGTACAGCCTGTTCCTTTCTGTAAACCAATTCCGTCCGTAAATGCTAGTAAATTAGGTGACAAGGATACTCACGCTGCCTTACCATTTCACATTTGTGTCTATTTTTGAATAGAACTTGCGCCCAGGTAAAAGTGGTACACCTACAGCAACATATGATCAATGCATGAGAGTAGCCATCTCACCAATGTTTTGTTACACGAATTTGAACGTCTATTGATCGTCCTACAGTGCATATCGTGGTCGACTTGTGACCATGAACGTCCTACTGATCACGGGAGGTCAATTGGTCGCCTACCTAGTCTCGTCTGCGCTCACGGACGTCATTGATGGCTGGCGCTGGATGATGGCTATCTCAGCTCTACCAGCTCTCCTTCAATTAGTCACGCTACCATTTCTTCCGGAATCACCACGCTATTTGGTCAAAAAGGGCGATATCAATGGGGCGGAGGCCGTTTTGAGGCGCTGCATGGGCCTTTCTGATGCTAATGATGACTATATCGCCAAGGAGGTTGATGCAATCAAGGAAAGTCTGGAATTAAGCCATAAGGCACGGTACCGCGACCTTTTGCGCAAAGATCTCAGGAGACCTTTGATAATTGCCTGCTTCATGCAGTTGTGGCAGCAGCTCTCTGGATTCAACACAGCTATGTACTATTCCGCCACAATCCTGAAGATGGCCGGATTTCCCAACGCCAAAAGCGCCACCCTGTTCTCGCTACTCATCGCTGGAACCAATATGGTCATGACAAGTGAGTTCTTAGGAGTATTAAGATCTAGTAATTGTACTCTGCGATGTTACTGGAGCTCAGCTGACAAGGGAAAATATCAATATCTATGCTACTCAGTGGTGGCAATCAAAATTATAGATCGCGTTGGACGCAGGAAAATATTGCTTGTGACCATGGTCGGAATGATTGCTGGTCTGGTTGTCCTCGGTGTGGCATTTATTAAGATCGTGGGATTCACTGTCAAACAGGACGACTGCGTTCAGTATGGAGACAATTGTGCGGCCTGCCTCACAGACGACCGATGCTTTTTCGCAGATCTCAGCAACAGCTGCCAGGACATGGGCTGGGATGGAAACGGCAGGCGACCCATCTACACCGGCATCTGCCCTAACCGATCTCAAGGAATCAAGACCGGAAGCTGGGTGGCGCTCGCCAGTCTGGTATTCTATGTAGCTTCATATGGCCTCGGACTTGGAAATGCGCCCTGGCTAATTCAGAGCGAGCTATTCCCACTTGATATCCGCGGCAAGGCGAGCGGCATGGCTACAGGTACGATAGCATGCTGAGTAACGATCAATTCTAATTGCAGAATGCAACTAGTGCAACTAATGCACCTGTAAATTATGGCTTCTGTTTATTTATTAGCTTGCAACTTTGCTGGAAACTTGGTCATTTCACTCACATTCTTGACCTTAACTCAGCGGATTACAGCCACTGGAACCTTCTGGCTGTACGCGTGTATCTTGGTCATCGCATGGCTGTTTGTGTTCTTCCTCGTCCCAGAAACGGCTGGGTTAAACTTGGAAGCGATTCAAGAGCTGTTCAGAACCGAGTCTCCGAGTGATTCAGGACCCACATCAGTGATGCATTCTCCAAAGCTACTTGCAGGAGGGGAACAATCTGAGGAGGATGCTCGGATACGCCGTCGAGGACAAGGCTCGCAGGAGTTGTAACAACATGGTCATGGAGTGCATGTATACCTTAATTGATTCTATACACGGACCGATGAATAATACAGCATTAAAGCAAAGTCCGTTCTGAAGGCGCACTGATCGATCGATCTGTCTTGGTGCGCTGCAAGCATAGCTGGCGTTGCTTATTCTAGCTACAGAGCGTTTTGAAGCGCCGCGGGGCCAGACATTTGTGCAACTGCATGACACGCTTCGCTTGCATGGGTCAACTACTGGGACCCTGATTTCTGCTTCACCTTCAGGGTATTGCACAACACGAAACAGGAGCAGCAGGGTAGGAGCTCAGACAAGAATATAGATGACATGCAGAAAAGGATTACGAACTATGGGGATACGTGCATGTAGGCCAAAGATGCATGTACATACACTACGGTGTGAGTGCAAAGTGAGAATACTGAAATCACTTTAAGCACGCTGGAATTATTGCAACCCATCAAAACATTCCTCAATCCCTGATTCTTCTTCTCGGACACAGATGACTCGGGGGTTTTGTATCCGTCCTTGGAACGTATGACATCCCTGTACATACAAAATGCGCCTAAGATCTCTTGCCCCTTGAATCTCTAACTCCCTGATCCATGGCCATGTTTTAACACACGATCATGGCTAATGACTCCATAAAATAAAAGTCCTTTTTTGCGTCCACTGGAAGACAGCCATAAGCATTTATCCGCAAGATGGATAGTGCTTAATACCGCTATTGCCGTTGCACGAATGACCTAGGCGGTGCCGAATTGCTCCTCACAACAGACTGTCTTTTGTACTGTTCTCTGGATCTTATCTTTGAAGACAGACATATCAAAGACGAAGGAGGAATGATAGCAAGATATCGTCTACATTTAAGAACAGGAACGGAAAAAGAAAGAAGGTGAGGACGAAAGAAATGATCAGACTGGGCCGGTACGATAGGGCAAAGTACGAAGAAATTAAGGTTCAAATGGATTGGTTAGATAAAAGGGTTGCTTTCAATTGGGCACGACGCCAGCAGACTATGTAAGCAACTAGTTGTGCAATCAGATAAGCCAACAATGCGATGCAGTGCATGAAGACTGAGCAAAATTTCTTTTCTTGCCTGTGATTGGAGCAAACAGAGGTCATAGTCGGTCCCTAACGTTTCCACCGACTACCTTCGTCCGTTTTCCAGTCCACCTATTTTCTCATCTTCGACCCTGCCTCCCTTTCTTTTATATCTCCATCAGGAAAAAAGAAGAAGGAAAGAGGGGTGAAAGAGTAAAAGAGTAAAAAGTAAGGTACATGTGGACAAATGGAGTTCACCGCTTCACTGGACAATCTCATCTGGATAAAAGACGAGCCTTAATTTTTTAAGATTACCCAGGAGAGTGGAATCAAAAGAATGCGATTTTAAGGTTGTGCTTGTCTCATCGCACGACCCTCGTAACACCCAACTATCTTGTTGCCGCACCTCCAGTCCGCCGTCATTTCGAGTTATTTTTATTACTGCATGTTGTCACAGAAGAGCTCTTTTGCTCTCTATGTTTCTTTTATGCAACTTATTCATCCTATTCAAACCCCTCCAACCCTTTGTTGTTGTTTTTTCGGGAGGGGGTATTAGGCAATTCGGCTCTCTGCTGATCCCCGGCTGCTCTTCTGAGCACATACCTTGGCCATGGATGAATGTCATTCATCGCATCCTTCATCAAAAAAATAAAATAAAATAAAACAATAAAAAAGCAAGCTCGGCACGGTTGGATACCAGAGGGGCTGCAGCAGATCTTGGGACGACCAGGCGACTGTTATACCGCATGATCACCATTGTGAAGCTCACACGCGACGACCACTACTCCTACACTACTTACAGCTATCATCTCTCCATCTTTCGATTCAATCTATTGTGTTTGCGCACTCGTTACAGTCAATATCTTTCCAAGCACAATAGCGTTTGCACAAGGGCCATAAGTAGCGTATTATAATTTGATGATACTGCGCGCAAACCTCCCCGAATCTGTGCTATATACAACATTTATCGTTGGCGCTCTCACTACAAAAGGAGAATTATGGATCAAGACAGGAGGTAATTGTAGCATAGCCACTTCTCCTTGTTTTCTTTGTCGGGTATTTCGGCTAATTGTGCTACCTGCTGCGTAAGAAACAGACCCCATCTTAATCACGCAGATGCGCCTGATGGTTCCTGCATTGCGAGAGTAATGGCTTTTAACAGAAGCCGCGGTACTGAGACTGATAGCATAATCATTATTGGGTATGGAAATGGCCACAGAACCCACAGTCTCACTTGTGTCCACTCTTGTGCGACTGTATGTTCGTTTTTATGATCAAGGAACGTGGATGAAGGCGTTCGCTTTCTGTGGACTGGTAGCAATCGTTAGGTGCGATTTTGAATTCCATTGCTTTTTGCATGTCAAAACACCATTTTTACGCACTCGATTCTCCTGGAGGGATCAGATCACAGAATCCTAGAGCATTTCATTTTGCATCCCCCTGATCTTGTCTGCAGAGCGCCATTTTTATACTTGCCCTCCAGGGGCCTTGATTACCAACTCCAAGGCTCGACGTATTAGTCTCCTAGCATTTGCTAGTCGAAGTGGATGGTCATGCTACAAGGACAATCATTAGAAACCGTACTAATACAACTATGCAATTATCTCTCTTATTGAACTCTCCAATTCCTGATTACATTTCTCCACTTCTTCGCTGTATTTCAGGACGACTGCACAATTCAACATCCATTCCGCCCACGATCTTGTTAGCCCTCACTCAGAAGTCCACAATGACATCTAATTCATATTCTGATGCTGTTAGGTCCTATGAGCTGACGATGGAGCAGGAACCCATGCATGCTCGGATGTGTGGGTTTGGTGAAAAAGTAATGCGCCCAGCTGATGTCTTTGCGTACACAGCGTCTAAATCGATCTTCCGATTTCGCCATGTTGAGCTCTGTATCGGGAAGTATATTGCCTTCTAAACAAAGCTTATGCGTATATATCGTATATATGCAGGACCGACGTCCAGTAGATCCACCGCCAATCGTCAGACTAACAGTTCGAGAAGCAGACGGGACGCCAGTGGACTTGGAGTAAGTGCATGAATCACATCGTATAATCCGCGATGGAGTTCTTTCCGGATTCTAACAAAATCTCTTGACGCTGTGTGCAAAGCATCCCGGACATTGTGGACGTGAGTCGATGTGTTGTAATGGCCGATATCTACATGTCCGATAAATATACACCCTGTGCATTGGTCACGAATCCAGCGACGGTCCTTCATATCTCCTCAGTTCAAACAATTGGAGAATCCACTATGTCTGTCCTGAACCTGGCGACATCCCCACCTGCGCCGTACCACAACCTAACCGGAGCCATCGGGGCTTCGGGTGATCTTCTGAAGGATCTGGAGGGTAAACTTGGGATTTTTTTCGCATTTCCTGATCTAAGCGTCCGCACTGAGGGAACTTATACCTTGAGGTTTTCCTTTACATTACTACCTGAGTAAGATTAGCACAGCACAGCTTTCTGTACATTTGCTTTTCATCTTTTTTTTTCATATTACATTCAGACGACTGATTTGTATTCTTTGGCTCGTGCTCGTTCGATAGACCTCCAGTCATGACCTCCTCAGTTGTGGCAACTGTGTTTTCTGCGCCTTTTGAGATCTATCCAGCCAAAAAGTTTCCTGGAATGAGCAGTAAGTATAGCGCCCTTCGGAGACATCTATCGAGTCACTGTGGTAGTTGCAACCTATTACCAGAACCATTTGACCTTTGAATCGTATCTCTGTACTCCCATAATAGAATCAACACCTCTTTCAAAAAAGCTGTTTGACCAAGGTGTTAGAATTCCACTTCGCAAGAAGACGAGAATTGATCGAACAAAGCAGCTAGTCGAAACTGTGGACATTCCAGACGAGATGGAGGATGAAGAGTAGATGAATAGGCAGAGCCTCCGACCCTCCCCTTTGTAGGCACCGTAACATCGCTGCCAAACGCTCTAGTGGATACTGCTGCCATACGGAACTCCATTCCCTGGCCTCTATTATTATTATTATTACTATCCTATATATGTCCGTTATCCTAATCTTTCATTTACGTCCATCACATCTTTCGCTTGCTACACTCTTTTTCTTCCTTCCAACACAACTCTTCCTAAATAGTTTTTTTTTGTCTCACACTCTACATAGGCAATCCCCTCTCATTCCCGCGTTCTTCTCTCACTGTCATCCCTTGAAATAAAGTACCATATTCCTCGTCGTGTAGACTACCATAGGCATTGAGGGCCTGTGACCCTATCTAAGAAAGAAAGGGTATGAACCCGCTCTTCGCTATCAGTCCCCCCACTTATCCAACCTCCCCAGTTCCGTTGATCACAATTCGGTGATTCGAGTCGATATCTTTGGGTCTTTTTATGTCACCATTCGCTACGGTTATTCCTCGCACCCTATGGACGATGCTCATCGCATTGTCGAGCGAGAGATACTAAAGCTTGGGACCCAGACGAACTTGGCTCTTTACCTGGACGGCATTCCTTCGGAAGAAAAGGACTCACTCAAGTGCACCGAAAGAACCTTCGCAAGAAAGCTGTTAACTGCGCCGACAAATGTCTGCGTGAGCTCGAGGTTTGCGTGGGTAAAAAGCTTCGCGTGCAAAACACCAGTTCATCGACATCAGAAAATACTTGAGCTCAGCCTTCTACTGGTCCCTAGACGCTCGACGCGCCTTTGCCATATACATGCGCAAGAAACAATGGAGGATCGTCGAGCGCCCGATCGAGGCAGATCTCACGATAGACCTTGAATGCAAGCCTGGCGACATCGCTGTATCAAAAGATAGTGACATGCTTATGTACAAGAATGTCGAGACCATTTGGCGACTCATCTCAAAAGGAAAACTCCTTGTGTACAACGTCCCAAGCGTCTATGCGGTTTTAGATCTCATCCGGGTCCAGTTTACTGTACTTGGTATCATATAAAAAAAAAATTACTAAAACCGCAACATCCCCTCTCTCGGAAGTGCAAAATCATCCAGGAGCTGGATGGAGTAGGTAAACAGATCAATCAGATCATCGTGTATATTACTAATGCAGAAAACGTATTATCGATTCTAACGTCTCGGCATTTTTTTTTTTTTTTTTTTTTTTGGATTGCAGACGCTGCGACGATGACGAAGCATTATTCGGCACACAATCAAGTTATGTGCAAGAATACTGCCCAAGAGACATTTGCTACTTCGCAGAAGGTTTTTGTGGATCTTTCACAGACCCTGTGCAGATTGGCCCACTCCCTTCGTCCTCAACTCAAACTGCCATGACTTATGACAGTCTTCGGAAGCAGTTCGATTGTCTTTCTCAGCGATACTCCCAGATGCCTTAGAGATGCGAGAGGCACGCGAGGCGGAGAGAAGGTGTACAACGTCAAACACAGCCTTGCATGAAGGCGTGCATAAAATTAACTCTAATTTATTGTGATCGAACTGGTACTAAGACTCGGCGGCACAAGTTTTCGCAGACCTTCAATAGGTATCGCACGATCAATCACCCTGCTCCCCGTCAGGCAGAGGCTGGAAGTGAGCTGAGCCCCGCCCAGCCTCGTATCAAACCTCCGCAACACCGACCGCGACATTGCGTCAAACAGCGCACTCGACTCAAGGAGCATGAACCGCCTGAAGCAATGAAGCAGTACACATGAAAGGCATGGAAAAAACCGCCCGAGAATCCCTTGGACCTCGACGCTGGCTCTTTCAAGAAGAAGAAGAAGAAGAAGAAGAAAAAGAAAAAGAAGACTACGCCAAAGCCAGTAAGCGCCTCGACAGGAAAGGCTGACTTGGTTCGAGTTATGAATTGGGAACATCCGACAGTGACCCTCAATGTCGGAGAGTCGGAATTGATATCCGAAATCAAGGGGTGTCTCCAGGATATTGCTCGGGTTGCATCTGACACCAAGCGACAGGGGCAGCAACTCATCGGGTGGTTCATTGAGAGTCCCTTTTCTTCACGCGAGCCTGATGCAACAGACAGAAATATATTGCGCAACATCTGTCCATGTGTCTCGTCCAAGGTCAAAGTCGAGGGAGAGGTCGATGTGGGTGACCATGATGAACAGGAGGAGGAGGAGAAGGAAGAAGATAAGAGTGATGATGACCCGGCGCGCAAGGACTCAGACCACCTACGCTTCCATACTGTGCTGCTCCAGCATCTCTACACAGGCGACCCTCCCATCGTGACGAATGTAGTTGCTAAGCGCGTTTAACAGCTCGTCGATCGAGCAGCGAGCCTTGGGCCGCTGCAGAGAAGGAGCAATAGAGCTGCAAGCTTGACCAGGAAGCCATACTCTGCTGCGGCTTTACACCGCTCTATTGCCTCACAGCTGTCCAGTGAAATAAAAAAACAATACAGAAGCAACAGCAATGAGCCCGAGAAAAAGGTAGAGTACAAAATTTGTGTTCTGTCGCTACATGTGTGCTAGTAGAGGCCAGCTGTAAGAACGACAATACTAACATTGATGATCTGTCTATTATAGCTAAAGACTTTGGTCTCATATCAGATGGATCACGTACAGAAGTCGACCAAGGCATCCCAGCAATCGAGAATTTCGTGCTTTTGAACCGGTCTAGCAAGAGTTATCGCAAGACGGCCTCACTAACGAATACAGAGTAGCCTTTCATATCGTCCTCTGAACGTGAGCTCGGTATTTTGTTTGGCAAAATGCTGCACTGAAGAAAAAACTTCAGGAACTAATACTGGTGGACTTTAAGGACAAGAGCATTATTCCTTCCAAGAGCGAAAGACTCGTGGATTCCTTATCACAGAGATGCTTCCAGACATCGGCAAGCGTGAGCCATGCAAAGGACCGAGAGATTACAAGGATTTGACGTCCGTGGTAGACCTGAGCATGATGCGAGAACACGTTCAATCCATTCGGCAGGCCAACTTCGACACTATGACTTACGAGGGATGCGGCTATGTTTGCCGAGGTTCCATTCGGACAGACGGTTTCTGCCTACATCTGTCGGCTTTCAAGTTGAGGGAACTGCGTCTTGCCCTTTCGAACCACATCCACAGTCAGGGAATAGATTATTACTTGACCGAGGCCCGAAACATGGTGAAGATCCAGCAGGATGTCACTAGCCTTTGGATTAAATCAAGGTTCCAGGTCTCGATCTCAGCCAAGCCTGTATAGTCGGAGCCAGCGCGTTGTTACCAAAGAACGATGATCCTATCAGTACGATAACGGGTCCTGGAAGAAAGGATGATAATGTCGACATGACCAGCTCTTCTGAGGATACAACCCCTACTCCCGTTCCTTCCACCTATTACAATCTCGTAGTAAAGCAGAAAGCTGTGTATCAGCCCACGTTTCAACCACAGAAGATGGATGGAAGAGCAAAAAGCAACAACATTGTACCAGGGGACGAAATAGAATCTATCAGCAACATTGAGACTAAGCTGCCTCTACTTCGCGATGAGGGAGCCAGCTTTGCCAGCTATGTTACGGAGCTGGAGAGAGTAGAGGGACAACCGAGTGAGTTTTACAATGGCAGCAACCGGTTCATGAAGCATAAGTGGGACGCGAGAAAGAGGGATGCGGAGTACAGACCCATAACGGATCATCTACTCAAGTTAGTGGGAGGATCGATTAGCAGAAAGAGAGAAAAAGCCAATAGGGTTGTGATTGGAGTTGGTCTGGGCAAGTTTTCGACCAAGACGAGACTCCTCTTTGCGCGGATCCTTGTAGCCATACTTTGTTCAGAAGGTAAAAGCATTATCATTTGAGAACCGAAGTTATGTAAAATAGCTTTATGTTTTTATTGACTTTGCCTTGATGCCCTCTAGGCCAGGTCTCTAGGCTATACTGCTCAACCTGCGGTACTTTCATGCAATGTCGTTCGCAGCCATTTACTCTATCAACAGCGACCGTTCTATCTTCAGCCAGTAGATAAGGACGGGCACTATCCTTGGATGCAAGGTGCAAGGCCGCACATAGAAGCCGAGGGGAGTAGCAAAAACAGTATTAGCGCAGTGGGGCAAGGGCAAAGGCAAGGACGAGCTGGAGGATGTAAGTGAGCAGCTTCGTCCTCTTGGAAACCCCCCCCTGGCGCGACTATAGACTCCAATATCGACGAACTTTCTTGCAAAGATGCGTTCTGTGACGTATTTGAGCCTGAATTGTTCGGCACTCTGTGCCTGATATAGCCCACCTTCACCCAATGATTACAATCCTTGACCCCCATTCCTTCCACTCTTTCAAACACCTGTCCACCAACATTGCATGTCGCCCTAAACTTCCCTGATTGCTATCGACTGTGCGATGGACCCAGTCTTTGCCTCGATGGGTAACCCGCGCCCTTTTCCCGGAGGATCCTCACAACATCAGGGTCGTGCTGGCAATATACCCCGCAATCTCGCCGCCATAGGAGGTCCGTTCAACCACAATAAAAGCCAGTCTTCCATCTCCAATGAGAATGAGTTCAAAAAGCCCTTTCTGGATCTTCCATCTGTACCGTTGATGAAGCGCAAACTGTCAAGAACTGAACTCGATTCAAAGAACAAGGTTCACTTGCGGCGACAGTCCAACGGCTTCGACAGCAGCAGCAATAACAACCGCGGCAGCAAGGGTGGACAACAAAATGAGACCCCTCTTTCCGACAAAACCCTCTCCTCCCTCAATCACGATATCAATACCGCAGATGTACCAGCTCTGATTCTGGCGCCCTTTGAGCCCCCGCCCTGGCTCGAGTTCGGAAAGGCCGTGGTTGGCACCAAAAAGATGGCTGCAATGATTGTGCAGAACCCAACAGACCTGATCGAGAAGCTCACAGTGGATTCCAGCTGCAAGATGGAGGAGAAAGGCTTCAACATTGTTCAATTGGATCCTCTTCAGCAAACAGGAGGTAGAAACACGACTGTCGAGCCACTAGTACTGCCGCCAAGGAGCAAAGCGGAGATATCGATTTGTTGGACACCCCTTACTGCGGGAAATGTTCGTGCCAGTGCTATCTTGAAGACCAACACTGGACGGTTCATGATCAATCTCAGAGGATGTGGCGATGTCCCCGTATGTTGTCCGATTAAAATAAGCGTGCTCTTGTCTTGGGCATTGGTAGAAATTAAACGACTGACCGTCTGAGCAATGCTCTTCAATCTCTCGATAGATTCCTGAATATCAAAGTTTAAACAGCTCAAGGAGACCATCCACGGCCAGCATTCGCGGCGTGAAGCAGGGCAGCTTGGCAACACTGAAACCAAGGAGCAGCGTATTAAAACAAAGCATGATGCGGCACAGCGTAACGAGACCTGACACCGCTAATAGAGCGCCAGTACCGGGCGGATACAACACTCTTCCATATGTGACAACAAATGAGATGTACGACGAAAAATGGATCGACAAGCAACAACAGTCTTTCAAAGAATGGTTGAACCACGAGTTCAGTGGCACGGTGGATGACTTTTCATCCGATGATCCTTCTTCATGGAGTTATTACTCGCACAAGCTGGAGTATGAGCATACCCGAGCCGCGGCGTGCAAGATTTACCAGTCGGATACCTTTCGAATCGTACTACGCAAAGTGGAAGAGTCCATTGCACGAGATCGACTGCAGCTTCACCCGGAACGTAACCTTGTTGGTGATATTACGACTCGACGGGAAATCATCGACATGCTGTTTTCATTCGACATTCGATGGCTCGTCCTTGGATTAGAAACTATCACTGGCAAAGAAGTAGCTATTAAACCAAACTTCGACAGGGCCACGATCTCTGGGTTTATTAACCAGGTACTTACGCCGTCATATTGCAACGACAGGAAGCTGTCCTTTAACCGAGTATTGAAGTCGAGTTCTTGACGATGTGACTCTTTGTGGAAAATTTTCTTAGGCTATCTTTCATAACGAGCAGATTGAGGCTGAGTTCGAGCCGGACAGGATATTGTCGAACCGACCAAAGTTCTATCAGGCGATGAACCGGCTAGTTCTCAAGCGAATCTTTATGCTGATACTGTTCCTTGACAAGGCTAAGCTTGCTCGACTAATTTCTTCGGATCCGTGCTTATTCAACAAGGTGTGTCTCTATCCAATGGCACATATCGTCACTGCAAACTCAGGAATGATATTGATGAACTTATGGTCCCTGTTTACACGCATAGGAATCTGATGTCAAATCGTGTAGAACTCTGTTACTGAAGATATCCAACAGCTATTTGTTGGGTGAGGGGGACATCATTCGGCATTTATTATTCATGGGCTTCTCAGTACTGCACACTCAAGCTCCATTGGATGAATTTAAATTCAAAGTTGAAAACCTTGCGGTGGACCTGCGCGATGGTGTCAGGCTATGCCGACTAATCGACTTGCACTGTCCCGAACTCAATCTGTGTCAGGCAAGTTCATGTGTGCGGTACACGTAATGTGGCAAGTGCTTCCACAAGTACTTGGCAATTCAGTCCTAATCACCGTTGTGCTCCATTCTTATACCCTTATTCCATTAGAAAATGAAGTTCCCGACGCTTTCAAAAGCGCACATGCAGCAGAACGTCAGCCTTGCGCTCAATACATTAGTGAAGCAGGGAATCTCTCTGGAGGGCACCCGTGGAGGTGTTGTAAGTTCTCGGGACATTGTCGAAGGTCATCGCGAAAAGACATTTGGGCTCCTGTGGAAGCTGATTCTCAATTGGAAGGTCGCGGTGCTGCTCGACCTCGGTGTCCTCGAGGCTGAAATCAGTGCACTGAGGAAGGAATATATGCGACTCTTTGGCGTCGACCAGCCTGACCGAGTGGTAAGTCGTCAATCGTTGACTTAAAGGATGACCCATGTGTATGCTGTCTCGCTGACATGGCAAGGCATTGATATTTCTCTAATTATAACAGGACACCGTGTATTTTACGTCGGACCAATTGTCTGCTTTGCTGCGATGGTGTCAGGCGATCGGATCTTTTTACAATCTCTCTATCAACAACTTTACTACTTCCTTTTCCGATGGTCGGGCATTTGGAGCCCTACTTAGTTATTACCATCCCACGCTACTCGACATGGACGAGATGAAGGACTCTGCCCAGTTTTTGGCAGAATACAAGCAGGTAAGCATGCGGCTTTTGGTCAGTAATAATAGGGAACACATGAATGATTGCGCAATCACTAATTTAGTGAATGTATATTTTTTAAAGGGTCTTCATCAACCGGAGCCACAGCTTCCTGAACGTAACGATGGAAAGGGCTGGTTTATCGATGCCAAGAATCTCAAGGATCCTATTACTCAGGCAAAGGAGATGGATAGGTTCAACTACCGCCTGCTTGACAAAAGAGTACAGGCTCTCGGCGGAGTCCCTATTACACGTATGTGTCTTCTTTTGTATTAATGTTATTGCCATGTCAGCATGTCAGTGCCATGACAACAGTCTCTAACAGAGCCTTTCCCATGCAGTGCGTCATAAGGACATGTCGAACGTGGGCGTCCCGGATGAAAAGGCTGTTATTTTGTTCGTCACATACCTCTGCGCTCGACTCATGCATTTGAACAATGACATCAGGGCTGCCAAGACGATTCAGCGTATCTGGCGCAAGAAACATTACGGCCGCAAGGAAGAGAACAGGATCAATTCTACCATTGTTATTCAAAAATTTGTGCGGAAGTTTCTCTCCCGAAAGCGATTGCACGGACTCAAAAAGCAGCGAGATGACGCAGCAGTGTTGATCCAGACGGGCTGTCGTATGTTCCTGGCCCGGACTCGCGCACTCCATAAACTGGAGAGCGTCATCAAAGTTCAGTCTGTGCTCAGAGGCTACTTGACGAAGAAACACTATGTGGAGATCCAATGGGCTGCGTTGACCGTCCAACGATACTACAGAGGCCATATCGTTCGCCTGTACTTCAACGAAGCTTTGGTGCAGCACCGAGCTGTCCAGATGGTTCAAGCGCAGGCTCGCGGATACTTGACCCGGAAGTGGTTCCTCCTTTTGCGGATAGCCGCAGCGGTAATCCAGACAAGACGGCGGGCCATCAATGATGGTCGCAGGGTTCGAGGCTTTTACCTACAGCTTGTCAACGCAGCCATTATTATTCAACGCCGGTGGAGAGCGACTGTGGTGGGAAGAAGTGCTCGGCAGGCGTTTTTGCAGCAGAGAGACTTGATGATTCGACTGCAGGCCCAAATCCGATCCAACCTTATTCGACAGGCTTATATCGAGATACGCTGGGCGGCCACTGTGATCCAGGGACGACTGAGGCAGCGCAATGAGACAAGGAGGTTGCATCATCAGTTTATGATGCAGCGATGGGCGGCAGCTGTTATCCAGATGCAATGGCGCGCTGTGGTTGCTCGGCGTCATGTTCAGCATAAGTACCATATGTTACGTTGGGCGGCAATCAAGATCCAAAGCATCGCTCGCGGTCAAGTGGTGCGGCAGCGATATAATGAGCTCCGAAACGCCACCCTGGTTGTTCAAAGACGCCGACGAGCATTTGTCGAGGGAAGAGCGCAGGAAGTTGCGTTCCTGAGAGTACGAGTTGCTGTTCGGGTGATACAGGAGCGATGGAGAGCGGTACTGCTAGGCAGGGCGACGAGGGCGCAGTATCAGGAAGTGCGTTCGAGCATCATTCATATCCAGGCAACTGCACGTGGCTGCCTGCTCCGTCAACGATTGATGAGGGTCATGCTGGAGAACCAGGCGTGCCTGGCCATTCAAGCTGCTTGGCGTGGTTACGCTCAGCGTCGAGCTTATTTGGAAGTCAGGGTAGCAGCAATCAAAATTCAACAGACATGGAAGGCGGTTCAGCAACGACATATAGATCAACATGCATTCAAGGAATATCAATGGGGAGCTGCTGTTATTCAGCAATGGTGGCGTGCTTGTAAAGCTGGTCGGGATGTGCGAATCAGGTATCAACGACTGCGCCAGGCTGCTATTACGATCCAGTCGGTATATCGTGGCCAAGTCGCACGGCGGGAAGGGATGGTGCTTCGTACAATTGTAGGAGTTCAGACAACAGTACGCGCGAGATATATGCGTTACCAGTTTGAAAGGCTTCGAGCGGCCGCTGTGGTCATTCAGCAACGTTGGCGAGCATATCGGTCTGGAATTGAGCATCGGGCCATGTTTGAATCGGCACGATATGCGTCCATTATCATCCAGCGGAGATGGCGAGCAGCTCTGGAGGGAAGAAAGGTCCAGCAGGAATACCAGTCTACTCGTGCGCTTATCATCGCTATTCAGGCGCATGCAATGGGTGCTCTGGTGCGTAGAGCGTATCAGAAGATGCGGTGGGCAGCTACAGTGGTCCAGGAGAGGCGGCGTGCGCATGTGCAAGGACGAGAGCAGCGCAAGGCATACCTGGAGCTATGGATGGCCTCCAGGAAAATTCAAACTGCCTGGAGATCTTTTCAACTTACGAAGAGGCAGAGACACGCGTATCTTGATTTACGATGGGCATCTATTGTCATCCAACAGCGATGGCGATATATCATGTATATCCGGACCATGCAGATGCAAGCCGAAGCAGAGCGTCAGGCCACCGCGATCATGATCCAGACAGCAGTACGTGGATGCCTAGTTCGCAACAGAGTCCGTGAGTACCTTGAGGATCGTGAGCGCGTGATGGTGCGCTGGGTTGAGCTGTCGTCTCTGACGCTCTCAGCCATTTGCATCCAACGATGCTGGCGCCGATACCAAGATGGAAAGCTGGCCGTGCTCCGTGAGACTGCCACTGTCATGATCCAGCGCTGGTGGCGTCAGCATTTGGAGGCTAAGCAGGTGCATGAGCTCGAGTTGCTTGCGTTCAGGATACAAACACAGGTCCGAGGGTTTGTGGCACGCCAGAGGTTCTATCAGCAACGGCTGGCGATCGTCAAGCTGCAAGCATGGTGGCGCGGTCACCTTGTTCGACAGGATTGCACGGCCAAGATCAAGGCAGCAAGGAAGAGGATTGAACATGCGAACGCAACTGCGGAGGAACACATGAAGCTTGGAAACCGAACAACAATGGCATTGGACATCCTACTCAGCAGTGGTCAGCTCTCTGCGGTCCTGAAAGCATGTTATCACTTGGGTAAGTCATTTATTTTCAATTTAGTTTTGTGTATCGAATATCTCACCCATTTCGCCCACCTTTTGTTAACAATGGTCACATCCCATTCTTCTTCCACTTCTTGCATGTAGACGTGGTTACTCGGCTGTCCAAGAATAGCTGTCTCCGCCTGGTGGAGCACAATGTGATCAATATTATCTTCCAGCTGATCAAGTCCTGTAACCGAAGTCAACCTCACATGGAGGTCCTGAAGCACGGGCTCAACATCATCGAGAACCTCTCCCGAGATCCTGACACCGTTGCATCAGTCTTTTGGGCGCCCGAGGGGATGGAGATCCTGGTAGACTGTGCTCAGGCGTATCGCGAAAACGAGATGGTATTTGAGTCCGTAATGACGATCCTGTTAATTCATCTGGAGCAGGACGAGAAGCGACGCAGTGTGATGAAAGGCATGGGACCTGAGGTCAAGAAGCTGAGAGGCGTTCTGGTGGTCATGGAACGCAAGGTCGAAAGAGAAGGGCGGAGCAAGAGTCTGCACATGGTGCCAGGAAAGCCCGTGCGACTGTTGGTGCAGTCTGTAGGGAAATTGCGAAGAATCATCGAGTTGCTGCAATAACGTATATTTTTTTTTTTTTTGTAATTTATTAAAATTCGCCTGTATTCCATTCATATTCATTGTGTACCCGTCATTCTCAAGACGCTACTTGTGTTAGATTGATGCAGAGCAAGTGCTGCAGAGCATCAGCTTGAAAAGGGTAGCGGCGAAGACATACGGATCAATCGTGACTTTTTTTTTTTTTTTATTATTAACATAAATCCCCATGTTATATGGATCAATCGTGACAAAATAGATCTACTTCTGTAGGCGAAGGAAACGATCAACTGGGCGAAGTCACAGCTGAACTAGGAATCACAGTCAAATCTGGTTTACCAGCCCAATTTTACAGACAAAACTGGGCCGATAACCAGTTTCGACTGTTAATCCACATGAGAGGAGTGTGCATATAGAGGGAGAATTGCATATATAGAATTTTTTTTTTTTTTTTTTTTTATTCAACATGGCCTCCGAGAGAGAACAATCAGTGCTGGTTTCCTAGTGAATAGTCTCTGAGACTTGTGTCTATCTGGCCCTAAATCTTCTAGTGTGGCAGTCGCACCATCTCCAACAACTTCACTGTAACCTCCCTAAGCGTCCCGAGGTCTTTCTCCTGCGATCCGCTCGGCTAGCTGGCAGGCTCCTCACCTGCAAATCTGCCAAGACCATCTCTCCAATTGTAACCTGTACATCTGGGAGATGGTCTTGGTTTCTTGAGAGCACGGAATCCGTTCTACTGGCTTGCGAGCTGAATCCTCTACTATTGTAACATTTCCTCCTCCTCCTCGTCCCGTCTTTCCTCCACCTGAGGTCACTGGATGTGAGCTCAGATTAGCCTATTATAAAGTGGGCCTACTCACTTTTGAACTTATACCTGTAACCCCGGCAGGGGTAGCTAAGACGCATGCTGCCAGTGCAGTGGAATAACTTGTACACCCTGGTGTATAGCTGGGAAGTTCTGAACCAGCGCCTCTCGAAGTCCGGAGGCTAGCGCAAGGGCGAAATTTATTCTGAGCATTTTGTCAAGCGTTAAGGAAGGGGAAAGGAAACCCACAACGATTACATGGGGTAGTGCCACTCAATGTGGGGGTCGCCGGGGAAAGGAAACCCACATAACTGAAGTGGGGTAGTACGCCCGACTCATGCTCCAAATAAATTTCTATGCGTAGCACATATTACTGTGCTTTAACCAGGGCTCGAACCTGGTCCCTTCGCGTTACAAGGGAGGTGCCCTGACCAGTATGCATTGCATATATAGAAAATTTCAAATATAGAGGTATATTGCAAATAAGGAATGGTAAATCTATGTAACTTAATATTGTTCTTTGTCTTATCGTATACTACGAATTCAGCTAACATAGTATAATGGTTAGTATATCTCGTTGTGGCCGAGACGATCCTGGTTCGATTCCAGGTGTTAGCATTTTGCATGTTTAAGCAGTGATCCTCATTGGAATGTATGTTTTGGCATTTCATGCTCCATCCAGCACTGCAGAATATTTCCTTTCAGTTCAGCCCAATCTTTTTAGGAATTGTCAACCTTATTTGACAACCCATGCGGAAATCCATTTGCCACGTAAAAAGGATTGGCGTATGAAGAGGATAAAAAAAGGAAGCATCAACGTTTATTTGAGTAACGGGAGCTGGATTTGCACGCGCACAACATGGTGCAGCTACGAAACGACAGAGATGTCATGAGAAGGTAGCTGGCAAACATATTGAAAGGTCCGTTAGCTCTGCTTGACCGTTCTTTGGTGGAGAGGTATTCTGAGTGTCTTGAATCCTGGACATTTAAACTTTAATCTACGAACTCAACCGATAATAGTATCCTAAAGAAAGTGCTGTTAGGCTCGAATGTATATTATTGATACTACATTCACGGCTGTCATTTATATAATGCTACAGGCAAGTTTTATCTAGCTCATTTCCGGTGTAAGAGTGACTCAGGGACAGAAAGGCTAAGGTCGAAGTGAGTGCCTCATTAAATAGGTAGAGCCTTTTATTTGCCCTAGATCCGCCTCGCTAATTCCATCCGCTTGTGTTAGCGAAGAGACCTTTGTAGCCACCTATGTTGAACCGGTACTGCAAGGCACCTTGAAGGCCGATGACAAGATCTCGATACATTTGTATGTGTTCAAGCGTGTCTACGCTTACCTCATATGCTGCTACATCCCCAACCAATATGAATTTGTTAATGTTTATGAAGCCTCAACGCCATATTCACCACGCAAAAAGTCTTAAGACATTAAACCGGGCCGACTAGACATTGCAGTGAAGGCTCGTGGACAGGAACTACTCTTTGGAGAAATGAGCAGACCTTGCAAGGAGATGAATATTACCAAAAGTATATCGTCTCGCCAGATCTTTCCTCAACTTGGACAATCCCATGGCGCCATTACTTCAAGTGATTTATAACAAAGAGGTGAAAATGCGAGGCATGTTCTTGTTACAAGAAATGGGATCATTTATTGTACAAACCACGGTCAACATGATCCCATCTGTGCTTGACACGATATAGATTCTCGTTGCTGTCAAGATAAACTATTGAATCTTTAAGTTTTACGAACAGTGCATATCTATTCCGCTCATCGCTGTGGCAATCATCGACAAATTGTAAGCACTTAAGAGGCTTTTACTCGCAGCGCCGAATGGAGCAGGAAAGAAATGCTTCATCATTTTTATTTTTATTTTTATTTTTGTTTTTCAGATTAAAAATCTCCATGTCTGTGTATCGGGTTCTAAAGACGTTCCAGAGGTAGCAGCGGAGTGCTTCTGCCGTTGCCGGGGAACTGTTGCTGCAAGTGCCCTCAACACATGGTCCTCCCCAGGCCGATAATGGTGATGTCTTACTGGGCACTCTAGGGAACGGAGGAAGCGGCTATACGGGGCGCGACGCCTTTGAAATTGAGTTTATTGGGCTTTCTTATCTTCAGTTACCGTACTTCCACTCCTTTGTGCATGACTTGATGCTCGAGCAGCGTATCAGCTGTCCCCCACAGGTGGAATGATCCCTAATCCGGTCCGGCGGCTCCCTTACCACGTTAGCTGTCTCTCGCCGATCGAACTCCTTGCTGACCTGTTTGCATACCTTTTAAAGTTCTTGGGCGCGAGCGACCTCTGGAACCTGTGCCTTGTTTCGAAATCCATGCTGGGAGACGTTCTGGGGCACATGTCATTGAGTCAAGAGTTCGCGTTCAAGGCAGTCAGAATATTGCACAGAAAATATCCACTCACCTTCCGAATGGCGTCGCGTGGAGTACGACAGATCATGGGATCAAGACAGAGATTGGCATTGGTCGATGTTCAGCTCCAACACTCTAGGACCTAGTACAGCACGGCCACCGCCACCACCTCAATCTTCTTCAACAGCAGATTTAAGCCATTGCGACGTTCGAAATACGTATTAGGCTAAGCAGTCGGAGTTCTTGTTGTCAGCCCCCGTTGATGGGACACCGTACGATGCTATCAACCCGAAGGGCTAACATTTTGGCGCAGGAGAGAGCTATTCAGGTCCCGATGGCCAGCTCACCCTCAACGCCACTGGTGGATATGAGTGCAGTCTCGTGGATAACATGGATTCGGGTGCTGCTTCATGACACTATTGGCCCTCCTTCCCCCATTCCCAATCTAACGCTTTTGGTCTATGGTTGATATCCTGTTCGATCCGCATCTGGTGAAGCCTACATACAGGAGAGCCCTCGTCAATTGTGCACGCTACATAACCGCAGCGATCGACAGTGCCTTTAGAGAGACTACCAACACCATTGTGTTATTGGACACTGTCTTCTGTGGCGAGCATCTAAGGCTTGCAGTGTGAACATGGGACCGTATTTACGACACATTTCGCTGCACGAACGACCACCGGATGTCGAAATCTTTACTGTTCCACCACCAATACTGGGTACATACTTTCGGATGATGACCTGGAGCCGCTGCCTAAGCGCGACCTCATTGCGCTCTATAGCAGAATTCACATTTCGCATAGCAGCTCGACTACTGTCTACTGGACACCAACGCCCAACCAGCGAGACTAACCTACTCAAACCTATAGTATCCAAGACGTCCGGTGTTAAAAGTGCAAAGATATCTCAAAAGAACGCGCTACCAAGCCTGTAGACACACAAAAGCATCCCTTTTCCTGGATCAGGAGTCCACCTCTCGTCGGAGACCCACGCTTCTACCGTCCTATTGCATGTCGAGGCTGCCGATGATCACGGAGAGCGGCTGATACGCTACAACAAGCTAGAATAAGAAGAAAGCGCCGTCTTCTAGTATAGGCTCAAGAAACCAGGGAGCAGAAGAATCTTCGATTGGAACAAGAAGAGGACGCCAAAGACGACGACTTTACCCTGTGTCGCTTCTGGATGACGGAGCATATTCGGTGAGAAGCCTCACGGGTGCGGAACTGCTATCTCTTTGTCATATGGCGTGCGGACTATTCGTAATCAAATCTCAGCATGTCCAAACGGATGATACGATTATGACACTTTTACGGCGTGGCAATCCATGGGGAAAAGGTACATGGCGCGAGGGTGAGCGGAAGCGCGCTTCAGTAGACCCGAGTCACGCTTTGGACGAGGTTTTGGTTGCTCATCGCCATGATCAAGAGCACGAAATGAATTATGAAGAGGTATATCTTCGTCGCCATAATCTGCCTTTCAGTGGTACCCCAACTATGCTTTTTTTTGCGCCGGCTACAAACAATACATGGAATATATGCTGGAGACGATAGTGATATGGACCACTGTCCGTGGCAGAAGCTTTGTTTGGCGGCAATCGAGTTCCTAACACACGAGGACTTGGTGTGGGGTGGCAATAGGACTCACCAAAGAGCTCTGTAGGTTGCGAGTGGGGGATTATTAGGGCAAATGGTACTATCTCGAATAAAGCTAATATTGCCTTGTGCTTGATCTGCTTTTTTCTCTTCGCATTTTTTTTTTTTTGAAAACCTCTCAGACTCACCTTGAGTATTCTCCGAGGCATCATTTATTCTTCTGGCAATTGCCTACCCATCATACTGATTAGTCGTATCCAGTGAGTCGCTCTATCAGTCCTGTGGGTTAAAACGAATGTGTTGACAGCTTGCAATTGGAGCGGACAAAAATATGTCGATACAAGGCTTGTATGAGGATAGTGTGACTTTAAACAGGCTTGAAAAACTCGTGTGGTTGGCCTGAAAAGGATGGACATCAGCTTGCAGTGCTCATTCCATCATCGCCCTGTACAACCGTCCTATCTCTCTCGTTCCATTCTCCGTTGCTGCACTCAGCCCGTGCAGCAGTTACTGAGTGCCTAGAATGGCCTTGGGCAGAGGAGGTCGCGAAGGGGTCAGCAGACTCAAACTCGAAGTACTGCCTGTATATCGATCAGCATCCATAGAGGGCATGACGAGCTGTAGTCGTTTTCTTCTTCGTCTTGCTTGCAAGGGAAGTGACATGGTCAGCCTTAAGATAGACATTAGCTGATATAAAAAGATCCGACGCCTTTTGCTTCGCACTCGTTATCCTCCTTTCTTTCCTCATCCTTCCATGAACTAAACTCCAATCCATCAGCCTCCGCAACCTCACACGATCCACTTCATTTCGCGCCTTTCATCCTGAAAACTCCCTTTTCATGACATTGATGCATGGACAGTCTGATCCCGGGACATCGTGGCGTCACGCGCGACAGCAGCGCGATGGTGAGCACCGCCCTGAACTCGATCTTCCAGATGATGTTGATCCTATCTACGACAATCCCTTCGAGGAAAGCGGCCACAGCCATCACAACGCGACTATTCATTCCATGAACGTGAACGAGGAGTTGATGCTTGCGAACCCCGATGAGGATATCAAGCCAAGCAAACATTCCCAGGCTACCTCCTCCGAGACCACAAGCGATCTGACGAAAGGTTTTGGTGCGGGTCCCTTAATGATACTTCAAGTAGATCAGCCCAACTTGTCATCAACTCTACAAGAATCCTCAGCTGAGGCGCCGGTTACCATAAGCCCATCCAAACAATACCATTGGGCTCCACTCTCCCCATCTGACAGTGACGCTGCGGCTCCATTTGTACCCCCACACCTGCACTCTCCATTCGAATACACAAATACTCATACCCGTGGCTCGTTTGGTGGCAATCTACCTAGCCAGGTGGATGGCCCTCCCTGGCGACCCACGCTCTCAACGGGTTGGAGACTGCAGAGTTTACTTCCTGCTCCAGCAGATCTGCCTCTCTCATCTTCGTCATCAGCATCATCAAATCCACAGAGTTTCTCTGCTTGGTCATCTCACACCTACTTCTGTGACCAAGAGTCCAAGATTACGATGAATCAAACTCTCCCAAGCCTTCGATCATCCGAGCAGGATATATACTCATCGACCTCGGGAGACATCTCCGAGGCTTGGCCGACGGACCTAGGGTACCAAACTTCGGCGGGGACCAGTATCTATCCTGGACTATACCCAACAAGCACCACTTCTCTGGGATTCAGCGAACACAGCCGAGCGAAACAAGGGTATAAGAAGCGACTGCCGCTGAGGCCCTCGAACCTTCCAGTATCGCCCTTTCACGCTGCAGTGTACGGTAACCATCACAGTTACAGCAACTGTCTTGCTTTCGAAATGTATCAGAAAGCGCGCCCAGGAAATGCGTTGGCATGGGCACCAAACAGCAAGAGCTCGCCCCTCGATCGACTTTCCACGACTACACAGATGTTGAACGACGAAAACCCCCTCGCAGCCTTGTCGACGTCAACTTCAGGGGAGGATCTGTCTCCAGCTATGCCTCCGTCGATGCCGATTGTCGACAGTATGCCAGTTCCGATGGAACAGGGTCAACATCAACAGCAGGATTATCCAACGCAGGAGACACGCCGCACACTCACCAAGCACCAGCTACAGGCGATGGATCCTGACCCCAAGTACTGTGATAACTGTAGGACAACAACAACTCCGAGCTGGCGAAGGTGCCCTCAAGGGAGGATTTTACTCTGCAACGCCTGCGGACTATAGTAAGTGAGGTGGCTACCGAGTTTCTACACTACTACTATTTCTTTTTTTGAACTAATGTTTTAATTCCTTCTCACTCTGTGATGACGCATAGCCAAAAGTTGCATGGCAAGTCCCGTCCATTCTTCAAAGCAAGGGATGGAACCATCAAGATCCACCGCACCCTGCCTGAACACACCCCCTGCACTAAGTGCGGCACGACCAAGACCCCGGTCTGGAAGAAGAGTGCAAATCATGAGACGATCTGTCTTGGTTGTAGCTTGATCTTCAAGCATGCTGCCGCAGAAGCATCTCGGTCCTTGTCCCACACAGCCTCCTCGACCCCTCTGAAGGGCGCAATCCTCCACACTCCGACAGCAAAATCCCATTCGTGTTCCGGAACCAAGTCTTCGACGATGCTGAGGGACGAGAATGGTCGTTACATTAACGTCCGAGATGCGCAGAAGCGGACTACCGTAGAAGGTATCAGCAAGAGGAAGAGGATCGGGGGGCCAAAACAGCGAATCTTGCAAGTCGATGGCCTGCAGACGTATCCCCCCAGCCATGTTGCATTGCCGATAGGATTCCATGGATCTGAGTTCAGGCAGCCTTGCGGATCCGACGACCAGTCCTCGGTAGCGTGGGACTCTCATCACCAGCAGCAATACGCACACCAACCATCCCATTCATATTCATCCCTCTCGTCTAATGGACACTCGTCATTCATGAGAAGTGCCTCCAACGGTGCATTTGATGGATCCGGGTACTATTGGGATACACAGCATCACCATCGCTATCCTTCTCAGGCGCAGCCTTCGTACTTCCGGGAGGAGCAGCTTCAGTACTCGTCCGCTCTGCAGCATGGACTCCCACTGCAGCATCTCCAGTATCAACCATACCACCAGTCGTATCACTGCCACGGGCCAACATCTATGGTTCACTCCAACACCAACACATATGTTCCCGAGACCGATACATGTTCATCCACAGCCATGGTCTCTAACACGACAACCACAACGGGTTTGTTCCCAGAGATTCAGGGATCGGCAGAGACATCGTCGTCAGCCATTCCAGCCGCCATGTCACATCTGTACCCGCCAATTTACCCATCATCAGAGCCCTCGAGCGAGCCTCTGCAACGCGACGATGTGGTTCCGATCGATTCTCAAGCGGGGGAGCAAGGGTTCAAACATGTCGCGAACCCGAACGCGACATCCTCTTCCCCGCTGGTACGCCCGCGATTGTTTTCATCGCCTCTTGTTCACATGGGCGATGATGTTCTCAAGGAGGAAAGGAAGAAAGATAGATACGTTTCAATTGATACGGTCGGCACGACTGGCAGTGAGTTATCGTCTGTGCAGGATTATGCGTCGGATTAGGAGTAGAGGGATCGAGTTGCCATTGGCTCATTTTTTGTGTAGGAGACGCGTCGGAAAAAAAAAAAAAAGAAACATGATTCAGGGGCGTGGAAACTTTTGACATAACAGCCAAACATAGTCCAGCATATAAACACAAAAAATAGGGACATCGTCTCACAGATAACGCTCTACAGGCTCTCTATTCTGCTATGCTGTGGTATATGTAGGATGTCCCTATGATGCTGTTGCAGTATTCAACTTCTGCCGAGGACATGGTAGATGAGTCTTGTAACGAAGGGCGATAGAACCTGCTCTTCCTGCTGGTAGAAAGACTGAAAAAAACAAAGAAACATCAATTTAAGCGAGAAGTTTTTTATCCATTTCTATCGTTCCTTTTCCATGCAAAAAACATTCAATAAAGCGTACCATGATAAGAGACATGGCAAAAGAGAACATCATGACCTCCCAGTGCTTGACGCCCTTGACCCAGTTCTTGCGGTACAGGATCTTGTAAAGACTTGTAGCAGCCTTTGGCAAGACATACATAGCAAGTTCTGCGCGTCGACTCTCCTGCTCAACCATAATGGACGTTCCCGCGCATACGAGGCCAAACAGCCCGTAAAGGTACTTGCTATTACCCAGAGGCCACCCTGCTCTCAAGAGATTACGGTGCGCACAAATCTGGGTTTGGTATCCTGCAACAAAGATGGCCAGGAAGACGGAAGAGCGGAGTGTGTTGAACGTCGTCTTAGAAGCCACATTGATAGGACTATCAGGTATGATGAAAGACGGCATATCAATCTCTGATGGCGAAACTAAAATCAGTCTTCCAACGATTAAATACCGCCCTTGGCTGCTTACTCTTTCATCAATCTCTTCATCCTGAGGACGACCAGAGGGACGAAATTGAGTGTCGCGTAGACAGGGAAGATTCCCTTTGTCACCTGAACGAATCGTTCAATGTCATTTGTCATGCACGAGTCGATCCATGGATGCAGGACCGCACAGGGAAGCGCATCGCATGTCTCTGACATGGTCGAGACCGTCTGGATAGCCAGGTCTGTAGGTCTATACCGGCCAATCAGTTCTCTGACCTGCTTCAGATCCAGAGGGAACCCACGGACACGCGTGCGGTTGAATGCTAGTGCCTCTTCAGGTACACGCGCTGTCTTGAGCATGAATCCAAAGAATTCCCTAGGGATCGTATCCGGATGCATCTATACGGGTTACCAAACAACGCGTGTGAGTGCGACACATTCAAGCACACTCATAGACGCGCCTGAGCCCACTTATTCTTCCTCTATCAGCTAGACATGTACTACTTACTGTGTACGCGTACATCACTTGGGCGGAGCCGAGTGCAAATAACAAGGCATCGCCATGGCGGAACGAGAACTGACCGCGATGCTTGCCAGCATTGTAGACTCCCTGCATAGACCTGTCGTTTTTTTTTTTTAAAAAAAAAATTAGATTAGATGCGAATAGACGGATCGTTTTGAAGATTTGTCAGCGTGTTTACTGCTCCCGGTCCTCCTTTGAATGTTTAGAAAGATACCTGATGAACATCTGCTGGGCAAAGGTCACCCTTCTTTCATGACTCTCGATCAAGATGGCAAGGCCAGCAATTGCTCCTGTTGGTACAAAAAGAAAACAGAGACGTTAAGTAAGTATGTCCGTTTGGTAACTTAACGTTTCTTTCATCAAGAAACATCTACGCTTACCGGCGATGGCTCCATTGATCCTGTCGTCCTTCCCGCGGTAGAGTTTCAGGCCGTTGTTGGCCAGTTTCCACAGGAATGAAAACATGCCAAAGAAGGATCCAAACCGCACTGCATCACGTCCTGTGAATGCATCAGCGACGATTCGACCAAACGAGCCTCTTTTTTAACCGCAAAAAGAGGAAACGAATATGGTTAGCCGATGGACCGCTCTTGATGAAAGTCGCCATATTACCTGTTCTCTCTCAATGCCTTACTTTCCGTTCATCAGCTTCAACATGCCCAGACACAGATTCACCAATGCCTTGGTCCCGTATGATACACCAAATGACCCTATCCAGAGAGATCATCACGTAGCAATTGCAATTGAGTCCATGCACAGCGTATCTTTGGACCTTCAAGGTAATGTTATTTTTTGTTTCACATGCCAACAAAAAAAAAAAAGGATGGGAGTGATGATAGGACAGACACGTACGGATGGCTCCTAGGAAAGCATGCTTGAGGACACCCTCATAAGTCGTGCAGGGATGGACGAGGTGAGGGATCGTCGTCCCAGCCTTGTATTGCTTGGATTTTTCGGCCGCCTCTCTTCCCTCGGGCGTCCGATAGCCCTTTGGACGTTTGCCATCGACCCAGTCAACCCTATCATCTTTATGAAGTTTGTGCGATCTGTGGGACGTTCGGGCTGGCGTGTCTACCGAGGATCTGGTCTTTGATGGGCTCTTCTTGGCGGAGTCGAGGGTCGTCTGGTTGGAGGAGTGAAGGGACTCTGGTAGAGGCATGGTGGGAAGCGTTTCAATGGTCACGTAGGAAGAATTCAGCGACGAAGGCTCCTGGATATCCTGAACAGGAGTCTGAGGACTGGTGTTGGCCATGCCAAAGCAGAGGAATGAGGCGAGATGAGACGAGAAGGAGGGATGCTGAGCGGGAAGAAGAGGAAAAGGCAAGTAGACTAAATAAGGGTTTATACGAGATAAGGTGCGCATTCCTGTGCGGACTGGCCGGCGGTTGGCTGGATGGTGTATATGCGGTTTGAAATCGCAATTGGGATCGCAGGATGATCTGTGGGCACAACTCTGATCGTCCTGATGCTGGTCAAAAGGGGCTCCTCTCATCTACGCCAATGCTCCTACTGTCGAGCTGCTATTAATCCATATCCCTCACTCGCGCACTCATCCTTTCAATCGCACGCTTGTATCATGACGCCTATTGTATCAGACATGGATTAACAAGGTTCGTCTGTAGAGGGGACATGTCTGATCGTTCGGCCAAGGAATTGTAATTCTTCAGAATCATTATTGATGCCACTACTGTAACTATGCCGGCCGATTCGAAGCCAGCGTTGGTTGCAAGAGATCCTGGTGAGGCGATAACGGTTATAGAAATTGTCGGGATTAAGGTTATATATCAAAGAGTGCAGTGTTGATGGCGCCTGCAATCACCCATGATCGGCATTCAGTCCTAGTTGCAGTATGGCCGTTCGCAGATATTCCATGTGCTACGAGGAGAGAGAACAAATCGAGGAGTCAGGAGACTATCATCAGGTACTCTATCAGGAGCAGTAGTTACTGGGCCGCTCTCTTACAGTCGGATCGACATCCTGGGGGCAGAGCAGTCGATCTCCAAAATCCTCAAGAACCTGGATCATCATCTCTCGCTTGAGTCCAGACATGTTTCGTAAGACCAATGGGTCCTCAGTATCGTTTGCGGAAGGAAAACAAGCCTTGTAGAGGGCAAGAAAGGTGTTCGTATCCTGTAAGCTGGCCGTCGTCGTAGAATCAATTGAGGCTGGTATAGTAGGTCCTATTTGGTGCTGGACAGCGTCTGATAAAGTTGCACGCATGGCTTCGATGCGCTTCCTTCGATTATCATCGTCAATTGCTCTGTGTTCAGCTGGGATGCTTGTGGACTCGGCTGTGTCCTCGAAAGTGCCTTGGTGATGGTTGTCTTCCATGTCCGCGATTGCACTCATTGTCGGGAGTCGAACCCACTCCCCTGAGAAAACGCTTAGTCGACGCGTTGCCGTCGAAATGGCGGCTTCGCTATTACTAGCTCGTCTTTTTCCTGGTGGGTTGCTCATTCCTTTGTGTTTGTGTGTGTAGACCTCGAATAGCGAACTACTGGATTGGTGGCGTAATATTGGAACAGTCGCAGTGGCGCATTTTCGGGCTCAAGCGTGCGAAGTATCGCCCTTTTTTACGTGTTGTGTTGCGTCGTGTCGTGAAGAATAGAAGAATATAAGAGCGCGTCAAAAAAAAAAAAAAAAAAAAAAGGCGGTTATTTCCTCAACCTAGTGTGTCAATAAAGATGAAATTGAGTTCAGGATGACCTTGGAATAGCCTTGAGACGCGTTGCCTGGCACCAGGGGGGCTACTACTCGACGAGGCCATCTTTTATGTTCTTTGTCCGGAATGGTGGCGATGCGTACGCGTCTTTTTTTTATATTTTGTCGCTTTGATGCTTTCCTATGCCTCCTTGCGGGTGTTGTTGCAATCTTCGTTTAGTAGATTACAGCCCAATCACAACCCAGTGCCGATATTATTATTATTATTTTTTGGTTCTGGCTAGGTTTTTCTTTTCTGCAACATCCCCTTCAAACCCGCCTCCTTCCCAATCCACGCTGTGTCACAATCCGCAACCACCGAACAGAAACGTCGAGGAAGCGCCGCGAAAAAACTCTTGAGAACCTGCTCTTCCAAGCACCGGTTCTTGTCGAAGTGGTACATCGCGTTGGAGATGCAGTTTATGGGCGCCGAGAAGACAATCTATGCTTCAGTTCTCAGTAAATGTCTTTTCTTCTGCATAGACATATACGACCGTCGCTGAAGTACGAAGGGGCATTCGATCATAGGCCCAACAGCTGGTGTGCATAGAATGCGCACACCTCCCAAAACTTTCTTTTTTTTTTAGGCCTTCGTCCTTTGCCCTTCCTTCGCTTCTGTGGATTGGTCATACGTCCTTCATCCCCTTCATCCTCCTGCCTACATCCCACCCACATCATCTCTTTTCCTCCATTCTTTTTGGTGTACGGCGTGAATTTGCTACTTTTCGCATACGCGACGGAACCTCCTCTCGCCGTCATCAGGGAGCCCATTCGTCCTCGACACTTCACACCTCATGGACCTGAAGCTGCTGCTGTCACCTGCTCAAAAGGACCCCGAGCCTGACTCGGAGTTTCCTGAGGACAGGAGGCGTGAGGAGCACGCGCCAGACGATGCACAGAACTGGCAGTATCACCCAGACCAATATCATTACAACCAACAGCAGCAGCGACAGCAGGAGCAGGAGCAGGAGCAAGAGCAGGAGCAGACACAGGAGGAGCATCAATACTACCACCAGCAACATCAGCAGCAACAACAGCAGCAACATGTCCCTGCTCAGGGGCCATACTACCATCAGGGCCAACAGTACAGCCGGCCGCACAACCAGCAACCTCGCCCGTATTACCAGCATCAAGGACAGCATGAACCCCAGCGTAAGTTACGCGACAAATCCTGCGATATGCAGTCTATCACCATAAACGGGTGTCCCCATTACTGTGCATCATTGAGTGGCCTACTATGGACTATTACGTGTCATAGTATCGTTTATGTGTGCTAACTAATGGAACACACTTACTATCCTGCAGCACTCGTACCGCCCTTGCTGTCCGTCTCTGCCTCTACACCTCAAGCCGGAGAGTCGCCGCAGCCTCCGCAGTATTTTGTTTCGACGCATAGACCCACTACATCACCGGCGCTACCTCCACCTACAGGACTCAATCTCTCGTCGTACAGCTTTTTACTGATGGAGAAGCGGGATCGCGAGAGGGAGGCCATGGAAAGAGCAAACCGAGGTTACTTGATGGGTGAGCTATCACACAACAAGAACGAGTCTGCGTCTTCATCACCAAGGATTCCTTCCCCACGGATCGAGCCGGCCCATCGTGCAGGCTTCGCCAACCAGCCTTCGACTGGCGCGTCGTCCTCATTTGGAGCCGATACGCGACACAATTCATACTACCAATTGCAGCAGCCAGGATCCGAGAGGTCCTCATATGGATATCCACCGGATACAGCGCGCCAACCTCCTCATGGCTATGAGTCGCCCTCGCAGTATCATGGCTCTGGATCATACCATCAGCAGCATCCATCGTACCAATCCCACGGTCCAGCACACTCGCCACCCATGCAGTACAATTACCAGCAGCACACACCTCAACAGCAGTACCCATACCAACAACCACAACCGCATCAGCATCCTCACCACTATCACAGCAGCAGCAGTGCCAATATAGGACAGGAATCACTATACGGCCATCCGCAGGTAAGGGTCAGATTGATGTGTCATTCGGACAATCTCCAATTCTCCGTACACGCGTATTGCAGTGCACCGCACATATCATACCACTTACGCGGGTCTGTACGAATGTCGCCTTTTATGGGCTTATTCTCAATCTGCCACAGGCCATCGGTCTATATTGAGGGCCAGGATCAGATTGATGTTTTATCCACCACTGCCATCCATTGCTCGCATTTCCTTTGAGCCTCGCATTTTGCATGTTACCTTCGGAAGCTCTAGTGATCTATGAGGCATTGAGGATTGTCCCATGGCTTTATTGGAAGTGCATCGAATAACTAACGTCTCGTATGAAACCCCTGTGCTACTTAGGATTACCCTTCAGATTCACAGGGTCCTGCGTCGTATACTTATCATCCTTCAGTAGGACAGTATCTCCATCACCGAGCCATGTCTCCAGGCCTCATGGACAAGCCACGGTTCGCCAATTCTAACCTATCTGTCTTTCGACAAAGTGCTGCTGAGGACAGCGACGGAAATGCCAGTGTTTCATCCAATGGAAGCCTTAAGCGAAGACGTCGTCCCAACAAGGCGATTGAGGGCAAGAGATCTCTTTTACCTGGATCAACACTTGGTACTTCACACGGTGGGCTGGGTCACTATCTGATGTCAAGGACATCCTCGCATGGATCTGCAGAAGGACATGAGGACTTTTATGACGACGACGACGACGACGACGATTCGTTGGACGAGCAATTTGATGTTAGGAATGGGCTTCAGGGTCTCAATCTGCAGAAGACTACTAAGTCGTCAGGTACATATCGCTGGAGCTATGCCTTTTAACATGCTTGGACGCTCATACTCAGAAAATGAAATATGTACTTACTTAGCTTTGCATTTCATATTCGTATTCGTATTCTTTTAGCTCCAGATCGGGCAAAAAAATCACGAAAAAAGACTGAGAGACCGTTTAAGATTGGAGAGTTGGTCGAGTCTATGAAATCAGATACCGATGGCACTTGGTTTGCAGGACGTGTACTTGATCTGGAGGACGACCCTCATGACCACATCAATCCCAAGTCGGTCTTGATCCACTTTGAGGGATTTTCGCCTCATCACGACGAGTGGGTCAAGCCCAGTCAGTTGCGTGCTTGCTCAACAGGCAGTAGTTTCTTACGATATGGTCCAAACGGTCATGAACCTGCTGAGAACTGGGTTGCGTACGAGAAGTTTTACCAGTCAGATCTTGGTCGAATAGCTCGCCGACATACAGGGCTTGCGTACGACCGACGGATGCTTTTGCACAAGTGCCAGTGCAACACCAACCCCGAGGAGAGGCATCATCCAGAACAACCCGAGAGGTTGGTCGAGATTCTCTGTCAGTTCCAAAAGCATGGGATGCTCAGCCTTGTCAAATGGATCCAGGGACGAGAGGCCACTATCGAAGAGCTGGTTGCAGCCCACACAGATACTCATGTTCGCAATTATTGCTGTACAGCTGCACAGAACCGACAGTACGCGCGTGAACATGGGATCGTAGATCCGGATCTGCAGACTGAGGACGACGCCGAAGACGAGGCAGAAGAAGAGGGGGAGGAGGAAGAAGGAGAGGAGGACATGGAGGGTGCTAAGAAAACAGAGCGGCGAGGTCGACCAAAGAAGGCTCATCGAGGAAGCATTCATGTGGCAACAACTGCAACCGCACCAGATTTGATCGCGGCAGCGGCAGCGGAAACAGCAGCAGCGGCTCCAGCGCCAGAGGATGTGGAGATGGCGCAGTCGACATCGCCGACAGATTTAAGCAAGGACAGCATGGAAGTTGATCTTCATTCACCAGCCCTGGGAAGGAGACGATCCAGTATGCGTGGATCGGCTATTAGGATGTCGTCTCTCGTCAGCATGTCCTCAACGTTGTTTGCGCAGAAGGAGGAGGATGTCCCCGACGAGGTCAAGGAGGCGGCTCTGGTGATTGATGACGACGACGACGACGACGAAAAGGCGGTCCAAGCAGGTCCAGCCCCGAGCGAAGCAGCCCTTGCTGTTGCTGGTGGCATGGACCCAACTCTCGCTGGCCAGATTGCAGAATCTCCTCAGCCAATGCCAAAAGCAGTACATGGAAATAATGGTGCATCCAAGGGCGAGCCTTTGATCGAGGACAAGAACAACATGGATCCATCCCTTGTTAAAGCAGAGAACAGAAACACGGTCGACGAAACCACAACGGCAACACCATCGGTCACCAAGGGACCCACAGAAGGAGATACCTCGTCAGAGAAACCAAAACTCGGTTCCGGAATATCATCAGCTAATGTTATCGAAGGCGATCGACTATCATCGAGGAGTATGCAGGGACAATCCGGTGCAACAGCGTTGCAGATCGCGACATCTGCGCTTGCAACCAAGGATCAGGATACGGGGACGACAGCGACTGAAAAGTCAGCCGCAGAGTCGAGCAAGGAGAGGAAGGCAGCAGAAAAGAATGAAAAGGCGCAAAAAGACTCTGCGGTTACGAAGACACCGACAAAGAAGAAAGGCCACCACGCCGTGTCACCTGCACCTGCACCCTCAGGCGATGCTGTTGTGATTCGACCGCCTGGATTGACATTCACGATGAGCTGTGGGCAGCTGGGTATCGCGGTCGACACCACATGGAACCCCTTCCATTCGAGTACAGCCGCGAAGGTGGCTGCTGGTAGTTTGATCAACTTGGTGGACCAGGTCGTCACAGGACGGATCAAGAACGGCTTCGCGATCATCCGGCCGCCAGGCCATCACGCCGAGGAAGACGAAGCCATGTAAGCAACCCGCCTTTTTTTATTTTTGTATCAGTGTTTATTTGTAGGGCATTGTGTCCATGTTTTTGACATATGAATTCTGCATCATGACTGGCTTTGTGCTATAGGGGCTTCTGCTTCTTTAATAACGTCGGTGTCGCAGTTAATCTGACCTTGTCAAGATACCCACTCACCGTCCAGAAAATCCTCATTATCGACTGGGACGTCCAGTAAGTCCTTTGGCTCCAGATGTGGCCATACAATCCCATGCACGGTTCCATGTAGGGCTCCATGCGATGTTCAAACTGGTTTTTTCTGTTTATAATCTTTCTTTGTAGTCACGGAAACGGCACCCAGCAGATCTTTTACGAAAATCCCAACGTCCTGTATATATCACTCCATCGATGGGATAACGGACACTTTTATCCATTCACAGGCGCTCCAGATGAGTGCGGAGAGGAAGCTGGTGAAGGCACCAACGTCAACATTGCCTGGTCATCCTATGGCCGAGGTACGTGCCTCTTCAGTAATTGTTGAAGCACGTCCTTATTGTATGAAAAAAGAACTGATTTTTTTTCTTTTTTTGTGTCGCCATTTCATTGTAGCGCAAGCCATGGGAGATGTGGAATACATTGCCGCCTTTTGGTATGTTCTCTTGCCGATCGCAAGACAGTTCCAACCTGATCTTGTGTTTGTCTCCGCCGGATTCGATGCTGCTGATGGACATGCTGCCAATGTAAGTCGCTGGGCATGTGTGGTTGTTTATTGCGTCATTAAACACGCGACGCGCTATATATGCAGATTAAACTGAGTTCGATCTCCCGTTCTTTGGGCATAGATCGGTGGATACACGGTGTCGCCGCAGGGATTCGCGATTTTGACGCGTCTTGTTCAGACTTTGGCTGGTGGACGGGTGATTCTATCGCTCGAGGGTGGATATGAGTTTGAACCATTGGCGCTATCGGCAACAGCATGTCTTGAGGAGCTGCTGCCACATTCGCTCCTGCCGGCGACAGCCCCGACACGGGCGTTTCCATATGCGTCGTTCCAGGGAACGTTGAATAGTGTGAAACCGAATGCGATGGCGGTGTCGTCGTTACACCAAGTGTTGAAGTACCAACAAAAATACTGGAAGTTCCCTCCCGAGGTTCTGAATCCGAGCTTTAGATTCCAATTGCCAGCGGAATGGAGGGCGAGCAACAGTTTGGCGACGCGGCCACGGAGGGAGCGGAACACGCGGCGGAAGGCACCAGCGTTGGATTCTTGAAGAGCGAGCGAAGGGGGACGACGGGAAGAGAGCAAATAAAATAAAATAAAAATCCTAGGCTGAGTCACCTCATATGCTCGGTGGTTGTAGTGGTTGCAAGGGAGGACCAACATTATTTTATTTTATTTTATTTTTTGGATGCCCGATTGACGACATTTGACATTTATCAAGAAGAACGCAAAAGGCGCGGTATATTTTCGACGGAAGGATGGAAGTAGAAAAGTGTTGGATAGAGTGTGTTTCCCGAGGAGGACAAGGAAGGGCAGACGGATTGTCATCAAGAGCACAAGTGCACAGGTGCGCGTCACCCTGCATACCCGCAGCAATTGGGAAGGAAAGGATGTCCTGGACCAGCGGGGCAATCCCACCAAGCTATTGAATGAGTGAGTAAGGGTCTACATGTACTTCATACTGGGGTTTCTACCTGCAGTACTTGGGGTGAGTTCTTCCCCTCCCACAGAGATATCCTTACACGCCCCTTCATACTCCGTTCCTCGTCTTCCTTGCTTGCCACTAACCTTCTCTGCTCAGCGACATATCCCATTCTTCCTTCTCTTTCCAGAAAAAAAAAGTCCCCATCCTTGACCGACAAGACGACTGGCTGCTGGCAAATAGAAACTGGCGACCGACGACCGAAAGCGTTTTTTTCTTTTACTCCAAGGAGGAATAACAGGATTACCGCCCTCTCGCCTTCTTTCTCCGTGTCATTTCACTTCTCGACGGGGTGGCAAATGTCGACCGCATTCCACTCCGAGCCTGCAAGACCCCTGTCCCCCTTCGTCTCAAGTCTCCCCTCTCTCGCCGACCGCACCATGTTTGCCTCGACCTCGACTTCAACTACCACTTCGGCTTCGACGTCCTCTGGTTCTGGTGCTGGTGCTGGATCCACTTCAACTACGACTCGACGTGCTACTACCGCGACTACTACCACCAATCAGACACCAATGATGACTTCGATGCCCCAAACTTCTGCTCATTCCATGCAACAGCCAACATCAGTCCTGTCTCAAACAATCTCTGGAATCTCTGCCACAGGAAGATCCTTGTCCTCCATGGTCTCCTCAGGACTACAGCAACCCCGTCACCATATCATGGAGCTGCTGCATGCCTTCGATGTCTCGGACTTTGCTTCTTCAGCGCGCAACACCCTGTCGACGACAAGCAGCATTGTTTTCTCGCCACTCACTGCTCAGGCTGTCAAGGGCGACCTCACAGGAATTGCTTCGCTGACTGGACTCTCTGGGATGGCCCCGCACTTGATGGCAACACAGTATCTGAGGAGAGCAACAGCCAATGCTCAGGCGCTTGCTCTCACGGGTTCACGCCAGGAGACTCCAGCACCTGCAGATCAACTGCTGGCAGAAGGCATTCCAGACCCAGTGGCAAGAGTGTCATTATTCCAGGGATTCAGAGCGACATATCCAGGACATCATTCACATTCAAAGAACGGAAAGAGGAACAAGAGTCAACACAGGAGGAGGAAAAACGGTTTTGGCGAAGGTACACAGACATTAAACATGGCTACGGAGGCAAAAGAAAATGCGTTTAGCTGCTGACAGGTTTATAATTAATTGGGTCGCTGCATAGTGGACGAGGACGATCCTAACAGAACATTCTCATCGTTGTTGAGCGAGCGAGAACGGACAATCAAGGAGCAGGTCAAATTGCAGAACCAGAAGGTAAGGAACCGCATATCTGCATGATATCACACATTTTGTTCTGGAACGAATGAAATGATTGGCATTCTAACCTATTGGCGGGGATAATTCTGCAGAATGTTATTCAAGCAGAGCTGGCACAGGTTGCGGCTTCAATCGAGACATTGGCTGCTCGACAAACCGATCTGGGATACAAGCTGCGTAAACTGACTGAACGCGAGGATGACCTTGCAGATACATGTGAGTGTGGAAACTGAAAAGGAAGATTATTCCTTTGTGCGTCGCAAAGTGCTAAGCAAAATATCCTTTTGTTCATAGTGGGCGAACTGAATGAAAAGTTGGCATCAGTTTCTGAAGGAGCAACAGCAACGACTCAGGATGGTGAACGTATGTCATTGTTCGGCAAATTGATGTTGCAATGTATGGCGCTTTGTGACCAACTATGTCTAAGAATTTATTTTTTTCGTCCTCAGCTCTTCAATTGGGATACAGAGAAGAGACCCGGGATTCTGGAACCTGCATGCACACGTTTTATGGACACGATGGAGTAATCACATCATTAGATCTGAATGGACCTTACGGAGCCCTGGTAACTGCATCAAAGGACAATACAACACGTGTCTGGGATCTGACAACATTCAAGTGTCTGGGTCAATTGCCTGGCCATGAAGACTATGTCGAATGTATGCAGCTCTTCCAGAACACGCTTGTGACAGGATCCAGGGACAAATCGATCAGGATTTGGGACCTTACAGATCTTACTCATGCCCAGGTCACCCGAGACGGCTCACCGACCCCATCGGACTCCAGCAGCCGTTCTGGCAAGATCAACGGAGGCTCTCCTGTATTTTCACCGGACGAGTATTCGAGGCCATCGATCGACACATTGACAACTCTTGATAACTGCTGGACGAGTACCTTGAATAGCCATACTGGACCCGTCACTTGCCTTTATTACGAAGATCAGAAACTGGTACTGTACTCGCGAACGCATCGGCTATATTGACATTAGGATATTCTCCTAAAGAACAGTGCACTAAATACTATGTGCTATCTATTTCAAACCGTATTGCTCACTATAGCTCTCGGGTTCGAACGACAAGACGATCAAGGAATGGGATATGACTACGGGACAATGTGTGCTGACAATGGATCTACTCTGGGCAATGGGAACTTCGAACTCGTGGGCAGATTGGATGGACTATGATCTCACGACCAACCGCTTCGTCGGTAGTCTGCAGTTTTGGCAATACGCGCTTTGCAGCGGCACCATTGATGGCGCACTCCGCATGTGGGATCGTAAGTGGAAAGGTTTTTTTACTTATGAGCGTCATGGCCAGGTGTAGTATGTTAAACATGCCACTAACTCTTTCTTGAATTTAGTTCGCTCGGGTCAATCGCACCGTACTCTGGTCGGTCACACCGGGCCTGTGACCTCGTTGCAGTTCGATGAGTACCATGTCGTGAGCGGAAGCATGGATAAGAGTGTTAGAGTGAGTCGTCGGTGCCTTTGCGATTGTGTTCTTAAGGAGATCATATGAAGCATGTGCTTTCTAATGACATAATTTACCAATCGTAGATCTGGGATCTGAGAACAGGAGGCATTCAGGAGATTTTGCAGTACGATGATCCTGTAAACAGTCTGCGGTTCGATCTGTCCAAGATAATTATCGGATCCGGAGAGAGCCTCAAGGTGAGTTGGCGAGCAATTGCTGTCTACGTGTTGTCGTAGCGATGACATGTCGGATCATTAACTAACAAAGATATTATTATTTGTGCCTGCAGATATACGATCGGGTTGCACAACAGCATTCGTATTACACGGGACATACGAATGTGGTTGAGTGTGTGCGGTTCAGTGATTCGGTTCTTGCCTCTGGAGGGCAGGATTCGACAGTGCGGCTATGGAGTCGGTGACGAACTCGTCTATGTACATTTACACCAATAAATCGAGTAAAAAGAAAAAGAAAAAAAGAGAGGGACTATATTCTAGGGCATAGACTTACCATGCATGGGATGCAGAAACACAGGGGTGAATTGTCCCAGCTCAACCCAGCCAACTTACCAACTACACACTTAATCATAAGAGGACACACCTGTCTTCTTTCTGTTCCCCTTGACTGGACAGTGGGACAAAAAAAAGTCGACTTTTTCCTTACTTGCTTCACCGCCTTTATTCTAATCCCACTTCAGATCATTCTTTTCACGCCATCACTCCTTCCTTCTTCGCCATCCATCCATCCATCCATCCATCCATCCATCCATCCATTCTTCCATCCCATTCCTCAAACAGCTATAACAAACACATTTCCCATTTCTTCTTCCCCCTTTATTTCGCTTTTTTTCTCTGTACCAGTGCCTGTGTTTACTCAACTTCTCTACGTAAAGCTGATTCCTTGATTGCCAAGAACGCCCTCGTACTCGCATACACAGGTTGCTGCTATGACAACACAACGAGCCTCCAACGAGCTGGAGAAGAACGGGTCCAGGTCCCTAGAGTCCTCCTCGAGTCCCTCAAACCCGACCGTAGCCACAGGAACCTTCGTCGCTAGTCGGTCGCCGTCCTCGTACTCACTCCGCTCCCGCTTATCTCCATCGACAAGACTACGTTACCGCCAGTTGGTACAGCCAATTACCCCCACAGAACTCGAAGCCATTCCTGAAACAGAGAGCAATGCTTCTCTTGCTGACAGGGTCTCTTCAGGAGGAATGCGCTATCCACGAGTGCATCTCTCGAGCGTCGATCTTGCAAAACCTCGTATCTATACCCGCCTACTGTACTTTTTTGAAGCGAGCAGCAGCTTTATCGACATCGCCATCAACAGCAACAAGAACAGCAACAGCACCAGCGCCAGTCAAGGATCCTTCTCGCCGATTTCGTCCTCATCGTCTTCGAGTGGATCGGCAGCGGGCGTCACATCTTTTCCAGTGCTCTCACCTACGGTCACTTCGCCACCAACTTCGAAAAGGAAGGCGGGCTTCAAATCCCGTCACCACTATCATTATCACCAGTCTCCGTTCATGGACCCTATGCTTCTGCAAGCGTCCTTGGCCTTGGTCCTCTCCGATTTCGTTCCCTTGGCAGGACGACTCTGCAACAGCGGCCAGGAATTCATCACTAGTTCCGTTCGACCCTACATCGAATGCAACGATCGAGGCGTTCTCTTTGCAGTGGCTGATACGACTGTGACCATGGAACAGATCCGTCAAGGCGACTATCAAGATGCAGTCCTGCCACCACATCTATTCCCTGTCGGACTCTACCCAGCCTCGCTTCGCGATCCTCCTCTGTTGAGCGTCCAGCTCACGTATACCCAGGACCACTCATTGATCATGGGCGTTGCCATGGATTCGGCCGCCATGGATGCGACTTCGCTGGTCTCATTTATGGATGCCTGGTCAAAGATTACTCAGGGAAAGGATTTTGCGCCGTATCCGATCTTGGATCGATCGTTTTTGGAAAAGCATGGCGAGGATCATGGACCCAATGGTGTCTATCGGCATCAACGTGTCAACAATTCGCCACCTCCACCGATCTTGTTCGACAACAGTTTGGATAACGAACTCGATAGAGGCCTTGGCGAGATGGACCTGCACGCGGAAAATGAAGATGATATCGACAGCGACGAGGAGGGCATTATTAGTGAGGATAAGGAGGACGGACCAGGGCGCAGCCTCAATCTTGAACAGGCACAGAGACAGATGCAATTGCTTCATGCGGGGTCAGATGAGGCTGCAGGGACTGTGCATTGTGGCGCAGCTGATATCCCAGTAGTGGTTGTGGATCATGCGGAGCAGCTCGAAGGACCTGCGGAGGATATTCCAGATCAGCTTGATAGGAGCCAAATCCTGGGGAGTGCGAGCGCAGAGACAGAGTCGGAAGGAGGGAACCTCCACCTTTTCCATTTTACGGCAGGGCAACTGGAGCGGATCAAGAAGCTGGCATCAGAGCAGAACATCGCAGCAGCAGCCTGTGCGGCGGATGATAAGGAGATCAGTGACAAGTGGGTGTCTACGGGTGACTCGTTGATTGCTTACCTGTGGAAGATGTCGACGATCGCGCGAAGGATGGAGCCGGATTGCAAGCTGATGTGTGGAGTTGTCATGGATATACGGAACCGACTGAAGCCCGCTATTCCTGAAGGATTTATCGGCAATGCAATCTTGTAAGTCCTTTATGTCATCATCGATAAAGCTCTTTTCCTAAGAGGATTGCCTTACTTCAACTCACTAATCATCCATGATTCAATGATTGGTTGCATAGGTCGATATTTGTTCAGATGCCGGTGCATTCGCTGCTGACGACACCCCTGTCGCTTCCATCGCGATTGCTGCGAGACGAACTTTTGTTGCAGACGCCTGAGCAGATTCGGTCATCTATTAGCTGGATTCAGAAGCAAGAGTACCCACATTTGATTGAGGCGGATAGCAACAATCCATTCGGAGACGATTTCATGGTATGGTCGTTCCGCAAGCTGAGCATGTACTCACCTGACTTTGGACAGGGATGTCCTACGAAGGTCCGAATTGGTCAAGGTGGATTTGGAGGAGGCGAGGGTATGTGCATTATCATGGATAGCGCGCCTTCATATAGTGGGGCGAGTGGTGTTGGTAGCAGCAGCGGCTCGGCGGGTGTTGGTGAGGCAGGTGTGGATGTGTACCTTGGACTGCAGGGCGAACATCTGCAGGACTTTGAGAAGGTCCATCGAGGGTTTATGGAGAGTCTTCTAGAGAATGGCGGTGGATGGGAGGTAGTATAGATGTTATTGCCAAGAAGAGGTTTTTTCTTGGCCTAAACATCAGTGATAAACCATACGTCTCCTTCATGTTCTACACCATATATATCCATGTCCATGTCCATGTCCTTTTCCTAAACAAGGACCAGTGGATCGACTCCAAGTATGAAGGGTCCCTTTGCTGTGCACATGTAATACAGTCACAACTTTGCGCTTATTGACTTATTGACTTATTGACAAAACCTGTTGCCACAATACTTCCTCTCTTTCCAATTGCAATTGCCTACTTCTACTCCTGCTCCGCCATGACCATCACCATCATCCGCCAGGCACCTTCGGCAACCGAAGCACATATCCGCTACACTCAGGAAAATGTTACACTCCATGTCACGCCCGTGTCGACACTGATCCAGCACCCTGGCACACTCTTTATCGCTGACGAGTAAGTTTTTTAACTGTATTTTCTCAGCTGAAAAGAATAAGGTGTGCGTGTGTTCTGTGCAAGCTCTATGAATCATTGATTACATTTCTTTTAAAAAATTAGGTGTTTGTATTACTTCTCGACGGCGTCGAATGCAGGTTTCGCGATCCCCTATCCGTCGATCATTATCCATGCGATCGCGCGCGAATCGCATGTTGGACCGAGTATCTATTGTCAACTCGAAGGTTCTTTGGCCTCATCTGAGCCCGCGAAGACGAACGTGGCGAACGGGCATTCCAGTAATGGTACCAGCGCTGAGAAAGAAGAGGAGGAGGAGGATGAGGAGGAAGATGCGGTTTTGGAATTGAGTTTCGTACCCGCCGACGTGTCATCCTGTAAGTTATTTTTCACATCAGGGAAACCAAAAAAACAACTGCCAAATATCATCGCTTTGCTAATTTTTTTTTCTTCGTTTGTCATTCGTGGAATGGAATGGTGGTACTGTAGTGGACACAATTTACGAGAACCTATCTTATTGCGCCTCGCTCCACCAGGATGAAGAAGCCGACGATGATTATCTCATGGACGAAGACGCTCTATACGAAGACGACGAAAACGATCATGACGGACTCTTTGCGGACGCCGATATCCAGGGCGGCTACATCCCCAAATCCTCCAGTACCACTGCTATTGGCGTCGTCGCCCCGCCTTCTTCTTCATCAGTATCTTCGTCATCAATGGCAGCGGGAGTGGCAGCAGAACAGGAAGAGATTGAGCAGGTACCAGCGATCGATCTGCAGAGCGGCGAATGGTACACGGGTAACCCCGAGACGGACGCAAAGTTCGAGTTGAGCGAGCAGGGTCAGGTAACTCTTCACCACTGGCAGCAGAATCAAAGTCAGGAACAGACACAGACGCAAGGAAAACGGGGACGGCAGGATCTGGGTGTAGAAGCGCAGCCAGAGGATCAGGATATGGCGACAGCAGGAACAGCAGTTGAGGCGGATGGTGCGCAGGAACCGCAGCAGGAATATACAGAAGAGCAGGTTCAGGAGGCGCGCTCGAAAATGTGGCGCGCTTACTAGAGCACCACGATACCATACACCCATGGCATTCCATCGCCGACAACGTGGTTGTTATCCAACCTCAAAAGCAACAAAGCATCATTAAAGCAACAACCTATTTTTATTTATTTTTGTCTTTGGATCGGTTCTTGAATGCTTCTTTATGCGTGCTCACTGTGCCCTTCCTTTTTTCGTTTGATCTACAACTTTTGCACCTCCTGACACATTTTTTGACAGGCTGCGCTGGCACGGATGGAGAATCTGGTGCAGGATCCGTATGGACTTGCTCCCAAGCCGGAAAACGACGACACACACGAGGATGCAGACGAGGAAGACAAGGATGTGTAGTCGATGATATAGTTGAATTTAAAATACACTTTTCAATCTCTCAAGAGAAAGATTGGCATAACGGACACAGAATGTTCGTTTTTAATTCAGATCTGGCATGAGATACATGTTTGGACTAAGAGTCCGAGAAGTCGACAAGATCGCCTTCTTCCTCTAAAGGAAGCGTCCCTACTGACTTGATTTGATGCAGCAATGCCTGTTTCTGGATTTGGAGCGATTCAAGCTATAGGTTGATGTAAGCGAAGAAAAATGAAATAGTAAAGAGAGCGTTAGTTCTGGGACAATAACATAATTGAACATATAGATGTGTCAGTCTTTCTTACCAGGGATAGGTTGTACTGCTGGCGGTCGACAAGCATCTGTAGCGTGGGTCCGACCAGATTGTCGACAAGACTTGACAATGATTGAACATACACGCCAGAGTTCCTGATCAATGTCATCCGGTCCGGTAGCGACATTGTCTTTTGATTGATATACCTATACAATTTCATCCACCGAGATGTAGTATCAGTATCGACGTCAACAACCCCTTATGCGGACCAAATTGTTGCGCCCTTACTTTGTGCTCAACTCCTCTGCAGGGATATCATCCATCGATCCACGGTCATTCTTGCTCCTCTTCGCCACCGAGAAATGCTCCTCCACTTCACTCTCAGACGTTGGCGACATGATCGTGTCACCCTCCCGATCCTTTTGGCCTTGGGACGATGACGAGAATGAGAATGCTTTTGTAGACGGCAATGAAAACAGCCGACGCTTCTCTTCTCTTCCGCCTGAACCCTTTCCACTGTTCGAGCTATTGGGTCGCTCGGGCGGCGATACTGCATGGCTGGTAAAGAATGGAGAGTCGTGCGGTGCTGGAGTCGACATGGGTATAGATTTGTAGAATGATTGGCGCTGCTCGTCGAATATGCGCTCAGGAATTTCGAGAAGTTTGGGTAGTGTGAGAGAATCTAGCGGATTTTCGTTCAGCACGCTGAATGGTAGTTTGATATGCTGGCAGCTACACAAACAAAGAAACAGAAGCTTGGCTTAGTTGATGATGATATCGTATTCTTTCGTGCGGCGCACTTCCATCCATGCTGAATGCTTACGAGGCGCCGTCTGATGGCCTAGACTGGAAACATGTCACTTGGATCTTGTTGGACTAAGAGAGACGAGTTACAGACCATGATCAGTACGAGGTGCCAAAACTGACATTGCCTTTCAAGTGTAGCCCTTCAGAATGAAGTTCAACAGTATATTACAAGCTCGCTGTCGGTGCTGAAGCACGATACGATCATGCCGATGAACCTCTGGTCCATGAGTTGCTGCGACAGCTGTGTGCGAAGATCTGATGTATTCGTCAGAGAAAGTAGCACGCCATGTCAGTATGCAGTCCTCTCCATGCAATTCTATATTACGCGCGTGAATCCAAATGAGCTGATCTTACCAACGTGCGATGGGAACACGGTGATATGAGGATGGCTATGGTACTATGGGCGTCAAAATAGAACCACAGATCGATGAGAACCATGGCCGAGGCTACATTTCAGTGTCGTCAAAAAGTCATTCCCATATTGCGAAGCATGTCCCGCGAATCCGTACCCATCCAATAACGCGTGTAGTCTTTCCGGTTGCCTTTGTAATTTCCTATTCGATCGGTATAAGGGAATGAGGTATAAGTCTCGGCACTGTGCATCCTCGAAGAGGGTTTTGACCAAGAAAAAGCCCCATCCGCAGAAGTCGACGGTTGGACGAATTTGTACCTCTGCCTCAATAGCCGCCATAGTCAATTGCTCAGGTCCAATCTCGACACGGTCCTTGCGTTTTTCTGACCGGGTGAGCAACGAGACGCCATCAACGCGTGCGATTTCCGTCGCACCCTCTTTCTATTAAATGAGCGAAGAGTTGCGACATATATCCAAAGCGCTGTTTAGCTTATTTGCAGTTGCCTGGTCTCCAGTGATGATATGGTGTCTTTTAGTGAATAACGTACGATCCAGTCGCCCATAAGCATTCCCATGATCTCTTCCTATTCAAAAGCAAGGTCATTGCATTAGTGTTTCTGGGGCGGTCCATTCCTTCAAGGACGCGGCGGTTGATGGCAAGCGAACATGGAATATGAACGGGAAACCTTACTTTTTCGGTGGACAGAGCGTGAGCGAGCAGGATGTGGAGGACGTTGGACTGGACCAGCACTCTGGAGAGGGAGGAGGACCGTGACATGTTGTCTGGGTGGAATGGGTTGGTCGTGGGGATGTAGGATGCCATTGGTGAGAGGGATGGAGTTACTGAAAAGGTTAAAAGACAAAGCAAGCTGGGCTTTTGTCCCACCCACACCAAACATGGCTGTCACATCAGATCGACTTTTGCAGGTTGTTCGCCCCCAAGGGGAGTATACTCTCTTCCACCTTCAACTCCAATCCTCAGCTCCATTCCAGTTGATCAGACCATGTCTCGTACTGCATTCCGTCCTTGCATCGACCTGCACTCGGGTCAGGTCAAGCAGATCGTTGGCGGGTCCCTCAACGACAAGGACCAGTCGCAGCTCAAGACCAACTTCGTCTCCAAGTACACCTACATCTTTCCTCACGCCTATTCCAAAAAATAATTCTCCGAGCTATGGTCGTATGAAAGCTCTGACATTTTTCTTTCAATTGACAATCCTATGTTGCAGTGAACCGCCTAGTTACTACGCTCAACTGTACAAGGATAACAATCTGATAGGTGCACATGTCATCAAACTGGGACCAGGAAATGATGAGGCTGCAAAGGAATGCCTTCGCACCTGGCCAGGTGCGACAAAGATTCTTTTCACTTATCAGTTGGACGTGGAGTGTGGGATCTGATTGAGTCACCCATTAACCTTATCACATTCAACCACTCAAAAAAAAAAAAAAAAAAAAAAAAAACAATCGCCTTTAGACGGTCTCCAACTCGGTGGTGGGATCACATTAGACAATGCTCAATCATGGGTTGAAGCCGGAGCAGCCAAGGTATTACTTAATATAACACGACGATGGATAAAAGCATTCCATTGTTTGATCACGACCTCCGGTCAGATCAAAGTTATCTGATTCTTTCAAACACATTTTTTTTTCTAGGTGATTGTCACTTCATATCTGTTTCCGGGCGGCAAGTTCTCGCTCGAACGGTTACAGGCCCTTTCTAAGGCCGTGGGAAAGGACAGGCTCGTCGTCGATGTCAGCTGCAGGAAGCGTGATAACGAGTGGATTGTCGCCATGGACAAATGGCAAACCATGACGGATATGAAGGTGAATAAGGAGTCCTTAGACATCTTGGCTGATCATTGCTCCGAGTTCTTGGTCCATGCCGCTGACGTTGAGGGGCTCTGTAAAGGAATCGATCAGGATCTTGTCAAAGGTGAGATGTCCTTGTGTCTTTTCCTTTTTTTTTTTCCCGCAGTGCAATGCTATTTGTTGTTGATTTTTGAACATCTTACTGGGCTTCATGCAGCGCTGGGCGAGTGGACGACGATTCCTACGACATATGCAGGTGGCGCAAATGCTCTGAGCGATCTGGAGCTAGTGAACCGGCTCTCTCATGGCAAGGTTGACCTGACCTACGGAAGTGCATTGGATGTCTTTGGCGGAAAGACTGTCAAGTTCGAAGAATGTGTTGCATGGAACGAGGCCATAATTTGAACAGTTCGACATAGTCTATTGCTGTGTATAATATAAACTTGCTATTTGAGGCACTTTTTTTTTTTTACGAGTAAACATGGAAGAGCTGGATGTTTGGATCCGAGGATACTTCGAACTTAACCCTGCCCTGAGGCCCTGCCGCGATGTCCATGAATTCTCCATCGATGCAAAGACGTCCATTTTTGGGCGTTTCCAGTTCCACAATCTTGGCCTTGTAGTATTCGACCTTCTCGTGCTGCACATGCTGTCCGTCGTTGATGATACCCTCCAAGACCTGGAGTATAGCACTGCGACCCACATTCTGTACTGCCAACACATCCAGCCATCCGTCTGAGGTCTTGGCCAAGGGCGTCGGTTTGAACCCTGGCTCGAGAGAGGCCTGCTTGGAAAACATGAGGTACGTAAACGGTCCCGAGAGTGTGAACGAAGGGCTGTTGCTGGAGGCATTCGGGACCTCCTCCGTATCACTCTCGACCGTCGCGACCAGTTTCTGCAGGGGGCGATCATATCTCTGAACAGGTCCATAGAAATCCAACCGTGCTTCGTATTGCTTCAATAGGAAGATGTTCTTGAGGGCCGCGATCTTGAACCGCAGATTACCAAGGCCTCTGTATCCTTCTGCATCATGGACGGTTGCGCAGTGAAGCCCAAAGCTGTTGACCACGACTGTGTACACATGCGTTTTCCATCCATTTGCCGCCGCTGGTTGGTCATTTGATTCTTGTGGCCGAGTAGAAACCTTGACGACCCGCAATGGAATGACCGCCCCTGCCTGGAACCGTTCAATAGCTTCCTGAACGGTCGTCACGCCGAGGCTTGTAGCAATAGCGTTTCCGGTACCAGTAGGAACGACAGAGAGCTCGATTTTCGGCCGGAAACCGTCCGAGACAAAGGAAGAGCCTTTCAGACCTTCAAGGATGCCATTGACGGTCTCGTGAACTGTTCCATCACCACCCATGACCATGACTCGAAGCGTTGCGCTCGTGGGATGCACGGGCTGCGGTCCTCCCCTGTTGCTGGCTGTCGTTACTAGAGACTGACAGAGATCGGCGAGGATTTGTTGGATATTGTCTTTGAAGTAGGTTTGGGCGAAGCCGCGGGCTGAGGTCTCGATGAGACGAACGGCCGTGCCTGAGTTATCGATTGCCGGTTGAACGGTCTTTGCAAAGATTTTCTGGCCCTGTTTCAGTCCTGCGCTCGGGTTCAGGACGACGAGGAGCGGGAACTTGTCTGAGGTTGGAAGGATGCCCATGGCTGTAGAATCGGAATGAGCTCTGGTGAATGGAAAAGGTTGGTGAATGACGATGCTGATGAGCAACGCGGAGACCATTCAAAAAAAAAATTAATTGAGTTTTTTTTATAAATGACGCGGTATATCCATGCACGTAGCGGACATGTCCAGACACAATAGTCTTTACTCTTGTCCAGCGCAGCTGCAATATTCCAATCCTTGTAGCGATCATCCTATTCGATCACAATTCACATGGAGCAATCTTTACCTTTTTCCAAGGCCATAGGAGGACAGCCATTCAAATGCCAGTAGCACCGTGGGGTAACCCGCTGGGAAAGGTGCGTCTTCTTTCACACGTTTTCAGGAACCGTGTGAACAGCCCACCACCCCTGACAAAACGCTTGCTGTGCGCAACAGGGCAGCAGCACTTTACACAAGGGGATGGCGGCATTGGTTCATCAGAGGAATACGCTAGTTTTAACGAGTCCGACGATAAGGACCCACGTTGGGACCTGCAGAATACGAAGCTATTCTCAACTGGCTGGGGGACGGTGACAATTTGTCCACGTTGTCCAGCAAGGTGCTGTTGGATGTAGCTGGTCGAGGGCGATTTATCTAGTTTATACGTTAAACATACAGCCTTATTTATTGAATTAGAAAACATATATCGTTGGGATTGCAGCTTGTTTATGATAGGCGCCCGATGGCGAAGTGTACACGGCGCTACCCATCTCAGCTATACCAAAGCAGTAGCTCCTTCCTCCGAACTCCTCCTCTAGGTCCAGATCAAAGAGGCCTCGTATAAGCTCATATATTGCTATAATAAATCGTCTTTATTTCATCGAAATGAGATATATAGAGGAGAGGGTATTTACACTTTCTAAACAAATTGTTATGTACAAACCGAAGCTTCTTTGATTTTGACGCGTCCAAGACGCGCTCTTTTTTTCTTTTTTTCTTAGAGATCCTGAAGAAGGGGCTTCCAGGTACCGTTCACAAAAACGTCGCTCGGATCTTGGAGTTTGCGAATGTGGTTGAATCGAACCAGGCGGTCTCCGTACTCGCGGCGCAAGTATGGGACAATGTTCGGAACACTCTCCCACATCTTTGGCCAGTGAGGTCTATTTGATAGAAAAAGAGGAGGATTGGTCAGTTTCACTCATACGCTAACGAAATAATAAAAGGAGACCATTGCAGGCCGCAAGGACATACTTGGCGTTGTATTTCTCGATCCAATCAGTGACAATGCCTGCAGAATACTCCTCAAATCCAGGAGTACCCGAGGCAGCTATGACATTGATCATGCAGTAGATGGCCTCGGGATCCTCGTCGTACAGGGGCGACAGCAACTTGTTCGACGACTTGATCATGCGCATTTCAAGCGCTGTGCCCATACGCTCCGGCATACTTGTTGTGAATACCCAGTTCTGAAAAATAAAAAAATAAAAAATAAAATAAAAAAAAGCACGAAAGCCTGTTAGGAAAACAACTAACGAACTAAAAGGTCAATATCAAATGGAAGCTCTTGTATGCAAATACGGGTACATACCTTAGCAATAAGCTCCTTCCAGCACTCGACAACGTTCTTAAAGTCCATATCAGCCTTAAACGCCACACCGGCATCCAACACCGTCGTCACTTCATCTCCAAGCTGGAAATGCAACGCCTCTGGGATCTCGAGCACCCTTTCGCCCACATGAAGCATCGAGAAGAATGGGTTATCGACCGTAGGCGGCTGGTCCTTGTAAGGATCCACAGGCTCGGCCGGCGCGGTCGTACGTTCCCATTCCTTGATCCAAATCGCATCATTCTGGTCAGGTTTCATGAAATGCTTGAAGGGCCAGTACAAGAACTCGGTCGAATCGTTCTTGAGGATCATGGCCTTCACACGAAGACCGGCATCGGGCCCCTCAAAGACGGACTCCAAGGTGGGGTACGAATCTCGGACAAGGAGACGGGTATGCATGACCTCGACTCGGAGCGTGGCCGTGTAGATGATGCCCAGGAGACCGAGGTTCAGGCATGCGGCTGAGAAGGCCTCGGGATCTTTTTGCTCAGAGTAGGTAACAAGCTCGTTGTTGGCATTGAGGATGGTCATCTCGGAGATCATGTCCGACATCGTGCGCGAGTTGAGGGACACTCCGTGCTACACGAGTATGCGTTAATATCAGTTGTTAGTATTGTGCTCTTCCAATCAACATACAGTAAGGCGATACGTGTTATCACTCACGCAACCCATGCTGAGGACACCTCCGTAGCGCACCTATCCAAGGTAAAAGTCGTAGAAAAAAAAAGTTAGCGAATTTTGCATTAAAACAGTTCATTTATGTGCGTCCCATGAGATCGGACTCAATATCTTGCACATACACCAATCCTCAGTTCAAAATCCTTTATCATTTTCACACTTACAGTCGACGGGACAACGTTCGAAGGCAACGCCAAAGGAGGGTTATGCTGCCTAAGGGCCTGGTCTAGTTCCGCAACCGTAACTCCACTCTCGATCGTTACCGTCCATCCCTCTTGCCCTTCCTTGGGTGAATAGATCTTGTTCAGGTTGTGATTCAAGACCAAGTAGTCGCTCGTGGCGGAGCTGCTACACCAGGAGTGACCCGTGCCGGCGCAGCGAATCTTCTTGTCGTTGTTCTTGGCCTCGCGGACAATCACCATGAGATCCTTCAGGCTGTGCGGGTAGAATGTTGCCTCGGGCTGGCTGGAGAGGTTCTGACCCCAGTTCGACCAGGCATCAGCTGAGAAGGAGACACCATCGATGATCGCGACTGGAGATCCCACAAAGCCCTTGGTTTCCAGGCGATCGGCGGGGGCCTCGTTCTGGGCAGACTCAAGCTTGATCATAGCGTAAAAAAGGGAGGGCTGGGGTAAAGAGTGGGAAGAGTACGAAGGTCGGCTTAAGGGAGTAATTTTGGTGGGGAGTGAGGTGAAAGGGGGATAAGGAACAGTTATAGAAAGAAGAGACAGAAGAGCAAGCATGGAGGCTGGCATTATTTATACAAAAGTTGCCAGCTGTGGGCTGGTCTTCTCGACGGACAAGTATGCTGCATCCAACGATAGGATGTCTTTGCTCTAAGCACCCATGCACCGCTGAAATCTGGATGGGTAGTCTTCCCTTGTTGATGGACAGAACGACAGTCAAGAGGGAGGGAGAGGGGGGGAGGGGGGGAATCGAGGCGGTATGAGGGACAAGGACCGCGGCATGAATGCATATCGGTGGATGACATCTCCTCTAGACCAAATAAGAATTGCAGTAAGTCGCGACCCAGCTCACTCGTTCGTGCTCATTCACTTCCGCTCCTTTAATGCTGCTGTCGACCTTTTTTTTTTTTTTACGCGGTATTTGCTTTGTTGCTCTGAAGGAACAAAATGTCGTCGAGATAACAACTGTAGCAGCATTCGCCTTGAGGCACACCCAACTGACATAACCGCATTGGCTGCTTTCAAACGAATAAAGCCTTTATTCTGAAGTTTTTGAACGCATCGTTCAATGCATGGGCCTAGGCTCGAGCCCATTGGCCAAACTTCCCACTCCTAGATGAAACTCAGTTGAGGAATCAGCAGAGGTTGTGCTATAGCTTTACCGCGACATTGTATGCAAGGATATGACCAGCCCATTAAACAATCCGCTGCATCTTTCTCTCCTTCCCTCCTCTCCCCTCCCCAATCCTTCTACATATTTAATCGAAAAGCGACAACCCCGCCGCCTCCTTCCTTGCTTCGTCTCTCCTAATCATAAAGGCCCGTGTAAGCCGGTCGAAGCTGCCTCTGAATGTAGTTTGAGAACGTGCTCGCAGGCGTACCAAAGAACGCCGCGGACTTGGCCACGACCATCGCGTCGACCATCGGGATCAAGAACTTGGCCATCAGTGTTCCGTCCTCTGGGTTCCGGAAATGGTGCAGTAGCTCCAAATCCTCTGAGAAATCATCCAACGTAAAGATGCACTCAAACGTCTCGAACAGCTTGTCAAAAATCGGATTCGCTCGAGGCCGATGCGCGTCTGTCGCGAGATAGATGGGCGTAAACTGACCGTTCGATCGGCGTCTTGGAGTCGATGGAGATGTTTGCGAGATTGAATGCTGTTGTGGTTGTGATCGTTGTTTCCTCAGTTGTCTCTGCAGTGTTCGACGGTGGTTGAGGGCCCTGGACCGACACTGTTCAATCGACAACCGACCCCGCTCCTCGCGCTTAATGCCACCATCATCCCCACCCATATATTCCTCCTCGCCCGTGATACCAACCTGCCACATCAGTTCCTGCCGGGAATTCTCAATCGTCTCCCGCGCAGTTAACGAAAAGTGTCCATCCGACATGCGGATATGGATCCCAACAAACCCTGCATCCATCATCGAATCAGATAGCACTGTACCACCGTATGCCTGTCTGTCCGGATGAGTACCCCCAACATCAGCATCAGTATCAGCAGCAGTAACAACACGTCCGCTGATCTTGTCTGCGATCCTCTGGCTGGTCGTCTGCAGGATATCCGTCCCCAAAATCAAATGGTCTCGAATCATCAACAACCAGGCTTTGCTTTCCAACGAGTCGATGCTCACCCGTCCTGTCCCAAAGATCGAGCCCAGATGAATCAGCCGCTCTGGACGCTGGGCTAGCCACTCGACCGTAAACTCTTCCTGGTACTTGAGCCGTGCCCTGATCGATTCTTCAGCATCGGGGTTCTCTGTGAAGCGGTAGTCGTAAAGGCTCGAGTCGTCAAAAAAGAGGACGTCCCCTTCAGTGCGCAAAATCAAGGATTTCTTCTTCTCATCTCCTTCTTCTCCTGCACTGGCATCGCCCTCGGCGCTGCCTTTGTCCTTATTTTCCTCCTTGCCTTCTTTGCTCGTGATACCAGTGCCAACGTTAGATCCATCAATCGCAGCAGTCGCTTTAGTAGTGGCTGAATTCTGCTCATCTTCCTCCTTGGGCAGCGTCAGGTTGAATCGATCAGCCAAATACTGCATGGACATAGACTCCCGTGTCAAGACCCGGACATAGCGGCGGAGAGGGTTCAAGTCGAAGAAGAAATCCCAATCTGTCATGGTCCACGATTCGTACTGGAGGCACTCGGCAGGTAAGGGACTCCACTTCATGCGACGGTGCTTCCCGACCACAGGTTGCTGGTGCTGTGGTTTAAGCTGCGTGGGATAATGGTATACTGGAAGTGCTGCTTGCTCTTGAATTTGTTGGAAAGGATGCTGATCAGGTACCTGAGGCTTCTGTGGCCGAGATCCACGGCGATCCCTTCTGCTATTCCTGAAACCCAACTTCTCGGGCTCTGACCCTGTCAACAACGATCGCTTCATCACACGCGCGCGGTTCTTCTGCAGGTTAGAGTCCAGAGGTGTCACGTAGAGTGGTAATGAAGCCTCCACACCCACTTGCTGCTGCATCAACAGCCGCTCTCCATTATAACCAGGTATGGAAGGATCAGACTGCACCAAATACCCTGGCTTTCCCCAGTTCGCATTATGCTCATCCAAGTCATCGGGGATACCCATCTGAATGCCACCAGAGCCTCTATTTTCACCATCCTCCTCGTCCCTAACGGCTCTCCGGTCGGTCATGCCCTGATCTAACTTCTCGTCGGAATGGATATCTTCTTCCAGGTTCACGATGTCGCTGACATTGTCTCCAGTTGCGATTCTAGTCTTATTCCCGTCCTCGTCCGCTGATTCCTCGACCCATGACGGCACCTCTTCCTCCTCGCCGCCTGCAAAGCCTTCGCCTGAACCTTGCTCTTGGAAGAAATTGTTCTTATCGGTCTCAAATGATCCTTCGACACTGCCCAAGTCCGGTTGGACATCTGATAGATTATATGGCTCTTCTTCCGACTCTTCTTCATCCCCTCGCGCATCGATAAGGATGTCCATGAGAGCTTCCTTGTCAAGGCGCCCCTCTGGTGCCATATCCTCTTCTATTGATGGATTTGGTGTTGAATTCTCCTCGGTGAACTGGAAACCTGATGTAGCAGCACCCAATTTATCAATTGAAATTGAGGTCGACCCTTGACTGTTTCGCTGTTGAGCATTAAGCGCTCTTAGCTGAGATGGTACCTCGCCACTAGGGCTCTGTTGGTAGTGGGAGTGGTGATGATTATGATGGTGATGACGATGCTGCTGTTTCTGCTGCTGCCACGGTTCCTGAGGCCGTGGTGTTGGTGGTAGTGGTGATGGCCATGATGATAGAGGCGGCGACAATGCTTCATGGGTTTGGGATTCCATCCTGCCCATACTTCTTTCCTCGGTGCCCTGCTTCTGCTCGTTCATTTGCTGATACGCCATCGCCTGCTCTTGCCTCTCTTCGATCTCTTTCTCTTCTTGATTCTCAATGATCGCACGACAATGCTCGAGTCCAATCTTGGTCTGATACAATAACCGAGTATGCAGCAACCGAAAAGTACGCCAGGGCATGGGCGGACCCAGGTATACCTTTGGCATGATCAACGTCCGGTTCAGGAGTCTTGCCAACAGCAGCGCGTTCTCGAGCTCTGTTCGTTGGTTATGGAACCCAGAGTGCGGAAGGAAAGTGAGATATTTTGTAGAGGGGTCCAGGTCAATGCTTCGGTCCTGGGTGCTCTCTGGATCTGCTGTAGTGGTTGGTGAGGGAAGTAAGTCAAGATATCCGGGTCGATAGGTCATGATGAGATGGTTCGGCAACGTAGTCAACTCGATCCCCTCGACAAGTTTCCGTTGCTCCAAGAGATAGTTGAGCCTAGTGCCGTTCCCTGATTCAGAGATCGATCCTGTGGTCTCGTCGGTGATTGTTCTGGCACCTGTATCCCCATGCTCGACCCTAGATGAGCTCCTCCTGTTGAAGTCAATGTATTCGAACGGCTCAAGTTGAGTAAGTGCAGTTGTTGTGGGTTTGGGCCAGAGAGAGAAGTTCCGGGGCAGCCTCGGAAGGGAAGAGGGCGAGAAGATATAGAGGGTTAGGAAAATGAAGTTGATGATTGGCACCAGCAGAACCCAAAATCGTCGCTTGAATGCGATAAATGCCATCCTGGTCATTTGAGGCTCTGTAGTCAGCAAAAGGAACAAAAGAATGAGGAAAGGGAAATCAGAACGAGAATGAGGATGCAAAAAAAAGAGGTGTGAAATCTGAAGAAGGAGAAAAGGCTAAGAAGGGGTGTGCGGGAGAGCGATGGTTTCGCTCTGAGGATGGATGGTCCACACTTGGCCATTGCACCATTCATTTGCATGTCTATCCTCGTTCCCCCTTAGTATCCTGTATGTGTATGTAAACAAGTATATCTCGGAGGAATGTGGAGTCTCCCTTACTTCCTTTAACTCCTTATTTTCCATTCCCTTTGTCACCTTTCGCTGCTTCCATTTCCGTACTCATCTTCATCCGTAGGTACAGTCAGCTCTGTAAGAGCAACGCGTCTTATAATGAGCCAATCAAAAAACTGCTTCGAAATATTTGTGTTTGTATTTTTATTTATTTTTTATTTTGCTGTGCTGTCTGTTATTGAAGATGAAAGTGGGATACTGCTGGTACGTTAAGAAAAAAAAAAAAAAAAAAAAAAAAAAAGTGTGGCGAATGATGTCAAGAGATAGATAAAAAAATAAAAAAAGTATGCAGACATAAGGCTCGTAGCCAGCCAGCTCAAGCATCGCGCTTCGACTTTTACTCGTCCGACTGCGACGCTAGCACCATCTTCTCAATCCCCGCAGCAAGTTCGACAGACGCATTCGCGTGGTCCTCCGGTTGCTGCTTCTCTTCAGCAGCAAGTGGCTCCTCGACATTCTGAGCTGAAATGGACTCCTTGACTTCTTGATCCACACCAGCAGATTGCTGATTGGAAGGATTGAGGTTCGCATTCGTAGAGGCAGGGACGAATGCGATCGTACGTTGTCCGCCACTGCCGATGCCATGGCCACCTGTTCCCTGGCGTCCTACGCGACCAACATAGCCCGCTCCAGCAAAGGACCGACGAGACGCCTGCTCGTAGTACGCATATTGATCTTCCTCGTTCGCTAGACCACTTGTATGGTATCTATTTGATGTTCGCGGTGGAGTCGGAGATCCCCTCTTCTTGACCTCCTTATCTTTGCTCTTTTTCTTTGGCAAAGAAGGCGACGACGACTCTTGTGGCCCCTGCTGCTTGTTCTGCTGCAGCGGCTGCGGCGGTGACTCGGCTCGATCGCCGCCATCCTGTCCTTGCTCTGTTCCACTTATTTCGACATGCTTTGGGTCCGGTGATCTCATATGCGAGCGTCCCTGGATGCCACTGCGCTTTGGCTGCGGCGACTGGTGATTCTGCTGCGGCGACTGCTGATTCTGCGGCATCGGGCGATACTGCTGTGGTTGTTGCTGCGGACCGTGCTGCGGACCGTGCTGCTGACCTTGCTGCGGACCCTGATGGACATTCCGCTGGGCTCGCACAGGCTGCTGCTGATATTGCTGCTGATTAGGCCGCTGAAGTTGCTGCTGATTAAACCGCTGATTAGACCGCTGACACTGCAGCTGGAATTTTGTTGGCGGAGGCGCGCCCGGTAGTAATTTCCGACCGTCTGTAGAGATATGCTGCTTCACAAAACTCAGGATCGGTCGACTCACGCTCGCCAGAATTGGTTCATTTTGCTCCATCTCCATATTCCGCTTGATGGGGGCGTAGGTCGGCAGGCCCACACCTCGCTCCAGCGCCACCAAGATCAAATCTAGTCCCTTGACCTGTAGTTCTCGGTTGCCTCGGACCTGAGCGTACTTGTAAATGAGCGATATCAGGCATGTGTCGATGGTCTCGTCGCTCCGCACAGGTGGCTCGCACTTGAGAAAGAACATGTAGATCATGTTGGACTCTGTGGGCGAGGGTGCGTACCGGACCAAGACTGCAATAGACCACTGGACTAGCTTAATGTCCTCTTGGCTCAAGGGCTTTGTGCAGCTGCCAGAGCTGTCCGGTTTAAAGTCTTTTACCCAAGATGCCATTCCTGCGCCCTTATTTCTCGTCGTAGTGCTATTGTAGGCAGTTGGGTTGGCGCTTGCTGCGGCAGCAGTGGCCTTTTGTGCAGCGACGACAAGAGGTGCAAGATAATGGGTGAACAGCTTCAAGGCATTGTCCCAGTTCTTGGAATCGCGAGCCTCGTTGGTGATTGCGTAGTGGATGTGGTCGAGTCGAAGGGTCTCTGGAGGCCAGTTCTCGATGTCCATCAGAAAGGTAGGCATGTTGGCGTGGTTACTTAGTGGGCGGGAGTAATGCGAAGTGCACTGAAGAGGAAAGAGGAAAGAGCAAAAAAATGGTTGGTGGAGATGCAAGCATAAGGGACTGTCCTTTATTTAATTTCTATTTCATGCGAATCCAACGGTGGGAAAGGAGTTGGCGAAGGGAGGGTGAAAGTTGAGGTGAAGGCGAAGCGACCAAAAGCATTCTCCCTTCTCTCTTAATAGCACATTTGCATGCCGTCGCCCGTTGAACCAACGCGTCGCTCCATCTACATACGCGAGACTCCATAGAGGTTGCCGCCCTTGACTTCAGTGTTGTAGCACACAGACAGACAGAAACCGAGGATTGTGCGTGTCTCGCGGGGATCGATCACTCCGTCATCGATGCACCTGGAGCTCGTCCAGTACACGTCCGACTCGCTCTCGACCATGGCCTGGAACATACCCATCGACGCTTTAGCCATCTCCTCGTCAATTACTTTGCCCGACTTCTTGGCCGAGTCACGCATCACAATGTCTAGCACTCCTGTCAGCTGCTCTGCACCCATGACAGAGCACTTGCTGTTTGGCCACGAGAACAGGAACCGTGGGTTGTAAGCACGTCCGGCCATCGCGTAGTTTCCAGCACCGTAACTGGCACCCATCACAATCGTGATGCATGGCACTTGTGAGTTCGAGACTGCGTTGATGAAGCGCGATCCGGCCTTGATGATACCCTCCTCCTCGTACTTCTTGCCGACCATAAATCCTGTAATGTTATGAAGATACAGGATTGGAGTATCGCGCATGTTGCACAGCTGGATGAACTGCGTCGCCTTGTTTGCCTCCGGAGGGAAGAGCACGTTATTATTGGCGAGAATACCGACTGGAATACCATGGATCGTGGCCCAACCGCAAATTAGGTTGGGTCCGTACAGGGGCTTGAACTGCGTGAAACGGGATCCATCAACCAGACGAATAATCACCTCGACAGCATCGAAGGGAATACGGATGTTGGCGCTGACAATACCCAGAATCTCATCGGGATCGTACAGGGGCTGGTCGAAGAGACCTTTCAAGTGGCGGATAGGGAGCTGGCCTTGCTTGGTCCAGTTCAAGCCAGAGACGAACTCACGGGCCATGGCAATTGCATGGTATTCGTCCATGGCCAGTTGATCTGAGACTCCAGACTTGCGACTGTGCATATCTGCCCCTCCGAGTGTCTCTGCATCGGTGATCTCGCCGGTTGCCATCTTGACCAGAGGAGGACCACCCAGGAAGACCTGAGCCTTGCCCTGTTAACAGGTACAGTACGTTAAAGTAGAATGACGTTAATGAGACCATAAATGTATATTGTATATGAGGCGCGTCTTCCCATGGCCAAAGCAGTGGGGAATTAACATGTTTACTGCTTACCTTGACCATAATACTGTAGTCACTCATTCCAGGGATGTACGCACCACCTGCGGTCGAGTTTCCAAAGACGACCGCGACTGAGGGCAGACCAGCCTTGGATCTATGGTGAAGCAATAGGAGGAAAATGTGTCAGCACACGAGTGCATGCAGGTCAATTGCGGACGATGGCACTCGAACGCTTGACGAAAGGGCATTACCTCTCGGCCAAGTGACGGAAGACAGCCCCGCCTGGGTGAAACACGCGAGACTGCTGGGCCAGGTTGGCGCCGGCCTACAGGAGTAGTAAGAAAGACGCACGCGTTTTAACAAGAGTTCATGGCCTTGCTTTTGCGAGAAATGGTCATTTAAGTACAGTAGCCATACCGACTGAACCAACTGAATGTGAGGAAGACGGTTCTCCCAGGCGATGCGGCCCAATCGCTCACCACGGGCAAGCGTGGTGGCGTTCGAGGCACCTCCCTGGAGTGTGGGAACGTTGGCAGAGACCATGCACTCTATACCGCTGCAGAAGAGTAGAGAAAGGACATGGTGACGGTGGTGGTGAGAACGCATTTTCATTAATGCCGGTTCGTGCGAGCCGCGCGAAGATGGCTGTGAGATTGTTTACCACACAAGACCGATACCGGCAACCTGAGATCCACCGATGGTCATGTCATCCTGGCCGTATCCAGCCAAGGGACAGAGCTCCATGAATGGAGAGTCATCGTCGAGAAGCAGTTCGAGACGATCACGGGCTAATGTGGGCATCCAAGGATATTATTTGGGATTAGCACAATGTCAAGATGTGTGACCCGAGATGTTGGTTGGGCAAAGCACACTCCGATTCAGTACCAAGGATAGATCCGCGCTTGTGATGCAGAGCCAGAAGACGATCTGCTCCCTGGAAGGTCGCCTCTTGGAGACGCTCGTTGAGCTGGTCGACCAGCTCGAGCATCTCCTTGTAGTTGGCGATGTATTCAGGAGATTTGGTGTTGACCTTGGACTTTGTGGGCTTTGTGTAGTGACCGAGGTTGGGGGCAGCGCTGGGGTTCTTGGTGGCAAACTCATCCCCGTTGGTCCTCCGGTTGGGAGGCGGGTTTCTGTGAGAGGGGTCGATGATGTGGCTCATCGTGTGAGGGTGAGATGTGCGCGTGTTTTTTTTTTTTTTAGGTTGTGATGAGGATGAAGGAGAGAAAGAAAGAAGAAAAGAGAAAGAGGGAGGAGAGATCAGAAGAAGACGAAGTAGTAGAAGAGGAAACGACAAAGTGACAAAAAAGGGAGGGTGGTTCGCATGGGTTGATGCCGAACCCGCAAAAAAGAGAATGGGGCATTCCTGCCTTACACCCCGTCCCTTCCCCTGAGGCAAAAGTATGTGGGGCTCGGACTCTCGCCCCCCCTCTTCCCGAGATGTCTTCTCTCTCGCCTTCTTTCTCGCGCGAGATGTTCTGCCACCGTTACTTTTCGCCCTGTATACATTCACCCTCTCCCCCCCCATTGCGACTGGAAAAGAGAGCCGAAAGTGACACGGACAAAGCGAACCTTTTTTTTTCTGTGGAGAACAAAAAAAACGCGCGCGGTTTGAATATCACGTGGAGATGAACTCGCCTTAAAGTGCCATCGCACCTAAACCAGCCCAACTCAATTCCACTGACACGACCCACTCGACTCATCCCTCTCATCTCTCTCCCATCTCCCTCTTTCTTCGTCTTCTTCTTCTCGTACATCTCTCAAACTCTCTCCCTTTCCACATGTCTGAAAAAGAGGTCCTCTACGCAAGGCAAGGCGCCGTCGCCACTGTCACCCTCAACCGCCCCAAGCGCGGTAACGCCCTCTCAGGTCCCATGGTCAGCCAGTTCGTCCAGATCCTCCAATCCGCTATTGACGACCCAGCTGTCCGTGTTATCGTCGTCACCGGCAATGGCAAGTACTTTTGCACTGGCATGGACCTCACCCCTCAGGACGACTCACCCTCGGCCTCAGATCCTGTTGCTCAAACTCAAGCCATGTTCACCACCCTGGCCCGCTGCCCGAAACCCACCATCGCTCGTATGAACGGCCCAGCTCTCGGAGGCGGCGTCGGCATTGTCTTTGGCTGCAATTTCAGGATCGTCCATCCAAATGCCTACTTCAGCATGCCAGAGGTCCACCGAGGCTTGATTCCTGCCTTGATCTCAGAGGTGATCGTTCCTCAATTAGGTGCCTTCCGATCCAAGCAGTACATGCTTTCGGGCGAACGCGTCTCGGCGCAGGAGGCCTATCGTGTTGGATTCGTCACCGCCGTGGCAGAGGATGAAGACACACTCGACAAAAAGGTCAAAGAGTACGTGGATCTCCTGGTCCAGTCCGGTCCAGGAGCTATGCGGGATGTTAAGCAATTAGTCGATGCGGTCGATCTTCGTGGAGGAGACGACAAAGCGGTTGCAAGCTATGTTCGCGAAGCGTTTGGAAAAATGATCACCTCCGAGGAGGCTGCCCATGGCATTGGTGCATTTGCCAGCCGAGAGAAACCTAACTGGGATGAGTTTGGTCTCGGTTCAGAAAAGCTAAAGTCCAAGCTGTAGATGATCTCACCTCGGTCGCTCCATATTTTTTTGTCGCGCCTCGCTCTTACCGGGTGCATGTAAAATAAAGATAAATTGAATATATTCCTTTTCGTGATGTCTTTCCGGTGGTGGGTTTATTGGTTTGCCCAGCCTACAACACCAAGCTATGATGATTTCAAAGTCCACTTCCTGAGCGCTGCTTTGGCTGCTGGAAGCAATAATCCCACATTCTCAATCCACCATTGTCGGTTGTAGTTCATCTGCCTCTCATATGCCTTGTCCAAAAAGTCCTTATAAAAGACTGAGAGTTCCTCAGTGGTCACTAACTGATTCCCATTCTGCGCGCGAACTATTGTCGATTGGTTCAACAATAAAAGGCATTGTTAGAGGTAGTTCTTGATGACCATAGCAACATGTGTTCGCACGTGTATTGAGTCCGCTTACTTTTTTCCTCGTATTCTGCCTTGGCCTTGTTAAACATGGTATTGTTGTTGACCCAAAAACTCTGGTTGAAGGCATCGACGCGCTCCCTCCTCTCCCTGAATAAACGATCATCCTTAGATTCATTGCTGGGGACAGGGTATTTGACAGGCCGCAGATTCGAGACTGGGTGAGGGTTTCCGACAAGGAGCTTGTCAGTGTTTTGTGCTGGATCTAAGCTTTCTCTTTTCCTAGAAGACGATGAAGCTGTGCTAGCTGTGCTAGCTGAAGCAGATTTTGCTGCAGTTGAGGCATGTCTCCTACAAAGACCCAGCAGGGACAAGGTGGTGGTTTTCTATGGAGATAGTAAAGTCTAGTTGACTGAGGTCTTGTTCCTGTTTAAGAGACAGCTGCGTTTTTTTTCCGGGTTGGTACCTTGAGCAGGTTCATTGTTCCACCGTGTTCGGGTTGGAAGTATAGGTGGATGCAATGGAAGAAGAGGATTTAGTGAGTGTATGTATGGTAGGATGGTCGTGAGTTGTCAGTGGATGTGAAGTGTGGAATGGGCGATGCGGAAAGCGCGTTTCCGCCTGTTGTTTTCTGTCCTACGAAAACAGTCCCACACGTATGCACTGGTGTATACGTGTTAGGAGCTGTCAGTAAAAGAACTACACTGAGTAGCATTTCAATTCATTTATTCGAGATTCTTTTAGGGACAGTTTTCTTATCCAACTGTACGCAAAAAAAATTTCTGAGTGTACTGATAAAGAAAAATAAGATTTTGGACAGAGGGCGAAGCGTGCAAGATGCAGGCAAGATAGCATCATGCAGACGCGTTCCTATTCGTCGATCGCAAAGATGGAATGTTTAGCTTGCAACCGTTGAGGGAGAGTATGGGTTGGCTCGAGGGATGGACGATGGGTGAACAGCTCGACGATAAGGGTGACCATGAGCAAGGAGAAAGGTGTGGCCATGGGTATTTGCATAGATGGCACCAGGTACCAGACCCTGGGTACGGACACATGGCACTGAGGTCGGATGGCGTCATCCGCGCCAACACAGCGGGAAGAAACAGCTCTCCTTCCTTCGCTCCGTAGTCCGTGCGGGAACTCTTTCTTTTTCTTCTTCCCCTCCTTGTTCCTTGTCTCTTCTTTGTCCATTCCTCCATTCACCATCCAGATCATCCACACATTACTTCTCATTCGCCTTTTATTCCTACCTCCACACACCAAGGATACACTCATATCTTTAGGCATTCCATCGCATTCAGCGCACCCTCCACATCAAAAGAAAGAGGCATGCCCATCCTACGGTCCATGCCCCTGAAGTACACTCTCAGGAGGCCAGTCCTCGAATGGAGCCAACAGAGCACTGCCCCTGAACACCAGGCCGCAGAGGCCGAGCGGGGTCACGCCGTCATCGACGACCTGAGGGACTACCCCGTCGAACTCTTTCATTTGCGCGTGCGTTCCATCCAAGAACAGCTTTCACATCATCACCCGCCCACCTATATCTACATCGCCGCTCTCGCCTCTATCCTCCTGCTCTTGCTCGTCTTCATCGCCACAGCCCTGGCTCTCCATGTCTCGGACGGCAAGCCCTGGGTCCTAGGCGTGATCGTGGTCTTGATCATGACCTTCGTCGCCAAAATGTTTTTTCTTTCCAGAATTGAGAAGGTATACTATCACCCCTTCTTTCCTTCCCTTCCTCCTCCTCCTCCTCCTCCTCCTCCTGCAAAAAAAAAAAAAAAAAAAAAAAAAAAAAAAAAACCTACCAGTCCAACCTCCGTCTGCGGGCGATCTTCTCCTGCTGAACCTACTATAAACATAAACATGCACTATAGGTCCCAGCGCTCGTTTTGTTCATCCGAATTTACTTATTTTCATAGGCACACAAAGAGATCAATATTCTACTTCACTCTTTCAACAACCAGGACATGCCTCACTACGACGTGCTCTACAGGCTGCGCCCAGGAACCTTTTCATTCGCGCACTCATCATTTCTCAACCGATGCGCTTACCGACTCAACCTGGGGCTGCCCAGCTGGGTGATCGACCTCACAACTGTCGACCATATTGATGAATACTCCTTCCAGGAACACCCCGCCACTGACCCACATGCTTTGCCCGAAGAGGTTTTAGCGAGAGAGAATGAGCTGCCGACCTATCGTTCCAAAGAGTATGAAGAGGAAGAACACGGCGATGGAATGCATCGCCACCAGGGCGTGTTCCTGAGCGAGGGACAGCCACCAGAGTACCAGCAAGTCGTCATTGAAATGGAAACACATTCTCGCCCAGCACTAGCAGCACCACCTGCATCAGAGACAGGAGCAGGAGCAGGGACTCTGAATATATCTGTCGCATGACCAAATTTATCGACAACAAGCACGGCACTTTCATTCTTCTCACAACTCAAAAGATCAAAGAGTCCATTGCTCGTTTTTCTCGCCATATTTTTTCTGTATATACCCTACACCTTCTCGACCTCATCCTTTCCATCGTCAAGTAGTCGCCTGTATTCAGAGCCATGTGTAATAAACTCCTTGTACAGTAATTTATTATCGTATGAAACGAGGTAGATAATGGCGGATACGCGATCGTGGGCAAAGAACGGCGCCAAAGGTGACGCTCAGGCAACCATTCAAACAGGACTCTCATCGTACCGCATTTGTCACCCTACGGCCGGCCAGCAGGGAAACCGCTACCATCGTGATGTTGTAAGTATGCCCTTATCCTCGCACCGTCTCACCTCGCCCCTACACGTTATTGTCATTTTGATCAGGCGATATAGTTGTTATACATTTTGATTAAGCGAGCAGGCTGCCATGAATGCAGTGAACCTACTCTATTGACTTCAGAAAATACGTAGGGAGAACGACGAAACGAGCAAAAGAATCCGCAGATCGATCCTCTCCTCGCCGTGCCTTTATTTTGAGTATTAATATGTATATACAATAGCATAAGAAAACGCTCCGGTACCTTCAATGATTTAATTGTTGTGGCAAGCTGAGACGCCTCTTAATCCGCGCAGTAGTGGCTGCTGTAAGTGGGAGAGCAGGAGCAACCGAGGGTACACCAATTGACATTCGCAGTCGCTTTCCGTCTCGCTCGAGTTGGAGGTCATTTTCCATTGGCCGCGATCGTTTCGTTGGGGGGCTGGAGCTGGATGATGAGGAAGCAGGGTCATTGGGAGGACGAGCAACTCTTTGTACTCCTCGACTTGGCAGACTGGAGAGGGTGCTGGGTGCTGAAGCATGGGATTCACTGATCCGTCGCACAACTCTTTGAGCACCTCCCAGCTTCGGCGGACTAGGGAAATTACTGGATCCTGAAGCTTGAGTGTCGCCCGACAACCGAATGACCTTTCGCACTCCTTGCTTCGGTAGACTAGGCAATGTGCTACTGGGAGCCGTGGGTTTGGAGTCGCCGGGTGTTGATGGAACAACCCTTTGCGCACCTTTCAGCACTTTCCCTTTCGTTATAGGGAAACCTGAACTGAGGTCATTGTTGGTACTACTGATGCCAATGCTGGTACCAATGCTAGTACCGGTACTGCTGCTCGCCACTACTCTCCGTGCACCACCCTGTCCGTTTAAAACAACCCCACTCTTGCTGCTGACTGGAATCAGTGCTGGAACCAGTCTCTTGGCGCCTCCAGCTTTTCCCAGCCTGCTGGCCAACGGCGCAAAGCTCATAGAGGAAGGACCTCCTGCCCTCGGCAATGAACCGTGTGTTTTCAGGTGCGAAGAGGAGAGAGATGGGAAAGGCGTCGGACGGATGACGGATGGCAACAAGGGATCAAGAAGCCCTGTTGAGTAGCGTTCTTCGTCTTCGTCAACAACATCGAGCGAAAAATGGACGTGCCGCTTCGAAGGTATTGGTGTCAATCGTGGCTGTCGCAATCCTCCGCGCGGTCGCCGCCGCTTGGGCGAAAACAGAGCACCGGCAAAAGGCATAGATCTCCTGCGAGGGGCTATGTTGCCTTTGATAGGAAGTGGTGGGACTTGAAACGGGTTCTGTGGGCTGCCAAGCTGAGGGTATTCCTGATACATCCTGATGGGTGACTGGTTTCCAAAAAGGCCGCTGGTTCCAATTGCAACACTGGTGTCGACCGTGTCCATGGACAGATTTGGGAGGACATGGCTCGTCGTCTGGCGCTTGACAGGGGTTTGCGGGACCTCTGGCAAAATCGACATGATCTTCGAGCCGTTCAAACCGACCGAGGTTGAAGAATCATCCCGTTTGAAAGGAGAGCCAGGAGCTAGGTCTTCCCCGCTGCCGTTGATACTGTAGTTGAGTCTAAGGTTCCATGCGCTGTACTCGCCTGAAATCGAGGATCCGATCTGTTTGGTCATGTCGGTGAAGCTGGTGATCGAGGCCATATAAATATCATTGAGAGTCTTGGTTGCCATTCCTGCCTGCTCTACGGCTTCAATCTCGGACCTGAGTCCCACCAGCGATCTCGCGCTTAGCTCCATGAAGTTGTCCGTGGCCAAAAACTGATCGCTTAGCGATTTGTCGGATAGTTCCAGTTTAGTGGTGAGAATTTTGTTGTGCGACTCCAAAGCCTGGCACTTCTTCTCCAACTCATACAGTCGTTGATATGGGAATCCTGAGTTCAAAATAGGGTTGTCCTTCTGCTCCATAGACTGAATCGAAACCGCATACATTTTTAGGGCGTCCTCATGCTCTTGCATCTGCTTTGTCAGACGAACTGTCTGCTCGATAAGGTCGCTAATCAACTGGTCTACCATATTGGTGTAAGAGGACGACGCATTCAGTGAACTATTGAGCTTGTTGACCTGCTCAGCTGCCTCGGCATCGTCGACCGACTCCATTGCTTGCTCAAGTTTCTCGCTCTGCCTCTTAGCTGCCTGAGAAGCCTCTTCAAAGCCAGCTCTCCATCGGTAAAGTCCTGAGAGTCGCGCCGAGGCGATGAACAACTGTGATTGGAACTGTGCATAGGTCAATTCCTGTGACCGTGCCGTCTGGAATGTTGCCCGCATTTTCCTGATTGTATCATCGAATGCACGGCCGAGTATCTCCTGTTTCTGCTGCGCCTTCTCGAATCCCTCGCCTTTGGCTTGATTTTTTAGTCGACTTTTAAGCTCTGCTACCTCCTGTCGCAGTTCATAGATCGCCTGGACATACTCAGAGACATGCCGGTCCACGTTCATGGTGTTCTTAGTGACCTTAGTTTTGATATTCTTGGCCCGGTTCGCGTATTTGAGCGTATTGTGGGTCTCTTCATAGTGCCTGCTTGATGGGCTCACGCAGGCGATCATGACCGTTTTGCAGTTGCCGCCAAGGGAAAATTTTAAAAGCCGTGTCAGCTTGCTGTCTCGATAGGGTATATGCGACTTTGGCCGGTTTTCACAAAGCGCGTTGATGCAGTTGCCGAGCGCAAGCAGTGACTTGTTAATGTTTGCTCCTATTGTTGACATGAAAGAAAGAAAAAGCCATCACCGGCTTTGTCAACTAATCGAGAAATGTGAACGTAACATATATATGGTGAATAAACAATGATAAGTACCTTCCATCAAACGACTACCGCGATTTTTGGTAGCTGAGGCCCTCTCACTTCCTGCCAAGTCGATAAGAGAAAGTGTTGCCATAGTGAAATCCTCCGAGATGTCTGCTGTCCTGAGTCGCTGGCAGATGTTGATCTGAAGAACAGCATGTGATCGAGAGGATGTGGCATTGGCCTCTGTTGGCGATATCGTCCTGTTTTCGTTGCCCTTGAACACCAACTCCATGAGCTCATCCATCTATATAAATAAATAGATTAGAAGCCGACCAAAGTTAGCTGTAATGTTGCTGTCAATTTTATATCACACGTCTGAGCCTAATAGGCGTAAAGAATAGCATACTCCTTTGGGATGATGCTCTGAGAGTCCAGCAATAGTGACTCTCTTTGATGAGTCTTCCCTGAGATGCAGCGCCTGTGGTTTTACAGTATCTGGGGTGGGCTTGGCCAGTAGATCACGGATGGCCTCATTGTAGACCTCCAGATATGAAAGGGAGATCTCAATCGTCTTTTCATCCTCCAACTCCTTGATTCGCACGTAGAGCTCCTGCATAGTGAGGAAGATGATGCCGGGCTTCTCTGGTGTACCACTGATTGTATGAGTCTTTCCGCATCCGGTCGCTCCATAAGCGAATAGTGTGCCATTGTAGCCACCAAGGACACCGTCGATCAAATGTTTTGTCGTATTTTCAAAAACCTGATGACGGTCGAATGCTCAATTAATACCTCAAAATCTCTTTGGCAGTACGTGTGCTTCACAAAGAATACAATACAAGTACCTCTTGCTGCTGGGAATCCTCATCAAAAACACGATCGAATGCGTAGCGCATATCTTTGAATCGACGATACGCCTGTACTGGTAGCAGTGCCCGTTTGTATTTTGAGATACTCTCTGCATCTGGAGGGTCAAAGACAAGGACATTATCATCCAAAACGTCGACTACTTTGCGAAGTCCTGCCGAGGACTTTGTTGTGCTGGCGCTCGAGTTGGTGTGGTCGCTTCGACTGCTGACGTTACCAAACCCGTTAGAGAGTGAGGCATCCGCTGAGAGGTTGAACTTGTTGGTCGGTGTTTGAGGCCGTTGTGCCTGCTCTGCGGGACTGAATGGCCTAACTCTTACTGCAAAGTTCATAAAGATCAGAGAATGGGTCAATAGGCCTATAACTCATTACGCTGTTGATGATATCGAATCGCCTGTTGACTCGCGATGATCCACCTTACCTGCCACAAGTATTGTTGATTCCGAAGGCCATTGTGTTGCCTCGCTCGTTTTTCGGGTACTTGTGGTCGAAGTCGCCTGCGAATATGTCGTGTTGTCTGTATGAGAGCCTCTTATAGCACTGGCATCGTTTTCTACTTCGTCCATAACGTTTTCATTGATAATCTCCGTTGTAAGCACATTGTTTTCCTGTGTTAGGGTCAGGGCCTTTGCCTGCTGCTGCAGCTCCAGCCTCGATGCGCTGCTGCTGAGGTGATGTATTATGGGGTTCGATGAAAGATGAGACGAGAGAATGGACTGAGTTATAGATGGTGCTGAATTTGAATGGATTGGCGTGAGGACCGAGAGCTCAGGCATATAAGGGGAACAGTTCCTGAACGCGGAAGGAAACACTGAAGAATTGTTGTTGTCACGTCGTCGCAGTTGATCTGTCGCGCTGTCGGATTTGTGCGTCTTGAGGCCCAAAAGATGGTGCCTGGTAGTTGATGAGGGAAAGATGCGTGATTGATGAGCAGAGAGAAGAGAAGGTGCTTAACACCTGTGATGTTATTTTTTTTTTTTTTGCATACTCACACCACTTGTGGTGTGACTGGGATTGGGACGAACGTGCTTTTTTTTTTTTGGCTACCAATTCACCCGTGAGCTGCGCACAGCAATTCATCGGCATCGACTCAGGGGCACAACTACGGATTATTACCCTGCACCCACACGACAAATCAGACTTTTTCAAGAACCACAGCTTTCAATGGCGGGATAGAGAAATGTGTGATTTAAACCAACCGAGTTAATGAGCAGAGGGGTTATGGAATACGTTAATGCCTCGTTTACTGTCTTGCGTGCTGCAATCCAGAGTGAAAGCGCCTTCCTCGGTAACGGAAAGAGCATTAGGGTATCCAGAAGGCCATGTTAGTGGCACTTCCTCATCAGTCTTTTCAATTCCCTCATGCAGGCGCAGTGGACCATGAATCTATTTTTGTGTGGGCCCACGAGATCGCATACTAGTTGCGCTTTTGGAGATCGGATTTCTAATCTCTTATGAGGTTCGCTTAGCCACGCTAAAGCTGCAGCAACTCTGCCCTCTCCGATCTAACGGGACTAAGTCGTTAGCTCGCATCCCAAGCAACGCTGACTAAATGACGCAACGGCGAAGGCTGTAGGATTGTCCATTTCCGCTACGAGTACCCAGCCAATGTGGACCATATCATGCGGAAACCTAAAATATGAGACCGTCAGTTTTCTTTTATCTTCTCGCCCCTCTCTCTTCTCTTTCTTCTCTTCTTTTCACATCTCCACATCTTTTACTCACAACACCTTCACATACCCTATTGTCTCTTCCCCTTATTACGCTCGGTCTTAATCCCGCATCCTTCTTAATAAATTCAATCGGCTAATATCACATCGGCCAAGAAGCACAGCACAGCAGCATGTCCCACCTCATCGACCCGTGCTTGCGAGCGACCAAGATTGCCCATGGGATCAGACGCGGCATCGATGGCATCTCACCCCTGAGTGGCCTTGTTCCTGAACTCCGCATTCTCATCCAAGAGCAGAAAAATGTCCTCGCCTCATTAAAGCGAACCGCATTTGAGAAGGAAGAAGGTAAACCCAGCAACAGCAAGCAAACCAACCAAACCAACCAAACCAACCAAACATACACTCTCCTCTTATCGGAAATGGCAAATATGGACATGGCACACTGCATGGCAACAAGGCTGAAGGACTTCTCACTAACGCTACTTTACCTGTCTCATAAAAAATGTAATCAGCCGCAAAACACCTTGCTATTTACGCTAAGACCGAAGGTCCCGATATTGCAGACACGCTCACGAAACTCAGCATCTTAGTCCAGAAAGCCGCCGACCTCGAGCGCGTCTATGCCAACAGCCTCGCCCAGAGTAGAGAACTCTTCAAGGAGATTCGGGTAGCTGAGGATGAAAACTATTCGATTCGAAAACGCAAGCTGGATTTGGAGCAGAAGCTGGCCCTCGACAAATCGTATTCCTCGTCAACGATCTCCTTAACAGGAAAACAACCCTCAGTTCACGGACCAGAACTGCACCCAGAGATGAAACTACTGAGACAGGAGACCATGTCGGTTGAAAATGATCTCGAGGACTTGAAGCGCAAGAAGATTAAGAAAGCGACATGTCAGCAGCTGGATGCACTCGAGAAACTAGGCAAGGAGCTGATTGTAGTTGCACATTATGGACGACGGGTCATGGACGAACTCGACGACTCTCCGACGCCTGCAGGAACCTATGCAGATGACCGTTATGCGACTTATGAAGGTAAATCCTTTGTTCACCCCCTCGCGTTTGCATTACGACCTTCTCTGAGATGACTCAATAGATATTAAGCTACCCTCTCGTGATCCTTTATTCCGATTTGAATAGGCGCCGCAAAGACAGCATACACTGTCAAGGCCTTTATGGACACATTCAAGGCCTGGCCTAGCCACGAGCCTCAGGTCCAGATAAGCGACGTCGACCTTGGCGACTTCCCCAGGGACAACAAACAGGTCATGGACGCCATGTTGAAGGATCTCGCTAGCAAATCCGGCTCGGACTGGTACGCCCTTCAATCACCGAGTTCTAGTAAGGCGCCCTCAACCCATGGCAGGACCAACTCTTCAGATTCAGTAGGCTTTGCATCGCCCCGCAACAGTATATCCTCTCTGGTAACCACTACAACCTATGTCGACGGAGTCCCAACAATCCAGGTCATCAATGAGATCCCACCTACTCCTGAGTCTGAGGAAGCACCTGTCAATAATGAGAAGGAGGATGCAACTAGTTTGGCAGCAGCCCAAGAGCCTATCCCTGTTTTCGTGGGCGGAGAGGGAGATACTAGACCAACGTCCCTTGCTAACAGCGCATCCTCGACCACCAACGACACTACACCAGCTGCTACTTCTAATACCTCTGCTACAGATACCACGACCTCCTCTGTCGATCCAAGTCCGTTTGTTTCTCACTCGACCTACAAACCAACCACCGCCTATCAACCCGGATATGCACACGATGCTGTAGACGGCCAACGGACACCGCCATCCAGGAGTCGACCCCATTCGGGCGAACACTATCCAATCACCCACGCACCGCACCCCTTGATGATGCAACAAACGCCTTTCCAGCCGAAGCAGCAGTACTATCAGCCATTGTACCCACCAGGACCTCCCGGCGGAGGTATTCCATCCCAGATGCCCATGCCCATGCCCATGCCTGTTCCTATGCAAATGTCGATGCCAGTGCCCAACATCCCTAGCTCGTCTGATGATCGCGAGGATGGTGGAAACAAGCGCCACTCCCAGCCTATCTCAGTCTCCTTCCCTCTGCGTCCACCAATTGGCTTGGCATTAGATCATTCTGCCGGTATGACATCCCCTACTGCTGGCATGCCTTTGTCGTCTCGGTCCCCATCCCCATCGCATCAAAATGCACGACGTAACCCACATGCGGTGCTGCCCCCAACAGAACCAGGATTTCATGTGCCAGTAGGCACCGAGATATCGGCCTCGCAAGAAACCCCCAAGGATGTGTACGATGGCCCACCTCCTGATTATGCTGAGGCCTCAATGCAGCCCCCTGCCGAGAAGCGCGACGAGAAGAAGCGGCGATAAGCAGTGATTTCCTTTTTCAATATAGTCAAATAAACCCGAGAGACTGTTGCATAATGGACAGCGCCCTCTTCAATTGCAAGGTTCCCAAGCTGCAAAAATGCTGAGCCCGTTGGCAATGCGTTTCCCCACTCTTTTATCACACCACCCCAAAACGACATCGACATCATACCATGGAAATCGATGCACTCACGATCGTGCTGACCATCACCATCGCAGTCGCTTTGGCGTATGTCAAACTTAGCAAATCCGAGCCAGACGTACACCCGCTGCTGCTACAGCAACAGTCTACGCCCACACCTATCAGGAACGAGGGCGAGTCAGTCGTCCATCGATCCAAGTCAGTGTCCCATGGTTCGCCACTGGTGAGGCAGCCCTCGGACAAGATCAAGACCCTATACGATGTCTGGCAAAGTGGCTCTACCATCAATCCCTCAGCGCGATCATTGATGTTCCCGTTACAGAATCAGTTTGCGTTTGTGGATGTAGGTCATCGCCCGCCGTTCTGTTCGCAGCTGTAATACGAGTATTCTGAACGTGCATAGCTCCTCTTCTGACAAGCGTCTTTACTTTTTTCCTCTATACACATATTCACACGACATGTATTTCGCCCGCATAGGCCACTTATGGTATGACACATGCTTGACGCCTTGTTCATTTTAGCGTGGGAGTCAAATTGTTGACTAACAGCTTACTTTCATGTTGAACAGAACAAGTCGACAGGAGGATCAGCGGATTTGGATCAGGACTCATCAATTTGACAGGACTGAAGCCCAAGACGGAGACCCCAGTTGGCATCATGGCTCCTTACTCCCAAGGTACATGTAGATTTTGTTGATGCAAAATGCCCAGGAATTTTTCATTGCGCTTATACCCATTCATGCGTCCCCCAATTAGAATCGTTTATTGCTCAGCAGGCGTTCTATAGATACAGCTTTGTGGCCGTGCCCATACATGACCTCAGGAATGCAGATTTATTGATCGAGGTGGTTAACCAAACGAAGCTAAAGGCCATTATCGTCTCGCAAAAGACGCTGCCGTTGCTACTGCAGTCCTTGAAGGAGTGTCCCACCGTCAAGACCATCATTGTTGCAGGAATATTCATCTCTGGAGAGCAGGAAAAGATTGCAGCTCTGCATGGAGCTAAACTGATCAAGTTTGCCAGGGTGGAGTATGACGGATCATCAAACCCATTGGACCATATTAAGCCTGGTGAGTTTTCATTTTCTTATTTTCGTCATAGGGTCATGCCTTTTTCTGTTTCCTCACAGTTGCCTCGAAATATTCATTTAGATCCTGAGGATGTTGCTATGATCAACTACAACACCAAGTCGACATCTGTAAGTTCCGTATTCTGAATGTACATAGCGCGACTCCGGCCCTAAGATGCACGAACTCATTTTGTCTCCTCAACTTGAACATCTAGCTTTCAAAGGGTGTTATGCTTACACACGCTAATCTGATAGCAGCTACAGCTGCCTTCAGAGCAGCGCTGCCAGGCACCAAAAAGTTCACAAGCAAGGATCGTCTTCTCTGCCAGTTTTCGAACGGGGATGTCATTGCGGTCTGGTTGCAGAGCGCCATTATTTTGTCCGGGGGCTCACTTGTCTTCCCTACCGGGTTAATGAAGAACGTCCTTCATGACGCACAAGCATCGGCTCCCACAATTTTTGCAAGGTAAATTTGGGTGTTCATCATATGTTTTGTGTGCATATCAAGTATATCAATCATGTTCTCTAATTTCCATCCCAATTCTTTGCTTTACAATAGTACTCCTGTCATTCTGGAAAAGGTCCATGAGGCGCTTCAATTGACCTATGGAAAGGGGTCATTGTTCAAGCGCGCGTATGCAGCCAAGCTTGAATTGCTCAAAGCGGGATGCGTCACCTCAACCAGCCTTTGGGACTTTATTGGACTGGGAGAGATCCGAAGCAGACTTGGCGGAAAAGTGAGATTGATTGTCACCACGAGTACGTACAGCTTTCAAATGAATTCGCGAGACGATCATTGGATATCCAATACATCCCTGCGATACTCATGTTACTTCCCTAAATTTCTTTTTATTAGATCCAACAAAGAATGAGACTATGGAATATATCAGAGCTGCAATGGGTATCCCAGTAATCAGCACTTATGGAAGAACAGAAACCTCGGGCATTGTTACCAGCCGCAACATGTTTGATTACTCGAGCACACCATTCTTGGGGGCCCCTGTGGGATGCAATGAAGTGAAGCTAGTCGATGATGTTGAAAGTGGACATACTAGTAACGACGAGCCCAACCCACGTGGAGAGGTACGTAACGCGAGATCCGTGCTCATTAACAAAATCGAAGCAGTAAAGAACCCATACGACTTTTGCTCAGACAACTGATGATCTAGATGTGGCTGTTTTTCGAATAGATATTTATCCGAGGACCCAATGTGATGAAGGGATATTTCAAGAAGCCCGGTGCAACAGCTAAGGCGGTGGATAAAGACGGGTGGTTTCATTCGGGCGATTTGGGAACATTCCATTCGAATGGCACACTGGAAGTGTCGAACAAGCGGAAGAAGAAGGCCAAGACATCGGGTAGGTCATCGCCCATCCAAGGAGAGGCGAAGGAGTGAACATGGCAGAACTTTTTCTGGATGGCGTTTGAGGGTTGTTATCTCAGCCTAAATGCCTAGATTTAGAAATGACATGTCTGGGCTGGCCGAGACCAAGCCGAAGCAGGCGCAATAACAAATAAAAGAAAAACAGGTATATAGTGCGAGTGTGGTTAGGGCACTCTTTACTAATATCTCATCTGATCACTCTCCCTACGCCCACTTCTTCCACACAACGAGAAAGCTGAAATCTGCTGCTCAGGGCCTAATCATCGACGACCTAAAGTCCGGTATAAGCGCCAGACTTATTGTGCGAGAACTTGTTTCTCAGCCCAAAGCTTCACTAAACTGCTCAAGATGTCAAAGAGGGCATTTCACCAGCGAAGATGAGGTTGCCCAAGCAAGATATCCTTAACAGCACGGCACGCAGTCGTACGGGGTATGGCAAACGGTGACCTGAATACTGCAGTTGGCGTACAGAAGCCCCTCTCCGAGGAACTGGCCATCATCATATCGACAAACAGGATTAGAGAGATCCTGAGGGAGGAGGGATGGATGACTGCTCGAAAGGCCATGCAGCTCAAGTTGACCGGCAAACACTACAGAGTACTTTTGGACTTTGCCCGTATGTATGAGTATTGGGCTGTCAATGATCGGGAAGTGGCCTCATGGGCAGATGAAATCAAGATCAACCGATACATTTCAGACAGGAAGGTGTGGGTTTAAACCCCCTGAAAAGTTGGTGACCAAGACAGTCTCATCGAAGTGACATTCAAGTACGGATGAGACTACATTTTATGTGAGATAATATAACATGTTATGATCTCAGGCCTTCAAACCAAAGGTAGGATGGATGCTGAGCTGTGCGTCGAGATTGTGGAGGAATGTGCCCTGTTGACGCAAGAATGATATGAGGCTCGGCCAGAAAACATGAGTATCCCGCAAGATAACGACCCCCAAACACACTCAAGAGCAGCCAGGATGCAAACGAGGGGTCAATGTAGAAACTGGGCGAAGCACTTGTTGACATCATAGCATACTAAACTTTTTGCACTGGCCCTTTGACGCCCAGGACCCGTACACGGGCCGCCGCCGCCACCATCCCCTTTATTGGGGTTATCAAGGACAAGAAGCAGGTACGGTTTAAAGTTTAAGCCGTACATCGAGGCCATCGCGAGTGCAGCGGCTCATACCCAGTTTATTACATGGAAGTTGGCTCTATGAACAACCTGCTCTAGAGCATGAATAACTGCATAGACATCATCGATAAGAACATGAGTAACCACATATGCAACATCGAGAAGAGCATGGGCACTTCGAAAGCTACATGGAGTAAGACGAAACATATTGAGAAGTAAGTGGTATCGATGTATCCGGATTTGAAGGGTGTCGATATATTAGCGTAACGGATCAAGGACGCTCGAGAGAGCCAGCAACTGGACGAGCGCACCATGGCAACATGATCGCGGCTATCAGATATATGGAGTCGCTCATAAGGCAGGCTGCTGCGTGTCATGTACTTATATCATAACACTTAATAAATCGGATGTGGAAGTGCAGCCCCATATCTTTTTTCTCTCTGATATTTTTCACTGCGTACCTGGATATAAAGCCTGCGCCGCCTGGAGTATATGCCGGAACCAACTACAGTATCTTCCGAACGTCCTCCCAGGTGAGGCGCGCATTGACAGCCACGCCAGATATCATCAGCGTCCTTTAGATTTGCGACAAGAATAAATACTGGTGTACTTTTTGCTCCTGTGCTTTAGTTGCGGGAGCGAGGATTTGGACTGCAGAGGATCTGTAGCTGACGATGATCGATACCAGCACCATCCACTCCTAAAAGGGCAGCCAGGAGGGCAGCTAAAATACAGCCGTGTTATCAGAGTGTTTGGGACACCAAGGCAGAGTTAAAGTCGCGCTCATCAATGTCGTTCAGGGCGAGCTAGCGGAGATCTAGGTCGACGAGGACGAAGAGAATAAGGAGGAGAAGCTGTAGATATAGTCTACGTTGAGGAGGGCGCTGGGGTCAAAAAAAATCTCCAATATGCTGTACCATGTAATCCTGGGGAGGGAAGGAAGGGGAGAAGGTTTGCTGTACATGTGTAGGCAAAAGTAGGTATACAAACAGCTTGATTGAGGAAACACCGAATGAAGCCGCATTTGAGCTTCGAGAGCTGAGCACTCATTTGGGAGCAATGCACACGATCTCACAGTTGTGTAGGGAGAAGTTGCTCCAATAGATAGCTTTAATTGGTAGATTGTATTTACTTTGGTGAACCACTTCAAGCAACAACGTCTGACAATGTTTCTGCTCGGAGAATGAGGATATAGTGAGCGAGCTAGGGGTGAATGAGGGGGGTGCAGCAGCAAAGGGGTGGAAAAAATCAAAAACGAGTTGGACACGATTGAGCCTCGAAGTAGTGGACGAGATATCGATGGGTGTGCCCCATATCGTTTGAATTAAATGTTCTCTCTGGCCTCTCGCTCTAATTTGCTATTCCTTTTTGCTCTTTCTCTCTCGCTTCTCTCTTTTTCTCGCTTTGGATGGACTTTCCGCGTAAATGTACCAAGTATCATCGAGCAGAAGGGAGGTTAGGCAAGATTGTTCGGCTCTATCAGCATGACAACCTTTGGGCATCATAAAGGAAGAGGTAGATTGAGAGTAGCATGCAGGATGATAGAAGTTGAAGAGGGCTGAGGCTGACCTGCGTTGCAATAGTGCGGAACCTGGGCTGGGCTGAGTACGATTGGTCAGACAATGAAAGATGGACACATATGTCCTGAAGAATTCGCCGACTTAGGATGTATGGGTCGGTTAGCGAACGCGCATCTGGCTATGCAAATAAGACAAAGCGTCCAGAAGATCTTCGTCCATCAAAGATTTTCGTAGACAAAATTGAAAATGAGAGATAGCAGGAGACAAAGAGGCTGGGAAGACGCACGTCCGTTCCACCTAAAAGAGATATACTATGGCTAGCTATGTTCTTTCAGCGTCAATGGTAATCGATACACCGAGTGAATGATATACTGTGAGGTTTCTATAACTTCGCCTACAATGCAGATACGATATAGAACACAAAACAATGCAGCATGTGTTGCATGTGTTGTATGAAATGTATAAGCTAGACTAGCCAAGTCTATGTTTTATCTGTCCCTTGTTTTACTGTTTCTGTTGTTGTCCAGGATGATGCGTATTGGATATGGATGGATATCTGTGAAAGGAATGAATTCATATCGTACTCACTTTCTTCCTCCAAACCCGTTTGTCTATTTGTCATGGAGGTCAAAGGTCTTTCTTGTGGTAGTGATGAAGATTTAGACCTTTGCCAATTGTCAAGCGAGGCCTCTACTGTTGCTAATTCTTCATCCTTTGGACCAGAAGTCATTCTTCGTTTTTATCGCGCGTGCCATCGATTACTGCCATTAAATTGGAAGCCTACTGTGGTTGCAGCGTCTGAACTATATATATGAATGAAGGTAATATTGTCCACCCCATTCCCCAAGATACCTCTTGCCCTTTTCTTCGTTCATTTACGCGCATATTTTATATAAATACACGTGCAATTGAATGAATGCAAGATAACTGAAGCCATGGCCCATCCACTCGGACAGCTGGTGGGGATTGTCGCCGCCCTTGACCTTTGTCCTGGTCTTCGTCCTGGTCTTCGTCCTGGTCTTCGTCTCCTGGTCCTCGTCCTCTCTTCCTCTCGTCCCTCCTCATTCCACTCTGCTCATTCGATCACCACCTCTCATCCTTCTCCCTCGACTGCTGATTCACTCGCACGCACACACTACCCCCCTCTGCTCCGTCTTCTCTCAATATTTTTCTCACTTCTCACACCTCGCACTTGTCCTTCGCCTGCTATCGATCCTTGGTGGCCATTATTTGTCAAAGCGACTCTCTGTCCAGTTCTCCTCGGTCCCCCTCCTTTCCTTATTTTATATCTACCCATCTATCCGCTGGCCCTATCGCTGTCTCAGTACTTTCACTTGAAACATACACTTTGGTTTTTTTTTTGCCCATGGTTCCTACCCCCCGTCAGGTCGGATTTTCGCTCCAGACTCATATCTCTGCTCCATTGCAAAAGAAGGAAATTGTCCTTCTCTAAACCTTCTTTCGACATTTCTCTTCACTTCTCTTCTCGGTTCTGCTTTCGTTACTTCCAGGCGACGTCCTTGCTTTTGTTATCCCGTCTTTATTCTTATTCTTTTACAAATATAAATATTACATTCACGCGTCCAGGCCCTACGCTTTATTCTTTCATTCGTCAAAACGCGAATTCATCGTCCTCTCTCCCTTCTTCTACCTAACTATCCGGCCTGATCCCATACCCCTCGCCACTAAAAATATCAAGGAACGAAATCGCGATTGGTTCGACAGTATTATCTATATCTCATAAACGGGGCATAGCCGAGTGTGAACGCGTTGGACATGAATGCCCCCGCAGAAGCGCCACCAGACGCTAATAGCGACTATTTAGATTACCAAGATTTAACCCTGCCTCTCGATCCGAAGCTCATCTTTGAGGCGCCACCACAGCATTTTCAGTCCATTGTCTATGTCAAGCGGCAGCACGAGCTGCTTGATGGCGCCATCCATGGCTGGATCCAAAAGGCGCGAGAATGCCACTCGGGTATGATTGGATAGTGTTTTTGCTTTGTGCATCCTCCTTTCCTGTCACATAAAGAGAAAGAAGCGGGCGTAAAAGAGCGGGAAAAAACAACGACCACTGCACAAGAGATATGCAGAGCATAGGCCAGACATGGACAGTATTCAAAAGATGGCAGACACGCACGAGGGCTGGGGAAAAGGAGTCTTTGGAGAGCTTGCTTGCTCAAGGACTAATGCTTGCTCCTTTCCCCCCTTCCACCCACGTTAATCCATACCCCTGTTCTGGGCGCCATCGCCAAATCAATATTTTTATTTTTCTGTGCACGTCGCCTCCTCCCGTTGTCCACAATAGCTGACCTGGTCGTGTACACAAAACACACTGCCTGAACTATAAAATAGATTCTCTAGGAGATCTCCAGCACCAGCTTTCGCTTTTGGCTCAAGGGGCTGCCCGGGGAGCCGACGGGAGTATATTAGAAGGTATGTCCTCTGAGACACCCATGCATGTCGTCTGTTTACTACCCCAATGTGAATGTGCCGGAATATGCGATTACCCATATGCAGAGACTGGCAGCAAGGATCGCTGTAGCCCATCAGTGAACATGAAAAGACAACAATGGCTAGTCTTTGGCTGGAACACTGCCTGAAGCTCCAAAAGTATGCTGCTCGGGAGTGGTGGTTATGGAAGTGTTCGTAGCATATTAAGCTCTGTCAGATAGACAATTGCGCTGTTGAAGAAAATTGAAAAAACGTAGCGAAGGGTGAACCAAAAAGACTAATTTCATCCTCCCGAACCTTTTCAATCCCTTTGCTCCGCCTGCTGGTCATGCGTTTAATATTCCGCCGACGAATCAAGTAGTGCGGGGCAATAGCTGGACTCACCAGCAACGACTCATGCAGGCGCTCTCCTCGATCGGTCCGGAGCTGCAGACATGTTCCTCAGAGGCACTTCCTGCCGTGCTAGAGCTCTTGGGACCAATGGTGCTTGGTAAGGCGACTATTGTCATTATGCAAATGCATACTGTGCAACGACAACACACCGATAAACTAAATAAGTTGCTTTATGCATTATCGTTGACGATGCGTGCATTGCGGTAAACGTCTGCCCCGTTTTCTTTGCATAAACACATCTCTCACCAGCGTGGTTCTCTGTCCGTCCAATCACACGTAGATCCAGTACAGGAAGCCTGTCAGACTATTGAAAAAACAATCAAGGTACCGCTGAGAAAATGCAAAGGGCACTCATTGACACGAGATGCATAGTCTACTATCTCGACGATCGTTAACTATAAAAAATCTATCCGCTTCTCTCAGTCAGCCAAGCTTTACTGTCGACAAGCTATTAGACTCTTTGAAAATGCTATCCAAAAATACCACTCCACTCCTGGCAAGCACAGGATGGATGCGGGAGGAGAGGTAACTAGCAAATTGTCTAAACCCCTGGATTTTGTTCGTTCTCTTTTTACTTCCAAATCTGGATTCTAATCACGACTGTCTACCCGTGCGTCGATCATAGAGCTCCCAAGTAGCACACACTGTGTTTGACACGAAAAAAAATATGTGCAAGGCAATATACGCTCTGAGTGGAACACTTAATCATGCTATCGAATTCAAAGAGATCTTTATTCTCGAAAAGGTAACCAGCTCGTGGAGATAGATGTGTAAGCGCGGTCGACAGCACAATGTCTGTGGTTAACATTGCCGCCTCATATCTCACTGTATTTTACCAGACAGACGCGTTTATAAACACTCTGAGGAGCTGGCGCGAGTCAGGGACGAGAGATGTGGCAAGCATATGGAATGCATTCGAAAGACCGCGAAAAGAGGTGTGTCCTTCAGAATGTTCAGAATTTGTAATGCACTTGATGTGGAGATTTTCATTGGCACTCACGTCACAGTTGATGAGATGATAGACGCGTCGCTTTAGTGCTCTTATGTTTCCTCCCGTCGAATTTCCAGAGGACGAATTCAAAGTGAGTAGCGATAGGAACGGAGCAGACCTGAATATCTACTCGCGTACGCAAAGAAAGGGATACGATGAATAAAACTGTAGAAGATGGCTGATAAGCTTTTTATCGTGTTCTTTACGTCAGACCTACTTTGCAAGGTTTCGTCACTCGCTCATGCTCCCGGTCTCTTATCGCGATCTCGAGAGCCTGGATCCTGTTGCGCCGACTCCCGGACAAAAAGCTGGGTACCTGTTTCATAGAAACAGGAATGGAGAATGGAGCAGGGAATATTTCTACATTTTACCTAAGGGGATGTTGATGCAGTTTGCAAAGGGAAAGGTATGACGATGACCGCAGTTACTCTGCTCAGACCAGTTCTGATGTCCTGAATTGATCTCTTTTAACCATATATTTATACGTTGTTGGAATTTATAGGATATTCAAGTGGCCAACCTGAACCAGACGCTTTTGAGGACTATCAACGTGGATCAAAGAGACTTTGTGTTTGAAATTTGTTCAATGGAGGTTTATCTCATGTACGACCACTGGGGACACGCTTGCTGGGTCGCATTTAGTACCGATAGATGGATATGCTGGACGAACACACAAATTTAACGCATATTTTTTTCTTTAACAATTTGTGTAAACCAGGGAATCAATATTGCAAGCAACAACAAAAGTCGAGTTCGAGGAATGGAAAGCGGCTTTGTTCTATTGGCATCCCCCAGATGACGAAATACCACAGATTGACACACTCAAAATCAGTACTCCACCTACGGTAGGTACTTCAGAAGGGAAAAAAAGGCATGCAGTAAGTGCGTGCCAGTAGACACAACAACATAATCTGATCTTTTTCTCCAAATGGCCATCATACCTATCATATTGCGATGATAGAAATCCGTGTTGCCTCGTCCTCGTCATCTCAGTATTGGGCGAATGTCAGACCAGCCTCTAAATTCACCAAAGCCCAGAATGTCGGCGGAATTCCCAGTCGTGATCAAGGGCGATCTCTTTGTGCTAGGTAACGAGCCTTTCGCGATTAGATATTTGCTAAAAGTGTAGCACATGTGAAGGACGAATGAGTAACGACAAATGGATTTGTAAAAAAACAACTTAGATCTGCGGACAAAATCAATGAATTCTCAGAACAAGGTCGGCACATGGAAACGGATAAATTGCTGCATCCGCTCGAATGGTCATTTCGCGCAGTATAACATGGGAGAGGTATTGTCAAAACCGCCTTGGAACCTTCACTGTCTGGGTGCAATCAGGATAATGATTTCCTAACGCATCTTGATGCCGTGAATAGAACGAAAAACCCTTCGAGACCATACCTCTGGCTGACACACTTCGGACACACATTTGGCCGCTAGATGGCAGCCTATTCTCAAAAAAGCACTGTTTCTCCATCAAGGCCCCTCAAGATGTCAATTACTACACTGTCTCGTTAAAGCGATCAAGCACAGACCAGGAAACGTTTAATAAGTGGCTCTATGCGCTCAAGTCGTACGCAAAACCTGAAATTTTTGGTGCAAGTGAGGACCTGGAATACCGCCTATACAGGACGTTTTGGATCATGGTCAATGATGGGCGCAGACTTCCCAAAGATCTTGAGGCATATTGTGAGATTATGTTGGACGATCAGAGGCGCGCCAGGACGAGTACGCGTACTAAAGCAGCCAGAGGTTCAGATCCGGATACACCTTTCTGGAGAGACAGTTTTGAGTTCACGTAAATGCTGATTGATCTTTACAATCCCGCAGCATTCGATTGATACAGAGTACAATACTAATAAGATTGTGTGTTCTTGTCCTAGCGATCTTGCCGCATTCACTAAAGGCATAACGATCAACGTTATACAGGCGAATGGCAGCAAGTTGATTCCTTTTGGGAGGACCCATATACCTGTTCGGAACAGCGAGGAATGCGACGAGGGCTGGTATCCAATCCTGCGCATCAACAGTCGAACAAGGTCGACAGAACACCTTGGGGACTTGAGACTGAAGCTGAAGTATGAGGAACAGATCGTATTACCTCTAGCTAATTACTATGATCTATTGGAGGTAAGCTGCGGACAAAAATAACGCGAGTTGCTCCGCGATGCTAAACAATTCTTTCATTCTCGAGTTAACATTAGCCCTTTTAATCGCACTTGAACCCGAAGATCATCATCAATTTCCAGGAGAATAATGTAATATCGAAGTTAGCAGATCTAGTCACAGACCTTGAAGGATTCTCAAGAAATGTGCTCCGTATTCTGGAAGCTAAAGGTCTTGCTGTAGTCTGGCTCAATTCTTTGATCGATGACGAGATTGCGGAGGCCGACCCGAGTATGTTTTTTTATTATTATTCTGTTGTTGCTGTTGCGCCGAGAATTTTTAAGAGCCATTATCCGATGAAAGCTTCCATGCGACTTATACAGTACATTATTTCTTTTCATCCTGAAATTTAGCCCGAGTCAACACGCTGTTCAGGTATGTTCTGACTATTCTTTATAGGCTGTATGCATTTTCATGGGACCCCCCTCAACTAATATCACTCAATGTGTTCGTAAACAGAGGAAATACGCTCCTGACAAAGGCGCTCGATGCATACATGCGACTTGTTGGTACAGAGTATCTGGACGACACTCTTGGCGATATTTTAAGGAATATCTGCAAGAACAGAATTGCTTGTGAGGTCGATCCATCCAAACTGGACAAGAACGATGATATAAAAGCGCAATGGAAGATTTTGATGCACCATACTCGGACATGTTGGCGGGTCGTGACTGAGAGTGTTATTCATTTCCCAAAGTAAGCGTTCCTGGCACAAAGAGCGACTGCGTCAATCTGCAAGGCACTTTGCGTAAAACTAATCTACTAATCAAACTACGTTTGTTTGGTTCTCTTATTGCGCGAACCCAGAGATCTTTTACGTGTGTTCTCTCACCTGCAAAAGCGACTTGATGAAAAGTTTTCAGATCAAGTGCCTTCCGATAAATCAAATCAGGATCCTGAACTAGCACATCTGGCGCGGTATACTGGTGTTAGTGGATTCGTTTTTTTGCGCCTTATATGCCCAGCTATCCTCGGTCCCAAGCTATTCCATATCGTGAGAGGTACCATGGCGGACATTTTCCTTGATTCTCAAAGAATGCTCCATTTCTAATTCAGCGGACACTAAGGGAGGAGTTTATATATATATATATATATATATAGAACACCCAGAGGCGCGCGCGCACCGGACGTTGACTTTGATTGCGAAATCACTCCAGGGTTTAGCAAACCTCGTGAAGTTTGGACAGAAAGAGTCGTGGATGAATCCCATGAACGAATTCATCACTGTAAGTTGGATATATATCCGCAACTCGTTCCATTCTTCCAACGTGCCATGAAGCCAACCCATATTTTTTATGTTGGGACAATAGGAACACACCAAAGGTCTCAAGGACTTCATTGATCAGATCTGCGTAAGCTCATACCAAAGTACTTTTCCAATGAAGCTTGATGTATATATTTCGTATCGAATAACACTGACAATCTCATGACAATGTAGACGGCGGATATTACTTCAGAAGTCGGATCGAGCTCCAATTCGGTCTGCTCATTGCTTCTTCACCCCCCGCACTCGCCAGGGTCCACTAATTCGTCGGCCTTTCGGGCACAAACAAAGAGTAGTGGTACCATCCAAAGTTCCAGCTTAGGTGGCTCAACTGGACAGTCCATGGCTATGATGGGACCCTTGCCCTCACCCAGCTCTCAGACACGTCCCAGTCTTCGATCGCAGCTCAAAGACACTGTTCTACCACCGATTGGTAGTATCGATCCAGAATTGATGGAGAGGAACCAGGATATGCTGTTATTGCCACATCTGATTGATTTGGGGAAAGAGCTAGCGCACTTCACGACGACGGTCGCCCGAGTGGTCCCACCATGGCCGCCGATGTACGACGAAGAGGAGGAGAGTCGCGAAGAGCAGAATCCGAAGAACAAGGGTAGAAATGGCAATAACAGTGAACACCAACGGCTTCAAGAACTGGAGAATCAAGGAGCAGAGGGAGAGGAGGATATTATCCGAAAAGTGGGCCGAGTGTGCTGGGACGTGATACAGACCATCCAAGCGCGTGTTGAGCTCAGTGTACAGCTTGAACAGGAAGAGCGACTCCGAGCTGCCGCAGCTACTGGAGGAGCAGGGCCAGGGATGGTGCAAGGGTATTCCAAGGGCAAGATTTCGAGGGAAGGTTTCCGAGATGGCGAAGAGTCGTATGTGGTATATGAGCATTATGATGGACATGACCCTGAGACCGAAAGTTTTGACGGATATGGACGCGAGTACGATAGCGATGATGAGTCGTTTGGACAGCGTTCCCAACACGATATGATTTGAGCAGACACTCCATCAAAGAAGCGAAAAAAAGTAGCACTGTATGGATTTAGAAAGGTTCAGACATTTGAGATGTTCCTGTCCCTGAGTCCCTTTATCCCTTTAATGCACGTATAAGAGTGAAATGCAGATTGAAGAAAAAACAATAAAAAAGGAACGTGGCCAAGGTAGAGAACCGGAAGGGCCATCGCCATTTCACATTCGCTGTGTCTATATTTGTGTAAAACGCGCTTCATCCTCCTAGTATCCAACCGCGGTTAATGGCTCTGAACCAGCTGCACGGTCAGCTCTCCTGTTCCTTCAGACTGCGCATCCAAATCTAAGAATCCCTGCAGCCGCTGGTGAATGCTTGCCAAGATACCCTGCTCATCTGCACCCTTGTCGACACTCACAACCGCTGTCCCGATCAGCTGTCCATAAGTGTTAGTCCAAACATGAGCACGCTCCAGCCTCACAATCGCAGGGTTGGCCGCTGAAAGCTGGCGGACCACTTCCTCCACGCCCTCGAGGGCCTTGGGAGGCGTGGTCTGCAGCAAAATCATGCCCAAAACTTTAGTGAGAGGTCCGCCGAGCGAAAACATGACCAGGGATTGGCCAATGGCGACAACTTTGTCCAATGCATCGATTCGTGGGAACATCGCCACGAGGATCACACCCACAACACATGCCAAGCTGGTGAGTGTAAATTGGTTGCGAGCCAGTGAACTCAGTTTTGAGCTATTGGATCGAGCAAACGCAGCCTGTGTCGACGATAAGGAGCTAGTGTTCAGCACTAGATGAAGGGTATGAGGGAGCAAGTGGTACGTTAGAACAGAGGTCATAAAGGACATCATGGTCAAGGCACAAAATCAGAGCATATGAAGGGAGCAGGACTTACAGAGACAAAACTGGTTATGGTTTTGATATCCCAGAGACGAGACCAACGTTGCGCCGAGAGCGATCACAGTCCAAAAGAGTGGTACACGGACAACACTGTGTAATTTCGTTTTGCCATAGCGAGTTAGTTGTCATAGAATTTGATCCGCATGTCAAATGCACAAAGAAATATAGCGCAACATGACTTACGGCCCATGGTCGTTGCCGCCGTGATGGTCATCCTCGAGCATCAAGTGCTCCAGACTTTCCTTCAACATGTTCATGCCGATAAATAGCAAGAAAATGCCATTGAACAGTCCAAACAGAATCTCAAACCGTTGGACTCTACAAATTCGGTAAAAATATATATAAAAAGGCATGATTTGCAAGAGTAAGAAAGTAAGAAAGCTATTACTGGTCCAATCTTTCAGACACAACCAGAAAGCTGACGTTACCCAAAAGGATGCTTTACGGTGGCCCTTTTCAGCTTGGTGTCGGTATGAACAACACTTGACAGAAAGATGTTAAAGACCCCAAAGGCATCGAACAGCATCATATACGCCAACCCGATAATTGCTGGAGATATTCCATAGTAACAAGAAAATGCTAATGCTTAGTACCTCCAAATGCATTTTGGTCAGTTGTTTTTATCATCAACGCTCTGAACAGAAGATTAATTGCTTACATAATGATCCTGCACGCATTCCTGACAGCCAAGTCATGACGGCAATGGTTGAATGGATCATAATCCAGGTGAACATGGTCTTTTGCCTAGGCATGAGGTTGGTAAAGATCTCTCCGTAGGATGGCAACTGGGACTGAAAACTGACAGGGTGGTGATGGTGATGGTGGTGTCCATGATCATGCTCATGATGGTTGTGTCCGTGATGGTTGTGTCCGTGATGGTCGTGTCCTTGGTGGTCGTGTCCTTGGTGGTCGTGTCCTTGGTGGTCGTGTCCGTGGTGGCCATGGCTGTGTACGTGTCCATGCCCGTGTCCGTGGTCATGGCCATGGTCATGGCTGTGGCCGTGGTTATGACCCTGGTCATGGTGATCCTGCTGGAAGGACTGCGGCTGGTAGAACTGTTGCGACTCGTGATGGTGTGTATGGTGCTGATGCTGATGCGAGCTGTGCGTATGCTGAGGATCCTCGTGCTTGTGCTCCGCCGCTCCTCCATGAAACCCGTTGACCTGGCTGATCCTTGGACTATGGTCATACTCATGGCTGTGGAGCTGGTGTTGCTGAGACTGATTAAATAAGCCATGACTATGGCTGTGATCGGCAGATGAGATAGAGGGTATATTTCCGTTTGTGGTCGCTATCATTTTCGTGGTCGAGGTCATAGAAGACGAGGAGGAGGATGTCGAGATACCAGTGCTATGCGCTTCGTTCTAATGGACATGTAGGTCATGTTAAACGAAGTGGCCCAGTAATGCAGAAGGAGAAGTACGGAGCTGAACATCGAACGTACCAAGGGCTTTTTGATCTGGAGTAGACTGTTGCCGCCACTGATATTACTGTCAAGACCAAGAGAAGGGGAGTTCATGCCTATTGGTCTCAAACCGGCACCTACTAGTGGACTCAGGTGAGGCTGGCTGGGTCCATGGCTATGCTGATGCTGATGCTGGTGCTGATGAGGATGAGGATGAGGATGAGGATGGTCGTGTGTTTCGACTGCCACGGTAGATGGTGCGGCAGTAGCGGCAGCAGCGGCGACGAAGGGCGAGTGGGTCCTTCGCAACAACTGAGGATTGGTATCCATTATGATATAGTCCTGTTTTAGCCCTTGTCCCTTGATGAATCTCTGGTTTTGACTTGATGAAAACGGATGAAAAAGCAGAAAGGTGCAAATGGAAGGGTGGGAACTAAAGAAAGAAGGAGATGGGCGCTCTGAGGATGAAAAAGAAGTCCCCCTGTTCCAGCCCAGCCCCTGTTCCTGATGCTGTTGCACGCACGTTGGTCAGGCCCTGTCTGATATGCAAAGGAGCATTTGCACTGTGTATTTGGGAAGGACTGGTGGCCAGGGCTCAATGGGTCGGAGGCCAGACCCCACCCCACGTCGTTCTCTTTTTGGCCCTTATTGGACGAGTTCATGGTGCTCGTCTGTAGAGCCGCTATCTGATCGACTTGTACATGCACGTTCTCTAAGTGCACAATGAATCTCAAACATTCCCCGTGCACCGTTTGCTCAAACGAGATTACTTTCTCGATTGAATCAACCAGATCAACCAGCCAGATCAACCAGGCACAAGAGGCCCCAAGCATCTCCACAAGAATAGTCGACCACTGCTTCTTCTCTTTCAGATCTATATTTCACCATCCATGAGTGATATCTCTTCCTCAGCTTCCACCTTGGCTGTCGTGCCCACACCCAAGCAGGCCACTTTGCTCCAGTGTATGCTGGTAAGGGACAAAAAATGCCCTGAATACTTATAACTGCTGGATCAGCATTGATTCTCTCCTCATGGCTAACAACCGCAGCTTGATCAACTTTCTTTGTATATTAACAATCGCTAGGCAGGTGCAATGGCTGGTACGGCCATTGACACTGCGCTGTTTCCTTTGGACACACTAAAGACTCGCCTCCAGTCAAAGGCAGGGTTCGCCGCTTCAGGAGGATTCAGAGGAGTTTACTCAGGGCTGACCAGCGCCGTCATTGGAAGTGCCCCTGGAGGTATATGGAATACCGCAGCATGAACAGCTGAATACAATGAGTTATCGTCCTCCATCTCAAACCAAGGATCCATTTTCTAAATCTCTAACTGCCACCTATACTCCCACCCCTGCTTCCCAGCCTCAATGTTTTTTGTCACCTACGAGGGTCTCAAGACGACCTTATCCGCAATGATGCCCGATCCGCAATACGCTCCTGCCGTTCATATGATGTCTGCCTCTGGAGGCGAGATTGTAAGCTTGCCGTTAGTTGCGTACAGCGATTGGATCCAAACGCGGGAAATTTAGGATTACCTCCACCGCACCTTATTTGTCCCACACACGACCACCCATTTGACGTACACTGAGCCGATTTTTATTATGACCATACTGACTCACTCCCTTTTGCGTGTTCGTATAGGCTGCCTGCTTCGTCCGGGTTCCCACAGAAGTCATTAAGCAGAGGATGCAGACCAAGCAGTTTACCACTACGACTGGCGCTCTAAAGTCGGTGATCCAGAATGAGGGCGTTTTGGGATTCTACCGCGGATACTTTAGCACAGTCGCACGCGAGGTAACAGATCAACTTTACGAAATGCTCGGCACTGTAGTGCGGATTCAGTTGCTATGCTTTTCATACATGTCTTTTGATTACTCATTTTCTTTATCACTATCGCTACAGATCCCCTTCACGTGCATTCAGTTCCCCCTGTACGAGTATATGAAAAAGACATACGCTTTGACGACACATCGATCCAAGGTTGACCCTTGGGAGGCAGCTATCTGTGGGTCAATTGCAGGAGGCATTGCTGCAGGACTCACAACACCCTTGGATGTTGTCAAGACGCGTGTGATGCTCAGTCAAAGAAATCCAACTGGTGGCCAGTCTTCTGCATACTACTCTGGTATCATCTCGACTCTCAGGCGCATCCTGGCTGAGGAGGGTCCAAGGGCTCTCTTTTCCGGCATCGGACCTCGCGTCATGTGGCTCTCGATCGGCGGAAGCATTTTCTTGGGTGTTTATGAAAAGGCCATGGCGCTTGCCTTGCTCGGGCAATGAAAGCTAGGATGGAGCTGTAGAACACGATAGAGCTGAAGAGAGAAGGCTTGTACATGATCCGTTTTCTTTCATTTACAAACTGTACTATAGAAATATAACATATTAGATGAGTTTGATGGACATTGCTGAAGTTGGCAGAAACTATTATATTTAAGAGTAGAAATATAAGATTTTAGAGTGAGGTAATTTCATCCCTCGTGAGACTGACTTTCGGTATTCTATAGCCCAGAGCGAAAAGGCCTCAAAAGACATTCTTCATTCCTCTTTCCCCATTCATCTCTGCACCAAAGAACTTTTTCCTCTCCCGCGATCTTTCTCGCCACCTCTCCTCAATCTTCTTCACAGCTCTCTCATTCAATGGTCTCTCAGAACAAAAAAGATATCCGCATCGCCCTCTTTATCTGTGGCACCCCAGTTCCTCCTGTGGCTGAGTCGTTTGGAGAATACCCAGTTATCTTCAAGAGCATGCTTGATCAGGGACTGCAGGAGCTCAAGAGCCAGGGTACAATTGATCAAGGCGCTGAAGTGGTCCTTGAAGGATTTGATGTCCGTGAAGACTTCTATCCAGAGAACCTTTATGACTGGGATGCTATCATGATGACTGGCAGCGGTAGGCGAAGATTCTCTCCTACGGATACCATAATTACTGGTGATTCAGTTGCTCCTTCAAGTACATCTGACTCATATGTCTTTCGACGAAATGTTGCTATAGCGTCTGATGCCTATAACGACCTGCCTTGGATTAAAAAATTGGTCGAGTACGTCCGATCGATCCCTCGAAGCAATGATGCACCCAAAGTAATCGGTATCTGCTTTGGCCACCAAATTATTGGACGAGCCTTCAATGCCAAAGTCAGCAAGAGCACACGCGGTTGGGAGGTATGTTCGCGTACGCAGAGAATCATCGTGAGAAATGGTCGAATTTAACGCGCCGACCGCTCTGCAGAACAACTTCTCTAACTTGCATGGCCCTCCTTGTATCTCCATAGCTCGGCTGGACTCAAACAGACCTTACAGAAGCCGGTCAAGAGTTCTGGCAAGATACGGTGATGGTACGTTTATTATTGTCTTTTTTTTTTATGACTAATGGATTGCAATTGACATTCTACGTAACATTTTCTACTATTGGGAACATTGTTAGAGGATCCAAGAACTCCATCAAGACGTTGTTCATGGTATTCCACCAGGATTCAAGTTGCTGGCAACTACTGAACATACGACGAACCAGTCGATGATATCGGACGATAACAGGATTGTCTCTGTCCAAGGTCACCCGGAGTTCACGGGCGCAATAATGAGAGAGGTTATCAAATTCAGAACCGCCAATGGCACCTTTAGTAAGGAGTTGTCTGAGGCCTCCATGAAAACCATCGATAACCCTCTGGACAGTGTTACCGTCGCAGCGCGCCTTATTCAGTTCATTCGCTAGAACAATATACGTACATTAATGTTTCTACGTAACACTTAAGTGGCGTACGCAAAAAGTCGAGACCGTAAACACAAAACTATTGGTCACCCAGTAAAATCCATTTTTTCCTTCTCTTTTTTGCCGCATATTTTCCAACATGAGCTCGTTCGAGAAAGTAAAGAGACAATTAAAGAAAGGTGTACTGGGTGGGCCAGCAGGCACAGGAGGACGACTAACAGGACTCAAGGATCAACAGACAGCTGAATCGTTATGGACAGGACCATCCGGAACATCGAATCACTACTGCGATCGCCGGATTCTCAACATCAAATTCTGTTTTTTTGCACTTAAACATGTCATCCTGGCATGTCTTTGATTCGACATCGGAAAGCAAAGCATGATATTTAGAGGACAGGAATAAGGCGAGACAAGGAAAGGGATCATGGTTATCGAATTATCGACATCATCTTGTGGCAGTCGATCATCTTGATCCGATCGATCATTGGAATTCCATGCCGAATCGCTGATCCAACACTGCTCAAATCAAGTGCCAAGATTCAAACGGCTCTGCAACACAACTGACAGACTGGCAATATCTCAGGACGTGACGCCAAACAGCAATCACCACATGCATCGTCGCTTGATATGCCCCTTTGGAATCTTGATCAGGTTTTGTAAGGACGACGTTAACTAACCGAGGTCTTCTATGGACTGAATTAGGTGGTTGTCATCGACGGTAAGGGCCACCTTTTGGGTCGCCTTGCCTCCATTGTTGCTAAGCAGGCCCTTGCAGGTCAGCGCGTTGTTGTCGTTCGCTGCGAGGAGTTGAACGTCTCAGGTTCCTTCTTCCGTAACAAGCGTAAGTCTTATCTTCTGCTCGTTCAACAACTTGGGGTCACGCCTTTTTTACCAACGCTCAGGAAGCAAGGACGTGGACAGCGATCAGGAATTCACAACATAGTTTTGATGCTGGACGTACAACATCAAGGCTTTAATTGCGAGGAAGACGACCATCCGACAGTTCTGCTCTTTTCAGCTCGAAAGGTCGCCAAAGTTTTTTGCTCGGGAGATCACATTCTACAGTTTTGAAAAGCAAGGCTTTGGTGGCGACTTTATTGCCAGGATTACTATACCATGATAACACTGCAGCGCAGCATCTAGGCACTTTATCAAACCGTTGTTCAGTCCACCTTCGATATTGCACATCTGGTCTAACTTGGCGTAATTTTTTTTTGCTACTTCATGGGCGTTACAGTGAAGTACCACGCTTTCCTCCGCAAGCGTTGCGTCGTCAACCCCGCCCGTGGTGCTTTCCACTTCCGCGCCCCCTCCCGTATCTTCTACCGTGCCATCCGCGGAATGACTCCTCACAAGTCTGCCCGTGGTGCCGCCGCTCTTGACCGCATCAAGCTCTTCGAGGGTGTTCCCCCACCATACGACCGCATGAAGCGCATGGTCGTTCCCTCGGCTCTCCGTGTCCTCAAGCTCAAGCCCGGCCGCAAGTACTGCACCATCAAGCGTGTCTCGCACGAGGTCGGCTGGAAGTACAATGACGTTGTCGCTAACCTCGAGGAGAAGCGCAAGGTCAAGTCCAAGGCTTTCTACGAGCGCAAGAAGGCCATCGTCAATGTCCGCGCCAAGGCCACCGCTGCCAAGTCCTCCGAGTTGACTGCCGTCCAGGCGAAGATTACTGCTCTTGGTTACTAAATTTCTTTAGAGCTCTAGCCTTTATGCCAACACTCTCTTGAAAAGAAGAACAAAGAAAAGAAGAAACAACGATTAAATTGACGGATTGATTTCTTTTTTTCGCTTGGAAAAAGAGTTACAGGAAAATGTTATGTGTTCTGTAGTATCAGGCACCGTTGTTATTGCACGTGTGATAAGCCACTATTTCTATATTTCTAGTAAAAAGCGGTTCTGTGTTTTGATGATTCTCCTCCTCCCATTCCAACTCTTCCACTTTCGACATCATGCCACCAAAGAAGGCCGCTACCGAAGAAAAGATCCTCTTGGGCCGTCCCTCCAACAACTTGAAGATTGGTGTTGTTGGTCTGCCTAATGTCGGGTATGTAGTCCTGGACCAATATGGCTCTCCTATGATTTTCAAAGGCTCCGGCCAGTGCACCAAGAGACGCAGCAATTGATATCGAACACTGCTCATTTTTTACAATGTTAATAGAAAGTCGACCTTCTTCAATGCCATCACCAACTCGTCGGCACCTGCAGAGAACTTCCCTTTCTGCACAATTGATCCTGAGGAGTCCCGCGTTGCCGTTCCTGACGCACGCATGGAAGTTTTGATGGAAAAGTTCAAGTCGACGAACAAGATCCCCGCCTGGTTGACGGTCATTGATATTGCTGGATTGGTGAAGGGTGCTTCGGCCGGAGAGGGTCTCGGTAACGCCTTCTTGTCCCATGTCCGTGCCGTTGATGCTATCTTCCACGTCTGCCGTGCTTTTGATGAGGTCGATGTCATCCATGTTGATGGAGAGGTCAACCCTATCAAGGATCTCGAGACCATTCACCACGAGCTCCGTTTGAAGGACGAGGAATTCCTCAAGAGTGCCATGGCTGATTTGAAGAAGACGATGGGACGCCTGGGATCTAACAACACTGCGCCCGAGCGTGCTCGTCAGGCAGAGATGGCCATTCTTGAGAAGCTGTTGCACCACATTGTTGAGGACAAGAAGGATGTCCGCTGCGGTGACTGGAACAACAAGGAGGTCGAGGTCATCAACCCTCTCATGTTGCTCACTGCCAAGCCCGTCATCTACCTCGTCAACTTGAGCGAGACTGATTACATCCGCAAGAAGAATAAGTGGCTCGCCAAGATCCACGCCTGGGTCCAGGAGAACAATCCCGGCGATGTCTTGATCCCATTCTCCGGATCCCTTGAGAGCAGGGTAAGACAGTGTTTATTGTTGCTTCATCTATTGGATCTAGAGCTCATACACCTCAAGTAACGGTACTAATCTAGCGATTTGATCGGCATGGGATTTATAGATCTCTGAAATGGACGAGGCTGCCCGTGAGGAGGAGTTGAAGAAGATTGGCACTACGTCTGCATTGCCCAAGATTGTCGTTTCCGGTTACTCTGCCCTGAACCTCATTTACTACTTCACTGCCGGTCCAATGGAGGTAAAAAGCCCAGCGTTCAATTGCCCCTGTTTGTTCTGCCTGGAGACATGAATTGAGCCTGTTTGTTAACTTGCCATCACCCTTCTTTTTTTTTTTTTTTTCCTGCTGCGCCATCCACTACCCCTGATTTTGTCCAATAGTCGAGATGCTGGACTGTCCGCAAGGGAACCAAGGCTCCTCAGGCAGCTGGTGTCATTCACACTGATTTTGAGCGCGGTTTCATTATGGCTGAAGTCATGCGTTACGAGGATCTCAAGGAGCTCGGAAGCGAAGCTGCTGTCAAGGCTGCTGGAAAGTACATGCAGAAGGGTCGTGATTACATTGTCCAGGATGGAGATATTATCCATTTCAAGTTCAACGTCACTGCCCAGCCCAAGAAGAAGTAAAATAAACCCGGTTGCACAGCTACAGAAGTGGAAGTATTGTTTTTGAGATACAAGATACATATCGTCTCAAGCACATTCTCATTGGCAATGGGCCTGATTATGGACACGTTGACATATTACGACACATCATTCGCTCGGTACTTAACGTCACTGCGCCTCGTTAAGCATGCACCATTAGTTGCCCTTTATTTATCTATGGACTGTTATCGGCTTCATCTTCGGTCATGTCCAGTAACGCCAGCCGGGGTGCATATCACACAAATCCTCGCCCTCCGCCTCGCGTGCAAACTCTTCTGCAGTAAGCCGATCACGTCGCGCGTTCTCTCTGATCAGCAGCGTCTTTGTGATTAACGCAAAAATTACCAGGCAACCTGAACAGGCCGCGCAGATGGCATGACCTCGAACGTACCCATTAGGAGCATCGTCAGCTCTGTAGACCTGTCCACCAATACCGCCACCAATATTCCCGAACGAAATAATGGCTGCAGTCGCGACACCGCGTTTCGTATGTCCGCCAATGTTGGAAGTAAACCAGCTCACCTAGTAATCATAGCCGTCATTCATGGTGAGAAAGGATTGCCAGATGTAAGCCCTCCTGCTTCCTATTATCTTCCACGCGTCGCTACTTTGCCATAGAATGATAAAACTGCAGATAAGGGCTTACCATGGGTGCCACTATGCAAAAGTTGCCAACAGTTGTGATGGTTAAACAAATGTAACGAGCTGTCGTGGAACTGTGCCGGGTCGCGATAAGTAAGATATAACCGAGACAAGAGAGCGCTCCAGGGAGAGCAACATGTAATCCACGTTCCTTTGAGCGGTCTGAGGAGAATGCCCAGAGGATTGTGCAGACACATGCAATCAAGTATGCTGGAACTGTCATGATCTGTGTTGTCAACGCACTAGGAAATACGTCTTGTGTTAGCGTTTGGATAGTATTCGATTGTGAGGTGGCAGAGTCTGTCCAGCAATGCTGGTATTGGAAACAGTTATAGATACTTACTCCAAGTTGAACCCAACAACGATACTGGGCAGGAACAACGCAAACGCGTACAGAGGAGTCGTGCTAAGAATGTAGATCATCATATGCATGTAGACCTTCCAGTCCTTGAACACCATCCTACACTGCCGCCATGAGAAATGCGTCTGCGTTGCTGGTCCGGCATCGATCCTCAGCCTTTTCAGCAGCAGTTCCTTTTCATCTTTGGTCAAGAACCGAGCCGTCTCTGGAAAATCCGGCAGAAATATAAACACGACGGTCGTCAAGAGTATTGTCGGCAAACCCTCCAGAAGAAAAATCCACTGCCATCCTATGTCATGTTGTGGAGGCAAGGAATGGGGTTTACTTCAGTCTCCATTTCAAGCTGAACTGTTGTTACTTTGGAGAGAGAATAAAAGGACGTCTAGGCTGCATAGGAATCCGATGTGTCTGTCCACAGCGCAACTCACCATGGAGTCCACGGATGCCTTCCATTTGAGCGATACCATAAGCCAAGACTCCTCCAAAGGCTCCTGCCATGGTCGCTGTGCTAAAAAAGATGCCATTACGAAGTGCCTGCTCATTTCGAGTGTACCACATTGAGAACAAGTAGACGATACCCGGGAAGAGACCACTCTCGGCCACACCCAAGAAAAATCGAGCTACCAACAATCCAGAAGCGTTCTTGACCGCAGCCATGGCCATCATAATCCCTCCCCATGCTAGCATGACGAGCGATATCCATATCCTGGGACCGACTAGTTTAAGACAGATGTTGGAGGGGACCTCAAACAGGACATATCTAGGAGAGCCAGAGGAGGTGCGAAAAAGCACAGATCAGAACAAATTGACAGGGACATGCTAAGGTATGGAATTTAAGGGAGATTTTAAATGCTTGCTTTGCTGTTTACCCGATAAAAAAGATCGAGAGCGCCCAGTTATACTGGCTAGGCGTGATGTTCAAGTCTTTTTCGATCCCGGCAACCTTAGCGTTGCCTGCAAGACAAAAGGATACCCCATCCGCAGGGTCATGGAAGGAAAGAGATACGAGAGATATGTTAGTGTATGGGGAATTTTATGGTTTACTTTCAGCATAGTAAAGATCAGACGCTCGTACTCGTACCGATGTTAACGCGATCGAGGAATGAACACAGATAGAGTATAGAAACGAGCGGGATGATACGTCGATCGATCTTTGCAGTCAGTTTCTTTAAAGCGACTAGATCCAACGACGTAGTGGAGGATGTTATCACTGAGGAGTTGTCTGGAAAGTTATCGGGGAACATGTCACCCTTTTCCGAGTCCTTGGCTACGCCTGCATTTTCCGACGAAGCCATGTACTGAGCTCCAGGCATGATATTTGAAATCTCACTGGCGCTCATCATGACATTAAAATGAAGACGATGGGTATATTTTGTTTAATCGGTTGAACCAGAGTGCAAGGAAGGAAAAGCGGAGGCAGTGAGAAAAGGACCTTGAAGAGATGGATACCCTTCATGTCCTTCATTCCCATGCCTGGCCCCTTTCACTTTACTGTCTGAACAAATGAGAATATGCATCTCAGGGACAGATGTTCGTCTGGATGCCCAAAAAAAAAAAAAAGAGAGAGAGAAAGTGAAGCGCCCTACTCAAGATCAAGGGGCATAGGAAGGAAGGCAAGAACCATCTGTATCCACCTGTAAATATGGATCTCTACCAGTGAGCGGCAGTGTTGCTCCGGGTTCTGGTGAGTAGGGCCCTATCATCCTGAAGCATATGTATGGTTATTCTGGGCAGATATGGGAGGTTATGCGCTGTCTGAGGGCAAGTCAGATATGGTAGGTAAGAGATGAGGACGTGATCTCGGATGCTAAACCTGTTTTCACTGAGGCAAGGTACGTCTGTTTCGAGATATTCTTTTGTCGCGCCATTCGGGCAACCCTGTCTTCTTACTTTGGAAGCCTACCTATTTCACCTCATACTGCTCCACATTAGCTCACCCTCCGGAGCGAATGGTGCGTCATGAGGGGATCTCGCTAAACATCATCCTCAGCCAAATAGAGTGCTCATGGACAAACCTTGGCGAAGAAACGCCACGAACCGGGCACTTCTCTTCCTCCACACCCCTACACTAAAGTCTTCGTAGATCCTTCGGTCTCGCCCTCTGGTCATACTTTACAAGCCAACGTGTACATGTATACCCGAGGGCACTCCACAGAGATAGATCGATCATGGGCTGCACCTTATTCGACCCCTTCCTCGGGATTGGTTTAATAAGGCGTTAGTCCCAGTTCAGCCCGCAAAATCCCACGAACCCCCAAAGATTCATACACTTTCATGTGCATTCTTTGAGTTGACAATCCGCATCCGATAAAGATTGAGAGAGGCAGCAATTCCAACAGCCGCGGCCAGGGAGCATGCCATAATGCTGCTGATCAATAAGCTCATCCTACTTTTGAAGTCTTAGGTCGGTTAAATATAGACTTTGTCACACTCCCCCTACGCGATCATGGCGGTGTCTAGGCTACCTCGTCCAAAGGCGTGCAGGCATAGCCCATCTAAATGTGTTTGGCAAGCAAAAGGGGGTCCAAGGGGTGTCGAATACAGTACAGGATAGTGAAGGATACTGTCTCCCGTAGCGCCAAAATGATACTGTGTTACACATTGAAGGTGTCGGCGGAAATTAGCCGGACCAATTTGTTTTGTGTTGTTTGGTTGTTTTGTGTTGTTTGGTTGTTTTGTATTGTTTGGTTGTTTTGTTGTGCAACTAGTAGGTTGTCCAACAGCACAAAGTTGGACAAACCTGGCCTTGCCTAGAGGTGGAGAACATGCACGTTCATCAAAGCAGATCCTCAACAGAGGATGGATGTGTAGGTGTATTGCCACATCGGCAACAACGAGCTTGGGCTGAAACCAACTGAGGAAGCGGAGGAGATCGAAATAAGGTAGTTTAAGCTTACTTCCAGCATGCTGATTTTATCCGGCTTAGGGTCCGCTCGCTTGCATTAGACGTCCAACCCCTTGGTTTGACCGGAGGACATACTTGAGCCTCAACGCCCTACTGGCTAGGTGCAGCATTTCCCATATAACACAGGCAACAGACAGGCAGGACGCGGCAAGGGCGAGTGTTGACATGTATAATAATACCTTGGCTGTCGATGTTATCCCTATCTGGGTATCATCCAGGGGTTTGTGTGTTGTTGTTCTTCTGCTATCTTTGGCGGGTCAACACTAACCCGGGCCACTATCCCAGCCCACCAGTACAGTACGCAATATTGCATCCGGGGCAATGAACTCTTCGTACTACCTGTGTACTGCACGAGAGCCGTAAACAGCAAGAAATTATCTTGGGCTAGGCGGATTGGTCGACAGGAAAGGATAGACCCTTTGCCAAACACTGTTGCTGCTGTGAATGAGGCACTGCCTACTCACGCGCACTCTTGACCCTGGAATAGCACACACCAGATCCCGAGAGGTTCGGCCTTTCGCCATGTCTCCTAGCCTCGCTGGTGCTATTATAAAAACGAAATCTCTCTTCGTCCTCGTTTCTTGCCTCCTCTTTCTTTGACCATCCTCATCCTCAGCAGAAACCACTCCCCACTCTAACTAGTCCCCCCAATAATTCGCCCTGTAAACAACCACCCAACACTTATCACACACACATAGACAGCACAAACACAAAACGCAACATGTCCCACATCGAGGAGTACAAGAGTCCCCGTATTGCCACTGAGGTCGTAGTTGCCCCGGTCATCATCAATCCCGGTCCATTGGGTCTCTCTGCCTTTGCTCTTACAACCTGTATGTTCTCCTGCTTTGCTGCTTCTCGCTAACAAGTCGGTCCGCCGTTTTATACACTGACAGCGTTTCGTCCCTTTCATCCTATCTTGACCAGTCGTCCTCTCGCTCTTTAACTTGGGTGCTGGTGTTCCCTCAGGCGGTCCAGTCGAGGTCGTCACCGGATTGGCTGTCTTTTACGGGGGCATCACCCAGATCTTGGCCGGGATGTGGGAATTCAAGGTCGGCAATAACTTCGGTGCTACCGCCTTCACGTAAATTTCATGCTCAGTGTTGTTGAAAACGCGCGCCGAAGGACCTTTACATGTGCAGTAAACCTGACCAAGTTTTTTATATCATATCCGTTCATTGCCCACTACTGCTCTACTGTATATAGCTCGTATGGTGCCTTCTGGCTGTCGTACGCAGCAATTTTGATCCCAAGCTTCGGTATCATTCCAAGTTATGACAAATCGGACGTCCACGCCCTCGATAATGCTCTGGGCATTTTCTTGCTCTCCTGGGCCATCTTCACCTTCATCCTCTGGATCGCGACCCTTCGCTCGACAGTGGCTCTCTCGACCATGTTCTTCGTCTTGACCTTGACCTTCTTGTTCTTGGCCTCCGGTCACCTCGCCCACATGGATGCTGGCAACTACCCCACCAAGATCGGAGGTGCCCTCGGTGTGTTGACCGCGCTACTTGCCTGGTATAACGCTGCAGCCAGTCTCTTTACTCCCCAGCATACCTTTGTCCGCTTGCCCGTTGGTCCCCTGGCTCGCGCTCAGATCGAGTAAGATAAGAAACTTCCAGCTTTGGAAGTGGTTTCACCTGCAGCATCACGGGGACAGTGATAACTGACGAACCAGCAGCGCTCTGGCTTCGAGTCCTTTTCTGGTTACTGTAATCCTTTGTACATATGAGCTGTAGACTAGCATAATAAAAAGAAGGACAGGAAGCGAGCTTTGCGCAGACTGTCGGAGATGAAACTGTCTTATGGTACGCAGTTGGAACACATAGGCAAGTTCCACTCGTCTTACCCCACAAACTTTGGTTTCATCTGCCCGCGGCATCATAGTGGGTGTGGTTTTTACGATCCCGATCCCAAAAGCACCAAAGTTTGGAGGCACCAAAGTTAGGTTCACTACTCATTTGTCAACACCAACAACAGACGCCTAACAAGCGCCCGATTTCCTTTTCTACCAAGTTGCCGGGATAAAAGTGCTGTGCATGATTCTTCTCCAGTCAACGGGCGCGGTGCCTCAGGACCATGAAGACTGAGCAGTGGAACGGGCTCAGGTAGATAGTTTGGTGCTGAATACAATGTCAGGATTAGCTACCAGCCCCTGTCAGCTCCACTATGCCGGAACCTTGAAGGTCTAAATATTCTGCTGGGCGGAAGGGCATAAAAGAATAGGCGCCTTTTTTCACACAATCCATTAGGTTTTTTTTTTTTTTTTTGTCCAGTCTACCATTCTCCGCGCCAGCCACAAGGGTTGGATTTGTCATAATGATAATAATAGGCCACCTTCTCTCTTTATTACAAGGCAAGAATTATCCTTGCAGTAACTTCGTTGACCCTGCGCGTCAGTGAACCATGGCGCAGGATCCTGTCTGCGCTAAATCGAGAATCGTAATCTGGGCAGATTAATATACAGTTCGTGCCTGTCGGCTCATGAAAATGAAAGCCTTATCTGCAGTTGCGAGCATTGCTCGACAATAGGGAACGCATGGAAGCGAATAGACTACGATGATCGGTATAAGAGAAGTGATACTATAAGCCGTACGCTACCAACGAGGCGCCCGTGTCTACTGTAGCAACGAGCGTTGGTGCTGAACGAAAGGAGATACTTAGTGCTACTGATGAACCTGCTTCACGTAGCTGATAACGATGTTGATCAAACTCTTGTAGGCATTTTGACCTGACATGTAGATGGCTGTTCTTGGCCCCACCAATGTTCAATGTCGATGGAGCGGCGCCGATATCGCTGGGCGAGAAACAAGACCAGAAATGAGACGTTGATGAGATGGAGCGAGTGCGCCACCGACTTGATATCTTGACTCGCGCTTTGCCACCAAATTTCCTCTGGGGCTGTAGTATCTGTCTGGTTTGTAAGGTTGTCATAGGCAACGCGCTTCATCCCCTTTCCACAGTTGTCCTCTCCACCAAAGCAGAACCAATCCACAGTCGCCAGTTGACATGCCACATTCTCCGGGTCTGTCTCTAGGGCCTACGTAACAATTGCCACATCTCATCAATATGTTAAAAGCTGAACACTTCTTGTTACAAAAAAGGTGGTTTCCCTATCCCTTCTATGGTTGTCAACCGCCTCCTCCCTTGCAGGCAGTCCAGCAGCATCCGATTTGCAGCGTCTGGGTCGAGCACGGGGCCAGGGTAGCTCCCGTTTGCATGGTCGGCGAGTAACGCACCACATGGACAGTAGTCGTCGTCGCAAATGTATCCAAACCCCATCGCTCTAGTCCCCTCTCGGTCCATTGTATAGAGTTCGTTTCATCTTGGCTATGATTCCCTATTCTCGCTCTCGAGCAATGGTGGCCTTGCAGCGTGGTTTCCAGATCAGCTCCGTAGCTTGTTTCTCAATAAAGCCGACGAGCTTGTGAATGACCTGGCGCGCAACCGAAGACGGCGAGGTGAAAAGGCTATACTACTCCTTGGTAAGGCTGAGGGGTATGATGCCACGGTATAAATCGCTGATGCACCAGGTCGGATCTGGAGAGCGGTCAAAAACCTCGTCGCCTGCGGCGCTTCATCCCCTTCCCCTTCACGTGGAGCTGCTTTGCTTTCGACCACGTCTTTATACGCACGGAGAGGCGCTGTGGACACACGCTTAGTATGTTTGTATCAATAAGAGCACCTTGCATTGCAGATTAGTCACTATTTGGACAGGCTAAACGAGACTCGAGAGTCGACTGGGCATGCTTAAGATTGCTGATATGTAGTACGATAAAGATCAAGAGAGCCTTCTTCTATGAACCATCGCTGTTGCGCGCCACGGACAACCACAAATAATAACATCAAGAACAAGAAGACCCTGGTGCGCGATAGGCCGCACTTTATTCTCGATCCATCCATCCATCCATCACATAGTCCAATCGATATCTGATTAATGTCCATCAGGCGTAGTCCTCCGTTGGTCTGCGTTTCATCGCGTTGTTCTCTTCTAGCCCTATCAGACTACTCATTCCTGATTGTTGTAAGCGACATGGTTGTTTGCATTTGGCTGGTCTGGCGACTTATGGTACCATGCGACATATGGGCTTGGTAGACGAGCAGGAAGTATGCGATCGCCGATGGAAGCGGGTAGAAAATAATGGAAATGTTTATTTTCCAATTTGTGGAGGGTAGATGCACATCCAGTTTTCCTGTGCGACATGCATTTCGAAACAAAAAACACTCGACAATGGGCCATCAACATACAGTCGATACTGCATAGTTTGTTGTTGCTCCCTTATGTTTATCATATTCACCAAAGAACTGGGGCAGAATGTGAGTCTTCATTGTAAAATCGAAAAGAATGGGCGATGTTCGGTCCAGTGGCAAGTTGGACAAACAGGATGAACACGCCGATGGGGGGAGTGGAATGGTACGACCTGAAGCGCAATTGACCTGCACAGGCCTTCATTAAAGACGTACGGGCTGGTATGTTTGTTTCCTCGGAGTTTGGGGCATGCAATCCAGGAATCAATTTCATATTATACAGGGTAATGTTCCCCTTCTTCCACGTTGCTCTCTTCTTTTTATACCCTCCCCTCTCTTCAGCCTTTGTTTCCTATCACACCATCAAGCCCATCACACCATCAACCGATTGGGACATCCTTCGGATCTTTTGGAATCAGCCATCGTCAATCCCTACTCCATCTCCTTCTTTGCTTCAGCTTGATTGCTTACTGCATTCCAACTCCCCCCCTTTCCGCCTTCCTTCATCTCCGTACCGCAACCCCCTCCCTTCCTATTTCCTTCCTTTTCTTCTCACTCCTTGAACCCAAGGTTACAAGCATACAGGCGTATCTACCACGTATTCCCCCCCGTTCTTCTTTCACACTACATATCCAATCGAGCCCTTGAAGGAAAGTAAAGAAAGAAAGCGGAAAGGACTCTTCTCTTTCGCTTCTTTTCACCCTCACCCCTCGCACCTGGTTACAACAGCCCTGTCCTTTGAGATATCTACCCAACCATGGCACACAGCACTACCAACGAGGACGACTCTATCCTCTCCTTTCTCACCACCGACTTTCTCGAATCCCAGACCACCAATGCTTCGGCCTTCGACTCGACCCAATTCTTCGACTCGCTGACTGCAGACGACAGCGCTGTCAAGTATCAGGATCTGCTCCACCCCCCCTCGCCCCCAACCTCAGTCGGTACCTTCTCAGAGTCCTCAGGCTCGCCCCAGCACAGCAATATGGACTCCTGCGACGAAGGATCCGGATCCGACGTGTCCCCGGATAATCCTCTAGACTACTGGCAGTATGTCTACTCAGATCTCACACAGCCGGCCTCAACCCTCCCTATCCTGATTCAACCCGCACAGCAGCAACAACAGCAGCAGCCCGGGGCGTGGCCCATCTTTTCTGATATCGATGCATCCCTACTCCAATCGTCTGTCGCTCCCGCGTTCCCACATGCAGCGCTTGTCAACAATAGCAATACCGGCAGCAATGTTCCCGCAGACACATCTGCAAAGCGTCCCCTCAACACTCCGCCTTCTCCAGCCTCGTCCGTCAAGGCAGAGAAGAAAATCAAGAGAGCCAAGAAACAGTTGTCCACGCCCGCTCAGACCGCCACATTGGCTCCCCTGGCTCCCTTCGCGCCCTTGGCTCCATTGAAACCTCTGATGCCCTTGGCACCCTTGGCACCATCAGCGCCTCTCTCGCCGCCCACAACTGCACACGATGTCTTTATCAAGCAGTCGCCCTCTCTCTCGCCCCGCATCATCGCGGCCTCACCGGCAACAACAGCAGCTGGAGGAGTAGTTATCCGAAGACCATCTATCGTACCAGCACTCACCCCCCACGCGACGCGCTCGAATCCTGTCCTCGTAAAGTCAACGCTGATTCCTGAGGAGAAGCCCCAGTCAGAGGCCGCCATGAGTGCACAGGCAAAGCGGCAAGAGCGCCTGATTAAGAACCGTGCGGCAGCCTTGCTCTCTCGCAAGCGCAAGCGTGAGCACATCAATTTACTGGAGACCCACACCGATCTCCTAAAGACAACGAACCAAGATTTAACGGAACGCGTCTCGGAGCTCGAGGAGAACGTAAGGGTGTTGACGGTCGAGCGAGACACTGCTCGTGAGGAGCGCGACTCTGCCCGACAGGAGTGTGAACGTCTTCATCGACAGATCAATGTCCTTGCGCACCGCCCGCAATCAGACGCCTTCCGCATGGATATGGATCTGGAGCGCAATATTCGTCCTTCTGACTCGGAGCGTGGACTTAACTCTAAGGCAACGGGTGTCGTTTTTATGGTAAGTTAAACTGCTTGATTTCAGAAGAAATATATTGTTGAATCGTTGATATCGAAAAGAGCAAATATTTGTCATTGATGCTGATGGTTATCCTGTTTTTCTTCCGGTCGTTTCTATAGATTATTCTCTTTTCATTTGCATTGTTCAACTTGCCCGGCGGCAAACTGGAGACACTCATGGTCGGAGGCAGGTCCATGGATCGTCCAAGAATTGGTTCAAGGTGAGCGACGAAGAGAGTATTGTATGGATGTAGTCCTCTAGTGACCATAGGTTCGTTTACGTATCACTGACTCCGAATTGTTGTCGACCATGAATAACGAACGCTAGCATCATCGGAAGAGCTCTCGATTCATACACAAAGAACCCTACGATTTCGGGACAAGTGCGCGACACCGCATCAAACAAGCAGGATCTGCACAACATGACCGACTTGATGGTCTTTTCGGACAACCGTGCGCTTCAGACTTGGTTGGGACATCAGCCCGTGAGCATTCCCAAGAAGGCACCAGTGACTACACCCATTACTTCAACTCCAGCTATTGACAAGGAGATCATCAACGAGACCTTGCCGGTTTCCGAAAGCGAGAACACCAAGAGCGTCGGATTTCTTGCTCAGAACCACGAGCCCTTGGCGTGGACTCGTCCGGATGCCTCTCAGGAGATGAATGAACCTGACCGCGATGCCTGGCTCTATTGCTCGAACCTTCTCTATTCACTCCGCTCCTCGGGTGTATCCAGAGCTGCTGGTCCAGCTCAGGCGACGAACGGTGAAATTCGTCGTCCTCGCCTTTCGTTCATTTCGCCGCTTGATGGTGTTATCGGATCCAGTGCTACCGAGGAAAAGAACCAGTTGCCCCCGTGGATGCCCAACCCCAACCCGACTGATAGCGAATCCGAGCAGCGATATCTTCGCTTGGATGTGGAGGTGACTTCCTCGCGCGTCGTCAGTGGCAAAGGTTTAGGCGATCACGAGCAGGTGATTCGGTTCCCCTTGATGCCCGTCGGTGTCTTCGACAACTTGACCACTAGCCTCGCACCTTCCAAGGCCGCCGTAGCGACACCTATCTCCACAGCCATCAGATCGTCACACGAACGCAAGAAACCTCTCCACCAGGTTCGATCCAGTCGAATCAACGCGCAAGGAGGCGTCGTCAAGACCCGCCGCATCTACGACACTGAGGATCAACTTCTTCGAGCAGCAGCAGCAGCATCACGATCGGAAAGAGTAATGCATCTGGCCCCGATTAAGGAGGAGCCCATGGAGGTTTACATCAAAGAGGAACCCATGGACTGAGGCATCCCTCCTCCGCCAGTTCATCCGGAAGAATAATCGCCGCCGCGAGGTGGTAACCGAAAGATCATGAAAAAAAGAGTACGGATGAGCAAACATACTAATGGAAGGTATAGCGCCTGGCAAGCGCTGAAAGCAAACAGTATCTAAAAATGAGATATACTTGTAGCAAAGAATCATTTTTACAATAAACATACCATCGATACCCCCCCCCCCCCCCCCTCCCCCAAAAAAAAAAAAAAAGCACTCAGGTACATTTACGAAGGAATATCGTAAAGACGACAAAGGTTGAAGGATGAGCCAGCTCATTTTCAGGCCACTGTGCTGTGTTTATTTCTTCGTTGCCTCTACATCCCAGCGTGATGACCAAGGGTCTTCCAGTCTGGAATCCACTTTGGATCAATGACCTTCCAGGCCTCGCGGCTGTCAAACAGTTCGATGAACTGCTGGTCCATCGAGCGGGATTTTGGGTGCGAAAATCGACGGTACTCGTCAAAGATGGACGTGTGGCTCCACTGCTGCAGCTTGCGGAGGCACCCAATCAAGCAGCCAGTTCGGTGCTTGCCCTTGTTGCAGTGGATGAGGATGGGATGATTGCGACGGTCGAGCAGGACGGCCAGGGCAGCGCAGATCTTGTCGTCAGGAACTATTTGAGAAGACAAGGTTCAAACATGGAATAGGCGGATAAAACTCTGGTCAGCTTTTCAAGTTTTCTCCTGGGGAAGAGCACGCGAAATAAGATCGCGTGAGTGATGTTTGATCATTGAGAGCATTGAAGTTGTTTACTTACTTTGGACAAAGGGTTCCTAGGAAATTGAATTGTGGAGCGATGCACGTTTGGAGATCATTGGACGACAATGAACCATCGCAGTAACAAAAAAAGGTCGATATAGCTCCCGTTAGCAACACAGACAGGACCAGAGAATATAAAATGCATTGCTAATCGGGCATTGTTCTCATAATACATGCGGGATAAACTAGGAGCAGATCCTTTTTTGCATTATCCGATAGGCCCACGCCTCTTCACTAGTCTCATCTCTTCCTCCAGCCTTTCTTTTTTATCGCGCGAGCGCGTGCGTGTGGCCCGTGAGGGGCGTAAATGAAAACGAGGAATACTCAAGGGTGCAGAATCGAAAGAGAGGAGCGGATTTTACCTTGTTGCCGGCAATACCGAACTGGAAAAGGGTTACATTATTCTCCTTCAGAAACTTCATGTTCTGGTCAGGATAATCCTCCAGAATGAGGGTCCTATGAGGGAGATCGTATTGAATATTGTTTTCAGTCAGCACCCCTGGCATTTTCATAAGCAGGTACGACAAAAAATAGTCAGACAGATCAACTTACAAAATGCTCTTCAGGCCCAGTTTCTTCAAGAACGAAAAGTTTTTCTTCTTGGGAAAACTACTCCGGTAGATCCATGTTGAGACCATGTTGAAGTTGTCTGGCGGGCAGAGGTCCTCAGGATAAGATAGAGATTCACCGCTCACAGTCAGGTCCGTTGTATCCGTCATGAGCGATCGCGGAATCGAAGTTTGATGGACTGCGCTTGTGTGATGTGTGCTGTTCGCATTATTGTGATTGTAATCGTTGCCTAGTGCACTCGAGGAAACAAGCGCATCCGGCGTCATGAGGGGTGTTGCGACAGAGGACATTGCTATATAAGATAAGGCTGATGCGGAGGCGGTAATAGAAAGTGAGCTGAATGCGGTTGCGACCGACAAGGAGGGGTGTAAAGAAGAGGTCGTTGACGGGACATATGGGGTGGAGTCTGAATCGGGGCCTGTATTTGTACTTGAGGAACGATTGGATGGTACTGAAACACGCTCTCCTATGGCCGAGGCTGCCCTGGGCGAAGCGGATGTCGAGTTCATAGCATGTGTCGCATCCATAGAAGGGTGTTGGTTGGATTGCAAACCAATGGGCAATGCAGCTGATGTTATTGCAGATGGTGTCTGCCCTTTTTGTAGTTGTTGCTCTTGGTACCGATCTATTACACCGGAGTGGCCCTCTAGCACTTGACCATGTCCCTGTCCGCCCTCGTGTGCCTGCCTACGCTCCTGCTCAAGCGGGGATGCTATATTTTGTGCTACACCGGGTGTCGCTGTCCGAGATTGGTATTGAGCGCTCGTTGAGGCTGGGAACGAGTCGGACAATGGTACGGAATCCGAGTTAGCCGAGCTGGTAGCCTGCCCGTGTTTTTCATATTGCTTCTGACTCTGGTCCTGTCCAGGCTTGTTTTCAGGCTCTTGTTGTGTCTTTCCGACTGCAGCGCTGTTGTCCGAGTCGCCTTTATTTCCGCCATCGGATATTGTTGCCATGGAAATTGCGGAACGTTTAGTGATATCTTCGCCCCCGGGCTCCTTTAAGATCGCCTTGTCCAATCGATCTTGCGTAGAACCAGCTTCTGAGGATGCATGCAAAGCTGCCTGTTGAGGATATTCCTTGTTGGCACCTACAGTTACCAAGTCATCCCCGTCCGATGCCTGATTGCTATCAATGTCCATAAATCCATGCTCCTTGGTATATTCGTTCGTACGATCAATTGAGGTCAAAGCAGTACTCCCATCTGAATCGGTAGGCTCGGCGCCCTCGCTAGACGAGGACTCTTTAGCGGCATAGTTCACGTAGGTCCTTTCCGATTCCATCCCACGGCGGTGGCGTGAAAAGCAGCAGTGGTGTTACTGAAAGGAAAAGCAAATCCGCTAAAACTCGACAGTGATCGTGCTGGCGGTTGTAATGACGCGGGCACTGAGACTGAGCGCTGATGGAATACGTCGACAGTATGGTTCGAGCGAAAGACGACTTGAATAAGGGCAGCTGTTGGCATCACCAACCCAGCGCGCCCCATTGAGTCCCACTGCTGCAATACCGGGCGGTGCACATATGGCTTCATAGTCACATAGTCATGTGATGGAAATACAGGATCATTTTACTGACAAACGCGAGAAGGATGCGGCTGCGTCAAAGAGGCATGACAAGGATGAGTTAGTCAGTCCTGATGCATACAACCTAGCCTACTCATCCCTGCGGAGATGGGTCGAGGCCTCGCTGGACTTGTACAAGGTATGTATCAAGAATACCCGAAGACGTTTTTTTTATGAAGCTGACACACTCCATGTGCCTTCATTATTTGCACAGACCATTCCACAGCCAGGACTCATATCGATATTGTCTCCATTATTCGTGCACAGCTGCTTGAGCCTTGTTAGCAGAGGGTTCAAGGATCAAGGCACGACTTCAGATGCATGGATTCATGCTAAGCGTGTTCGAATATGATCCGACACTAATATTCAGTTGATATGATATAGACAAGGTGTTCATGGAGGCCTTTCGATCTGTCCACTTGGAGATGCATTCGCAGGACATTACTCGAGTGGCGGCTATCACAGATATGCAATACGCTCAGGGAAACGAGCTGGCTGCTGTCTCCTTCCCTACGGTTTCGCAGAGCCATTCCCCTGCGTTCGATAGGCGGAATAAGAAGAATGCAGCGATCACACCGACGGAACCGGAGGACCATCTGGCGGCATTCCCCCAAGCGAACATCGACCTACAAGATGCAGTTCACGGAGCAGAACTTGTGTTTGGCTGTCGGTGCCTTCTCTAGCAATTAGAGGCTCATCACTCTGGGAAGCATCCGTAACAATAATAAAAGATAAAGCAGAGACTGTGTTCCTGTTAATGAACCTGTTTCTTCAAGCTGCGGTGAATCGACTATGATCATCCTGGCATGAATTACGGCATGCAAATCATATTTCATCATGAAGCAGACGACCAGAGAGATTGGTAGTTGCACAGCAATGTTGTAGGCGGTCCGTGCGTTAGTTCACACTTGTTGCGGACGCGATTGATTGGCTGGTGACCATGCCTGTGGGAACAGCTATACCAAGGACTCCAGGTTGCATAGCGGGGCCTTCACATGCAACTTTACGGTGACTGAGGAAAGCAAGGCATAGGACGAAAGGAGAGGAAGGAAAGGAATAGTGCTGCGCTGCCGAACATATCTGTCAAGGCAGCTTTTAGTTGTCAAAGGAGATGGGCCAACACATCGGATAGATTTAAGGACTTTAACCCGTCACACAAGTCTAGGATACTTAGAATGGAATGTTAATTCATGAATGATCGTTGGGATACGCTCTTGATCTTTATCGCGAGATGCTAACTAAGGAGTACAAGGAGTACATTTTTACTCTCAATCCGACACATGTCCTGTCCGTTATTTTACGGACAATGCCTTGCTACTGTTGTTTTCGAGGCGAATGAGTACTCGCAGATGGGTAAATAGCCAATGGACATCTAGTCCAGATGGATGCATGCGTGGACACCGTTATCAGGAGCAGTTGGTACTGTGCCGGAAAGAGCAAGAGGAGAAGAGGACATTTGTCGGTGATGTAAATGCAGAGTGTGTCGACCCTGGTTGTCTCCTTTTTTCTGAATTGCTCCTTGCTTTCAGCCTTTTGCGATGCACCAACATGTTCGCCATTTGTGCCTTGAGGTCTGCTCAGAAATCCAGATACATCTGCAGAACTGTTGCCTGAATAAGTCATCAGCAATGGTCCCAAGTAAGCTGAGATCCTATTAACGATTTGCATGTCCACGATGGTTTAACACCTCATTCTATTCCAGGAGTAGAAAACGAAAGGAATTACTCCCATTCTCTTGTCCCTCATTTACCTCATTTAAGTATAACATTCCCGTCGCCGTTTCCAGACTTTCTTTGTTCTATTTTCTAACACCTTTGATGAATAGCCCTTGGTAAATCCGTCCACGCGTCTCCACACTCACTCCGTCCTCTGTTCTGGTTGCATTGGTTCACACCGCAGCTAATCAATGTCGATCCATGTTTACATTCTGTTCCAGAACACCATCCTCTCTCCATATCACAGTCATTTCATATTTGTCTATTCCTTGAAAAAATTAAGCACCCGGACACACGCGAACCCGCTCCCTCACCGTCTACGTAAATATTTTAGCTCGTTGTTAGGTATTGTCCTCCGCTCATGCACAAAGCTTTATTGGGAGTGCTCGATACGATCCCATGGCTTATCAGGACTATGAGAAATCATACTTGGGTTCTTTTGAAACACATTCAATTCTTTCCCAGAGCTTAAAAGTCGACAGCTGGCCTTCCACCGAAAATATACCAGCAGTGCTAAGAGACGCGGAAAGGGGGGAAATTAGAAAGGAGAGAGCTATATCCCCCTTTAACATTTTTTTTTTTGGGATGCTTCCCGCATCGCGAGGGGTCATGCTGTGGCTATTGGGGGTCTTTGACACTTTGGTAATCGAAAGAGAATTCCGGCATCTACTCCGTTCTATCCCGATCCTCTCTCCTTGTCGGCTGCGTCCTTTCAGGGCTCTATAGCCCAATGTAGTATCTATGTTTGGCGCGATACTATTGATGCCCATTGGAGGTAGCTCCTATTTGGGACTGAGAATCCCTTTTAGGGATGCTTAAGAGTAAAGATTGGAACTAAAAAACACGGGGTGCGATTGAGTATCCTGGGCCTGAAGTCCTGATACCGGAACCACTTACTTGGTGTACAGCGTATCATTTAAACAGATGGATCATTGAGCAGAACGCACGGCGGTTAAGGTAGGGTGCTGAACCGCAGACGCTTTACACACTGCTTGATCGGTGAGGATAGCAAGGGCCGTTGATTTCAGAACATATTTTCGGTTCCGACACTTTCGACCGACTGTCACGAGAACCCCTAGATCCATGTTGTCTACAACTACTGCGATTTGTTCAGTGGGCCATGAGATAGGATAGAGGAAGTGCATAGCCATCCTGGCTGTATCTTTATGGCGTCGTTCCCGTTACTTCACCTCCACCTAATTGCCCCGGATTAACTATACTGCTGGCGAAGGGCTATTACCTATCGCGAGCCGTGGTTGTCTAAATGCGCATTCTCATCCTGTGCCTCCTTGCATACATTCTGCCTCTCTCGCGCTTTCCTCCTCTGCCCCCATCTGCCCCTTGACTGCATTAACAAGTCCGCAAATGATCCTGTTCTTCTCCAACCTCTCTGCTTTACTGTGATCCTCCTACTCAAATGCGGCGTCCTTTGGTCGATTTTTGCTCGTCTACACAGTAACAGGCGGTGGAAGAGTGAGATAATAACCAAGATGCTTTTCTCTTTTTTCCTCTGCTCTAACAGTACTTTCAGATTGCGCTTCCCACCAGTATCACCGCCACCCTCTCCAAGTTCAAGCGCGTCTAACGCGTTCCCCTACAAGCACGCCGTACGCTAAAGTCCATCGATAGTTCAAGTGGCCAAGACGACTCACCCCTGGTGTCTTTATCCTCAGTCGCTTATTCAGTCATTCACGACTGCCTCACATCGCATTTGACAAGTAACCAGCCATGGGAAAGTTGACCAACCTTTTGAGAAAGAAAAAGGCGAGAGGAGATGAGCCTACGACAGAGGAGCAAGGAAAGACCGCTTCAAACCTATCTGGCTCTTCGTCTAATGGATCGGCAACACGCCTGTCGCTTAGCATACCCACGACGGACATCAATTCGTTAGACCTGAATATGTCCATTTCGCTAATGGACGATATCATGGACGGGTTGGCTGCCACAGCGCCAGATAGTCCACAGTCATCGCAGGCAGAGCCCGGACCTAAGTTTAGTGGTACGATTATGCGACGAATGGCGCGTACTGCTCCTCATGTTACGGACATTCAATGACACGCATTCTTATCCTTAATTTATAACCTATACACTTCTTATATCTTCAAAGATTTTGGGCTCGTGGCTGAGCTCTCGCGACAACTGGACCTAGGAGCATCAAGCACCGATGATCGCAATCCCAATAGCATCAAGCCAACCCAAAATGGACCTCCTAGAGTTGGAAAGTTGGAACAGAACAGTACCTTCAAGGGTAACGCGTTTTTGCGCTCGGAGTTGCTACAGCGATCAGGCAATACGCCCATAACGACTGCGTATAAGTCCACCGCGCCTATCCGCCAGACCATCAGCGCCCAGGGGAATCCCTCTACTTCTAATACCGCGTCTATCATCAATAACACACCGTCCTATTTGAACAAGACGCTGCTATCCAAGTTGGCAACCGAGAGAGCAGAGATAGCTACCCAGGCACGGGATGCCACTAGAAAGGCCAACGCTCAGTTGCCGAGCGATGACGAAGGGAGCGAGACGTCCGACTCTGGGTGCTCGGATGCCGGGCTGGAGGCAGAAAAGCAGAGGCAGCTGCAGCTTCAACAGCAACAACAAGAGCAGAACCAAGGCAAAAAAGAATCCTCTTACTGCGAATCTAGCAGTAAGAAGCAGCGTCCAATCAATCACGAGGCAGTAATTGGCAGGATGAAGGACAGACACAGGGCCGATCTTGCTGGAGCTGCTGCTGCTGCAAGGGAGGGTCACTACGGCGAGTACATGGACGAATACAGTCATATGCAACAAATACAGCCGCAAAGCCCTATGAGATATGGGACGCAATACAGTATGGATCAAGGCATGATGTACGGTATCGAAGAGTATGGCTTGCAACCACAACAGCAACAGCAACAGCAACAGCAACAGCAGCAGATGTACCTTGGTCAAAACATCCCTCTTCAGCCCCACATCAATGCACAATATGGCCCACATCCTAGCGTCAATCCCCTGATGGCCGGGTATCCATATGGCCCCCACGGACCCACATCCACATATGGACTCGGTATGCAGGCGTCCTTGTATTCAGGTCGAGGAAGTTTCACCAGCCTGGCCACAAGTACCGCAGATGGATATGTGCATAATATGTACAATGGGGAGTCGCCTGTGCACTCTCGCAAAGGCTCCAGACAGCCGAGTACGGCATCACCACGACAATCAGAGGACACTTGTACCGAGCTTAGTCCTGTCCCCGCTGTGTCACATCATCAGAAAGCGGCTCCAAGCGATAATGGCTATGGCTGCATGAGAGAGCACGATATGAAACCGATAAACAAGGACGTAGGATACCCGCAAGAGTTAGATACTGGTAACTTGAACGACAAAGCTGCAAGGAAGAACAAAACCAATAAGGACGATGGTGCCAAGGCAGTAACGGAGCTTGAGATCTCGAGAGCAGAGGTCGGCGCAGATTCTGAAACGTCGCAGGTTAACGCGACAGAGCTAAAGGGCCAACTTGAGGAGCCAGACTCTAACAGGGACAATTTCATGACAGATTCTATCAATGCGCACAAGGAAATAGCAGATATTGGCACGGTCTCTTCATTCGCAGCAAATGCTCAAGGAGATAAAGACGACAGCATTGACAGCGATAACGAGTCTTCGGACGACGACCAGCCCATCATCTTGGGTAGGCGAGGCAGCGCCCTTGGACCCTTCCTTTCCATCAAAACGAACACAGGAGCAGCCACTTCTGATCATCCGGAGCATCCAGAGAGCGTCTTGGAGCCGCCAACTAGCAGTCGGATACCTTATACGATGCATACTAAGAACGCGTATCAGTCCCAGGCTCAGGGGCCCACCAGTTTGCCATCGCATTTGCCTTACACTTCGCAGCAACAGCAATATATCCCAATGGGCTACCAGTTATCTGCCCCACAGGCGTCTACCAATATGGGACGCCACCACTCCTATTCGATGGATCGAGGCGCACCCGCAATGCTGATTGGACCTCATCCTACAGCACCAGGGATTCAGTCAGTCGAAGGCAATGCACCAGGACCCATGGCACACACTACTCGACGAGGAGCAAATTTGCTTCAGTCTGGACCAAAGGATATGCGTTCTTCTAACTTGTACCCGGCGGCGCCAGGTACAGCTATGCAATCCCAGTACCCGGTTCCTTCAACAACTCTTCTTCATCCGTTGCCTCGTCGCTCGCAATCGGCTCGGCCACGGACACAGGCTCTTGGACCGGGTATCATCAGAAAGGAGTCTCCATCACGCCAACAGCAGCAACAGCAGCAACCACAGCCATCTACAAGAAATCGCGTTTCTGTCGAGGTAGTACGGCTATCTAACGGTGGATACCAAGCTGTGGCAGGTCTAGACTATGGCAACCCAGGATCTGGTAGTCTACGCAGACCTTTCATCCACGGGGCTTTAGAATCACTTTCGCCTACACAACAACAGCAGCAAATGGTGAGCCCGAAGCTTGCACAGAGTATGCATCAGAAGCAGCAGCAGCAGCAGCAGCAGCTTCAACAGGGGTATTTCATAGGCCCTGGGCATCACGGGTTCAATCTGCACCCTAATGATCTCTACTCGGCTCATCTACACCAGCAAATCACGCAGTTTGCCCGACGATAAATATCTAGTCTATTTTTAATTTAGTATGCTGTGGCCCACGTTTAAATGCTACAATACACAAGAACATCTCCTCGGCGCCTTCTGTCATCATGGAAATGCGAGTTGAAGAACCTTGCGCACTATATTTCAAGGCGGTAGCAAAAAAGGTGCATTAGAGTACAGCTGCTAAAGAGAGAGCGATATCTTCTTCGGTATAGCTATATTGATCCCTTACCTCATGATATCCACGAGACTCAAGCCAGAGTGGCATGTCTGGCCACGAGCGAAGAAGGTCTTCAAACAGAACAAGATGGCTATCCTTGAGCAAGTTCTTCTGAGCTGACCTTGTGGCTCGGTCATTCATGAAAGCGACAGGATCCTCGTAGAATATATCTGATTCATCCTTATAGGTCGCTGAATCGATATCACTATAAATATCAAAGTTGCATCGAAGCGTTGTCAGAATACTATCGTCAACACTGTAGTGAAAAAGTTCGATTTCGGCAGGCAAGGATCCTTACCCGAGAGGTGGTTCGCAGGTCACAAACCAAATGTCCAAAGGTCCAGTATTTCTTCGATGGATGTTACTAAACCACGGGGTAGAATGGCAAGGCATCAAGAACCCTGCAGACCGTATCTGTCCCGTACTACCTTCCTCGCGTATCCATTTCATGACATCGACAACCCCACGCTGATGTATCGTCGCCGTGTACCAGGCCATGATCGCATTCACAACAACCAAGCCCACCACCGTTGTCACTGCTACTCTTGAATTCCTCCAGCCTTTTACAGAGAGAAACCACCTGTAAAGCGTGTCGCCAGCGAATGGCAAAAGTGGGTACAAGATTGGATACAGAAACCGCCACTCCTTGTGCTGCAGACTACTATAGACGACCAGCATCCAAAGACTGAGATAGAGAATTTGGCGTTTCAGAGTTGCGTTGAGTCCTGTACTAGCTTTCCAGGTGTGCCAGAACCCCAAAAGGGCAAGAGGAAGGTGGGTTCCAAAGAGAAGAGGGAGCCCCTGTGAAATATACCAATGCCATGGCGAAGATCCGTAAAATAATGAAATGCCCTCCAGTACGTTGACGCGTAAGAAATTGAGCGGTGTCAGGGTCCATTCAGGGTAGATCAGAGCCGAATCTAGTATAGCTGATCCTAGTACAGCGCTTCCACTATGCTCACAAAGAAAACATTCGCTCTATCAGTTTAGAAATTTCGTCCGCAGCTGTTCACATCATAGAAAGTTGTCGCATCGTCAGCATGTTCCTTGAGATTGACCTACCCAATAACAGCAACATTGGCAAGCGTTGACATAGTAGAGTAGATATCGCCCGCCTTGACATATTCGATCAACAAGGATGCACCCAAGAAGAGCCACATGATGGCTGCTGTCGGACGAAATATGCAGGTCAAAAAAGCGATGGCGAGCGATATCCGTAGACTCCCCAGCCACACGGGTCTGTTTGAGGTTGCTGATGTTGTTGAGGGTGACACAGAGGTGAACGGCCAGTAATACAGAGCGACGATCGTCAAGGCTGCTTCCATTGAGTTTGCGAGTGTTCTGGTCGAGCAGAAAAAGTTCCACCAGCTGATTACAGATAAGAATAGCTATTTCGCGGGATATCGGCATCGTTTGAAATCATTTAATGCATGAACCAGGAGGGTTGCAGCAGTTCTCAGATCTGACCCAGCGAGGCTTACAGTCCAATTGGCGGTGACTTGGTTCTCAAACAAACGGTACGCGAATCGGTACGCATAAAAGTCGGCGACTGCAGCAAAGACCGATTGGAGCAGCCGTGGGGCATATATCTGTAGAAGAACAGCGCCAGGGCAGGGGTTAGATTGTATGAAAAAAGTTGTAAAGCAGGCGAATCGATTAGAACGAATACAACTTACAAAGAGTGACCCATCATCGATGCCGAGCATGTACAAGGCCTTGTACAGGCCTGCAAAGAGAGCGGGGTGCAGTGCTGAGCGTAGACCGACGTCCCACTCCCATGTCAGATAGCCGTATCCGAATGTGATCCTGTGTCCAACCTCGAGCGCCTGCCAATACTCGTCGGGACTGAAGAATGTTTTGACCAGAGAGGCATTGATAGCACGAAAGACAACTAGGCCTGCGAGGATGGCAGTGTCGGACCGCTGTTGTTTCCGCATAATTGGCGGCATCGAGGCGAATAAGAGGGATTCAACAGATGACTGGATGGGAGCTCCTGTTTGCTGTGCTTCTTGAAACCAGGGTAGATCCATAGGTCCTGTGACTTCCTGTACGTATGGCAAAAAATGCATGTCCGAATGTGTACGTGAAGTATTTTTTTTTCTGCTGTCAGCATCAAGTTTACCATCCTTCCCTTCACCCTTCTCTCCTTTGCTCCTTCGCTTTTTCTTCTTCCTTCTTACGCCATCGCTCTTGTCATTCACCCATTCTTCTTACGCTCGTTTTTCATCTCTCTTCATCTGTACATATAGACCGACCACTATCAAAAAGCGAATCCTTCTTTTTTTCCTGTTCAATCGTTCAATCAGTTTTTTTTTTACCGCCTGTACTATATCGTCGCTCTTTCTTTTTTTATACTTTTCTGTTTCTGTACTTGTTTTTCATTCATAAACCTGTTGTCGATACGTGAGTCACTCTCCCTTTTCTTTTGCTCAGGTGTGTGTTTTTATGGGTGATTCATAATGGCACTGTCGACTTCGACTAACCCCATGTACCATGCAATGGTTTACTGCTGCTACTGCACTATTTTATTTTTCTCATAGGCTTAGAACGTCAGGGGCTTTCTTCCTCTTCTGCCAGTTCTTCCTTTCGAATCCTTATACTACTCTAACAGGAAACCCCCATTGGTATCAGTCTATATCTGTCAAGGTATGTCTGTTAATCATCCAAAATCCGCAGCGCTCTCAAACATCGGCAATTAGCACTCGTGGTGAGAAAAAACAGGACCCACCAGACGGAACAGGCTGGCCATGGATTCAAGCAGTCGATTGCCTCAGCTGTACTTTGTATTCTTTCATTACGGCTGATGAATATACGCCATTGAGCAAGTGATGAGAAGAAAACTGGGGACGGAAGCTGTCATCTCTTTGCGTCGTCTTTTGTTCGCTGTTCGCTCTGTGCTTCTTATGGACCTCCGACAAAAACGGACGCATGATTTCGTGTAAAGAAAACGCATGAAGACGACACAAAAATATGGCTGTACACAGGACACAGGATCCGCTAGTGTTGCTCTCATGCCAACGCTATTGTATTTTGAATACCTCCTTCCCTTCACTTGCTCCTCTTCCTATTGTTTCGTGCCTCCCTTTCATTGTACAAGCATACCAATTGGCACTCGAGCAACGTTTAACGCCATGCTTCTATTGTTTTCTATTAGGATTGAGCAGAGTTCGCCATCGACCTTTTTTCTTCAAAACCTTGGATCGGTAGGCAGCAATAGGCGCATTTCTTGTCACACGCATCTCAGGAGAACCGCTCACAGGACCCGACCCCTCGACAAACACCAAAAAAAAAAAGAGGCGGCGACGTTAAACACGTCACCGCGGTATCTCCTTGCTTCTCTCTTTTCTCATCCTATCGTCGGCAGTGGTCACGGTCTGATCGCTCTCACTGAAATATATACTATCAGAGTATGTGGAAATTAAGGATCTTTTATATGCAGGACAAAGGCAAAGGTCTTGTCCAACTGGAGCGTGATATATTTGGCTAACCGGCAGGCTCATCTAATATGGATTGTGATAGGACTAGGCTCATCATGGAAAATGGAACCGTTTCACGCCTAAGTTCCTCAGGTGGTATTCAACAAACCCCACGCCATTACCTACCGATGTTGATGGGCAACGGAAGCAAGATGTCAGGGTCCGTCTTTTCTTATCTCGGCTCGGATTCGAATACGGCAACGATCAAAGAATCTGGGACTGGGGTGCCGATAATGAGTAATGAAACCAAAACTGAATCGACCGCAACCTCGCCTACGACAACTCTACCGACAAAGGTATCCATCGCCGATAAAGGAACACACCCTTCGAGTGCATCAGAAGCTGTATCTGCGAAGGAACCTCCCACCAGCAATATACCATCGAACCTATCATCAACAGCTGCCATACAGGGTGACCTCGCACCAGTCAAACGCAATGGTGGTAACTCAAAATTGCTGTCATCAAAGGCTTCCTTAGCGACAGTGCCCACCACTCACGCACCGACAACAAAGGCGACATCTGCAGATCTCATCGACGGAACATTGAGCGACTTTGATGGATCCGATCTTTCTGATCTCAGCAGTGCATCCAGTGCGAGCGGGAGTGACCAAGAATCAGGACAGTCTGGCGAGGAGGACATGAATGCGGGCGATCATAGTGATGAGAGCAAGCACGGCGACGAGGATGGAGATGAGCCCATGGGAGAATCATCTGCTTCCGACGACTCGGACTTGCGCTCAAATCCTAGGCTTACAAAGAGATCAAAGTCAAAGAATACACCCCGTTCAAAGCATAGTCGCAGGATACCGTCTGATAGTTCTGAGGGCGAGCAGGAATTACCAGTCATCAAAAGGAAACCAGGTCGACCGCCGAAGTTGAAGAATCAGCTTGCTCGATCAAGGACAACACAATCCCCAATGTCGCCAACAACTCCAACATCGCTGGCCTCGCCTACATTCAGTAATCCCCCGAAAAAGGCCAATCATGGTTCAACGGAAGTGGCAAATCCAGAGCATCCCACGAAGAATGAGTCGCAGCCAAGGAAAAAGACAAAACAAGCCGATTTCGCAAATGTTGGAAAGCGGGATCGTTCAGGTCGGACGCAATTGTTCAAGTATACAGCGATGGGTGATCTGGAGACGTGTCGAAAGCTTATCGAGGCTGGCGCACAAGTCAACGATCGTGATCACGCAGAGTGGACACCCCTTCACGAAGCATGCGTCACAGGACATGAGAAGGTGGCAGAGCTGCTGATTCAGCACAATGCAGACGTCAACGCTCGAGGAGGCCATATGGATACCCCATTGCACGATGCCGCTCAGAACGGACATGTCGAGGTCGTGAAGCTCCTTTTATCTTATGGAGCGAATGTGTTGGCCAAGAATGCAAAGGGGATTATTCCCATTGATGTGACGGACGACAAAGAGGTCATTGATCTCCTTCAGCGCCGCCAAGCACTCGTAAACATGCTGACTGGGAGGAATCAAGCTGGACAGACGCTGCTGCACCGTGTTTGCAGTTCTGGGACGTACAACAATGTATTGGAGCTGCTCAACCAGGGTGCCGACATCAATGCTCAGGACAATGCTCAATGGACTCCGTTGCATGAGGCAGCTCTTGAAGGACACACCAAAGTCGTGGAGTTGTTGTTATCAAGAGGAGCGAACCCGAATGTCAAGGGCCATGGCAGCGATACGGCCCTGCATGATTCGGCACAGAATGAGCACGCAGACGTCGTTCGACTTCTGCTGGAATATGGCGCGGACCCTGACTTCAAGAACTCGAAAGGAGAAAAGCCCTGCGATGTCACAGACGATGATGCGATTTTAGAGCTGCTGAGAACTGGCGCCAGAGGAACAAAGAAGCCAATCCCGCGCTCAGCGGGATCGTTGACTTCTTCCAGCTCATCGCTGTCTTCTCTCACTTCGCAGTCCTCGAAATTTTCAACGCCTTCCAATCAATCCTCGCATTTTGTCGGTAACAAGGTGAAAGGCAAGGATAGACGCAATACAGATGGTGGCGCCGACGTGCACATGAGCGATGAAGGCCGGAGTGCAGGCGAGGAGCGGCCGGCCCAGATGTCAAGAGATGAGCGTAAAATGCAACAACTTCTTTCGACGATACGAATGCAGGAGCAGATGGAAGAGCGTAAAAAGGCAAAGAAGGGGCGACCAAAGCATGTGTCTGAAGATGAAGGTGATGATGACGGCCGAGATTCGAAGCCCTCACGTTCAACAAACAATTCTTCGTCTTCTTCAATGTGGAAGCACTCAAAGGCCTCACATTCATCCAGCAGATCGATTACCAAGATCAGCAAAAGCGGCCCCAAGGGACGATCTTCTCGATCAGAGGAAAGGGATGATGAGTCTGATTCGGAGCCGAACGAGGCGCCTAGGATGTCTCGCAGGTCTGTCCAGCGATCTACCGGCGACCGTTTCCGCATCGACCCTCGGTACAAGGACTCTGCAGGACGTACACAACTTCATCAATGGGCTGCATCAGGCGATATCGAGATGGTTGGGACAGTTTTGGAGGGTGGTGCAGAAAGAGATCCCAGGGACCACGAAGGCTTAACCCCGCTGCATGTGGCTGCCAAGGCCGGAAATACGGATGTTTTGGTGCTGCTGCTGGCATATGGATGTAATGTCAATGCTCAGGATCATGACAAGGCGACGGCACTGCACGAGGCTGTGCGACACCACCATACTGAGGCCGTGCGCCTTTTGCTACAGAACAATGCTCTCGTTAGTCTGCGTGACTCAAAGAAAAGAACCTGCCTGGAACTGGCCTCGCACAAGGACACCGAGATTCGCTCGTTAGTGAAGACTGCAATGGAGCAAGTGGAGCTGAAGGCAAAGGAGCGGAGCAAGAAGCGGCTATCTCAGTCAATCGAATGTAAGTATCCATTGAGTGTGGACGTGAATGGCGCATTGAATATCCTCTCTGGGATATGTATTAATCGAACGTTTTTTCTTTTATTATTTATTTATTTATTTTATTTTATTCTATTTTTATTAATATAGCACATGGATCTCCAAAGCACAAGGAGCGGAAGACAAGTCGCCACAGCGACAGCGACGAGCCCATCAAATTCAAGAAGAAGGATTCTGATAAGAGGGATGCGGATGACAAGAATAAGCACTCAAGGAATGGCTCGAGTTCAGGAACGCTGTTGAAATCAATATCTATGCCCTCAATCGCGGTCTTTCAATCTTCGCCTACATCTTCGAGTGCCCCCGCATCGATGACGACTGCTATGTCTGGGTCCAAGAGTTGGAAATACAGTACCGAGACGAACGACACCGACTTGAAAACGCCACTCAAGAAGCAGAAGCTGCATTCGCGTCGAATGTCCTCGTCAGGTGCGAATTCGAGCATCCAGGAAGGAGATGAGGATGTCGAAATGAAATCCTCTGGATCCAGCAAGAAGCGGCGGGAATCTGACCGGCATGAAGATGGATATGGTGGCAAGGTCAAGATCAAGAAGGAGCGCGAGGACGACGGTCATCACTTCCGGTCCCCGAGCCTGTCGACCAAGTCGGAGGAACTGCGTCGCGTAGCTTCCTTGCCATCGTTTTCCAAGGATGGCAGCAACAATGGAAATGGATCCGGTAACGGCAACAAGTCAAGCCGTCATGCGTCGAAGCTTTCTTTATCGTCTAGGCCGTCATCATCACTAGGAATGGCTGTCGGATCGTCCATTGCAACAATATCCCCACCCTTGACTGAGACATCATCTTCACCACCGCCAATCTCTGCACAAACACCGGTAGCACAGGACCAGGAAGCCCAGAAGAGCAGGAAACGCAGCAGTCAGACGTTTGCCTCGCCAAGCGGATATCAAAAATTCGCGGATGATCTCAAACTAGGCAGTTCCACTTCGCAACACCATCGTCAACGAAGTACGAATTTGATCCCTTCTGCCCGATCTACAACCACCTCGGTCTCTACGGAGCCTCCATCTGCGGCAGCGGAAATAGATGCAGCTAGGAAAAAGGCCAAGACGAGCACAGCCGAATCGAATAATGAGCAAGTCAATGGCAAACCTTCCGCCAAAGAGATTGCGTCTGTTAATGGTGACCATCCCATCTCGTCTATCGTGCCAAAGGCTGAGGAGGGTGAGAAGGTCTCTTCTGTTGGCACAGAGACAGCGAAGAAAGTGGGCGTCGTAGAGAGTCTTGCGCCTGCTCAGCGCTCAGTGCAAGATGCTCAGCGCTATTTACCATTGTACACCGTCCAACTATCGGCCGATAGTACATCAGCAGATTTAACATCAACAGATCCATTTATGGCATTATCCGAATCACCAACGTCCGCAGCGTCCCAGCACTTTTGTGTAGTGGATCAACAGGTTCAGCTGCTGCTGGGCTTAGCCCCAGGGGCATTGTTCGAGCGATATCCTCATCTCCACCGGCGTCTCATTAACAAGCGTGAAAAGGCACGGCTCTGGTCTCCACTCTCATCCATGGTCTCGGATCGATGTGCAGCTGCGGTGAAGATGAACTTTGAGGTGCTCCCTGTGGAATGTCAGTTTTCGTCATGGACGAATGCGACGAACGCGATGAGCCGACTGAAGGAGCATGAGAAGCAAAAGTTCTTGAGCTGTGAGCTGTACTTTATTCGGCTGGAGGAGGTCATTGAGCTGATCAAGCAGGATTATGCGCAGCTGAACGAGAGTATGATGACGATTATGTTGGATATCGGTTACGATGAGCTTGAGATGGAGGTCGAAAAGGACGTACCATCCGTTATCAAGACCGAGCAGACGGAAGAGAGACTGAAGGAGGTCAAGGAAGAGGAGGGCGCAGAAGGATTGATCGGTCGTGGCGGTCATTCGCGGCGACCCATGTCCGAGGGTTCGTCCGTTCCTGGGTCAACTTTGTCTTCGTCCGGCGTAGTTGGTAAAGCATGCACTGGTCGTGAATCGAGCGACGCGCCTGTATCCGCCCCAGCCTCTCTCTCAGCAACCTCGGCAGGATATATTCACAAGATGAGGCGAGTCCCAGCAAAGATGGCAACGAAAGCCATGTTCAAGGGGCTGCAGCAACAGTACCGCCCATCATCCTGATGTTCTCTCATTCTTTGTCCTCGTGTGTTTGAATGGAGACTCGCGTCGAAATAAATCACTGCCTATATCCCTTGACATGAACTTTAGATTCATAAAGTTATTATGGGGGATAACTAGGTACTACGAGTTCGAGCCCGCAGGTACTGGGGGTTGGTGGGGTGTGGGGCGAAGCGGCTGACGGAGCGGTTCTCGACGGGTCTAATCCGCTATACAGGGGCGCCCGATATTTGTTATGTTCTGGGATCCACAGACATCATTGTCTGAAAGTCACACCTCGTGGAAGTGAACATTGACATGTGGAAATGTGACATTAGAAATGGGAAACAGACAAAAGCGACGAATAAAATATGCAACAAAGCATGCCTTTCTAAAAAAATAAAATAAAAGAGGTGCTACTTGAAAGATGTGTGCTGTGATGACAAGTCGTTTATTTTTTTTTTTTTTTGCTGTTGAAGCCTTTGTTTTCCATAAACAAATGCAGTGGGGGCCTTGTTTTCTTGCTGTGGATCCCACCACCGGAATCCCCCTCCGCAAGCTTCAACGCCGAATTTTACTGTTACCCCTCCGTTTCCTCGGTTCTTCCCCCCCCTAGTCTCTGCCTCTTGCGTAAATTAGAGAACTGTAAATGCCGCTCAGAAGCTTGTATGAATTACCATCAAGGCCTCAAAGCGCCCTCGTATAGTGGCAGCAAAGCGAGGGAAATAAAAATATATATTTATACTAAGCTGAGGTATATGGGCGAGGTTAAGAATGTGTGCGGAACAAGGTAGGTACTCTTTCGGTCCTTTAATTTCTACGCTTTGTGTCAGGTCCACTTGGACATGGATATCCATGTACGGAAATACGCATGAGGCCTGGAGGATAGAAAAACAGGAGGTGGGTTTTTTGGAAGTACGATAACATATAAAACTATCCATCCGAGCTGGAAGCCATCATACTCCTCATCTGTCTCTCTTGCCACAGCTACATCCGAGCCGAACGCCGTAAGACTTTTTTACTCCGCTTGTCTGGCTGTCAAATGCAAATAAATATCTAGGAGATCATAACAAGGATGGCTACAGGGGTTTATTTTGTGAATGTTAAAATTACAGGGGTACCAAATAAAAAAACAAAAAGCTTCGGACTGAACTCTTCTTATAATAATAATAACAATAACTAAGGATATTAATGAAAATAACTCATTATTCGATATCCTCAATCTTGGCACGCTTTCTCCGGAAACCTCCCATGGCATCCATGCTAAGGTTTAGGCCCATGGTATCTCCAAATTCGTTAGGGTTTCCTAGAGGAATAGGACCGGGATGTCCCATATGAGCACCACTCGACATCATAGGGCCGTCCGTCTTGATAGATAACAATGTCATAGTAGGGCCCTGTTGGTGAAACGGTTGGTGCGATGGTGGATGGTTGTGATGTGACGGAAGCTGCTGCTGCTGCTGTTGGTGCTGGTGAAGCTGTTGCTGCTGCGGTGGAAGCGGGCCCATGGAGTTACTGCCATTTGGTGCAAATGTGTAGGCCATCATCGAGCCTGACGTAGAGATGGACGACGAATATGGAGGACCACTGCCGATCGGAAGCATGAGACCTGCAGACGATGTTGGGGAGGAACTAGGCATCGACATCGACATCGGGTTGTGGACAGCTGAATTAGATAGTGTCGAAAGATTGTTCCGGTGGTGGGTATTCATCATGTGGACTTGTTGCTGTTGATTATGCATAGCATGGGCCTGCTGTTGTTGCTGTTGCTGTTGTTGCTGTTGCTGTTGTTGCTGTTGCTGTTGTTGCTGTTGATGTTGCTGTTGATGTTGCTGTTGCTGTTGCTGTTGCTGCTGATGTTGCTGATGTTGCTGTTGCTGTTGCTGTTGCTGCTGTTGCTGCTGTTGCTGCTGTTGCTGCTGTTGCTGTTGTTGCTGTTGTTGCTGCTGCTGTTGCTGGTGTTGTTGGTGGTGTGGTGGTGAGAACGAGGAGGGCATAAAACCAGGCCCGGAACCATTCTCAACATCATTCGAGGACATAGTTGATGTATCAACGCCGTTCAGGATCAACATCTCACCCATTCCCAACTGTAGGCCAAGCCCCATGGTGCCCATTCCATTATGCTGACCGTTCTGACCAGTGTTGCCGTCATGACCCCCATGAGCGCCTGCCCCTTTTTCATTATGTACAAGTTGGAGTGCCTCGCGAGGGCCTTGGAACCCGGTCAGCGATAATTCCATGATGCCTCCCATGTCCTGCGCTTGCTGTTGTTGACTGTTTTGTCCGCCATCGCCACTAGGTCCGTTGTTGCCGTTGCCGATGCTTCGGTAGAGTACTTGCAGACGACTGCCCTCCTGGCTGGACTGATCCGCATTGTTGGACCCTGCTGCGGACAAGAGGTTCGGGCCTAACTTGATGTATCTCAAGTGCTGGCAGTGCTTCTCGAGCATGCTGAGCAGACCGGCCTTCGAGAAGGGTTTCGGAAGAATGTCGTTCATTCCGTTAGCGAAATAGGTCATGATATCGTTCGTTGTTGTGTTTGAGGTCATACTGATGATGGGTGTCATCGCGTCGAACTGTCGGATCTGCGTCGTTGCAGAGACTCCGTCCAGCTTTGGCATCATAATGTCCTATGGCGTTAAGAGGAAAAAGAAAAATCGTTAGCATGCTGTGTCCATGTAGCTTGTAATGGGTAGGGGATGCCCTTAAATGACTCGTGCAAGAAAGAACACAAGTATTTACCATCAGGACAATATCGTATTTTTGATGGCTCATTTTGCCAACTGCAGCGACACCGTCCTCGGCCACGTCAAAAGGGCAGCCAAATATCTGCAGTAGCCGTGAGCTGAGACGCCGGCAGGTATCGTCGTCCTCAACGAGGAGCACTTTTGGTGGCATCGCCCAACTTGGGATTACAATATTTGGACGCTGGACTGTCATGCTGGAATCGGTCGAAATCATATCGGACATAAACGACTGCTGCTGTTGCTGCTGCTCAATCTGTTGTTGTTGTTCCAGCTGTTGCTGTTGCTGTTGTTGTTGTGCTTGCTGCTGCTGCTGCTGTTGTTGTGCTTGCTGCTGCTGCTGTTGTTGTTGTGCTTGCTGTTGTGCTTGCTGTTGTTCCTGTTTCTGCTTCTGGGTCAGCGTCCGCTGTTTACCATTAGCCTTGCCACCGAGCTTGGTTGCTTTCGCGTGACTCTCCTGCCTCTTCGCTGTCAGATGACTGAGATTCATGTTGGGTACACCCAAGCTGGGATCTTGACACATCAGTGGATGCTGGTAGATATCCTGGACATATGTGCCTGCGGACGATATGGGGGGCGCAAAATAAAGCGTAGGAGTCGAAGATGAGGACGGAGTGGGGAGAGGCGTGGCGAGGGGCTGACAGCCTGAAAGGGAAGTTGTTGACATGGATGCAGGTATCGTGGTGGACGGGGCTGAGGACATCGTCGGGTGCATTGCATGGGTTTCTGGGGGAGATGACGACGAGGACGAGGCGGGCGAGGACGACTGTGGTGGAGAGTTAAAGGATGGGGGCGTTGTGCTGTGCTTGTGCTGCGATGTGTGCAGTTGCTGCTGCTGTTGCTGCTGATGCTTCAAACTCTTGCGACGCTGTTGCTGCTGCTGCGGCTGCTGCTGATGTGGACTTGAGTGCGGGGTCGTTTCTTGTGACCCTGATTTGGTCAGGATTTTCATAGTGCTATCGATTGGGTCGTTTGGTTCGGTCTTCACCAATGTACCATCATCTGTATGTAGACAAAGGAAAAAAAAAAAAAAAAAAAAGGTTCAATAAGTCGTTGGGCGTAGCTACTGATACCGCATGAAGCTGATTATGCAACAAATGTATGAACATACCTGAGCACACATAGCCGAGGAAACCAAGCAGCTGTTGGATCAATTGTTCCTGCGCCATGATTTTGGCCTCGCATTTTGAAAGATCCGCCTGCATCTTGGTTTGGGTCATGAGCAGCTGGCCGACCTGCGCCTGATACTCCTCGGACATCAATGACTGTTGCTCTGGCGTTGTACTCGTCGGCAATGTCGGCACTATCTTTTTGTTGCTGGGCGTCTTGCGCTAATGGCGCAGAAGAGCCAGAGAAGAAGATCGAGGTTTAGGCGTCTAGCAGCTCCAGCGGCGGCTCTCTCACAATGCAATTAGTCTAAATAATGCGACCTACCTTAATGTCCTCAAGCAAGTCTCTCTTATCGACTTGAAACTTTGGATGCTGAAATTCCCATGCCTAATGAGCACAACCAAAAGGAGTTGGGAATTGTACAGACGCATAAGGAATTGTGTCTGCAAAGAATGCTTATCTTTGAAGGATGATAGAAAAAGAGAAAACATACTTGGTCTCCGTAAGGTTTTGCAGCATCATCTGTGGTCTTGATCTTGTGAAAATCGTACTTGTTGAGTTGGCGCACGAAACTAGCAAAATTATTGTGCTTGAAATGCTTGGGCAGGATAATCTTGGCAAATTCATTGGGCTCCTTCACGACAAAGGTCTCTCCGCTCTTGCCCCAGGAGACAATTGGGTCGTGCTCTTTCTCCTCAAGCATCCTAATGGTTGAGAAGGCATGACATGGTGTTATAAAGACGACAGAGGCTATAATAGCAGGAGCCAAAGACCTAGTACATGTATTACAATAGCCATGTGGTTGTTCGTCCTCAGCTCAGCGAGAAAGAGAAGAGCCTTGGGTATGAATAAAAAATAAATAAAAAAAAAGCCAACGAGGACCTGCCTATACAGTTTCTTGACAAAATCGGGCACACCATTGCCTGCGGTCGATGGCACACCGGTATCCTGGAGCGGGTCCTCTGCGGGACCAGGGCCGGCTACTACAGCCATGTCGATATCAGGACTGGTGATGGTGATGGAGCTGGAGGTTGTTGGCCCGTCCAGAGAGTCTTCGGACTTGAGGGCTTGGTGCTCGACCAGAGGACGCCTCTTGGTCCGTTTTTTATCTTGGGCCGTCAGGTTGGGCGGGTGGTGTTTACTGGGGTTATTGGGGACGAGGACCAATTGATGGTGGTCGAAGGAGCGAGTGCTGCTGTTATGTCGCGCGGTCTTGGTTCTATTTAAGAATCCGAGAAGGACGACTCGGTGGACGGTTAGGGCAGGGTACCCCGATAGGTACACTTTCTAGAAAGAGAAGGGTGCGTGGATGTGTGGCGAGGGAAGGAGGGGTGGTGGCGGAGCAAGGGCAGGGAGAGAAAAAAAAAAACCATGAACCGAAGGAAGGGAAGGGCAGAAGGAGCAGAAAATAAAGCAGCGGGGGGAGAGAGGACTGTGAAGTGAAGAGGGGCCCGAGAGGGAGGAGGTTACGGGCGAGTAGACGAGAGGGGACAGGCAGTGGGTTACAGGCGCAGGGGAGGGAACTGGGAGCGATGTGCATCGTCTGCACGCATATATACGGGCGCAAATGCACAGGTAAATATTAATGCAGGTGAATAAAGGAAAGCGGGGGAGCGAGAGGGAAACAAGGGCGGTAGAGAGAAAGCGACTGATACCTGTTCCGCGGGAAGGAGCTGGAGTCGAGGGAGGGGTGGCCGAGGGAGCTGGAGTCGAGCGAAGGCGGTCAAGGGAGGCTGTGTCCTTTTTTTTTGTTATTTTTATTGTTTTATTCTTTAAGTATTTTTTTAGGGCCAAAGCGTGGGTCTGGTGAGGATGGTGCGGCAGGGGAGGATCAGATCAGGATGAGCAGTGCAAGAGGGAGGGATGGGGATGGGGATGGGGATGGGGATGGGGATGGGGATGGGGATGGGGATGGGAGGAGAAGGAGGAGGAGGTGGAGGGATGGGAATGAGAGAGATGAGAGGAATGGGGATGGGGATGGGGATGGTGGGACAGCAGCAGACGAGCCAGCTGTGAGAGCGAGGGAGTGGAGTACAGCGGTTCCAGCTGTCCACTTTGCTTGGTTGGTTGGGTTGGGTTGGGTTGGGTTGGGTTGGTTTTTGAGTCGCTCACAAGAAAATATTTTTCTTGCCACCACACACGCCAACCCGACAGCTCGAAGCACCACAAGCACCCAGGACAAGTGGTTCCCCCGGTCGACTGCACGGCGTCCCCGTCTCGTCGCTGTCAGTCGGTCAGTCGGTCAGTCTGCACCTCCCATTGGACAGATGGGTCCAACACGAACACAGGGGGCACTGGCGGGCGGAGAGGGACCCCTGTCCATGTGACACCCGCGCTGGTCGCCTCCGCTTGAGCTGCCAATGCTCAACATGCATCCACCAATGGGAGCCCTACTCTGATGTGAAAGCGTCCTTTTCACGAGTGTGCTGCATTGCACCATGCTCCTATCTCTCCACGGCCCACCATCCGCCAAATTGACTTTGCTTCACCGCTGCAAACATCTTCCTCGTCGTCCTTCCTTGGCCTCTGTCCCATTAACTAAGTGTACCGCGACATGCGACAGTACCTCTTTTTTCCTTCTTTCGTCCTCCTCCTCCTCTTCCTCCTCTTTTTACTTCTGGCATGCATTTTAGAAGTAGACCGATGCACTGCAAACATGCATACAACATGCTCCTCACATACAGAGTGAGCGAGCAGGAAAAAAAAGAAAAATTAGGTGTGTACGCCCTTCGCGTTAGTCATGCCATTGCTGAACCCATTCTCACCCTCTTCATTTCTCTGGGAAAAAAAGCTCTTTTTAATTTTGCATGCAGCTGTTATTTGTTGTTATTTGTTAGTCTATCTGTTGTTTGTTCATACAACTCGTTCTGCTTGCATCAGCAGAGAGAATAAGCCCATGTCCCAAGTCGTTGATATGCCGCAGGCAGCAGTGCGTAAAAAATAGTTGTCTTTGTTACTTGCTGCAATTGTGTGGCGAAGACCAGGGGGCTAATAAGAATCGCGGCTGTGCTGCTGTTGGTTGCCGTTGTGGCAAAAGTTCAAAAGCGCTGCCTACCCTTCAGCCTCCTCTGTAATTGGCAGTGCGGGCTCATCAATTGGGAAGGCGCCAGCCTGTTGCGCACAGGCTGATACGATGGTGCCCCTTGATATTTATTATCAAGAGACGGGTGCCCTGGAGGCAATCGGCTATACTTGGCCACTATGAAACATAATCAGCGACGCAGCCAATGAGCCTCTGTGATCTCCAACTAGGCAGTTTGAGCAGGCAATCTTTGAAAAGAAAAAGCGTCAGAGACATGGACTATGACAAGTAATAGCTGCTGCAGTGGTCATCAGTCCTGCCGTAACCCTGAACATCTTGTTGTCGGGCATGTGGATGGACAGCAATACGGATGAAAGTATCAGCGATAATAATTGTTGACATGGACGTTGATAACAGACGCTGAGAGACAAGACCGAGCGCGTCGTGGCCCTTGGTCCTTTGCAAGCTTTTACTCCTTCCTGCGGTGCACGTGTTTAAATGGCATAACTCAATTCAGCTAAATTGATAAATTTTCTTGTGTGTTGCTGTGTTTGCAGTTATGGAGACTGGCACAAAACCCGTGCAAATTTTTTATCGTGAAGATATTTGAGCAGTGCCAATATGTTTTGGCGAGCGGGAGTGACGAGTGAGAGAACTTCTTGTACCACGACCAGGGGCTGCTGGTAAGGTGCCTGCCTTCTTTCTTTTTTCTTTTTTCTTGTTGGTGACCGAGATGATAATCGTGCAGGACAGCCCTCGATAGAGCAAATCTCTTGCTTTCGCAACAGTGCACAAAGGAGGCCGCATGCACCACAAGGACTAGACTAGTGCAGGCGTGCATTTTTTTATATATTTTTTTTTTGCATGTTGCATTTACGCTCGACAAATTCGGATGGCCCAGATTGGTTTCAACAACTCTCAGTGCCAGTAATCCCTGTTTCATTCCATAAATCCGTCTGGGTCCCATTGTTCACCTTCCTACACAAGACATTGCCAGTGGGTGCGCAGAAAAAAGAGACAGGGAGAGAATGAATAAATGATGATGGACGATGATCCTCTTCCCTATCTGAGTGGTCAAGAGCGGCGAATTGTATTGAGCGCAGGTAGGGTCCACAAATCAAGGAGCAAAAGAGCCGGCGGGGTATGACAGCAGCATGCTTGACGCAGATGGACAACAAACTTTACTGCTGAGCGATGTGCTGTTGTCCTTTTTTTGATCGACCGCTCCCATTTTGTGGGAAGGGAGGGAAATCAGCGGAGCTCAGGCCAACTCGGATCCATATTCGATGTTGCTGCAAGTCGGCCCTGTGCCTGAACCAGTCGTCCACGTACAATGTTCTTAGTTTCTTTTTAGACCCCTCTGCATCGGACCCTGCGACAAATGACAAATAACAAATGAGAGGAAGAAGAGGGAAAACACTAAAACAAATAACACAGGCATCGTTCACTCGTCCATAAACCCCCGCATCGCATCGCCTCAGTTTGCTTTGCAAATGCACCTCCGCCTTGCCTGGTTCGCCTGCTTGCTTTGACTTTTGCCATCTTCCTTTTTATATGTTAATTGGTTGGATGGGTGCTTGCATATGGGATGTTACACCTCCTTAGCACCTTGGCAGGGGGATAACAGGAAAAAAGAGGGGACCCAGGGGTGTCTGGTGTCCAGTTTTTGGTTGTTTGGGTGGACATTTTTTGTTGTTGTTTATTGCCGCAGAGCGAATGAGTGAGTGTGCGAGTGGGCGGTGAACTCTCATATGTTTCTCTCGCCGTCAATAAACAGACGACGAACTCAATACTGTTTTCCCTCCATCAACTCCAACAGCCTTTCCTTCTTCATTCCTTCATTCCTTCATTCCTTCATTCCATCCTCTTCCGCTTCCCTTTCTCTCCCTCTCTCCCTCTCCCTCTCCCGCTCTTACATCCTCACACTCCCGCACTCACACTACTCACACACACTCACTCACTCACTCACTCACTCACTCACTCACTCACTCACTCACTCACACACACCCAGACGCACACACACACACCCACTCACACCCACTACCTAATACCACACCGTGCATGCACTCTATCTAGACACTGCTCCCCACCACTACCGCAATACACAGCGCGCTGTGTGAACATCCTGTTCAGAAGCCATGGCTACCCTCACAGACACCTACATGGACCATGTAGCCAATGTCCTGGATATGCTCGGCCAGGACAGAGCCCTCGACTCAATACCTTCCCCATTCCTCTTCTCTCCCTCTTCCTCTTCAGCCTCACCCGCAACACCATCCCCCGGATCCTCCTCCCCCCTCATCCAAAAGATCGATGTCGCACTTCAGCGGGTCGTCCAAAAGATTTTCCTAATGGAGCACGAACTGACTCGCCACCGTAGAGACTGTTCCTCCGCCAACGGAGCCCTCTACTACGACCGGCTCAACAGTACCCTCGACTCTACAAATCTACCCATCGTTCCGCCGATCCTCACTCCCCCTGTCGACCCTCTTTCGCCATCATTCTCTGCCTTGACTCAGTGGACCGAAGGCATCACAGCCACAGTCTGGGGATTCCACGACCCTACAGCGGCCTATCCCACCCTGCATTCTTGTCTGTCCCAGGAGAGGTTGTCTCTGTCCGCCTCTCAGTCCTCCCCCGACAGCCGCAAGCGCGACCGCATCAGTCTTGCAAGGGCCAGCGAATTGCATGCTTCTCACACCCCTACTGCCTCCTCCTCCTCTTCGTCCTCCACGAATGAACTCGCTTCCAGCTCCGACCTTTCTACCGCCGCCATCACATCCTCAGCCATATCAGCAACATCTTCAACAGCAAAGCAATCGACGGCAACAGAACCCCCATCAATTGCTGTCGAAGCGCCCTTGGATTGCAGTGACATATTGGCGGACCCTGCGACTTCAATGCCCTCTTCCCCAGACTCCTTTCGCTCTGCTCGCTCATCATTCAATCCAGACGACTCTGACGTGATACCAACAACAGCACTCCCTCCAATCAATCATCATGCCGCTGCACTGACTGTTCCTGGTTTCTCAATGTCGAGCGAGAGCCCTTGCGCCGCATGCGTCCACAAATGTGCACTGGTCGCTGCTGCTGTGGTTAGGGGTGAGTTGGGCGTACGGATAAACTGCGCACGAGAGGCATGCAACCGTACTGCTCTTACCACATCCATCAACGCGATGGTGGCCAAGCTGTCAGATTTCACAGAGGAAGTCATCCAAGTCGCAGCCCAGGGAGTCGAGGGCAAGCTGGGCGTCCAGGCAAAGACGGCAGGTGAGCACGGCAAGTGGCAAGAGTTTGTCAGTCATCTGAACACCATGACACTCGGCCACATGGAGCAGGTCCGTGATATCGCATCCGTCTGCACAGCCGTCGCTCATGGCGACCTATCCAAGATGATTTCTGTCGAGGTCAAGGGAGAAACGCTCGTTCTGAAGAACACGATCAACACCATGGGTAAGTCAAGGCTGGATTGCAAATTATTGTCTCGCTTTTTGTGTGTGACGGATTGGAAGGAATTTTCTTTTGGACATCCAATCAAGGGCGTGATGAGCATGCGCTGCAAGATAGACACTGACGACATTTCTTCTCGTTTTTTATTTGCTGCACCCTTGCGCGGACGAAATTTATCAAACATATCTTATGGATGCCTGCTCGAATACGTCGCCATTCACATCTCACAGTCGGTCAATTGCGATCATTCTCATCCGAGGTCACACGTGTCGCCCACGAAGTCGGAACAGAGGGAAAGCTGGGTGGTCAGGCCCACGTCAAGGGAGTCGCTGGAACCTGGAAAGAGCTCACGGACAACGTCAACATCATGGCCGCGAACTTGACAGTGCAGGTGCGAGATATTGCCAGTGTCAGCAAAGCTGTCGCTAAGGGCGACCTCTCCAAGAAGATCTCAGTCGAAGCTAGTGGCGAGATGATGGACCTCAAGAATACTATCAACACCATGGTCGACCAGCTGCAGGAATTCGCCACGGAGGTATCTCGTGTCAGTCTCGAAGTTGGTACAGAAGGCAAACTTGGTGGTCAAGCACATGTTAAAGATGTAAGCGGGACCTGGAAGGAGCTCACGGACAATGTGAACCTGATGGCCTCCAATCTCACGGGCCAGGTGCGTGATATTGCAACAGTCTGTAAAGCAGTCGCTTGTGGTGACCTGACAAAGAAGGTCAGCGTACCTGTCCAAGGAGAGATTCTGGAACTGAAGGAGACCATGAACACAATGGTGGACCAGCTGAGGACCTTTGCCGCTGAGGTCACTCGAGTCGCTCGCGAGGTCGGAACCGAAGGAAAGCTCGGTGGACAGGCTGAGGTCGAGGGCGTTGACGGTACGTGGAAGGAGCTGACTGACAATGTCAACACCATGGCTGAGAACTTGACAGCCCAAGTGCGCGATATCGCCAACGTCAGTAAGGCCGTCGCTCGAGGCGATCTGTCCAAGAAGATTTCTGTCGAGGTCAAAGGAGAGATGATGGACCTGAAGCACACTATCAACATCATGGTTGACCAGCTCCAGGAGTTCGCCACTGAAGTATCTCGCGTGAGTCTGGAGGTCGGCACAGAAGGAAAACTGGGCGGCCAAGCAGTCGTCAAGGACGTCAGCGGTACCTGGAAGGAACTCACGGATAACGTCAATACCATGGCATCTAACCTTACGACCCAAGTCCGATCCATCGCAGAAGTCACGACAGCTGTCGCATGTGGAGATCTCAGCAAGAAGATTGACGTACAAGCCCAAGGTGAAATCTCAGAACTCAAGCTCACAGTCAATTCAATGGTCGAACAGCTGAGGACATTTGCAGCCGAGGTCACTCGAGTCGCCCGCGAGGTCGGAACCGAGGGCAAACTTGGGGGCCAAGCACATGTGAAGGGCGTCGATGGCACGTGGAAGGAGCTGACTGACAATGTCAACACCATGGCTGAGAACTTGACAGCTCAAGTGCGTGACATTGCAAGTGTTAGTAAGGCCGTCGCTCGAGGTGACCTGTCCAAGAAGATTTCCGTCGAGGTCAAAGGAGAAATGAGTGATCTGAAGCACACTATCAACACCATGGTCGACCAGCTCCAGCAGTTCGCCACCGAGGTATCTCGAGTGAGTCTGGAGGTCGGCACTGAGGGTAAACTTGGTGGTCAAGCAGTCGTCAAGGATGTCAGTGGTACTTGGAAGGAGCTCACGGATAACGTCAACACTATGGCCAGCAACTTGACAACCCAGGTACGATCAATCGCCGAGGTCACCACTGCCGTTGCGTGCGGCGATCTGTCCAAGAAGATCGATGTCGAGGCACAGGGTGAGATCTCAGAGTTGAAGTTGACGGTTAACTCCATGGTGGAGAGACTTCGCACTTTTGCCGCAGAGGTCACACGTGTAGCACGCGAGGTCGGCACGGAAGGAAGGCTAGGAGGCCAGGCCGAGGTTAGAGGCGTCGATGGCACGTGGAAGGAACTCACGGACAACGTTAATACCATGGCTGAGAACTTGACAGCTCAAGTACGTGACATCGCCAACGTCAGTAAGGCCGTCGCTCGCGGTGACCTGTCCAAGAAGATTTCTGTCGAGGTCAAGGGAGAAATGAGTGATCTGAAGCATACCATCAATACCATGGTCGACCAGCTCCAGCAGTTCGCCACCGAGGTATCTCGAGTGAGTCTAGAGGTTGGCACAGAAGGCAAGCTTGGCGGCCAAGCAGTCGTCAAGGATGTCAGTGGTACTTGGAAGGAGCTCACGGACAACGTCAACACCATGGCCAGCAACTTGACAACCCAGGTACGATCCATTGCCGAGGTGACGACAGCCGTCGCTTGTGGTGACTTGAGCAAGAAGATCGATGTCGAGGCACAGGGTGAGATCTCCGAGCTGAAGCTGACTGTCAATTCGATGGTGGAGCAGCTCAGAACATTCGCAGCTGAGGTTACTCGAGTCGCCCGTGAGGTCGGAACTGAAGGAAAGCTCGGTGGACAAGCGCAAGTGAAGGGCGTGGACGGCACGTGGAAGGAGCTGACTGACAACGTCAACACCATGGCCAGTAACTTGACAACCCAGGTGCGATCGATCGCAGAGGTCACCACTGCTGTTGCGTGCGGCGATCTCAGCAAGAAGATCGATGTCGAGGCACAGGGCGAGATCTCCGAGCTGAAGCTGACGGTCAACTCGATGGTGGAGCAGCTGAGAACGTTCGCAGCTGAGGTCACTCGAGTCGCTCGTGAGGTCGGAACCGAAGGCAAACTTGGTGGACAAGCGCTGGTCAAGGATGTTAGCGGCACCTGGAAAGAATTGACGGACAATGTCAACACCATGGCTTCAAACTTGACGACCCAAGTCAGAGATATTGCCGATGTCAGCAAAGCAGTCGCCAAGGGTGACTTGACCAAGAAGATCACCGTGAACGTCAAGGGAGAGATGATGGACCTGAAACATACTATCAACACCATGGTCGACCAGCTCCAGGAGTTTGCCACCGAGGTCAGTCGTGTCAGTTTGGAAGTCGGCACAGAAGGAAAACTGGGCGGTCAAGCTGTGGTGAAGGACGTCAGTGGTACCTGGAAGGAGCTTACAGACAACGTCAACACCATGGCCAGTAACTTGACAACCCAGGTGCGATCCATTGCCGAGGTGACTACAGCCGTCGCTTGTGGTGACTTGAGCAAGAAGATCGATGTCGAAGCACAGGGTGAGATCTCCGAGCTGAAGCTGACTGTCAACTCGATGGTCGAACAGCTGAGGACATTCGCAGCCGAGGTTACTCGTGTTGCTCGTGAGGTCGGAACTGAAGGAAAGCTCGGTGGACAAGCGCAGGTTAAGGGTGTTGATGGAACGTGGAAGGAACTGACTGACAATGTCAACACCATGGCTGAGAACTTGACGGCGCAGGTACGTGATATCGCCAACGTCAGTAAAGCCGTCGCTCGCGGCGACCTGTCCAAGAAGATTTCTGTCGAGGTCAAGGGAGAGATGATGGACCTGAAGCACACTATCAACATCATGGTTGACCAGCTCCAGGAGTTCGCCACCGAGGTCACACGTGTCAGTTTGGAAGTCGGAACTGAGGGTAAACTTGGTGGTCAAGCAGTCGTCAAGGATGTCAGTGGTACTTGGAAGGAGCTTACAGATAATGTGAACACCATGGCATCCAATCTTACAACCCAAGTACGATCCATTGCCGAGGTTACTACTGCTGTTGCTTGTGGAGATTTGAGCAAGACTATTGAAGTAGAAGCACAAGGCGAGATCTCTGAGCTAAAGCTGACTGTCAATTCGATGGTGGAGCAGCTGAGGACATTCGCAGCCGAGGTTACTCGAGTGGCCCGTGAGGTCGGAACCGAAGGAAAGCTAGGTGGACAGGCTCAGGTGAAGGACGTTGGTGGTACGTGGAAGGAGCTGACGGAGAACGTCAACACCATGGCGGCCAACTTGACCACTCAAGTGCGTGACATTGCCGATGTCAGCAAAGCTGTTGCCAGGGGTGATTTGACCAAGAAGATCACTGTCAACGTCAAAGGAGAAATCCTGGACCTCAAGAACACCATCAACTCTATGGTATGTTATTGTCTTTGAAATTCATCTATTGTTTATTGTATTAATGTTTGTTCGGCAGGCAACCAATGGATATTCACAATCACTTCTGCATTAGGTGGATCAACTTTCAACGTTCGCTGCTGAGGTCACCCGTGTGGCCCGCGAAGTCGGAACCGAGGGCAAATTGGGAGGCCAGGCAGAGGTCGAGGAGGTCGATGGCACGTGGAAGGAACTTACAGACAATGTCAACACCATGGCTGCCAATCTTACTGCGCAGGTGCGTGATATTGCCGGTGTCAGCAAAGCCGTCGCTAAGGGAGATCTGACCCAAAAGATCTCTGTGGATGCCAAGGGAGAGATTCTCGACTTGAAGAACACCATCAATATCATGGTATGTGGCAATTGGCGGCCCATTGCACTGAAACAGGGTATTATGTATTATGATACAGACATCTAACTTCAGCGCTTACACGTTCTAGGTCGACCAGCTGTCCACTTTTTCTGCAGAGGTTACGCGTGTCGCTCGAGAGGTCGGCACAGAAGGAAAGCTAGGTGGCCAAGCAGAGGTCGAGGATGTTGACGGAACCTGGAAGGAACTGACCGACAACGTCAATACAATGGCTGCTAATCTCACGGCGCAGGTGCGATCCATCGCAGAGGTCACCACCGCTGTTGCATGCGGAGATCTTAGTAAGAAGATTGATGTACAAGCTCAAGGCGAAATCTCTGAGCTGAAATTGACGGTCAATTCGATGGTGGAGCAGCTAAGAACGTTCGCAGCTGAGGTCACTCGAGTCGCTCGTGAGGTCGGAACCGAAGGCAAACTTGGTGGACAAGCGCTGGTCAAGGATGTTAGCGGCACCTGGAAAGAATTGACGGACAATGTCAACACCATGGCTTCAAACTTGACGACCCAAGTCAGAGATATTGCCGATGTCAGCAAAGCAGTCGCCAAGGGTGACTTGACCAAGAAGATCACCGTGAACGTCAAGGGAGAGATGATGGACCTGAAACATACTATCAACACCATGGTCGACCAGCTCCAGGAGTTTGCCACCGAGGTCAGTCGTGTCAGTTTGGAAGTCGGCACAGAAGGAAAACTGGGCGGTCAAGCTGTGGTGAAGGACGTCAGTGGTACCTGGAAGGAGCTTACAGACAACGTCAACACCATGGCCAGTAACTTGACAACCCAGGTGCGATCCATTGCCGAGGTGACTACAGCCGTCGCTTGTGGTGACTTGAGCAAGAAGATCGATGTCGAAGCACAGGGTGAGATCTCCGAGCTGAAGCTGACTGTCAACTCGATGGTCGAACAGCTGAGGACATTCGCAGCCGAGGTTACTCGTGTTGCTCGTGAGGTCGGAACTGAAGGAAAGCTCGGTGGACAAGCGCAGGTTAAGGGTGTTGATGGAACGTGGAAGGAACTGACTGACAACGTCAACACCATGGCTGAGAACTTGACGGCGCAGGTACGCGACATCGCCAATGTCAGTAAAGCCGTCGCTCGAGGCGATCTGTCCAAGAAGATTTCTGTCGAGGTCAAAGGAGAGATGATGGACCTGAAGCACACTATCAACATCATGGTTGACCAGCTCCAGGAGTTCGCCACTGAAGTATCTCGCGTGAGTCTGGAGGTCGGCACAGAAGGAAAACTGGGCGGCCAAGCAGTCGTCAAGGACGTCAGTGGTACCTGGAAGGAGCTTACAGACAACGTCAATACTATGGCGTCCAATCTTACAGCACAAGTACGATCTATTGCCGAGGTCACGACGGCTGTCGCATGTGGAGATCTCAGCAAGAAGATTGACGTACAAGCCCAAGGTGAAATCTCAGAACTCAAGCTCACAGTCAATTCAATGGTCGAACAGCTGAGGACATTTGCAGCCGAGGTCACTCGAGTCGCCCGCGAGGTCGGAACCGAGGGCAAACTTGGGGGCCAAGCACATGTGAAGGGCGTCGATGGCACGTGGAAGGAGCTGACTGACAATGTCAACACCATGGCTGAGAACTTGACGGCGCAGGTACGTGATATCGCCAACGTCAGTAAAGCCGTCGCTCGCGGCGACCTGTCCAAGAAGATTTCTGTCGAGGTCAAAGGAGAGATGATGGACCTGAAGCACACTATCAACATCATGGTTGACCAGCTCCAGGAGTTCGCCACCGAGGTCACACGTGTCAGTTTGGAAGTCGGAACTGAGGGTAAACTTGGTGGTCAAGCAGTCGTCAAGGATGTCAGTGGTACTTGGAAGGAGCTTACAGATAATGTGAACACCATGGCATCCAATCTTACAACCCAAGTACGATCCATTGCCGAGGTTACTACTGCTGTTGCTTGTGGAGATTTGAGCAAGACTATTGAAGTAGAAGCACAAGGCGAGATCTCTGAGCTAAAGCTGACGGTCAATTCGATGGTGGAACAGCTGAGGACATTCGCAGCCGAGGTTACTCGAGTGGCCCGTGAGGTCGGAACCGAAGGAAAGCTAGGTGGACAGGCTCAGGTGAAGGACGTTGGTGGTACGTGGAAGGAGCTGACGGAGAACGTCAACACCATGGCGGCCAACTTGACCACTCAAGTGCGTGACATTGCCGATGTCAGCAAAGCTGTTGCCAGGGGTGATTTGACCAAGAAGATCACTGTCAACGTCAAAGGAGAAATCCTGGACCTCAAGAACACTATTAACTCAATGGTAAGTCTATACGCTTTGCATTTTTATTTTGATGCCTTCATTCAAAAGTGGCTAATGAATCTCATTCTGCTATAGGTGGATCAACTGTCGATGTTCGCCAATGAGGTGACGCGTGTCGCGCGCGAGGTCGGCACTGAGGGTAAGCTAGGAGTACAAGCCCAAGTGCAGGATGTCCGGGGAACATGGAAGGAAATCACGTCCAATGTCAACACCATGGCCAGTAACTTGACGGCCCAGGTGCGCGCCTTCGCCTCCATTTCGACTGCTGCCACAGACGGAGATTTTACTCAGTTTATCACTGTCGAGGCCAATGGAGAGATGGACTCGCTCAAGACTAAGATTAACCAGATGGTGTATAATCTCCGCGAAAGTATCCAAAAGAACACTGCCGCGCGTGAGGCAGCCGAGCTTGCAAATCGATCTAAATCCGAGTTCTTGGCCAACATGTCTCATGAGATCAGGTAGACGCTTTTGGAGTTTTATGTGCGGTATATACTCATGGATTGTTCGTGGTAATGATCTGTGCTAATGCGCTTCTTTTTAATCCCGTATAGAACTCCTATGAACGGTATCATCGGAATGACCAGTTTGACATTGGAAACAGAGCTCACCCGACAGCAGCGCGAGAACCTGGTGATTGTCAGCCATCTGGCCCACTCTCTGCTCACTATCATTGATGATATCCTTGATATCTCCAAGAGTAAGTCTGTTCCCGCCTCAACTACAATTTGGTTCGCATTTGAATTTGTTCTGCTTGCTAATATATACATTTTACGCAATATTTAGTCGAGGCTGGTAAAATGACGATTGAGCAAGCACCCTTCTCTCTTCGTACTCAAGCATTCGGGGTCCTGAAGACACTCGCTGTCAAGGCCCATCAGAAGAAACTGGACCTCATCTACAATGTCCACAATGACTTCCCAGACCAGCTTATCGGTGATCCCTTGCGATTGCGTCAAGTCATTACAAACCTGATCGGAAACGCCATCAAGTTCACGACAGAGGGCAGTGTTGTCCTGGACTGTGTTTGCAAGAACAAGACGGACGTTGGCGTGGAGCTCCAATTCTGCGTTTCGGACACGGGTATCGGAATCCAAAGCGACAAGATCGAGGTTGTCTTTGACACGTTCTGTCAGGCCGACGGCTCTACGACGCGCAAATACGGAGGCACAGGTCTTGGTCTTTCCATCTCGAAGCGTCTGGTCGCACTGATGGGAGGAGATCTCTGGGTCAACAGTACGTTCGGAAAGGGGTCCCAGTTCTTCTTTACCGTGCGATTCAACACGGGCACTATGTCAGTCGATCAGATCAATCTCAAGACGAAACCATATGTCGGACGACATATCCTCTACATGGGTACGATGCGCGACGAAGCCATATCCAATTCTGTTATGAAGACATTGGAGGAGCTCAAGTTCAAGGCGACGCATGTGACATCTCTCGAGCAGGCGGCGTCCTTGGTTCCGATGTCAAGTCCAAACTCTGCGGCGGAGAAGTCGATTTTTGATGTTGTGATTGTCGACAATGTCAAGGATATCCGCAAGATCAAGGAGATCGGGATGCTAAGGTTCCTGCCGATTGTGCTCCTTTCCATGACTACTCCATACATCAGTATGAAGGTCTGCCAGGATTTGGGTATTGCCAGCTATTTCAACCCTCCCGTACAGCTGACCGATCTGATGAATGCACTCTTGCCTGCCTTTGAGTCAGCTTCGGCCCTACCCTCGGATGCAGAACATGCGATCCCATTGCATATTCTGTTGGCTGAAGACAACGTCGTGAATCAGAAGCTGGCGGTCCGTATCCTGGAGAAGTTTGGTCATAAGGTGACGATTGTCGCGAACGGCAAGACAGCGGTTGAGTTCTTTAGCAGTATGCACTTTGACCTGATTCTCATGGACGTGCAGATGCCCATCATGGGTGGATTCGAGGCAACACAAGAGATCCGCAAGCTGGAGATGCTGAGGGGTGGCCATGACCATCTGCCTATCATTGCATTGACGGCCCACGCCATGATTGGCGACCGCGAGAAATGTCTTGCTGCTGGGATGGTAAGTTTACAGACAATGTTGTCGGATTACCCTTTGTTTTTTTTTTGCCGTTCAGAATATGTGGACTTGGAACTGATATTTTTTTATTCCTTTTTTTGCATGAATGTATAGGATGAATATATCACAAAGCCGCTGCGTGTCAACGAGCTGATTGCAACGATCAACAAGTTCCCGCCAAAGAACTGCCCAGACCTGGTGCAGAATGATGCCTACTACGACTACACCCATCTGCGCGCGAACTACAGCCCTGTGCAAGATGAGAAGAACAAATTCAATTTCAACTCCTCCTCATCTTAGAGAGGACCCGTATTTGGATATGTTCTCGTTCGCACAGCCACACACATACATTCCACGTAAACATTCTTGTTTTTAAATTTTTCAGCATTCTGCAATGTGGTATATATAGTCTACTACTTTGCCATGTACTTTCGTTTCTGTCTTTGTTACTATAGCTCTCTTGTAATTTTTGTGAAATGCCACGTAATACCCTCATAAAGCACGTTTTTTTTGACGCAATCTTTTTGTCTGCCGCGATGTTCAGAGGATTTGGCTAGCCGATCCCTATGTCATGGGCGAAGCATGTTGGACAACCACACACTCATCACTAGAGGAATCGATGACCCCATCCTCGATTAGCGGGTAAGGTTGAGCACAATCGACCTGAGGGTATTCTTTACACTTTTTTTACGTTAGTTCTGCTTTTCGAGGTTGCAAATATTTCGTGGAGCCAGTTGTTGTGCATCGTCAGGTGCTTTGCTTAGCTTGCCACGATTCTTTTTTTTTTTTTCGCATTTTTGTGCCTGGTTCCAAAAAAAAAAAAACGTGAATGTACTGTGTAGTCGGAAACTTCATGATGCTATACTGGGATACTGGGTATGAAGAGCAACATTACAACCGTCAGAATATGTTCCAGGCGGATAGGTAGATGTAAGGATTTTAAGACGGAGGTCTCACTAAGCATCCGATGTTATGAATGCTTACATTCTTCATCCAAGGCCGTTAGCGTGACATACCTACACGGTAGAGCGCCGTTCTCCTCTGTCATCTTCCGTGACAATAGGAGGAGGGGGGGGGGGGGGGCTTATGGCTGTCGTCGACGCTATTCTCGAATCTCGGGAGGGGCTTTTGGTAAACACCATATGAGAATGTTGTCTGTAGATGAAGTCCTGTGCTTTTAATATCTGGCGCTCCTTATTCACTCAGCTCTTTCTCTGGTTATTGGCGTTTTAAGCCTTTTTTTTTTTTTTTTTTTTTTTTTTGGTTTGATGCTGATTGTTTATCATGGTTATGGTGGTCCTTTCATGCATCGTCAATAATACCGATTAAGACAACAGATCGCTCAACTGCATGCTTGAAAGCATCCAACAGATGTGTTACATACTATACCTGACCTTTCATGCAGGAGTATGAAAGGCACTGGAAAGAAAGAAAAAAAGCCAAAAAACTGTCGCGTCTTTGGAAGTTTTTTTGCTGCAGAGAATATAATGAGAGTTGGAAGATTATTATTGTATTCGAGGAGGGAAGTGACCCTTATGAGTACCCTCCAGCTCAATTGTCTGCTGCAGAGTTATGTGCCTTTGTGACTCAAATCCTTGAGTTCTTCGCAGCTGTACCAAACTCGAGGTAGGTTCTCACAACTCGAAACCATCCGAGGTTTGAAGGTACTGTGTTATGTCCCTTTCGATGGACTCCTAGGGTTGAAAATAGTGTAGCTGGGCGTGCACACTTCACCAGGGACGGTCAAGTTAAAGGGCAGGGATACATTCGATGGTCAGCATTCCAGCGTAAAGGGCGGGAAAGCCCACAAAATTTATTAGAGATCTTGTCAAGCTTTGAGAAATCAATGAAGCCGGTTTCTAGGGAAGTGAAGGCCTTAAAACGGGGGCGAGCATTCAGTATTAGGGGGAATAAAAAGTGGTTGCACACAAGCATGGCGAGTAGGACTTCAGGCACCGTCAGCTTCGAGACTATGCCGCCCTTCTCATGTCCTATGTCCCATCTTCCATACTGTAGTGCTTACTGTATCTATTCTCTCATTAGTGAAGATCACATTGGACGCTACAACTACTTGAACTATTACTAGAAGCGAATAGGGCGTAGCAAGAAACGGTGTGGGGGGGAAAACAGAAAAAGAGTTCAGAATACGCTCTAGGCTAGGTCGATGGCGGATGCATGTTCATGCAACTGTATTTTATTGGCGTCGTGCACGAACCACTGCTGTAGGGTATCATGCATGCGAATACACCGCCCTGTAGGGCCAAAGAACACTTTTTTTTCTTCTAACCGTCAAGAAAGTTTCTTGAAAACGCATGTTTGACCGTGAAATATTGACTGGGAGGCATAAAGGCTGAGTGGGAGATGCACATAAGGATACGTATTCTTTTGACGACTGGTGCGACGGAGATTTTTTCCGCTGCCTGTAATTGCGGAGCAAACAATAATATAAGTGCACTTGAGCAGAGAGTACGGTCAAATGGGTCTTTTCTTTCATGCAGCAAAGGATATTGCTATTTTTCCTTGGTGTTGTTTTGCCCTCGGAAATGCCGCGGTCAACGCGTACATGTTGGAGCGTGCTCTTGTGCTCTCGTAATTTTTCTTTCTTTTTTTTTAGTGCTTGCCTGCGGCAGTGTTTGTGGGGGGTCATCTGGAGCGCACCAACCCTTACCCCTTCGCCCGCCACGGTCCCCTTGGATCACACGTTCTCCATGGGGCAGGGGCATCAATAACAACAACGGTAACAACAACAACAAGGAGGTGAGTGCCATGAAGTGGTCTACACACCTGCGTATATATTCGGGCCGTCCATGGACTGCAGAAAGCAGACAATTGGGACTAATGGTGGACATGTTAAAAAGGAATAAGAATGGGCTGTACTGACAGGGACCAAAAAGCACACAGGGTAGGGCAACTCTATTTCCCCATCCACTTGGTGCTTTTTCGCTTACTGCTTAGCCAAACTCTGTTTCAGGGCCTTGTGCGACCGCCGGACGATGGCCAAGAGACCACCCGACATGTAAAAAAAAAAAAAAAGAAAGGATGCATGCGAGAGCACCGTCATATTTTTGATATCTGTCATATGACGGGGGACGCTACGCATATCTTTTATAAGGCGTCCGTGGGTTTCCCTCCTCTTTTCTTCTTCTTCTCCACATTCACATCTACAAAAACCACTTCAGTGCCCTGCCTTGATAACCCATCCGATACCTACACAATCCACATCATCCCCCTTTCTCGGAGACTTGCTTAACCCATTCCCTCGCCACCAAGAGAAGCCAGCGCCAGACGAAGCCCATCCTCCAAGACCGCTACGCCCTCTCTTTCTTTCTTTCGCTCTATTCTAGTTTCATTTCTATCAAGAATAAGCATTTTCCGCATCGTATGTTCACTGTGCTCCAACCTTCATCGTCCCGTTCACACTCATCCTCAACCTACAGCGATATGGAGCACGACCTCGATCTCGACGTCGGATTCGACGTTGGGTTCGACCTCAGCATGACCAAGGACGATCTCCTGCTGTCCACCCTCACCCCATCTTCGTCCTGTTCCTCGCTCTACCAATTGCAGGACCAGCCACATCTCTATCGCCGAGGACGAGGGCTTGCTTATGGCACCATCACAACCACAACCACTGTCACCACTACTACGACAACAACCCCGTCAACACCAGCACAACCATCATCTTCAGCATCCTCCTCGTTGTCAAGGATATCAGGAGCCTCAATATCAACGGGTTTTCAAGAAGACCGGAGTGAGGCGAACCTTCCTCTCTTCCCTGGTGCCCTCCAATTGGTCTCCGAGGGCCCCTACCTGTTTATTTTCGACATTCCAATCTCGCTTTACTATCCTATCCGCGCCCTGATCCTGTTTATGTTGGGTTTCATGTTCTCGCTCGTGATTGACCATTTGCAGACCCAACACAACCTGATTCAATACCCCAGAAACGCTCACCACTACCTCTGGGATACGGCTTCATGGCTGCCGCCGACATGTGGCCTCTCGGCAGTGTTGATTGGGACATTCTATCCGCTCGGAGATTACCTCTGGTGGGGACAGCGGGTCAAGCAAGGGAATCAGGATTGGTCCAGCGTCATGAGGTAATTATCTAATTGTCTATGCACTCTGTGTGCTCGTGCTCTTGCTTTCACATTTCCCATTATTGGTGGCAAGCACAATGGTGCTCGCCCAAAATCCTGGTTTAGAAGTGACCCCGTGGTTCTCTCCCCGAGATTTCCTTGTATTACTATCATATGTCAGAAGCCCATTGTAAAACATCCATCGGACTGACCAACCTGGAACACACTCCGAAATTATCATAGGTGTTTTGGCGGATTCATCGGTGTCAACTATGCAGCATCGAGACTGCCGTGGACCAGCAGCCTTCAGGTGTCTTGCACCCTGGCCTTGATCTCGGTCGGCCTCTGGTTCTGGTTCGACCGCACATTTCATGGATTTATGATCTCGCTCACGGTCGCGTCCATAGGCACCCTTGTTGCCTATTTCCTCGTCCTGAATGGATGGTATAGGTACGAAGATATGGATTTTGTTTATGCAAAAGATATACGCGGACAAGGGGAAAGGGAGAAAAATGATATCATGAGCATGGGGCGGGGGGATCACGGCTCATTATAGATCCGCAGACGGTTGTTAATCTGTCATTCTGTTTTCTTATTTTTCACTACCAAAAGTTTCACACGGGCAGACTTTTATGGCGTTGGATCATGGATGCCTTGCATACTTTATTCGTCCTCGGTTTGCTTTGGAAGCATTGGGCGGCAATTGGATGTAGTCCCTGCAACATGGTATGACTCTAGTTCAACTCAGACTCATGTCAAAACGAATTGAAAGAAAGCAATCTGTAAATAAAGCTCGTATATATCCATTCAGAACACGTCCTGGACACTCGAACGAGGAGAGGAAGTTATCAAGTTGATGCAAAATGGTGCCTGAAAAAATCCAAACTGGAAGCGCCACCAATTTTAGAGAAAATGCTGTCACCGGGTAAAGCAGCCAAATAGTCTCACCCATCAGTCCGATTCAAGACTTGGTTCATCGCGCCAATTTTCGCTCTTCATGTTTCTCGGTATCCGTATGCGTTATCGATGGTCACTTCCTGTTCTTAGTCCATATCAATACAATGCTTCTTCACCACTTGCCAAGACAATACTCATTTTCTTCATATATAACTTAGATTCCGGTCCTAGCCTCCATTCGCACACCTTTTTTTTAAATGGAGCTAAACAGTGTTCTGGGCTGGATTAAGCTATTCGTCATTTTCGATAGGGGCTGTTGTTGCAGGGCAGGTCAGGCTAGTCCATGAGCCAGGAGTACACTCCCTATGATGGCGGCGGCCGGTCTCGCAAAGGCAGCTGAACATGGCCTATGGGCCGCCGTCCCCCTTGGTAGGAGCTGGATGAAAGACGCTGTTTTCTTTTTATTATATTGCCTTCATGTCTATGTCTTTAGGTTTGCTTGCCTATCCACCCGGTCTCATTGCTACCTGTTCGCCACCTACTTGAGCGTATGTCGGGCGTCGCGTCCGCGTACTTTTTGCTGAGAAGCAACTAGGGCAAGATGGAACCCATATATCTAGACACTCGAGGATGACTTCGCGCTTGCCATGAAACCAAAATAAAGTTTAAGATTGGCTATAATCCAGTTTGCGGCCTAAAAAAGCATCTTGACACATTACCTTGTGGCACGACCATCTCGACGACAGGAGTTCATCAGCTAGAAAGAACGCAGAGGAATCCACTTTTTGCAACGATGACGGCAATGAGAGCCAGTTCCGTTGCGCGCAGCACAAGACTAGTAGATGCAGACGAGCTTTTCATGAATCTGAGCGTGCCTGAGCTCAATGTCTATGAACGCAGGACAAGGTACGTAGATGCGACTCTGTCTGGTGTTGGGAATGCCGTTCAAGCCCTTCATCATTCATAAGGGAGGCGGCATGAACTCATGAGGACGCGTATTCTAACGCGATGAATGCACTTGATGAGTATAGGCAGGACATCGAGAGTAAGAAGCAGGAGCTCCGGACGATGGTTGGGTAAGTAATCTTCTCTCCTTCACCCCTAGACATGCCAACAGAGATTTGAAGTTTTGGAGAGGATCTTAATGCTGGATTATCCTTTGCCGCAATAGTGAGCGATATCGGGACCTGATTGGAGCTGCCGACTGCATCGTGCGTATGAAGGAAACCGCGTTCGCAGTCCAGGACAACATTGCTCGGATGAGGAACTCCTGCGATATTCATGCGCTCAAGAGGAATGTTGCTGCGAAGACGAAAAAAGCGCAAAGCGGTGCAATGGGTAGGGACCATTTCAGTTTCTTTTCGAGTGCAGGCTGCTCGTGTCAAGGATGACAAACTGACTGACACGGCCTCTTTTTCTTTTTTTTCTTTTTTTTTTTTTCCTAGATGAAATGAAAAAGTCGTTGTATACGTCTGCCGCGCAGATCAAACTTCTGGCGGATGTGCCAGAGCAGGTAATGCTGGCAGAGAATTACGTGTAGATCTTTTGAAAGGAGTAAAAAACAAGGATACGATGGGCGCTTGCTAACGTTTCCTTGTAACATCGATGTTTTACTTCCCTTAGATCTGGAAGAATATGGAGAACAACAGCTATTTGACCGCTAGTCGGCTTTATCTTATCAGCAAAGCCATCTACAAGAACTTGAATGCAGGAATGGAGGGCAACGACGACGAAGGCAAAATGGTCAAAGTTATGGTACGATTGAGCATTCATCCAGTATGAAATACTAATGATACTTTGGTGTTACAGCTAACACTGGTATCAATGGATTACATTGTTGTAGGAAACATTCCCTGTTGTGGGACGGCAATGGGATGCCGTCAGTCATTTCAAGGCCCAGATCCTCCAAAAGAGCCACCATCATCTCAAAGCGTACAACGAAGGAGATCTGGTGCGTATACTATGACATGCGCGCCAGAAAACACGGATACGGAATTGTTAATACATAGCTGGCCTCTAATCCTCTGTTCTTCTCATCCGTAGGACGTTGTCGAGACGATATGCGCGATCATGCTGCTGGATGATGTGACCATGAAGGATATGTTCCGACTCTTTTTGGCGCAACGACAGACAGCCATACGCGAAGTACTGGATACCAAGGGGGAGGACCTTGGCGCGCAGATCGTGCAGGCTATCAAAATCCTCCAAGCGACACTGTTTCACATTGCCCATGTTTTCCTCGAAACTGACAAGGACAAGTTTTCCCCACTGGAGAGACATCTCAGGAGTCTTCAGCAAACTTTCACCACTCCAATCAATAATACTCCTTCCACACAACTGTTCTCTACCCTCACCTCCGTCTCTTCTTCAGCAAGGGACGAGATCCTGGCTCCATCTGCATTGCCGGCCTCAACAGCACACAGCTTGACAGCATCTGTCATTCCAAAACTATACCCGACAACGCCAAACATCCATCTTCTAGTGCGCTACCTGCCTGAGAGCATTCAAAACTTCACGCCCTTCATCCACCTCACGGGCGCAAGAGCCACGTTTACACAGCAGGACGTCTTTCAGGGTGTGCAGCGTTGGATGGAGGATGTCAAGACTATGATCAGCAACGGCTTCGAGCAACTCCTGCAGCAGGTTCAGACGAGTATGGACCTTGTTGCGATCCGATCCAAGGTGTGGTCGGTATTACGCACGGATGAGTTTGCTCTGTCGACCCAGGCGACGCAGGATCAGCAGCAGCAGATGAAGAGTGCGTTCAATGATGTCTGCCGTGTCCTACTGGGCGAATCGTTCAGCATCTGGGATTCGATTTTACGATCCGGCTTCACAAGGGCTTTCCAGGACATCATCGTATTTTCACTGGATGAGCTCTCAAACCAGCCCGAAAAGTTACTCCGTCCCAGACTCGGAGAACTGGACCTGGAGGACGACGACAACCACGACATTGGTAAGTTTGTCTGGAATGATGTCGCTACGGCAAAGGGCGCTACACTCCCGAGCTCAACTGAGGCATTGAACCAGAAGATCCGAGAGTACGTGGCTGGAAAGACAGATTTGGTGGCCCAGGCGACCACTGCATTTGAGAGCACATTGGATGCGATCCGTCTAGATCAAGAGCGGGCATTAGCGGGCGACCGAATTGCCTTGGAATACAAAGAAGAGGAGGATATGGACCGGTATGAGAGCGTAGATCTTTTTGGAGTCAAGGTTGACACGCAGGCGCTGGTAGAGTTCTATCAGCGACATTGCGTCGAGTGCATTAAGGCATACACCTCAGGCTTGGAGCAGCTTGTTCAAGAGGCGATCCGAAAACCAGAAAAGGCGCGCAATACGATTCCAGCGCTCGATCGATCCATGACTATTGGTCGCGTTGCCCTGGGCATCGCGTCGAAGGGCATGGCTTTACAACGGGCGCTGACTCCCCCCGGACATCACTCATCGATCTCGAACTTTGTACAGGCCCGTGCCGCCAAGGCGAATGTGGACGCCCAGGTCCAGGGATTGATCGCTGGAATGAATAAGGTGTACTTATTCTCACATGAGGCTTGGATTGAGAATGCAGAATGGACACTGAACAGAGGCATCAAGAGCTATCTGAAAGGCTCGTCATGGACGGATCTGGCGACGCTGGCATGGGAGCCTATTCCGAGTGCCAATTCTGCTCCCTCAAGCACCAAAGGCTTTTCCTTGGCCTCTTCAGCTGCGCTAACTCTGAATGCTGCCGCCGGCGACGAAGCTAAGACTCTGCTTCCCTTCCACTGTTCAACACGTCTCATCAGCGCTCTCCATCAGATTGTTCAAGAAATGCATCGTGTTGGAACTGGTTTCATGAAGCCGGAGCTGGTCCAAATCCTGACTATCAAGTTGGCAACTGTCGTTCTGCACGATATCGACCAGTTTTTGAACGATGTCGTGGACCCCTCGGCTTTATCAGGATCATCAACAGTAACGGATCCCGAGAAGGCACCTGTAGTACTTTCGGAAAAGGGAGCTCTGCAGCTGTTGTTTGACGTCAAGTTCCTAAACCTGGTCTTCCAATCGAGCATCGACAAGGACAAGGAGCTTTCACGGCTATCCAGAGCTGTCTTGGATCGTATCAGAGGACATGTACGTCGTTCGTCTGCACCATCCACCACGCGCCTTGGTCATCTGGTATGGTTACTAATCGTTAGCAATTTCTGACCACCCGTTTATAGATTGATCCTATTAACCTTGCCGTCTTTGAGAAACCGCTCGACACAAACGCTGATCGCCAGTACAGCCGCGTCGCCGTGCTACTCGGACTGCTGGTTCAATTGAACCCTACCGAAAGGTACGCTTCAGTCCTGTCTCCGAAACGAACGCTGTCCCTGGCATAGTCCGTATAAACGATAACTAAGCTTAATTTTCTACGTCTTTTTCTTTTATAGTAGCAAACGCAAGGTTAACGTTACAGAAAAATCGCCTCATGTATTCGCCATGGCACCTTTGACCGCTCGCTTCACGTTGCTGCCTATCGGCCAGAAAATAGCTGGAAGAGTACTTTAGGTTTCATTTAATAAACTGCTAACTATCCGATTCGGACCAACCAACAAAATTTGGATCGAGGTGATGTCCACACATCCATGATATACAAAACGGAAGGTCACTCAAAACGAGCGGCAAAGCAACGGGTCCGAAACTGTACAATAATGAGGCGAGTTGAACTTTAAAGTCGACCGAAAAGAAAGGCAATCTTATTTTTTTCACTTCGCACCCCTCCCAGCCAAATTATCCTCTCAAAAAATGATTTCCATCTTTAGAGGAGAATACAATGCAGCAATCGTCGATGCTTTGGAGGGTGTTCAAATGCAAGGGAGTTTGAAATCGATTGCGGCGCTAAAAAAGACACTTGGTGCTTTCGCTGGTTCTCTGAGACGTTACCACGAGAATGAGGAGGATGGAAGAGCAGATATTGAGGAATTGAGATCCAAGCTCAAACTGAGAGTGTCTCTCTCAATCAACCAGGCTACATTCGGCTATATGCAGACGTAGTATTCCTCCACGACCTTTGAACAGGCAGTCCATGAGAATAACAAGAGAAAAAATGGTCAGTAGCTTTATGCTAAAGTGAGCGATCCTACAACTGCCTATTGCTTAATCGGAATAGTTGGAATGAGAGTCGACATTGATTTATTTTCGATGCTCATTGTTCTTAATAGATGAGTTGGCGATTGATTATTCCGTGACCCCTGAGACGCGGCCAAGTTTTTTTTGGGACAGATGGCTCGTAAGAACAATTCCAGGAACGTTACGCGACGTAGGTTTCCGATCACGAACACAAGGGTTCTTTTATCCATTCTATGTTTAATACTGATTCTCATCTCCAATATACGACAGTTCGAACCAAACGCGTCCAGACAGAGGATATCGGAAGCTCTGTGATGGTCACACGACCACCTGAATCAGAAACCCCTTTCCTTGTAAACGACGAAAAGTTCGTCCTGCCAGCTCTTCTTACCCATTCTTCTGTATTTACAGCTGTTATTGGAGACATAGATGTGGGCACCTTGTTTACGGAGCGCCACAGAACCACAATCCAGTTTCAGGAACTGTCGAATACGCAAGTCCAGGATGTGCTGTAAGGATATGTATACTTGTAAAAGAATTGGACTACAGGGGTTGTTGCATCTACTGAGCATTTTTCTCTATTACTCTTATAGAAGTCGCTCTGGGATACTCTTGCTAGATGGGACGGCTTCCGAGACTCTGAGTATGAGCATTCCTGAGCGTTTTTTGGACGCCGTTGAAGCTGATTTCCTGTCCAAGCATTGGCCAGTGCAATGTTTTACCCTTATATCTACTACCAGACAGGAAGTCAACAAGACAAGAGAGGGATCTTTATTTCCTGGGCAGACGGGCCCCTTATAAGGTACTACCCGCCTGCACCACGTTAAGGGTGCTTGCCTCTGCTCGTACGTACTACATAGGTCAATATAGTGCAGCCAGAGATCAGTATTGAAGGCGACAGAAAAGAGAAAAGAGGCCCAAGGTTGGATCAATGTAAGGTTCAGTAATTGCGTTTATGCATCTGCTTGATGCAATGGGGTCTTCAAGCGGAGTTTGGACGCTACGTATTGTTGTGACGGACAAATAGATGATTTGCGATGCGCGTCGCCCGCAGCAGCTACACGAGGTTTCGGACAACAAAATTAACGGTTCGCCCTGTCGAGAGGCAAACCGTAAGTTACGCGCCTATATCTCGAATGCCATCGTGAACCCCACTCCGTCCATGGGGAGTAAAAAAACCTACTCGGAAATCACGGGCATGTCCTGCTACGCTCTCCCATTGTTGAACGTCTTCCTGAACTACCCGCGTGTAATAGCTTTAGGCAGTCGAGGGCAGGGGGCAGGGGTGGACAGGGTAGAATGCGTGCTGTATTTCGGTGGCAACTAGCTGGTCTATATATCTATGTCTACGGTTCGGTTCTGGCCCGGTCGGTGGTCTATAGCCGGGCCCCCAGTTCTTTCGGAGTCGGGGCTATATTCGGGGTTATACTGTTACATCGCGGGATCGCGTTATCCTCACTACGTACGTATAACTGCTTATTTTATTGTTCTTGTTGTTGTATTGTTACTCATTCAGATCTATTGCTTTTGGTTAGGCCAAACACAATGACCCAGGCGGGGGCGCATAGGAGGGAGCTATCTGGGGACAAGTATGGGAAAAATCCTGATATGCTGCTTTCATTGGTGAATGCTTCAACTCAATTGGTATGTGAGCTCGGCTATGGGGAACTCAAAGTCTGTGGCTATGAAAACAGCTGGGACTGATGCTGAAAGACGTGATTGACATGGTGCATGACAAGTACGATGTCACAACATCAGCCCATCTTGGTTTTCAGTTTGTTGGAGAAAAGGTGTTATTTTATTTAATGGCAAAGACTGGCTCAATCTACGCCATGAAGTAAGTTTGTTCCATGGAGCTAGTGGATTCCATCACGAGCATCCGAAAAGTCGCTCAGGAATACGATAATTGGCGGTATCTAGAGCAGGCAGTCAAGAAGAGATACGAGCCAGTGCTGCATGCAGTCAAGGCAGGCATAAAAGGCACCAGAAAAAACCATGTCCCGACCATGAGCACGCCAGAACTTCGTCATATCAAAGACAAGTATTAGGTTCACGTAGATCTGTAACTATCCCTTGTCCAATGTATGGGATGAATTTTAATAGGAAAATACTCATATTAACATATTAACACCTGGGTCCCCGGTGCACCTAAAAATATAACTTGGTTGGGATTTGCTTGGAATTCGTATTAAGGAATGAGCTGAAATGGACAAGTTCTATTTTGCAACTTGCGTTGAAGAAGCAGCAAAGTATTTATTTGAGCAGTTTATAGCTTATACACACTTACTTCCCCAAAACAACGCGCTCTGGCCACACAGTCCCAGCCCCAAGTCCACTAAACATCAAATGTTCTGGCTCTGGCACCTCCGCTTTCAAATTACACAAATCTCGAAAGAAGTACACTCTTTACGACAAGTGCCAATTTCTTTCAAAGTATCGTGCAGAGGAACAACATAATCCATCTGTATCCCATGTCGCCATATCAAGAATGTTGGATATGCGCCCATACACAGCACAGCCGCCTGCGTACTCAAGGAGGAAGACAAAGAAACAGGATGGATTCAAGAGATACATCGGCCATGGTGAAAGCGGATCAGCCGACTTGAGTCTCTACCAGCCCCAAATCGGGAACATCCAAATGGCGCTCGAGGATTTGACCCAGACAACATCTACAATTGCGATGAGACAGATACCACCAAATATACAACATCCATGACCCAGCCACTCGACGCTGGCATTATCCGGACCTTCAAGGTATTCTATAATCAAGAGATGCTTGAGGTTGTCTGCAGTAGTCGTGTTTAAAAAAATATCATCTACGGCAACAGTTCAGAATGGGAGGCTCTGGGCATATCTGTTTTGTCCAGGATCCAACCCTGTTTGAGCACCAAAAGATTCATTTGCAGACTCTAAGAGTCAATACAAAGACGGATCAAATCAATCGTCTTCAGGAAGAGCTCATAGAACAGTATACAGGAAACGAAGAAGACATTGCCAGTCAGAAGGGCTTCTCTGTCCTGAAGTATCTCAGTATGATCCATAGTGAAGGGCCCTCACAGGCGATCCTCTAACTTGTCCTTCAGATAATGGGTCACGAGGGATACAAGGGAACGCTCCTATCACTCAAGGAGAATGATTTCGCGGATGAGGACAGTTTCGATGATGATATGTTGGACGCCTATGACGACTCTGATGCTGATTACGAGGACACGAAACCAGTTGCCGATGGTCAAGAGATGCAGGTAGTCAAAATTGTTCTCTAAGGTGGCACTGTGGATATGATGGTTCCCATCGAGGGTTTCTCTTCACCGCCTTCAAGTCCCTATCCAGATAAGGACTATTCTCGAGAATCTTTTCAGGAAACTGCAGACGGGATCATGGATGCCGAAGCTGATTTACAGGATCCCAATTGCAATGTTATATTGAGGGCTAGCCTTCGGGAAGCTCTTGATACGGTGAAAGTGCTTGTTGAGTTGCATGGGCGAGGGAACATATAAACATGCACATGCCTAAATAAATGATTATATGTTTTTCAATTGGACTGAATACTTGGCTGCTTCTCCAATGAAAGTTGCAAAATAGAACTTCGTTAGAGTGCGACTGTACGAGAGTTTATTATTATGGGGGTTTGTAAGGAGGTTGTCTTTACACTGGAAAGACGAGCAGTCTTTCATGGATGATCGATGAGGCGTGGTTTGAGGGGAGTGAAAAGAGTGGTTGATTGATGTTCAAATGATAGGAACGCAATGGCACTACTCAAACAATAATATTACACTCTTTATCATCTGCGACCTCATTTCCAATGGAGGATAAACACGCGCCGTTGACCAGCCAATAAATAACCATAAACGCGTCCAGGTTACGTATTTTGATAGTTTAGCGTTCTCATATAATTTGGATTATGGTTAGATGCCAGTGACAGAACTAGCTGCTGTGTAATTCCTCAGTTAAAAGGATAAGAAGAGATAACAAGGGGTTTTGTCTACTCACCTACGCGCACGAGGAAAATGTGCCAGGGTTGCTGCCCCTCGTTTGCCACTAGATTTTGCTACAGTGGAAAGTAGTGCACCATAAGGAGTCAACCGTAAAGGGCCTCCATGGATTATCTCGCATACTAAAGCAAGCAGGCTCAAGAGGTTCTCCAATATCGCGTCCTACAGAGTCTACGTGCTGGAGTGCAGCTAACATGACATCAAAATGAGAGCCAACAGTAACACGAATGAACGCGTCTTTTTGCGCCACCATCAGACAAATAAGGTTAACAGTATGACTTTTCGTGTTAGAGTCTCCTTCTCCTCGCTACCGAGACAGCTACTATCCGCCAGTTTTTTTTTGCAAATGGATCCAAAGGGAAGCCAGCAATAGATAAACACAACAGACAATTGTTCTTGCAACAGCGCACATTGGGCGAGCCTTTTTCTTTCAGCAGACCCCTTATGTCATTAGATGCCGATGGTGACTATGAAAGTCTTCACCGATGGATAATGATGTTATGCGAAGCAGTAAGCGCAGTGGATAGTACCTCTAATGGACGATGCATCTTTGGTAACAAAATACGAAGACTGCACAGGCGCTGAGATGAGAGCACATGCAGGCACCCTCTGCTGGATATAAAACCCCCATACATCCCGCGCACTCACTTTTAGCTGCTTTTTTTTTTTTTTTTTTTTTTTTTTTAAATGAGACCAACTATAGTCTTCCTTCACACCAAAGCAGAACCGATCTACAGTCGCCAAAAGCCAGGTCATAATCCTCGGGCCTGCCACTAGAGTTTGCGCAACAATTACCACGCCTCATTAGCGTATTAAAAGCTGAAGATACTTGTTACAAAAAGAGTGTCTTTCTCATCTCCTCCATAGTTATCAACCGCATCTTCCCTTGCAGGCAGCCCAACAGCGTCCGATTCGTAGCACCATAATATAACGAAGCCGAGATGCTGTAGTAAGTTGCTAGTCAGTTCTAGGTGTAAATAAGGCCTATATGCTGAAGGGGGCTATTGTCACATCTGAGACCTGATTCATGGGTAACGCGTGGCAGATACTTTTCGATCTATTGGTTAGCAATAGGAAATTGCTACAACGCTTCCCAGGAGAAGCCTCGTCAATCACATCCTCGCATTGCCGGAACAAAGACTGCAACCTCGAAAGGTGTCAGGTATCAGGCTACAAAGTCGATGGTCTTTTCAGATATTGCGGGAAAAACACAAACATCGGCGCAGCGGAGGCAGGCAAGAAGAGAATCAAGGCGATAGCAGTATCAAGGCTCTTAGAGATGGACTTAAGCCGATAGAGTTACTCAAGGACATGCCGGACGCTATCAATACTAATTGCTCAAACCAAACGGAGACCAGGGGCCAGCACCGCGCATATGTATTTATTATATCAAGTTTATGCGTAGAATTCGTTTCGCTGCGATGCATCGAAGGCCGTTTTTTATTATGTGAAACGAGAGAAGACTACCAACATCTCAGCGAAACTGACTGAGGATACGTACCTGAACCAATATCTGTAAGGATATGCTCTCGTCAAAGTTTCGCGACAAGGTGCCTCTTCCTGTGCGTCTATCACCCCGGGTTGTGCACCCTTACCGCACCTTAAAGCTCATCAAAGCGCCAGCGCGAAAGCGATTGCTAGATAGAATAACATTATAAACGTATACGCATGCTATACTGCTTGGTGCCTCGATTTGGGATAATTATTTGTTAAATTGGCGAATGAAACGCGTGAACTTGAGGATGGCGCGTTTTCTAAAGCGACAAATAAAGTTCGCAGCAAGTTGAGTGCTATAACAGAGCGCGTCTTAAATTTTTATCTTTCCTATTGCGTCTGGATACTCCTGAGCATCGCAAGGATGGATAGACTCGGCTAATACAGCCATTTCATTCAATGCAGACACAGCCATCCCATACCACTCAAAGACTCCCTTTTACCCAACGAGTATGAGGGTGTACTGAGAGGCATTCGTATAGGCTCATGACTATCGCTTCTGTAGATGAATCCTGAAGAAGAAAACAATGCAACTAAAAAATGAAAGTAGTGATTAATTGGAGGTGCTGGGCCCTATTTCTGGATGACAACTGAGTTTCACTTGTTCCCTTTGCCACTGGAAACGCGCACTGAGCTTTTTTTTCCGGTCCTCCTTCTTCTTTGCCATCATTCCATGCGCCTTTTGCAAACGGGCGAGATCGTAGATTGTTACGCACCAAGAGACAACGCTAGAAGCAAACGCTTTTGAAGGTAGGATGGAGACAGCGTCAACATAGGATATTGAAGATCGTTTATTTCAGCGAGGATATAAAACGATAGTTGATCGGTTGGCGTCTTCGGGGCGACATGCTCGATATGGGTGTTGCAGCCGTAGCCATCCGCTTACGACTAAATGAATCAATTCAAAAGTAATTAGCAATGTTAGGAGGAGAAATGAACATGGGATGCAGCACACGTACATCCTATCGCCTTGAGAAGAACGCATCTTACGTCGTTGACTCCTGACGGCAGGTTCCCCTCGGGCCTGCTGCCGCCAGAGCCGTTCCCTGCGTAAGGCCTCCTGTCGGCATTCCTTTATGATGTCTCTAGTGAGATTTGACGCGTCCTTGGCAGCGTCTCTGAGGGTCTGGCAGCTACTTGCACGAAAGTCCCTCATCCATGACGCCCACTCTGTGATAATGCGCTCCTGTTGTTTGCGAGCACCAGGGCGAAGCCGAGCGTAGTCTCGAGGGCAGCATTGCAATGTCCCTTTCTGTTGTAAAAAGTATTGTGCGCCGGCTCGCTTCGCATTAATGGCGGCTTTCCAGTTTTCGGTCATTACATCGAGTCCAGTTTTTGTCGCGTGGGTGAGGAGGAGGAGGAGGAGGAGGTAAGGGTAAAGGCGACAGGCGAAAGGTTGTGAGCACCGTTGGCCTGAGCACCCAGGGTCGTTCTCTATTCACAGGTTCAGGAGAAGTAGGACTGCGATTCGTTATGGAAGCCACAAATCGTATGTTTGTTATTATTTGACCCTCTGCTCAAAAAAAAAAAAGAAAAAAAAAAAGCTCCCATTGAACCTCTTTGTGCGCACTCTCCTCTGCCCATCATCGCCTTCTACCCTTATCCCACTTCTTTTTCTCTCCCTCCTCCTTCTCACCACACTCATCACCAACCATGGGAAAGCTTCATAAGAAGGGAAAGGCCGGAGCGGCCGTTAACTACATTACTCGTAACCAGGCCCTGAAGAAGCTGCAGGTCACCCTTGCCGACTTTCGGTATGAACAACATTTGTCTTGACGTTGATACCGCGGAATGGCTTTCTTTTTCAACTTCCGGGCAAACGAATATATCCACCATCCAAAGCTGAATAAGGTCTCTGAAGGACTCAGGCACTGACTATCATCCCTCTTCCCGCTTCAATGTGTTGTCAGTCGCCTCTGTATTCTCAAGGGAATCTATCCCCGCGAGCCCAAGAACAAAAAGAAGGCTAACAAGGGATCGACCGCCCCAGCGACTTTTTACTATGCCAAGGATATCCAGTACCTGATGCACGAGCCCATCCTGGCCAAGTTCCGCGAGTACAAGACGTTTGCAAAGAAGATGGCAAAGGTCATGTCTAAGGGTCAATACAGCACTGCCAAGACACTGGCCGAAAACAAGCCGATCTACACACTCGACCACATTATCAAGGAGCGCTACCCAACCTTCACGGACGCCCTCCGCGATCTCGATGATGCACTGTGCATGATCTTCTTGTTTGCGACCATGCCCAAGACGGACAAGATTAAGGCCGAGGCGATCGAGAACTGCCAGCGTCTTGCGGCTGAGTTCCAGCATTATGTCCTGCACACGAGGAGCTTGAGAAAGGTGTTCTTGTCGATCAAGGGTATCTACTATCAGGCAGAGATCAAGGGCCAGACCATTACCTGGCTCGTCCCATACCAGTTCTCCCAGGATGTAAGACTCTTTGCTTGAAGGGATTGCTGTTTGTATATGGTTCCAGCGATGCTCGTGCTTTTACTAACTTTTCTTTCTTTTTGCACCACCAATTCTAGGTTCCTACTGATGTCGACTTCCGTGTCATGTTGACATTCCTCGAGTTTTACCAGACATTGTGTGGATTCGTCAACTACAAACTATACTCCGATGTCAACCTGGTGTATCCACCCAAGCTGGATCTTAAGCTGGACGAAGGCGGCGCAGGAATGAATGCTCTGATTATCGAATCGACTCAGTCGACTGCCAACATTGCCAAGAGCATCAACCAATCTGCTGGCACCCAGTCCTCTGTTGACGTCGCCTCATTATCCAAGGAGGAGAAGCAACGCCTTCAGGAGTCAGAAAAACGCCTCCAGACGCTCAGCAACAAGATCGCACATATCCAGGAGTCAAACACTGATGAGCCCATGAACGGTTCGGGATCGTCAAGAGACAACGATAACGATGATGCAATGGACGAGTTCCCTGCACCCCTGCCCAACCTCGATGGCACCTCCTCTAGCACTGTGACCTTTTCGGATATCCAAAAGGCATCCCAACATTTGAGTCAATTCCAGTCCCTGTTCAGCAACTGCTATATCTTCCTGTCGCGTGAGGTGCCCCGCTACTCGCTCGAGTTCATCCTTCGCGCCTGCGGTGGACACATCGGATGGGATGCTGTCCTGGGAGAGGGTTCGCCCTTTGATGAGAACGACGAGAGGATCACACATCAAATCAGCGATCGCCCCACACAGGGACACCGGTTCTTGAGCCGTCAATATGTTCAGCCCCAGTGGGCATATGACTCTATCAATGCAGGCAAGATCTTGACGGCCGAGCCCTATTATGTCGGCAATACCTTGCCCCCTCACCTGTCGCCATTTGTCGAGGCTAAGGAGGGCGATTATGTTCCTGATCAGAACCAGTTTGAGGGTCAGACTGAGGATCTGGAGATCGAGAGCGGAGATGACGATGAGGATGAGGACGAGGACGAGGACGAGGATGAGGAAGAGGAAGAAGAGGAGGACGAAGATGCTGAGGTATGTACTTTTAACTGTCCCTATTTGTGCCTCTAGTAAGATTAGATCAAAGTGCAGCTGGCTAACTTTTTTTTTTTTTTTTTTTTTTTTTTTTAAGCATAAGGATCTTCACCAAAGAGAATTAGAGGCCGAGGCGAAGGGTGTTGCATTCACGGAATTTGAGGCAAAGGAGAACAAGAAGAAGAAGGTCACTAGCAAGGCTGCTGCTGCTGCTGCACCCGCAGCACCAATGCCGACGACGCGTACTGCTGGCAAGAAGCGTACGGCTGCAGAGGCTGAGGAGGCCGAGGCCAAGGAGCTGGCCAAGATCATGATGACGAACAAGCAGCAGAAGCTGTACAACAAGATCCAGTACGGCAAGAACAAGAAGGCGGCCGAGGTCGAGAAGCTGACCCAGAAGAAGGAGCAGTTGGCCAAGGACGCCAAAAGTGCCAACAAGAACAAGAAGGCCAGAAAATAGGTCTCTTGTTCCATCTCTCATCGCATTCTTCCCCTTGTTTCCTTCTATCATCCTTAGCATTCATATTTCCTCATTCCCGGTAGACTTTTTCTTCTTTTATTTCACTTCATAACAATACACCAACTTATTCTTCATGAGACGAAAAGGAAAGTTTTTGGGAATGATTTGGATTTTGTGATTTATTGTAATGCACTACTATAATATATGTTATGGATGTGTGGGAGTATGGAAATGCAAATATGAGAGGGAAAGAGTGGGGTGAGTGAAACAAGGCAGCAAGGATGGGATGAGTCCACCTAAACGCAAGCAGCAGCCAAGGACTGAGAGTTGACAGGGAGCTGAAACGGATCAGTGTCATTATTGGTACTACTTGGGCTCGAAGTACCCTCCGTCGATTTTGTAGCTCCTCCTGTCGCTGTCGAGTCTGGTAAGGACGACGAATGATTCATTGGCGGTGCCGCTACCGTCTCCAAGGACTCTAAACATACGCTATTTGTCGCACTGCCGCCACCGTTAGTCTCTTGGTGAAGACTTAGGGGTGATGATGTTGGCATCCCCTTCACAGCTCGCTTGTCGTTCTGTTCAGGCACCGGCGTCACGATCTCGTCGAGACTCAAGGCCACGGCTGGGTTAGCCAGGGATTCGATCGCATTCGCTTGCATCAGCGCCTCGGCGATCATCCTAGCCTTCTCTTCCATCGGCGGCAACTCGATCGATGTTGGCGGTGCGTCCTGTTTTGTAGCTGGGGCAGACACTGGCACCGGTGCAGGCGCTGACGCTGACGCTGATGTCGATACTGGTGCCGGTGCTGGTACTACCGCTGGCGCTGACGATGATACTGGTGCAACTGTTGCTGCTGGCTGGATAGAGATAGGGACCGAGTCTGCTGTCGGATAGACCGCACATCTGAAGGTGTTGGTCGTCAAACTCGACACAATGATCTTGGGGATCTCTGGAGCAGCTGTACCCTTCAGGGTCTTTGACTTCCTTTCAGCCTCTGCAATATCTGCGGTTGTCAAGGGTGTGTTTGGCAACATGACAGGCGCGATATTTATCAGGGGAGCGTCCTGTGCAGGATGGGTGTTGACGGGCGTTTGAGATCCTCCGACCGCAGTCTTCGGCTTTGGACGATGGGTATCGACGGCGTCAATGTCAACCTTGAACCTCTTTTCCTCACAACGATAGGCGCCCGGCGTGAGCTGAATGAGCGTATGCAGCGGAATCTTGATATACGGCAGCCGTTCATGGGACATGTTCATGAAGTAGGCATAGAGACATCGGAGGATGGCCTGGTGTCCGATGATGAGGATATCGTCCTGTCGCTCGAGATCGACGAGGACGGGTTCAAGGCGGGCAACGACATCGCGGTAGGATTCGCCGTCCTGGTATCGGTAATTGAACTTGTCGTTGTCCCGGTTCGCAAAGTCTTCGGGGAATTGTTCCTCGACTTGTTCGTAGGTTAGGCCGTCAGCCTTGCCGGCCTCGAGTTCGTCCAGAGCCTTCCAGGCAAGTTTCTTGTGTGGGAGGTGTTTCGCCGTCGCGATCGTGCGCTTCTTTGTCGATGTCCAGACCTGAGAGAGAAAGAGAGAAAGAGAGAAAGAGATGGGATTCTTTGGGTTAGCTCCAATAAAAATAAAAAGACAGGAACCTTAAAAATATTAAGCGTGGGAGAAAAAAATAAATAAATAAAAATAAATAAAATAAAAATAGAGGGCACCCATTTTTTCAAGCACATGTCAGCTAGTGGGTGTTGAAAATAGGCACCAGAAAGCGATTCCGCTCTCCGGCGGGGGCAAAATGAGTGGCAAAGGATGGGGGGATAAAAAAAGAAAGGTTGATTTCAATCGCAGCCAACAGAATCGGGATTGGCCCTGTGCTCTTGGTGGCCAGGTGAACCGAGTGACTGATTATGACTTGGGCATCTTTCTTTCGCCTGCGGTCTTATTTCCAGAGATGGGGATGGGATGGGATGGGATGGGATGGAATAGATGGGGCAAAGGCAGGCAAGACAAAACAAGACAGACGCTGCATACATGCGTGTATGCGTGCATATAAACAAACGCAACCGACCAACCATCCAAGACAACAGACTAGCATCGACACCAACTCATATCTTCATGCCGTTGCAACTTACGGTCAACCGATCAGAGTTGGGGACGTATGTCGAGACCACAACCGGTAATGCCCGTGCGTACTGTTTGCCACGGGCTGAGAGTTCAGAGTCGCCTCCGAGCAGACCCATCACATTAAATAATGATTCGCCGTGCTACAAGAAGCAACAAGGAACGGTTAGTTCAAAAGAACGGGCACAAAATAAAATAAGTCTATCGCTGTGCACACACAGAGGGGAAAAGACGTACCCGAGAGAAGTAAATGTTCCTGGACCTAATGCGGAGGTTCATGAGATAGTATACAATCCTCGATTGGAGATAGCCCTGAATCTGGCTGAGAATGACCTGGCTCCCCGCATCGATCAACTTGATGTAGGTCAAATCCTTCTCCGTCATGGTCTCGTAATGTCCTCCATAGTGTCCGACCCTCATCTTAAAGTCCTGCAGTGCCATTTCAGAATCCATCTGTGCATAGTCCGGTGAGGATCTCTGGATCTCAATCGCATTCAGCAGCCGCAGCCCTTCGTCCTCGCAGACAGACTCGATAAACATGACTTGGACATCGTTCTTTCGGCATTCCTGCAAGAGTACCTCTCGTCTGGCACGGGTCGCATTGGTGGCGTCATAGATGGCGACGATCCCCTGCTCGTTTCGGAACCAGCTCATCATCTCCTGGAGCGCATGGTCTCTGGCCTGGGATCGGAGACGCTCGCCCTCGGGATTGGCGGGGTCGAAAAAGGTGTGAGGCTGATGCGCACCAAAGAGCTTGCGCCGAAAGTTGCCGACGTTGAAGACCCTGGATGCGATTCCGAGCCATTGCAGATATCGGCAGACTATTATGGAGGGACAATGACAGTGAGTTATTAAAGGCCCATTCGTGGGTCCTTGTCATACATCGGTTCACACAAAAATACATTAAGGCGCGATGTCAAAAATGTTAGCGGAGTGCATCAAGAACGGATGCCCAACCCCAGGTAGGCGGGGCAGACAGGCAGGCCAGGGTGACGGTGACCAAAAGTGATGTCCCCATTTACGGAAGAGAACAAAATAAAATAATGTGCCCAGAAAGGAGTTGTCTCGGAACAGCCGAAACCGCAAATTCACACACCCACGCCCACACATCCACATACACACACACACATACACGTATATTCACACACTCACACACTCACGCATTCGCTCGAAAGTGTTGTTGCATTTCCCCCCCTTCTCTCTTTCAATGTGTACGTCTTATTGCTCGCGACTCCGTGTCTTTTTTTTTTTTTTTTTTTTTTTAAAGTGAGTCTAGACGCCCACACAAGAGTTAAAAAGGGGACCCATTACCACATCTCTCCTTCCACTCGCAGCGGATACTTTAACCCCGCAAATAAAGAAAAAAAAAAAAAAGAAAGATTTAAAATTCGATAAACATGTGCAAAGTTGCACCCAGGTGACAGTTGCAGGTGCAGGGACTGAAAGGAAACAAAAAAAAAAGAAAAAAGAAAAAAACAACGCAGGGAGAGGAAAAGAAAAGATGTCCATTACTTTTTTCAAAGTACATGTCCCCCTCCCCCCCCCTCTCCCCGCAGCACCAAAGAAAGTTGTTTAAACATCAAATCAAACAACAAAGAAGCCCTCGAGGGTCGAGGGTGAGCAAGAGAAAAGAGACAAACAAAGTTCTCACGGGTCACTCTCTTTCTCGATTCGATGTCTGTGGGGAAGAGGAGAGGAGGGGGAGGGAGGGGAGCCCAGGGAAAGGGCCCATTCCTCACACGATCAAGCAGAAGGATGCAATTGCTGGACGGGCTATACCTTTCTGTGCAACAAGGGTCTTGGACGTCCCCGGCAACCCAACCAACTGTTCAAGAAAACGGAGAGAAAGGGAACCATTGTTAGTTTGACAACTGCAAATTGTCTAGCACCGATTTGTTTCTCAACCAGCGAGCACGGTTCAAAAACGCCAACTTACAACGCAGGCAATGCGGGAACCTATCCACATGCAATATGAAAGGAGAGTGGGAAATAATTTAGTTTAGTTTAGTTTAGTTTAGCGTTGGTTGGTTGGTTGGTTGGTTGGTGGTTGGTGCTCGGATGGGAGGGGAGAGGGAGGGTGTATGTACCTGGGTTGATGCTCATGAGTATGGACGTGTCAGATGAAGAGCAGATGAAGAAGTGGATGAGGGGATGAGGAGAGCGAAGGGAGGAGTAGCGGTGGTGGTGGTAGTGGTGTCAAGTGTGTGTGTGTGTGTGTTCTGTTGGATCGAAAGAGGAAGAAGAGAGTATGGAGAATGAAGTATGAGGCGGGGGAGTGTGTGAAGAAAGAGGGAAGGAGAAAGGAGCGAGCAGAGTGCGCGAAAGCGATGTATTTTAAAGGTGTGCAGTCGACCGTGCGAGACCTGCAATAATGGAGAGTGTGGGGTAACGGAGTGTGTTCTTCGGTCCGTGGGAGACCAAAAAAAGACCAGCGCCGAGCGGTGTGAAAAAACAGTCGTCTGCCTCGTCTACTCTTCATGTAGTCTACTCACTGGTCGAGGCAAGCAAGCGCCCTTCCCTAGTCTCTCCCATACTCCCCCTGCTTCCCCTGCCTTCTTTTCCTTCGTTCCCAAACGATAGACTCTATTTGCTGCTCTCGCCCGTTCTATATTCTTATTCTTACTTTTCTCAGATGGACAAAATCACACCCTGCAATTGGTGCACACGACCCAGGGAAAAATGAGATGCAATTTATGGATCCGTGGCCACCATCGCCACGACACGATGTGATATGATGCAATGCGATCCATACCCGTTATACGTGGACGATTCCTTCATCAAGAGACGATCATAGCTCTTCATCTTCGCCTCTCCTTGTCTTCATATTTTGACGTATGTCGCGCTCTTGGAAGCGTCAGTTGAAGGCGTTGTATATGCTTGTGTGCCCTTTTGACAGAAGAATGGCATCATTTTCTGCCCCCCTGGTGCAGGCGAAGCGAGGCCAGGAATGACACTACAACTTTATTTTCAGCCCACTGTGAGCGTGACCTCATTTGCTGTTTTTTTTGCACAACACTTTATGTACGAGGGGTTCCAGGTCTAAGGATCATCGCACAGCACTTCGCATCAAGTCCATCACCAATGACGGAGCAGGATCAGACCACAACCACGACCGCACCAGGCAGGGCCACGACCGACGACAACAACGACCTCATCCAACAGATCGCCCTCACAAACCAAATCAGGTAGCAATAACACGCTGTTGCCAAACTTTCAGCACCTTACTAAAGAACTAAGTAAGAACAGTGCTAATCGTTCCTTATTATTATTATTATTATTATTATTATTATTTTTTAAAATATGTAGTGCGCCATGGGAAGAGTTGCGGACGGTACTGAAGCAGCGGCTAGATCAAGTCCTCGAGTCCAATGAATTGATCTACACCGCACCAACAGTTTCCAACCCCCTCACCACCAAGCTGGCACCCGCATCGCCCTCAAGTGAACCATACCAGCAGCAGGCAGGAAAACTCGCGTCCTCTGCAACTTCGATACCAGCTCCAACAGCAGGGACACCCAATTCAGTAGCCACGGATGAAGACGCCAGTACAGAGGCAACACAGAAGCAATCTGAGGATCGGGATCAAGCTCATGTCCCTGAGCAATTGACTGAGTCTTCTCAGGAACAAAAGAACCAAGAGACCGACCAGAAAGTGAACGCAGAGGCAACAGAATCTATAGCATCCAAGGAAACAAGCACTGACGGACAGGATGAGGGACAGGCACCATCGGAGGGATCCACTGCACAACCACAGGCAGAATCAAACTTCAACGACATAGTGTCAACACCTGCACCATCGACACCGTTCCCACAAGGGAACGCTGACGACAACGGCAGCAGTGCTTTGAGCGAGGATAGGCCCAAGCTGATCCCGATCTCCAAGGATACACTTCTGGTCGAGACCCCTGAAGGATACCATGAACGGATTAACGAGCTCTTGGATGCGTTCACGAGTGCGCCCTTTACGATCCAGCGAGTCTGCGAGTTGTTGTGGAAGCCTTCGGAGCACCATTCTAACCTGATCAAGTACCTTCGCGCGGTCGAAAAGGTATGCGTTTGAAAGCATCCTGCTCTTTCAATTGACAATCGTACGCAAGTACTATTTTTTTGTGTGTATCGACTAATTCCCAGAGGATCTCCTGAATGCCTCTTTTTTTTTTTTATTTTTTATTTTTTATTTTTTTTTGATACAGGTGCTGATGATTACATCGTCGATCAACGAGTTTTCAAACCCTGCGTACAATGGACCTAGTGCTTTGGATGAAGCTGATAGTGCCACGGAGGGTGAGAGGACAGCAACAGCAACAGCAACAGCAAATGGAGATTATGCTAGAGCAAAGGACCTGGATTTTGATCTTATCACCAGGGCTGTCGATACCAACGAAGAGGAGTCCTCTCTAAATGCAATTGCAACGGATGCTATTGAATCAATTCCTACGGAACAACAGCAGATCTCTAGTGAATCTATAAATATGCAGGATGAGGACAGTGTGATGGAGGTTGAAAAGACAGTGAGTGCAAGTGGGATTGACATGGAGGTCGATGCTGCTGCAGGTGGCTCGACCATGGATGGGATCGAGACAGAGACAGAGACAGAGCAAAGGGAAAGTCAGGGAGCACAGGTGGATAAGGAGGACAATCGAGGCATGGAGTTGGACCAGGCCTAGTGGTGATGATGAATGAAACGATAGATCCGCAAGGCGGGCGCATAATAAAGGCAACAGCCAAGGCAGCAGATAGAGTGAGTGCATTCAGACGTATATCTGCCTTTGACTATGAACTATGGACTGTGGATGGAGCATTGCTGCTGTGTAGACTATCACATCATGTTGTTGATGTGGTCGATGTGTGGTCGGTGTTGTTTGTTTGTACACCCACGCGGCCCAACTTATAGCTTGTTTAGAGCGTTCCTTCCTGCTCGTGTGCTATATTTCACACCCACTCCTCGCCCCCTCCCCCCCTTTTCCCTCTCCACCTTCTCCCTCCCTCCCTCCCTCCCTCCCTCCCTCCCTCGCCCCCACTCCTTCGCTCCTTCATTTCCTTGTACATAGTCTTCCCCTTTCTCTCTCCCCCCATCGCCATGGCCCCCATCGCTGACCTAGCTTCCTATGGCCCCAGCGCTCTCTACTCGGGTTCGCTCCTCGGTCTGATCGTCTTCATCCTCGACCTCATCGCCATCGTCCAGGTCCTCAACTCTGACAGGCCCGTTCTCTCCAAGCTCCTCTGGTGTCTCCTCATCTTTCTTTGCCCCATCGTCGGTATTGTCATCTACTTGTAAGTATTTTTTTTTTTTTGCCTTGACCAACAGTTATTCCTTTCCTATATATATATATGTATATGTGTGTGTGTATAGACTGTCTGTTCTGTTGCCTCCTTCCATCAGGATAATAACGTACCCAGGAACGGGCCTATATACTGAGCATACAGGCATGGGAGCACGGTTCACTGTTTTTTATCCCATCCCACATAAGCGAACTTATCCCATGCTGCAATGCTGCAGTCGAGGTTGTACTCATGCAGCCAGCTATTTCTCTTCCCTCCAAACTCCCCCCCCCCCCACATACACTTTTTTTTTTCTCGTTCTCGGCTGCGTGCCTGAACTGAACATTTTTCTCCACCCTAAACAACACATTCTCCGTCTTTTTTTTTTTTTTGTGCAACGTGCAAACTCGATCTTTTTCTTTTTTTTTTTCTTGTGCTCACTTGACGGACAACCAACCCTTCCCCAGCCCAAAGGTTATCATCTCTAATCTTCGCTTCCATTTTTTTTTTTTTTTACTAGATTATTTGCCCAAAGAGAGAGACACCGTCTGCGATATGTCAGCATCCCATGATCCCTCTCCATCAAACAACGACAGCCTCCTCCTGTATGTATACATCGGACACACACTCAGCAAACCACCAATATCCCCAATAAACAGGTTCGCTGCCTACGCACTGCAACAAAGCTGTCTGCCTACAGTAGATCTATGAATTCAATGCGATATGACAACGTTTATGCCGCCCCTCTAGGCGATCGCAGGAGGAGATATTACAAAACTCATTTGGAGCAGTCTATCACTGAATGGCTTTTTGAAAAGCAAGGAAAAAAAAAAAAGAAAGAAAGAAAGAAAGGAGGAAGGCTTGTAATACGAGGATTGGACTGGAGAGTCTTTTTTAGTTCGATAGAAAAAACTAGCAATTGTTCTACTTCTTCTGTTGCACCTTCAAGAATCCGCCGCTTCCAAAGTACTTCTCATTTGCCGCCTTGACCTTCGCCGCCATCGCCGTCGGATCCACCAACTCAATACCCTGCACCGGCGTAAACGCAATCGACGACGCAGTTCCCGCGGTCGCCAACCCATTGCTGTTACTATTAGCTCCATATTGTGCCAAACGTGCCGCGTTCCTGTTCGAGATCTTACCCCGGTTCCTGTTATTTTGCTGTGCTGCTCGGATTCGTCCTGCTCCCGCTCCAGAATGGTTTTGACCCAACATACCCAGTCCCTCCGTCGTTCCATATCCCATCACTTCCTCTTCCTGCACTCCAAATTCAACCCGGTTCTTCAGTTTCTGCATCTCTGAGACCGCATACAGTTCCTTCTCCTTTCTTGCCCTCCGTCCTCCACGCTTCTTCTTTGGTGCCTCCAGAGGTGCAGGCAGGGCCTTGATGTTCTTCTGCGGTGGGGGTTCCAGCAGTTTCTCGATCTTCTTCTCGATTTCCTCTCTGATTTTGCGGCCCCAGGATCCGTCTGGGTATGAGTGCATGCGATCGATTCGGGCCGCGAGCGAGAGTTTTGCAGAGATCTGTCGTTGGACCTTGCCACGGATCTCTGAGGGTTGAGACTGGACAAAAGGTGACCGGAAAATGTATCCCACATGCTTGACCTGCGATGCTGCAGAGAGCGCACTGTTCAGGTTCTTGTCCTTGCCGAGGACCATGATGTTGCAGGCGGGTAGTTTACTGAGCGCGGTTAATCCTCCAGCCTGACCCATCATCTTGGCCGCCGTTGCTGTTCCAATGATCGCTGATAGATTCGGCGCAATAAACGTCAACCTCGACTCAACATATTCCGTGATCTAGTGACATACAAGGAATGTTTAAACCACCTATTAGTATCATGATGAAAAAAATAAAATAAAAAAAGTACAGCAACGATACCTCGCAATAATAATAATAATAATAAAAAGCTGGGATGTGCAAATGAACTTACAGTTTGCTTGGCCTTCTCAAGTTCGAGTGCGAGGTCGCATGCCTCCTCACAGGCCTTCCACTCGCTGTCCGTCAACTGTCGACCCTCAGTTGTTGTTCCTGTGACGACGACGACCATGACCGTGGCAGAGGGCAGAATGTCGTGCAGATCAACCTTGACAATATCCTCTTGATTGGCAATCCGCTTGACCGTCCGTGCATAGTCCATAGGGTTCGCCACCAGCGTCTCCAGCTCCGGGAATTTGGGTTCGTAATGGTCTCGAATGAACTAGATCAAAAGCAAAAAAAAAAAAAAAAAAAAAAAAAAACATATATCCTCATGTTAACAAATGTTGCCTTAGGAGCACTATCATTGAGAAAAATAATAATATATATACAAGAAAACAAAGGGTGCAGGCGTTCTAAATGCTCACCTTATGGACGACAAGGATCTCGTTATCGATGGCGACGGTGATGGCGTTTGCTTTGACGATAAGCTGGTATTCTGGGTCATCCTCGACCATGCCCGACACATCTGATCCTTTTGCCTCTGCGGTTGATTGAAAATGCGCAATGTCCTATGCCATCATGAAAAAACAAGATCAATAACAGAGTTAATAAATCATAAAAGTAGACATAGACGATGCCAAACCCTCCCCTCCCCCTCCCTCCTCAGCCATGCCAAAAGCAACAACAACAACAACAGCCAACAAAGTGAAATTGCATACCTTCAAGATCCCTTTCATTTCTGCAGAGTCCATCAATTTGGCTGTATCCCTCGCGTTCCTGGCATTCTGGACTTCACGCATCATGGCTTCCAATGAATTGTCCGCCTCAGAGTCCTCCATATCCACATCATCAAAGTCATCCTCATCGATTTCTTCCGCATTGTCATCCAGGTCCTCGTCCTTGATGGACTCGCCATCGTTCATGTCGTGATCCTCTCCTTTCCGTTTCCTTGATGCAGAAACTGCTGGTTGTTGTGGTACTGCGAACTCTGGCTGTGTCGTCATGATGTCCTCGGCCTCCTCTTCGCCGAGATCCGCGAGAAACTCATCTGCTAAAGACATGATTTGTTGGTTCTTTGATGGGGTAGGTGGGTAACGGATGCTTTTTTTTTTTGGTGGTGGTGTGGAGGGGAAGGGAGATAAACAGCGCTTGAACCATTTTTCTAGGTGGTTGTGATCAGGTGATTTTAACATATCGATCTCTCTTTTTTTTTTTTTCTAAAGCTGCGCCCACGGGGATTTGATTAAGAGTAATCAAATGCTTTATTCAAAGGAACACAGTATAAAGCAGAAAAATGAATGCAAACTGCGGCAGGTGAAAGGTATTCTATCAGTCAAGATAATCCCATCACAGTTTACGGTCGTTCACAGATGGCGGGGTTGATGCTCGGCTGGCGGCCTCCGCAGGTGTGATCAGGAACGAGGACGATGATGAAGACACTGTCGAGGTCACATCGGCCTCCTGCGCACCCTCGCCATCATCATCAACTGATAAACCAACCATGCCTTGTTCAGGTATCTCTTCCCAAGAATCGTCCGACAGCACCCCCTTGTCGTCTTTCTCTTCCTCTTCTGCTGCTGCTGCTTCTTCGCTCTGCTCATCCTCTTGCGCTAGTGCACGGTTGTTAATCCTCTCAAGACCATCCTCATCCACCTCGATCACTGGGGCGGTCGCACGAGCCGCAGCCGCAGTAAACTCTCCAGATCCTGAGTTCTCGTCTTCCGTGGCATCGTCCAGACTTAACATCTCTGGTGTGATCCTCAATGGATCCTCTGCCATCCCATGGATTCCATTCTGAGGACACTTCTCCATCATCCTCTCCAGGTCCTTTTTCCGCCACTCCTCCGAAGTAAGGCCCTTCTTCATCTTTGCCTGACCAGCCTTGAAATCTTCACGTGGGTCCAATTTCCAGATAAGGGGCTGCTCCGATTTGCGCAAGTGTGTCTGAAGCGTGTATCCATCCTCATCAGCGTCGCGATCGTCCAATGCGGCTGCGGCGGCTGTGTAGGTGTCGTTGAGAACATCGGTTGAATGGCTGGATCGGTAGGCAGCATCGCGGGTATTTTCTCCCTCCTGCATCTGTTTCGCCTGTAAAAAGTCTTGAATCTCATCATATCTCCTGAGGGCCGTCTGGATCTGTTCATTGCATGAAATGAAGGCCGCTATGATTGTTTCCAACAACAACAGAAAAGAGAAAAAAAAGAAAAAAAAGAAAAGAAAGGCTGTTAGAGATCATTTGGTTGTCTGTAAAATGAATCAGAATATCTACATGAATAATAAATACATCCTCATCGTCGTCTTACCTATTTGCGCCTCCTCATCTGTAGTCTTTGGCTGAGGACGTAAGCTCGAGCTCTCAAAGGCCTGGTATGGGGACAAACTATCACCCGAGTCTTGCCAAATGCGTTCAGAGAGATAATCGGACATTTCTTGGCACTCTCGACGAAGAGTCTAAATAAGGCGTAGAAGTGATGTTACAAAATGCGTGTCCAAATTATTCCATGGCCAGAAAGAAAAAAAAAAAAAAGTGTGCGAATTGACTTTTATAAATGGTTACAGCGCTTTGTTGTTACCTGAATGATGTCGTTCTGCTCGAGCGATTGCAAGGTCTCATGCTCCTCGCGCAATGCAACGGCCATTTCAAAAAGGAGGCTGGCGCTGCTCTGCGCCTTTTCAATCACCTGGTCTGCCGTAAGCTGTAACGAGAGAAGAGAGAAAAAAAAAAAAAGAAAAAAGAGCGGTTGAGCAGACTGCGCCAGGCCTTGGTGTTATCGAAGACACTTTCGATTTGATGAATAATAGAGTACCTCTTCATTCTGGATAGCTTCTTCCGTGTAGAGCCGTGAGGCCGGTGTGGTGTTTGGGATGCCGTGAAAGAGATTGGACCAGGCGCCTGTTGTCGAAGTCATTTTCGGACAGAATACTTGCTTGTCTAATGTATATGTGCGTGTGGGGGTGTCGATTATTGATCGGTTACTGTGTCGATCGGCAGGACGGAAGCTTGTTGGTGTTGGCAATGGTGGTAGAGGTAAGTGCGGTGATAGGAAGGAAGAGAGGAAGAGACGTGGGGTTAAGAGAAGGGCGTCCGTCCATTTATGCGAAACCCTCCTCGCTGCGGCTACCGCCCAAAAGCCGTCCCCCGCAGCAAGAAGCGCATTCAGGCACAATCTTCGCATGCGGCCCAGGCTGCTTATGCACGCCATAGACTACAACATAGCGCCGGTTCAGTAGGTTGCATAGCGTAGAAAGTATTAAAGAAGTAGCGATAGAAAAGTATGGTACATTTTGTAGTGGCAGTAAATAGAATGGTCAAGCATGGGTACTCAAGGGCTCATTCCGCCCCCTCCTCCGCGTCCTCCTCATCCTCCTCGTCCTCGTCCTCGTCTTCGTCTTCGTCCTCGTCGTCATCTTCCTCCTCTTCCCCCTCCTCTCCTTTGTCATCATCGTCCTCTTCTCCACTCGCCTCGTTCTCAGCTTCGCTTTCGGCTTCATTCTCAGAGTCCTGCTCATCTCCTACTTTCTTGTCCTCTTCTTCGTCCTCTTCCCCGTCTTCTTCCTCGTCTTCCTCCTCGTCCTCCTCCTTGTCATCATCCTCTTCGTCCTCCTCCTCCTCTTCTTCCTCCTCTGCTTCGTCTTTATCTTCGTTTTCGTTATCGTCATCGTCATTGGGTGTGCTGGCTTTCGAGGTGGTATCCTTCAAGTTGACTTTCTCTGCAGCATTCGCCGTCTCGTCCTCGTCCTCGTCCTCATCGTCATTCTCGCTGCTTGATACTTCCATCTGTTCTTCCCGATCACTCTCTTCTTCTTCTTCTTCCTCTTCCTCTTCCTCCTCCTCCTCCTCCTCCTCCTCCTCCTCCTCCTCCTCCTCCTCCTCTTCGCTATCCTCTGGTGAACCGACAGCTGCGTTTCTACCTTCGTCCACCTCGGCATCACTCTCGGCTTCTGATGATTCGTCATCGCTTTCCTTCCCCTTCACCATCTCTGCTTCCTCCTTCTCGTCTTCACTGTCATCCTCATCATCATTGTCCTCATCCTCGCTACTGTCCGCCTCGCTCTCCTGGTCGTCTTCTTCCCCACTAGAATCAGTCTGCCCGCCTTGCTCCTCCTGCGCAGGTTTGCTATTGACTGAATCCACTTCCATGTCCTCAACATCCTTAGAATTGCTGCTTTCATCTTCTTCCGTAGCTTTGTTGACACCACTGGACGTCTCACGATCCTGCATATCAACATCCGATTTTTGGCTGTCGCTACCTGTTGAACCGTTGGTCTGTGATGTCCCTGTTGATGCAGTGCTAGTCTCAGGAACAGCGCCGTTGCCGTCAAGGAGAGTAGCTGATACAGCCGAAGAAGGTGACGAAGCTGCGGACAGAGAAGATGATGACAGAGGAGAACCAGCAAGAGACAGCGACGCAACAGAGGAAAGCTCGTCGCCCAAGACATCCTCCTCCTCGTCCTTGCCCTTACTACTCTTTATGCTGCGGTTCAATGGCCGAGATTTGAGCTCCTTGGTTTGGATCTTTAGTCCATCGCCGCTACCGACTGCATCACGTGCACCCGATCCTGCAGACGATTTTTTAATCGAACCATTTCCCTTGGCGACTTTGTGGACAGCAGTTGCAGTGCCCGGCTCAGATCCATTGGCACTATGCTTAGAGAGCGACGAAGACGTCGTATTGAGCGATATTGATGTATCGTCTCCTAGGCCATCATTGGCATCCTCATCTGCATTAGCCTTATCAACGTCCATGGAGGTGCTGTTGGTGCCTGCTGAGGCTTTCTCTGCATTTGGATCGCTCATCTCCACATCCGTCTGCTGAGCCCCTCCCTCTCCTGAACCCTTCGCAGCCTTCCCCACTGCCTGTAGTTCGCTTGGATCTGTACTCGATACTGGTGCCGCCGGCTTTATTTTTGGAGGTCTGCCACGTTTTCCGCCCTTGACTCTAGGTTTTCTTCCCGGTTTGTCACTCTTATTGACAGGCGGCTCCTTCACTTCCTCCTGGACTTCCTCATGGACTCCCTCCTGGACTTCCTCCTGGATTTCTATGGCGATTGGTGGTATAGGCGTGCCAGCATCGCTGTCTGCACTGTCGTCGTTCGGCAAGCTGTTGTCGGTCGAGAGGGCTGCCATAAGACCACGCTGGAGTAAAAACGGGGCCCACTTCAGTTTTGCAGGATTGATGACTGGGTATCCCTTCTGCGTAACCTTGCGACAGTATGCCTCGACCTCATCCCAATCCACCACGATCTCATGACGAAGTGGAGGAATCGAGTTAGCGCGACTCCTGCCGTGTTTTCCTTTTGATCGAGATTCCTGGGTCTTTGGTGGAGGAATAGCGCGGATCATGTTGTTTGTTTGAAGGGTAGTAATAATGTCGTCCACAGTCATGGCGGTCTCCTGGCTCAGTTCGTCAATCGAAACCCGATGTTTCCGACTCTCATCCTTATGAATGGCAAGCAGGCGCTGATATATGACCGTTTTCCAGTAGCTCCGGTATGAAAGAAGACCAAGTGATGATAGTGGTTTCTCTGGCGAGCCCGTCTTATTCTCCCGCTTCGAAAGTAGGTAACCTTTACGGAATTAAAATCAAGTCTGTTAAAACATATTACAAGGAGACGTTATCTCTCATTTTAGGCGCGAAGAGGTTGTGTATGTACTTACTAAAGTCGATTAATAGGTTGCCGTATCCTTTGCGTTGATGTATAGGTAATGTTAGAATGCAGGACACGTTGTAGTCCATAGCCGATCGTTTTTCCTACAATAAAAATAACAATGGTCAGATATCTATTCCTGAGCGCCGCTAATACAGATTCAAAGCGCTCGACTTGACATACCTTTGAGAAATAGCCCACGAAATGACAACCAAGATCCCCGGACTCCGTCATGATGTAGAAGAGGAAGGGTTCAACGTCGTAGTACAAAGTCTTATGGTCTAAAAACATTTTCGCCAATAAGCAGAGGTTCTGGCAATAGATCTTATTTTTACGTCCATCCACCTCAAAGATCGAAATGTTGCCCTCGCGATAGATCTCATCGCCAGGAGGATGCCGCATTACGCACTTCATCTAGAGTGAATACAGAAAAGTATAGCAATGAGATAATGGTTTCAATGTACCCTTACAGCATGACCGACAAAGGCGCTGCAGTATTCCGATCGCTCACCCTATGACGACCGGCCATGAAGGAGCTCTTCATATATTTGAGACAGAACTCGCATATATATAGAATTGGGTGCTGACTGTACTCTTCCGGATATGGTGCCTGGTACCAAGTGTCGATTTCCCAGTCCCCAAATTGGATTTTTTTGATGGCCGCAACGGGAGCAGAGTATGCTGAGGTACCCACTTCAGGTATGCTAATGTCAGTTGACATGTCTTTCGCAAGATTCTGCCATTTGAAATTAAAGATATGCGATGTATTAGCCATCGAATGGAAAACGAAAGGACTCAGAAAGTCCAAACACCTTACAATACCCGGGCAATAATTACCTCCGCAAGCTCCTTGGCCTTCTCGAATCGTAACTTGTCCCTTGCATCAGGAGTAGTATGTGAAACATCCGATTCTTCCTCCGTCAAGTGTGGCCCAAATGGTTGGGCATCTAGAGATTCATCTCGTCCACTGGTCCCTTGTGCACCATCGCCAGCTACGCCATCTGCATCGCCGTCCTCTGCATGAGCAGGTCCCTCATCGTGATCAGCCGTCTTCTTGCGACTCCTGCTCCGCGCCTTTTTTGATGATTTTTCTCCCAATGCAGCCTCGACGGCTGTAGCGGCAATTCGGATGGAGAGTTTTCCATTTGATGCGCTCAGTGTGAGTTGTTTAGGTTCCGATCCTGATCTCGAGTCCTTTCTGCGCGATTTCTTGTCCGGTATGGTATGAGGGTCGGAATCCGTTGAAGCGGCATGTGTGGGTGTTGATAGCAATGCTTTTGGTGTTCGACCTCTCCGCTTAGGCACATCTGTAAGCTTCGATGATGCCGAGGATGTAGGTGAGCCTGTGCTGGCGCCTGGTTTAGTGACAGGGATAGGGATGATGACAATCGCCTTTTCAGAGTCCTTCTTGATCTTATGAGGAATAATAACCTCACGCCTGGGCGGCATCAAAGTTGATCCCGACGCCTTCTGCTCATCCTCCGATGTGGTAATGCGTACTTTTCTCCGAGCGTCTGAGCTTTTGCTGCTCTTGTTTTTTATCATCGAGGATGGAGTCTCTGTGATCCCTGATTGCTCTGGTTCTATTATCTCCAATGGTTTCCCGCGGCCGTTTAACAATTTCCTTCTTTTCCGTGATGACGAAGAAACGCCTTTATAGTCTGTTGGTATCTTCTGAGGGTACCGCGCCATGCAATCATCGCAATAAAAGTCATCTATTGGGATACGGGCACAATAGACAGAAAGGCGGGATCAGATATCAGCACTTTGCGATCGACAGAATATTCACAGACGACCACGCATTTCACAACAGAGATGTCATTGTCAACGTAATCATTAACATACGCCGAGGGACGCTTGGAAGCGGGGTGTCCAGACAATAGCAATGCCATCCTCGATCGCAGTTTTCGCACATCATCATCTTATCCTGGAAGCATGGACAACAGCAATAACATTAACAGCGACAACAACAACAACAAAAAAAAAAAAAAGAACGATTAGACATATCCTCAGCCAGTGACCGAAAACAGCGCACGAGTTGATGAATGAGACGGATGACAGTGTCCAAACAAGTACCTCGTTGTTCGACAAACGGCATTTCTGACAGGTCTTGCAATTGACGCATTGCCACTGTATGTCCTCCCGCAACGCCAGTTCTGGCTCAAGGTGTATACAAGTTGGGTGCCCTACAAGGTACGATGAGTTATGGAAGGTCAGATATAGTATAGTGGAGGCAGGTACGCACACATCAGTGGTTAATGTGGGGAGGATCAAAGCTAGTTTTGTGCCTGGAATGGGCATCAGACTAGAAAGGAAACAAAATAAGGGAGGCGTGCAAGGTTCTGAGTGGGTACACGTACAGCTTTTGCGACAATCCGTGCAGGTGATGAGATCCTCGTAGACATCAGGCGAGCCATCTTTCTCGGGACCAAAGAGACAGGTTGCGCAGCCGGACAGTTTGGGAGGCTCTACGGTCGCGGACTGAAAGGAAAGCACGTTCTCAGTTCAGTTACGACATTGCTTCGGTTTTTCAGTCGCCCTCTCAGGGTCAAAGTCCGAGTAGTCATGCACGCAGCTCGTATGCCCTGAAAGCCCATTACCTTTCGCTTGGGCCGACTTGGTTTCCGGTTGGATGGCATTCGATCCTGTGGATAACTGTCGCGTTTGAATGACGATGGAGGGAGGAACCCTGTGTCCAAGAAGGTTTGAGAGTTGATTCGTTGTTGGTGATGAGTAAGAGATGGCAGGAAGCGCGGCACCCTTTCACCTCGCCATCAAGCGCCAGCTTTTCGAGAACCCAATAGATGGACGTTACACGTGACTGGATATGTTTCTCAAGTCACGGGGCACAAATGCGTCCACCAGATGAAAGTGGAGGAACGAGATATAGACTTCGCCCAACGTTGCCGACTGTTTTGCAGAATCATGTAACCACGAAAAATAAAAAAGGGTGTTTATTGAAGAATTGAGCATTGCCGAGGATTAAGAGAAGCACACTGATACGTCTGAACCCTCATAATCAATCCACGCGCTTCTCTTTATCCTTGTTTGACAAAGCGTGTATTGGAACCCGAACACTTGATATCCTCGCTTCCTTGTCGCATTCGAATCCTACCGATCGTATACTGCTCGCGAAGTGATAGGGGTGTGGAGGGATCATAGATCTCGTTGAGAATTGCTGCCATTCGGATCCCGCTCATTGCGATAAACCTTTGCACCATGAATCCGTTTTTCTCTCCTGTAGCAGCCTCAAAGTAATCGGTAGAGTAATCCCGAAGAGGGTCATAGTCCTTCCAAATGAACGAGCAGTCGACCTTGTTCATGTCCTTTGCCCACTCCATCGGACATAGCGACGTGAGCAGGTCCGTGCTGCCAGACCATGGGTTGTCTTCAGTGTTTTTTGTGGGGTCGCAGTACGTCCAGTTTGCAGCCTCTGGCTGCCAAACAGTCTGTGTCATATCGATGAGGTCGTCCAAATATGCCTTCGGGTCGTTGTCGTATCTGTCCTTGATATCCTTCTGTTGATCGATCGCCGGTGTAATACGAAAAGAAATGTGTATCGTCAGAATCAGCAGGGTATCCATCTGCAAAGGTGCATTTTCATTTGCAATAATCGCACCACGCTCTCATAGTCACTTACCAGAATTAACTGTCCGTCCCAGATCCTGTGAAGGTTGCTCTTGGCTCGCCTCCACTTGGTCGGTGCATCATTTCCTCCACGCTGTTTGCCAGAGGCATGCAATGGCTGATGGACATCGCCCATAAAGTGGACAAAGAATCGCAATGCGTCCTCGCGGCTCGCCTTCTCTTCTGGTGTGATGGGCTCGATGACCTTGTATTGCTGAAGCTGCGATGTCATGTTGAACAGGCCATTGACAAGGTCCCGGCCCTCATAAACGTACTCAAACTTGCAGATTTCGGGTGGGTTGTCTCCTGGAGTATTCACATAGTGAAACACAGATGCCCATCTATACAAAGAATTCTCTGGGTTAGCAGGAGGCTCACGAAAAAAAGGACACCATGCTGAATTCATGCGTACCAACGCTCTTTGATCTCTTGGATTGGACGTTTTCAAGAAAACCTTACCTATACCTGGCCTGGCCTTTGATTGTGTCTGCCCATGGCGCGGCCTTGGAGAGGAGACCATCATAGTATGGGGACAAGATCTCTTTGACCTGTCTGGCGGTCTCGGGAGTCAGGAAGCGCTGTGCAACTTGGCCAGTCAATGTATGCCCTGTAAGACAGCAATAGCAAGCCAGTTAGTACTTGTGTAGTGGGATCGATTGCGTGAGGGGCGAGGGGACAAATGGTGCGAAAAAGGCAAGGCGTTACCGAGAATGCCATATGCTCCCACGCTGTTGACTCCCAACAGCGATAAGGACGCTACAAGCGCAAGAGAGGCCGAGAAGCGCATGATATGCAGGATCAAGTGCGAATGAATAGAAGGTTGAGAGTGAGCAGTGAAGCAATGAGCAGTGAGGAGCGAGGGAGGAGGAGGGAGGAAGGAGGAGGGAAGAGCAAGAAATGAAGCGTGAATTGCGCGAGTGTTGAATGAAGAGAGATGAGGAGAATGGAAGAGGAAAGAAAGGGGGGCGGGAGAATCCATTTGTTCCGCGTAAAAAAAGGTCACTCCAATACGGACCACATGTACGTCCCTCTTCCGCTTCTTCCACAGCCGCTCCATTGCAGCAGCTCTGTTGCTCTGTTGCTGCTGAAGCCTAAGCGCAATAAGGGTACATTCGTGGCCTGCACTTGGGGGACTCCGGCCAGACCAACCACCAACCGGATGCTGCATCCCTCTCGACTGCCAGCCCGCGCTCCCCAGCCCGCCTCGAATCACGAGTGCGCCATCTGTCACGTTGCACTGTTGCAGTCGGCTCTGCGTGGTTGAGCCAAGAATGGCATGACACAAACTACGAACGCGCGTTCCTGTCTGTGACCGCAGCCCTATGCAGGCGGGGCGCCTTTGCCACTACCAAAGTAATCTACCCCAGCTTCTGTAGCTCAGGACAAGGATGTGTGCGCTGAACATCGGATCCGTACACGCATGTCTTTATGGCCTTTTTTATTATTATTATTATTATATTTGGTTCGAACCCTCCCCTTATGGTCCTGGTGATTGGGCTTTCCTTTGCTCTTCCTCCCATTTTTCGATACTGAATTCGGGAAAGAAGAACCCGATCTCCTTCTTGGCCGACTCGACCGCATCTGAATCATGCAGGGGTATAGGACGCAATACAAGATTAGTCAAGGTACGTGCCATTGTAAGTTTCAAAAAGATGCATTTACAAACTGAAGGCCCTGATTTACCTGAGCCATGAAAAGAATTCCTCGTGTCCGTCATTCCATACAAAGAACGCAGGGTATCTGGAGCAACAATACGAGCACTTCAGAGAATAAACGCATTCAAGAGGATCAGTGATTCGATCTGTATCAGTATCACTTACACAAAGCGATGTCAACACGATAAGATTAAAGGTTCAACTACCGAGGAGGGTGTGTGGGGCCGATGAGGGCTCGCCAGTCCGGGATGGCATCGGCTTTTTCGAGAACCAAGGCATGAAAGTGTCCACTACAGATCGATGGCAAAGATAAGATGAGTCCCTGAGCCATTTTCTTGATGGTTCGCACTTGTAGCAGTAGCAGCAGCAGCAACAGCATGAATCACTTAATCGAGGTCGCTAAACCATACCTTGTCATGTAGCCACATAGCCGCTCGAAGAAGAACTTGCCGCGGTGCTCACCATAGAAGGCCTCGGCATCGCTCTTTGACCAAAGTAGCTGTTTATGGGCAACAATGTTGAAGTCGTTCTGCTGAATGTGAGCAAGGACCTTCTTAACCTTGATGCTGTTTGCAGTCAAGTCTGGCTTAAGCAATGCCAATGTGAGCTGTGTCAATGGTCGAGAAGGCATGGAGATTGGTTCAATGAGAGGCGTTGCTGATCTATGGGGGGGCGAGATCTAGTCAGTTGTGCCTGGCCACTTTACTGAATTTGGAAAAAAGTTAAAAGTTGTTGCCAACAAAACAGAGTGCGGCCTTGAACAGCTTGCCCTACATCCCTCGTCTCATGCAGACGCTGCCACCTCAGGAACATGACAACGGAGCAATGGAACGGCAGCAGCGGAGCAGCACCGCGCACTGTCATATCGCCGGTACTGTCTGAGCTTTTGACCCTCATCGCCGCAGAATCTCATTCCTTGCGCCCAACCGCAACAGACAGTTTGGCGGCGTTTAGGAAAAAAGGGCAACAGGCACTCACTATCGAAGACCTTACCATCGCCTTTCGGGAATGCTTCCTAAGTAAGCAGCATTCTGAATTCCTGTCAATCATGGCCTCTTCCAGATATTGACCTGACGCATTATTGCTATCGTAGATTTCTATCCTTCGACACTTTCTAGAAAGATATTTATCACTGACTGGCTATCCGACCTCTTGGACTCCTCCAACCATGCGGAGGCGCCCACCGCCGTTATCCTAGGGCTATCAAATGTACGCAATCGCTTTCGACATATGTCTAATTGGTTGTGGCACTCCAGGATCTAACCTTGACCTTCCTAGGTCTTTGTTCAACTCAATCTGACTCGAGAGGAGACAGAGGAGTGGATGCCGGTATGAACGACGATATCTTGACTGTGTTTTGAGTTGTAAGAGTAGACGAGATGGCACTCATTCTCACCTCTTTTTTGATTCCCTTCTAGTTGCTTGTCAATCTCTGCAAGCTGACAAACTCATGTCTGAAAGCCATCCGTAAACTGCCCGACCCTGCCTTGGCCTCTTTTCTCGAACACAAGGCTTGCATGGTTCTCGCCTCCGTAATCCTCGGCTCAGGGACGCGCGTACTTCTAGTAGGTTCTTTATACATAAAAGGAGCGAGCAATCGAATTTATGCCACATATATTAACATATACCCTTTGACCAGCATGTAGATAGAAGTCCTAAACGAGAGCGATCACAGGGATACGTTGCATGGAACAAAAAAGTGCTAGATCTCACGAAGAACTTTCAGGAGTTCATCGGGGAACAAGTTCAACAGAATCCGAACCTCAAAGCACATGCGGGCGACGTGACTATTGGGCGTAAGTGAGCGGAGCAAATTCTTCACGTCTCTAGCGCAGGCGGCTGATCTATGATATGCTGAGCCTCACCTTTGATCGCAGTCTGTAATATACTTCCTAGTTACGCGGAGAAAGCAGGGTCAGATTATGCCTATTTGAACATGGCATTTAGATTTATTGTCATGCTCGTACCCAACTGTGAGGAGAACAGGGCCCGGCGCTTAGATGTAAGCTGTCTCAAAGATAGGACAGCTTTATTTCGGGAGATGAGCTCCAATCGACTAAGTACTGCCCTTTCAATTGCCTTATAGACGCAGAGCATCATTCGATTATTGCTCGATGGTATCCTCGGCGCATTTGGAGATATCCTCAGGACTTATGAACAAAGTTCTCAAGTGGCGGAGACTTACTTCGCAAGGCGCTCGACCTTGGCCAAGTTTTATATCGCTCATCTCCGTGCGCTCGTCGACCCTCTATTCAAGGGCATATATGGTTCAAGAGAAGATGCTGCGACTTGTCGGGAGCTAATCAGGTTTTTTCTCTTTTTCACGAGGAGGTAAGACCCTACTGCCTCAATCGACATTGATCTTCTTTATGAATTCTACTTCTCAGGATCAAAGCTGAATCGGTGGCTAAAATGCTCCCCTATTGCTCTTGAATCGTAGCCGCTTCATTTCGAGCGAGTCGATAAGGAGGAACCATCCCGAGATTCAGTCAGAGATAGTGAAATTCGTCGGCCATGTCGAAGAAATTGTCGTTTCTGCGATGATTGAATCCAAGAAGGTCACGGATGATGAAAAACGGGCACTTATCCACGAGTTTGCAATGGCAACAGGACCTCGCGCTGCTTTCGACTGTGCTGAACCACTGTCTGATTATGAATGGGATGTGGGTCGGTTAAAGTTTTTGCTCAAGACGATATCGATGTTCGACGAGATGACCGCTTCGCTTCAGCTGCAGCTGTATCCTCCGCATGAAGGCATTACCAGCGCCTCTCTGCTTAACCGAATCGTGGACTGCGTGAACACTGTCCACTTGAGCGACTTTGTACCGGGAGGCACAGATGGTGCTGTACAGGAAAATAGCGATCTTTACTTTCGAATCCTTTCTGAGCTGTGCACCTTCGCGTTCCTCATTCAACCAAAGCAGTTTGCGCGATTGCAAGTTGATATGGTCGGACTCCTCTTAGGCCGGTCGGAATTGTGGTCTTTGGTCGCCTCAGATTGGTGGATCTGTATCGCCCAGAAACTCGGTCAGGCATTTACCCTCAATCAAATCCTAGTGCTTTTGGATCTGGTATGTGGTCATTTTTCTTCAATCTGAAGATAGGGCTGTCAATATTATTTTCGCTCTTTAATAACCTTTTTTTTACACTCCATAGCTTGCGTCCTTGCCAGTAGGGAGAACCTGTCAGAAGATTGGAGACCTCATCGGTTCCCTGATCCCGCTTCTCAATGACCAAGCTCAGGTACGGAGCGATTCTTTAGTCGTGGCACTTTGTCTTATTAAATCTTTATTTTTTTTTAAATATAGGTTTCTAACTGTTGCTCTTCTCAATATCGTAGCTGAGTGTAACGCAAGCCTTAATGGCCTTACTTGATCAAAAGCCGCACCAAAGCGTACATACAGTTCTGTCCTGTTTCCCATACTCAAGTCTTGGCCAAACGGTATGTTGAGAGGTTGTCGTCCTTGCGCTGCTGGTAATATGCATTTCATCCTTATCGCGATCCCTCGTGTACACTTTATAGAATATGGATCTACTAGTCAGCAAGTGCACAGATGGATGGAGGAACGCCTGTGATTTTTTGAGCAACGAGCGTTTAGTGCTCGACGCGTTCTATACAATGGTACGACGACTACATCAGTACACTATTGCATGCTATATTATTTAAATCAATAGTGGCTAAACTCCGCATTTCTTATGCCATTAGCATCAATACGTCGCATGCTTGGCCTCGATATTCAGCAAGAAGGAACAGCATCGGACTCTGTCGGATGAGACAAGGCTCGATCTCGTTGGTTGGGGTGCAGAGATCATTGGAGGTGTCCATGAACTTCTGGTACTCGTACATGGTGATAGAAAGGCCCTGTTCAAGGTACGCGTATCCACCAAATGCGTGGTCTTTTTTCGACATCGCGGACCAAACGTTCTGAAAGCTACTTTTTTATGCTCTAGATATCTCGGACGATTGAAGACATCATCGCGTTCCTTCAGTCCATGCAACCACTCCAGAGTGCTGAGATGATCCAAGTGAGTTCGGTGGTAAACGAGTTTGTTTATATGCGAAAGAATAACGGAATAAACTAACTATAATTGTTCCATATCTTTTTAGGTCCTCAGTACTATTATCTCGTGGGAAAATTTACCCGTTGAGTCGCGACCTTTGTCGAGAGTATCGATTGCCAGGTTCTTGGAATCATGTGCTTGCGTAGACATTCAGAATGGTAGCCATATGGTATGTAAAAGTTTGAACGTCGTCTGGAACGGAAAAATCGTGAGAACTGTTTAATTGAGTGAGCGTATTCATGTTGATTTAATAGGAGAAAGCTAAAGGACATTTTCAGACCCTCTACAGCATCCTGCTGAGCGATACTGAGTGGAGTATTATGCATGCAGGTTTGATGAGTCTGGTATGTTGCATACTCAAAGCAACCATTCTTTGCCGATTCAACAATTTCAATGAAAGTGTGTACTTAATGTGATGTTGCTTCTATCAACGGTACTAGATCACATTATACAAGGATCCTCGGTACCACCAGGTGGCAGAAGCCTGCATTCCACATCCACTTCTCGATACGGTGCAGGAATTACTTCGACAAGAAAGTGAGAGCGGTGGCAGGATAATGAGTCGAGAATCGAAATCGTTCTGGGCGAAGCTCGACGTGTACAAAGAGCTCCTCTTATCTCAGAGCTATACCAGCTGCACATTATCTGATCTGCAGAGGATTTCAGGAATACCTCCCTCGCCATACGCGTGCATAACTGCGCTGTCGACCATAACACGATACCTGGAAACGATGGACAGCGAAGACCACAAGAGTCAAGAGTTCAGGAGCCGGCTGGCCGGCGAGTTGGACAATGTGCGAAGGATGCTTCAGAAGTAAAGAGAGTCTGCGATGCTTCAATATTACGGTGTTTGCTAGGATGTTCTAGACCCCGGGTACCATAATAAGTCGGCACCATCGTGCAAAATAAACGCCATATTCACTATATTTTCACTTCGGAAACTCGATCATTATAGATCGCCTGGTACTATTGGTACTGTTGGATGAGCAGATCGCAGATTTCGACTGGCTGACCTAGCTTTCGAGAGAAGGTTCAATTCGTTGATTAACAAACACTGAATAATACACCGGCACCGTTGTGTAAAAAGACAAATGTGCCCACCATTTGGTGTGCTCAACTGGAGGAGCTGGACCAACCTGGTTGAGCCCTCGCTCGACTGTCCTTGAATCAACCTTTCGAGCTGCAACTTGCTAGCTTGCTCAACATCTCCGGGGTAAAATGAGGCGAGGAAAATTGGTGGCGTGGGAAGTCTCATCCTTTGAAACGGATTTAAGAAGGTAGCATTGGACCACTCAGATCTCAGACTCCAAAGAAAACCGGTGCCCTGGCCCAATGCAGCACTCAATCGCATCCTTGGTTCCTCTCGCAATCATGACAAGAGAATTAGATTTATTTTGCTAAAAGTACAACCTGAGGCATGCACTGTACCTGCTTTAGGACATCGTTGCATCCTCCTCATTTTTTGAGTTGCGGCGACTACTGACCCGTTTTGACGGCGTTCTCGATGTTCTGCCCCCATCAGGACTCTCATCACCCTCTATCCTCTGTGAATACGGCATTTTCCCTACATCTGTATCTTCCTGACCGGAGTCGTCCTTATTTTTGGATGATTGTGCGCTCGGATCAGCTGGTTGCAGAGGCCGAGCTATCTTTTCAGAAGCTGGCTCTGTTGTCAGGGTGCTCTCTGTTGTCTTTACATCTGCAGAAGGATCCTGATCCTGATCCTGATCCTGATCATGATCATGATTCGAGCCCTCGTCGACGGCTTTATCTGCTGATGCCATGACAGTGTCAGCTCTCGATTCCTCACTGGGAACGCCAGTTGCTGACGCCTCGTCTTGAGAGGGCAGGCTATCGGGCCCCGCAAGTTTGCTCTGAAGTGTCTGAGGCGCCTTGAGCGAAGGAGGGGGTGCTTTGCACATGACAGTGGCCCTGGAGGCCAGCTCGGCTGCGCTGATCTTTTTTCGAGTTCTCCAATCCTCTATATCGGGCTCAACGTCTATAGTAGAAGCACCATCGCCTTCCTTAGCATGGGCAGAGAGTGCTGGTGATGAGGGCGCATCTAAACTAGAGGGAATATCCATCGTAATGTTGCCGATGGAATAGTCCGAAGCCTCGCGACGGCTTTCACTACTGCCTTGATCGGTTTCCAAGGCCTCCTGGCCATCAATGAGGATCGAAGGTAGAGGGATGTCCACTGCTTGGACGGGATGGGTGGGAGAGGCAGTATCTGTGTCTGCTTGACCTTCCGTTGTCAGCCGTTCTATCTTGAGTCGCATGCTATCTTGATCGTTCTCCTCATCCGTGGTCAGTGCGCTCTTGGCAGATGTTGCGGACTCATCTTGGGCTTCTACAGCAGGATCACCCTCTTCCATCAGCTTCTCTCCTGATTCTGCCTGCCCATACCTCGACGTTACATGGGGCTCTGAGTTGCTAGAAAGTTGACGAACCAGCTCCTTTGGGTACAAATCAGCGCCTCCAACTTCGATAAATAACTTGCTGTAGCATACAGCCAGCAGATGAGCCATCTGGCCCTCTGGTGCCATCCTGTCGTTCAGCTTTTTCAACTCGCATAGCCGCTGCAAGACCGCCAATCCGGGAAGCGTGGCCGCCTGTTCAAACATCTTGGCTTCGTAGATGGCAGCCTTCTCTCGAAACTCGGTTCTCGGAATCACTTCGGCGACAGCGAGCACTGGATCTGGTCCAACGAGATCAGCAAGAACTGACATGTACGAGTCATAAAGAAGCTCCCATATCTCCTTCAGATCCAGTAATAAACCGTGTGCACGCCGTATCTTCCTTGCAAGGCTGTTCAGAGTCTCCACGTCGCTCGTCTCCTTAGCGAGCACGATGAGGAACTTTGTATATTCCCCAACATAGATAAAATGTTTCCCGCTGCGCTCAAACTCCGGCTTCCAGACAGAGCTCACCAGAGTCTTGAGATTGCTTTTGATCTGGAAAAGACTCAGCATCTCGGCCTTGGCGCGCTCAACATCGTGGTATATATGATACAGAATCCATGCTTGCTAAAACAAGAAAGCCAGAGTGAAGCAGCATTAGCTTATTTCCTTTTTTTTTTTTTTTTTTTTTTTTTTTTTTTTTAAAGCGAGCAGTCCATGAGCTCCACAAACTGATTACATACTCTGAAGACAGGACGGTGGTGCCAGTGTCGCTTGTCGGTATGCCGGATTCTTGCGAGACCCTCACAAAGTAATCGAAATGCATGCAGCTTGTGCTTTTTCTGAAAGTCCTCTTCTGTAGGTGGGTCGGATTGGATCACTTGAAGGTATTCTTCTGGTGGATCAAATATGAATGACTCTCCTTCGGCAGCACTCAACTTGGATTTCGCCAGTGTTTTGGTCATTAGCGACTCGACAATGGAGGGCTAGTGTAACATAAGCAAAGAAAGCGTTAGTCGGAAGCCATGTGCATCCAGCGTAAAAGGAAAGCTCTAGGACCTCTACCACAGTACCTTAATCCTGTCTTCTGATAAGTATTTTGATAATGTTGATATAACCTTGTACGCTGCCTCAAAGATCTTTTCGTTGCCTGGCTGACCAGACCGATGGGGAACTTTATCCGCTGCAATCTTGTATAGAGTCAGCACCTGGCTTGGCTTCCCAGCTAGCTTCTCAATGCACTTTCCGAGCATAAGCGGCGTCCGCCAGTTCTGGTCGTTTAGCATGAGCGAGCGCTTGAAGCAAAATGCCGCAAACTTGTACACCTGCTCCTCAGTCGGTTCTGGGATAGAGATCGTTACTAGATCGCCTGTGTCCGACATGGCCTCCAGTCCTTCTGTACGACGCATAGCCTCCATCCGCATCGGCTTCGACATGATGCCATGAATGAGATAGCCAAAATCAAACCAAAACGCCGCTTGCTGCTGATACCATTCGTGGTCCGAATTTTTGCTCATCCCTGTGTGGTGCTGTTGCTCGCCTAGATCTGTACTCCCTCGCGGCTCACAGTCCTCCAAATCAACTCGCTCGTCAATGTCGCGTTCTTGGCTAGGCTCATCCCATGACAGACTGGTGTTATTCGTGCGCTGGTTCTCATGCTCTCCGGCAGATATGTCATTATTGCTGCTCCGACTACACCTCTTCGGGGTCAACTTGACCGCCTGTGAGAAACAATGGAACGCCCTCTTTTGCAGGTCTGTAATCTTTGAAAAGTTGTTCTTGATATCCGAGGCACTGAAGACCAGATTTTCGTCCGCCAGAAACGCATAGCAGGTCGCAAGGGAGTACCACGAGTCCCAGCTGTCGGGGTTCACGTGGATGTCAGTCCCGAACTGGTCGATCGCGTGCTGCAGATCCTCGAGAGGCTTGAATTGGTTGTTTTTCGCCTTGTTCCGGAACTGGGCGAGAAATATTTTGCCTTGGATAGCGTAAATTCTCCTGTAAACTGAAGGGAGTTTGCTTGAAGGCGGCTGCAACATAGTGGGCAGATGATTCTTTGAGTTGACTTGAATGGCTTCTGCAAAGTTGATTTCCGACGCAAGATAGGCGTCGATAAGTTGGCGATTCAACTCTAGAATAGAGTTGCTCTCATATGGTGGAGATCCTAATGCCTCTTCAACACGATCCACTGCATCCTTGAGGTCACCCCTAACTTGTCCTCGCAATACTCTATCAGATAACGATCGCTCGAGCAAGGGGAAAAACTCTGTTGCTGCTTTCTTGTCAAAATCCACGGGCTCTGAGGAATGCTCGATAGGATATTGGCCATCTACCTAAGAAAAGATTGTTTAAGAAAGGAAAATCAATGACTTGTGGAGCAAAATTTCGTATAATGAAGGCAGTTGAACGCAACGTACGCTGAGTGATATGCCATAAAAGCAGTAGTAACACTGGTTTTCCTCTTTCCGGTAGAACGCCCCTTGCATTGGAGATGAGACTTTGAGCGCTAGTTTGATGAGCTGATCTATAGAGCGATACGGATCAAACAATATATTGCCATGAGTGTTCTTGGAAAATCAAGGCACATTTCATGGCTGAAATACACCGGCGCCCCTGTCTTACTATCGTCGATTCCGCAGATCTCTCGTACACCAAAGTCGTCGTGGACCTGTGCAATGAGCTCCATGTACAGTTCCTGCGACGGACAGGTATAGAGGCCAAGAGCTGTTGAAGAGTTCGTGGTCAAAGGTTGGGAGAGCACGCGCTGCGTTGTTTCAAAGTCCAAGTCCATGGCCTTCAGGTCCAAGGGCGCCATATTTAACGGCAAGAGTTCCGACATCGTGCGATCTGTATTGTCAGACCCTGAAGTCAATCCTTCCTGGATCCACCCAGGAAGCAGCAGTAGCAGGACGAGCCATACGCGGACCAAGACCAAGTTGAACTGCTCCAGATGTGGTCGATTCTTCAGGAGATCCGAGTATGAAAGTTTGATATCATCATCCACAAGCCGGTCCTGATGAAGAATGTTGACAAACCCAAGTCTTGTAATCGCCAGAACACCGCACACAAGCTTCTGAAGCAGTCGATCGTCGAGCGAATGAAGAAGGTCGGAAAGAGGCGCCGCCTGCAGCGTCTCCCGCAACAAAAACAGGATTTGGGATACTTGTCCAAAGAGGAACCACACCTCCGTAGCCTCACTCTTGTCCGTTATCGTGTTCACGAGCGTCTCAACTACGAGGACAAACATCTCTGAGATGCAATGAAACTGCTTCTCCTTATCTCTCAGAGCCTCGCAAGACTATAACAAACATAAAGGACGTCGCATTAGTTGAAATACACACGCTCATGCATGAACTTAATGCGATAGATGCCAAGAATGTTGGGTTACCTTATAAAGTAGCCCCATGAGCTCCAATCTCTCCGATAACGATCCTCCAATCGAATCGGTGATATCTGATTCTAAATTTTTCTGGTTAGCCCCTCCTGGCATCGAATTGCCTTCTCCCTTCTTTAAGAAGATGGGCTCTAGCCTTGTCATTACGGCGTTATAGTCCTTCTCGTCAAATAGTCGAGCGGAATCTAAAACATACTGGTGAGTCTTCAAACGTCCAAGTCGCTCCTGTATCTTCTCCGCGTCCACCTTGGTATCGTATTTGCTATGTTGCGAGGGTCATACAAAGGAATACTGTTAATACCGTAGCTCAGACAGACGACATCCGCTGAGGTTGCACGCAATGCATACCAATTTGGCAGATGGACATCCAAAGAGGAGTCATCTTTGAGCTGTTGGAAACAGAGTTCAAATCGAGCGATAGCTTCCGAGGCATTACCAAGACACTGAGCATGTCTTCCTAACATCCAGTTAAATCTATTGATAATACATAGGTTAAGACTCAATGTGCCAGCTGTAGTAAATACAAGAAACAAAGCAGGTCAGCTCAAGTCGGCCTTGTTACCTTAACATTGCGGCTCTGACCCATGTTGTGGTCCTTGGCGAGTCAATTTTCCATTTTGAACTTGTCAATGGCGCCTCTAACCCCACGCCAACGAGATACATCCATCGCTGAAAGTTCTTGTCGACCCTGGCGACGTGCTCAGCATCGATCTTTCTGGCGCCCCTGCCTTTCCTTGAGATGACTGTGAATGGGTGGAGGATAGCGTGTACCATCTCGTCGAGATACATCTCGCAAATCGACAATTGAAGCTAGTTGTAGATAGTTAAAGTGATGTCAAAACGCTGGAAAAAGTTGCTTATGTCTCCTGGCACGCCCTCGCACTCCGAGTAGCCCTGTCTCAGCGCAGCTTTACCTCTAGTGTTATCCGCTGCTCGGTATCGTGGCTCGATTCATCCGACCGCGTCTCCTGGTTGAGGTATTCAAGTAGCTGGTCCTCGATCAGGCAGACGACGCTGCTTATCACAGACTGCAACCCGGCAGGCCATCGCTTTTGCCAATTCGATAAAGATTCTGAATTCGGTAGTCCAGAGAGAACAACCAGGGCATATTCGCAAAGATATTCCACGATACCTGAGTTTTGCTCGTTTGCTCTGTGAATAAAGTCGAGAAGCGTAACAGGGTCCTCATAGAAAGATGATATTGGCGGCTCGTCTTTCGCCACATTAAAAATCGCAAAGTGGTTTGTCTTTTGCCTACAGAGAAATCGGTGGTATAGTAGTTTAGGATGGGCCAGCCACTGTATACAAGTCGGTCCCCAGATGATGAAGGACGCTCTGAAAGATACGTTACTGTTGGACATGTTCGATTGTTGAGGCTTGAACGAGTGCGTTGGGACGCTCCAGATGCTTGTTGAAGGTGACCAAAAGTCCATACAGTCCGCTCGGGAAAATCTGCTCTGCCCGTAGTGACCCTGAGTTTGCACCAGATATATATGCATTTTCGATATCCATCCCAAACTTGGAGAGAACAATCCTGTACTTGGACAACATTTCTTGCTCCTCCTCTTCGCGCTTCCTCTTGGTCTCTTCGAACTGCTCGAGTTTGTCCCGCACTCGCTTCGACGTCCTAAACTCAGCGTGTAGATGGAGATTTGAAGAATTAGACTGGGATGGCGTGTAGTAGGTGCAGCTCCGTGACAACCCTCTCTCTCCTGAACCATACCTTAATCCAGATCGCTCCTCAACCTCTTTTCTTTTCCGTTTTATAGCCGCGTTTTGCTCTGTCTCTGCAGTATCTTTATCACCTTGGTCCCCAACGTCATCTCCAACAGTAGCTGCTGGCCCGCTTGCTTCTATGGGCTCCTGCGTGAACGGCTCCGCCATGGCCTTGGATTCTGGGGGCACTGGTTCTTCCGTAGCTAACTCTACTTCCATAGTAGCAACGGGTTCCTGGATTACCAAAGGCACCTCTCCCATGTCAATGTCCTCGCTGGTTGCCTTTTGTGTCCGAATCACTAGGCGCTGGTTGCAAAAGTCTGGGTCTGGGTCTGCTAGCATCGCCTTGTACTCCTCCAGCAGCTTCTCGCCGAGAGTAATCCAAGACGGATCCTCTAAAACCAGCTGCTTTACACTGGTCTCGATATTATTTGAAGGTGCTGTATCCAAAGCGATGCGGCCGAAATTAGTTAAGTCCGGTCCATCCTGAAGCTGGCTGTGGATCAAATTTTGGAGCTCTAGCCCTCGCTGAAAATAAGGCGATACCCTCAGCGCCTTTTGGATGTAGTCCTCGCATGCTATAAAGTCGCCAATCTCGTAAAGAACCTAAGCAGCAGACAAGAATAAGTGCCCAAAGGTCAGATACAAATGACAGCGCTGTAAAATAGAGCCTTGTTTTGCAAGAACCTACATTGCACAATGTCTCCAGGCATGTCCATTGAGAAGGCGTGAAGTCATGATCTGGCCAATCATTTGAGAATACGTTGTTGGTTGCTGTGTTGTCCACCCCGTCTGTGCGTTGTTGCTGCAGTCCGCTTTCCAATGCATAGCGTGCTAGCTTGAGCTTTTTTTCGTCTGCCGCCATCGTCCCAATCTTGATCCATAGCGAGTTATCCGAACAGTCAAATGCAATCGCCTAAACGGTTCAATAAACACAAGATCAGTCGCTTGTATGAGGTACCCTCCAGGGTGAATGGATGCGGCAGTCATACCTTTAGATAGTATTGGAGTGCTAAGGCGTTTTCTGCGACCTGCTCAAGAATGTACGCATAATTCGTATAGACCAGGTACTGCAAGCGACGGAGAGGCGTACCCCGGGCCGCTATCTCTGACTGTCACACATAGAATCTTAATGTTAGGCGGAATCCAGAGCGTGTATCCAAGACCGATCCATGATAGTTCTCGTCCGCTTACGTCGTTATCGATATTCTGGAAAAGATCAGAGTCTATTAGGTCCTTAAGCATCCCCTTCGATTCTTCTAGCTGCCCTTTCTGCAGCAATCGAATCGCGCCTTCGTATACGCCTAAACATTTCTCGGCCTACAAAGGCGTTTAGTATTGGTGGCAACTTAGAGGTGATAAGAATGCAATCCATAGTTGCCGCGCATAACGGATGGTTCTTAATTCTGCATACCTGAATCTCCACGGACTCCTCCTCCTTTGACTTTGACTGCTCCTCTTCGTTCAGTACCGCGAAACGAATCTAGTATGGCATGGACATGCTAATGTTAGAACCAAAAGCATCACAGGCGGTGCAATCTGTGGCATAGCTGGCGGAGTTCTACCGTACCATGGTATGAAAAGAGTGTCTGAGTTGAGCAGGGCAGGTCGAAACGAGGGCCGCAACTCAGTAATGGGTGAACGGCAGAAAAGTGAGAAAGTAAACGCGATGGCATGCAAACCAAGATGTCCTCCAATGTCAAGAGCACAGGAACACCGCGTTCGAATCCTAGGTGGCTTTTGGTCTTTATTGGTGACTCGTGCTTTTTGACTATAACCGATTTGACTGCGACAATCGAGCCCGTGGCAGGCGTCAAGCGCAATGGCGGAGATCGTGTTTCCTCGTCCAATATCAGCTCCAGTGCTTCATGCAGATTGAGCTCCGTATTTCCCACTTTACTTGGTCTTGACAAAACGCAATTTGGTAGGCGAATATTTAAAGTTGTCAGCGTAGATCTTCTTCTTAAAGACCTTTTCGTTGGGCTCCTGAAGAGTAAACTCCCATCCTAGAAGCAGCAGATCGTTCAAATATTAGTTCCGACGAATTAATTTCGCCCGAAATCCTGCGTGGAATGATATAAAGATCTCTTAATGCGCGCCGTAACCAACCTTGTCTTTCGGCGAATGCAATTGCGTCCTCTTTCGCGTTGAACTTCATTTGAAGAGCTTGCATATAATCCGAGCTGAATGGCAGCGAAATGACAAATGATGCGATATTAGCCAAAAGGTGCTTTCGCTCATAAAGGCAATGTGTGGCAAAAGGCAGAAGCTCGTAAGTGTGATATACCTGGAAGCCCAACCGATCAGCTCGTTCTCAAAGCGCCCGCCCTCGAGATCAGTGTCGAAGTCAAGTCTCCAAACTTCAGTGTTACCGACTCCGGACTGTGTAGCACTCTTGCAGGCCTTGTAGATGCGGCATGGATGCATCCGGACTTCCTCTAATAGCCAAGGACAAGAGCAGTTCAGAGTCCTGTCATGAATTGCCTCACCGCATCAGGGAAATCGAATGGGTTCATGTGTATCGCATATCATCGCTTCGGTAATAATGTAGCTCAGCAGGCGTCTGTTTCCTTTCTCAGTTCCAGGACTCACCTGGAGCTCCGCTAATGACCTCTGCCTGGAGTGCACCAGGCTCCTGTAACTCAGTAACGGAGGTCGATGTCGAGTAGAGATGTCTTGCGACAGAAGAGGGGGCAAACCTGGGGGTAGCAATCAGAGGCATTCGCAGGACCTGCTTGACAATCGTAGACGCGGACATGGTGAATAAATGGGTAAATGGGAGTAATGGTGAGAAAGTAATTCACTTTCCTACATATTTCACTTTCTCTCCTTTTCTCTCTCTAATTGCACCCTTGATGCATTCCGTAAATGCACTAGGGATAGGGTGTGCTTCGACGGCCTACTCGCGGCGTTATACAGACATCTTTATTTGATTCTTTCCTTCTATCTTCATTCATTTCATTCACCTCCTCATCCCATTCCTCTTCCTTCCAACTCGTCTTGGCTCGCAATGTATCGAGTTGCAGCCTCGTCAGAAGCAACCCTCCGCCGGTTCTACACGCCTGGCTCCTCGGCACGCCACAATTTCTCTTCTTCCCCTCTCACTTCAACGTACACACGATGTTTCAGCGCGACAACCGTTCCTGCGACCCCACGAGGCATCCGATCTGCACTAGCCATTCCCAGGTCCTATCGATCTTCCAATCCTACTCTCGTCACACAGCCAAACCCCTTCGCAAGGACAAAGAAGGTGCCCAATACTAGCTTACGGCGTGGGTTCACAACAGAGACAGAAGCCGCGGCTGCTGAGGAAGAGGTATGGAGTACGGGTTCGAGAGGACCTGCCTTGGTAGAATGATGAATACCTGTCGTCACTTCTGACGCGCGCGAATCCAACCTAACCTTATTTTTGCTACGAATTCATCACAATTCGCCCAACAGCTGCCGTTGAAATATGGACTGCTGTACTTTGACAACGCATATCCGCTCAAGATGGGCTGGTGGGACGTCCGCTACTCGTTGCTCCGTCCAGGCTGGCGATCTCTTGAGCGCAAGGCCAAGAAGGAGCTCGTACCCCCTGAGAACGGCATGCCATTTCACTTTAAGGTCGGAGGCATTGAACCTAGGTAATAGCTCGCTCTAAGTATGTTGCAGAATGCCTGCAACGCCTAGTCCCGCTCATGCTCTGTGCTTAACCGCCTCTCTGTTTATTTGTATTGATAGACTTAAAGATGGAGGAATGTTTCTCCATTTTTCGTATGTTCATCCCAGCTCGTACACAACCAAGGAGGCCTTGAAAGAGATCGAGAGTAGATGCGAGCAGCACCTCTTGGGTCACGGTCACTATATGTGGTTCAACCTTCAAAAGGTGCGCGCTTTCCTGGTGAAGGGCACCCCATTCTTGGAGGATTTGTCCAGTCGGTATCCCAATAAAAAGATCAGGATCGAATACTCAGGAGGCCTCGGCATTGAAGGCCTGTATGAGCTATTTCGAAAGTATGGCAAGATTGTAGACATCGTTCAAGTGGCGCCAGTCAAGGATATGCCACAGCAAGCAATTGTCCAATACCAGTTCATGCGTTCTTCCACCAGCGCAAAAAACTGTCTTCATGGAACAGAGGTCAATGGAGTGAAGATCCATGTCACGTACGAGAGGACGTTAAAGGGCAACGTTATCTGGACCTGGCTCTCGAACCACCCCAGGATCAGTGTTCCGCTTGGAGGATTCATGGTCGCAGGAGTGTCGCTCATCATCTTTGATCCGATCCGAGTATTCAGCATGCACGCCAAGATTATCCAGTTGTTTAACGTCAACGAATATCCAATTTTAAAGTGGCTGCGCAAGGAGACAATCGGACGTCTTACTCGAGCGCCTGTTGATTCCCTTCAGGCTACAGGATGGCGTGAGCGAGAGGAAGAAGAAGAGAAGCTGCGCGTCTGGTTACGCAATCCCCCAGGTACAACCTCTCCAGGATGGAATTAGCAACCGACCTAATGTGCGAGTATCTTGGTAGACATCTAACTGGCCAAACCATCTTACTTCTCGCATAGAAACATTTGCCATTGTTCAGGGGCCACGTGGCGCCGGAAAGACGGATATGGTGGAGTATGCAATCAAGGAGAAGAAGCACAGAGTAGTCCTCCGCTGTGAAGAGTTGGCAAATGCCAGGAGCGAGGGCGAAGTCTTGACCAATCTGGCCAAGCAAGTCGGATACGTTCCCTTGTTCCAATTCATGAACACGTTTAACAATATGATGGACATGGCCATCGCCGCTACCACAGGACAGAAGGCTGGTACGTGCTTGAAAGTATCAGCTGTTTGCGACTGATGTTACGACCTAGCCATGCTAAGCATTGCCTTGTCTTGCTACATAATTCGCAGGTTTGTCTGCAACTTTTGAGGGACAGTTGAAAAAGATCTTGGATACTTTGACTGTTGCTATCCAGCAAGCATCACCCACCAGGAACATGTCTAACGTCTCACCGGAGAGTATCATGAAAAAGATCGAGGTGACATTGGAAGAAAAGGCGCACAGAGCCGAAGTGACATCAACCTCAGAGGGCACCATGCCGACTCAGAACATCGGTCCGAGACGAGCAGCCAGGGCCAAAGCCAAGGCTAAGAAGGATGCGGAGAAGGAGGAGAGCAAATGGTGTGATCCAGATGACATTCCGGTGATTTTGATCGACGGATACATGTCGAGAGAGAAGGGACAGCATACCAAAGAGCTCTGGACTTTCTTGGCAGAGTGGGCTGCTGTGTTGGTGGAGAACCATGTTGCACATGTCATCTTCATTAGCAATAACGTCGCTGCTGCGAAACCACTTTCAAAAGGTACCATATCTGTCTGGCATATTTGGAGATCGCATGTCATCGTCCGAGACCGCGGGTAACTGATATTCACCTATCTGGATGCACCCTAGCGCTCCCAAACATGACCTTCGAGACAATTGTGCTCTCTGATGCGAGCTTGGACTCTGCAATGGAATTTGTATACAAGCACCTGGACAAGGAAGAGTACCCAAATCTGAAGAAGTCCGTCGAAGTCATTGGTGGCCGCTTGACTGATCTGGAGCTGTTCGTGCAAAAGGTCAAGAGCGGCATGAGCCCCGAAGGTATGTTCCCTTCTCATCGAGCCCTTATCCTCAAAATGTGCTGCCATTAAGCACTCAATACTGAGTACGCATGCATTGAACTACTGCTTTGACACATAGACTCTGTGCGTGATATTTTGGGGAGAGCCATCATTGAGGTCAGAAAGAACGCGTTCGATTTTGACAGCACTGACAACAAAACTCTCAGCTGGACGCCAATTCAATTTTGGGCCATCATGAAGCAACTGGCCGTGTCCGATTCTGTAAGTCGCGCTGGCCTGATTCGTCCATGAGCGGATGATTTCCTAAATGGGGAAAGATGGTTCGCTGACATGCGTTTTTCAAATTTCTTTAGATCAGCTACGATGAGCTCAAAATTGATCCGCTATCCAAAGGCGACGAAGCGCCGTTCGCCGGCATGGAACAGGCAGAACTTATTACCATTAGTCATAAGAATGGTAAGTACAAAAAAGAACTATTTCAGGTTTAATGCCGGGATTCTGTAAAGGCGACAGTTCCATGAAAAGAAGGAAGTGATTTGACCGCGTTTTTGTTCTCGTATCGCTGATGTCTAGGTCGACCATATGCAGTGAAGCCCGGCAAGCCAATCTACCGTGCAGCGTTCCAGCAGATTCTCTTGGACGAAGGGTTTGCTGCAGTTATGAACTTGGAATCGACTGCGTTCCTAGAGAAGCTCGAGAATGCGAACGTGGTCAAGTTGGAGGGCGAGTTGAAGGAACTCTCGAATCTACTGTACCGGGACGGTTCGTGGCTCTTTGGGGGCGGCCGTATTCCGAAGGAAATCGATACTCGTGCCAAGTGGCTGATGAAAAAGCTGGCAGACAGCCATGCCAAGATTGAGCAGTACGAGCAGGAGATGGGTCAATCCAAGAAGGTCGTCGCAGCCCAAGACGTACACACCTCGAACTAGTGAACAAAATAAACCTACCAATGAACATAGAGCACCGATCCAAGTACCGTATGGATTGGCAGTATGCTTTTATCTGCAGGCCCTATTGGCTACAGCAGTAAATCATGGACGGCATTCTCATCCAACCCCTGGATCCAGGTGCGAAACGTGTTTTGAAATATGGACACAATGGATGGTCAGGATGAACATTTGATTTGGTGAACTTGCAGCTCGGTTTGCAAGACATATTATTCATTTTGAGATTTTATTACAGGCCTGCAATTACGCATGCGGAAGAGAATGGTGATTTCCAGCCTTCGCGTTCCGACTTGATGCCTCGATAATCTTTAATCGAGTTTCCTCCGACCGCCTCGATTAGCGCCACCACTGTTATTCAGTGCATCGTTTGCTGCAGCCTCAGCCTCGAGTCTTGTCTGGCTTCTAGCTTGGGCCTGCTCGCTCATTCGGACAAAGTACGGACGGATCAGCAGCCACGCTGCAATCAGGATGCCAGAGAAGATGATGTCATTCTGCGAGTACGAGATGTAGTTGCCCATGGTTATACGAAGAGGAAACGTCCTTATCTGATAGTCAGGAACAGAAGGAGTCTGAAAGAGAAAGAGAAAGAGGGAGAGGGGGAGAGAGAGAGAGAAAGAAAGAGAGGAGGGCAAAGGTTGAAGGCGTGAGGCCAAGAGGATGGAGTGAGATGGGAAAGAATCCAAAAGCAAAGTATGAAACGGCCGTCCCATCATAATTCGATACCGAACATACCAGAAATTCCAAGTATTACATTCCCCTACTTGAAAGACATGCATGGAGATAATGCTCTTCTAAGATCTTTGTCTTTCATTGATGTCTAAAGAAGTACGTTCCTCTGTTCCTCTGTCGAAAATAATTTAGTGCCTTTAAATGGTGCTGGTCCTTCATCAGCCTACGATGTACCTGTCAGAAGACGACCATTGCACTGTACCCCCTCCCTCTCTCTCTCTCCTCATCTTTTTTTTTAACTGTGGTCAATGAGCCTGCCCCGCTATTTTGTGAGAATGGGCATGCCATGTGGGGGATGTAAAACTTTCAACGTCATAAGGTTGGTATAGAACCTGCTATAGTAGCGACTCTGAGAAAGGGATCTGAGGAAGTACACCTGTATTCGATTGATATCTTTTTTTCTTTTATTAGAACTTGGCGGCATGTGAATAATGGTACTGGTATAAGATAGTCAAAGGCATAGGGACCGCTACTCATGCTCCGGGCCCTGGTTGTTGTTTTCTTCCGCTCCATGGATTATTTAGCTGGCCTGGATGTCCAGCTTCGCGGCTGTCTCTTCCAACGTAGGCTCTGGTTTCGCTTCAAGACCTCCATTGGTCTCCGCCTTCTCCAAGTTCACAGTTGAAAGATCTTCCGCATTGGCCTGATGCTGCTCCTTCTCTTTCACTTCGTCTGATGCGATGGTGGCAGTAGTGCTTACCACGCCATTGGCAGAGTGACCATTCACATGGGCTGCATCCTTGACGGGCACTGCCTCCGTCGAAACCGCTGATGATACCGCTGTCTCGGATGTTTGTTTCTTTGTCTCATCTTCTGAGGGCACAACGATAATGTTGACTGGTGAAGAGGGCCCCTTCGTCTCCTGTGTGCCGTTCTCTGCTGTTGCTGCTGCCAGTGCTGCTGCCTTCTTCTCCTTCGCTGCTTTCTGTTCTTCCTCCGCTGCTACCAATCCCTCAAATTCGTTCACCTTGCCCAACAGATCGCCACTACCATTTACACCTCCGTTTAGCCATAGAAGACTATGAGAGTTGCTTAGTCGGAAGCTGCCTGACGGTGAAGATGTCTGGAAAACGTGTCCTGTTCCATAAAGTGAATCCCTCAGTCTTGGAGATGGTGGTGCGAAATGACCGAAGCGAGGCGAAGGTGGCGAGGAACCAGAGCGAGGCGAGGGTGGGACTGAAAGAGCAGAGCAGATCGAGTTGGAGCTGGAATCTGTCTGGTCTGCAAGGAACTGACTCAAAAAATCGACGATCAGCGGCTCTTTCATTGAGTTTAGCTTGTACTCTTCCAGCGACAGCTTTCCATCGTTGTTGACGTCCAGATCGTCAAAGATTCGTTTGACCAGCTCTTGGATTTGGTGCGTCTCATCCTGGCTGGACCCAGCGACCACAGAATGCTAAACAAGATGATAAAAATAACCCCAGCAAACACAGATTAGTAAAAGAGCAGAAAGCCCTCCTAAGGAAACCCCCATTAAACTATTAAAAAGAGCATGATGATTTCCCAACGGTAAGGCATAGATAACAAAACGATGGACAGAAGTGACTTTCTCTACTCGATCAATGTCAACACAAAAAAAAGAAAAATGCACACTTACGAGCTGGGTCATGGCCTTCTCCAGTCCTGGTCGAGTGATGTATCCGACGTGGTCAATATCGTACAGCTTGAAGGACACTAAATAAATAAATGGAACAGTGGAACACTTGATTATGCATTGGCCGCTTGTCGTGAAGAAATCTATAGCAGAAAACCAATAAAGAACGTGCGCGCACAAGGAAAGATGACCTACGTTCAAGTTTCTCATCCGGGGTACCCTTCATGAAGACACTTAATCCCTCGATGAACTCCTTGAAATTCACGCCCTTTGAGTTAGGATTGGTATCAAAGGCAGAATAGAGCCTTGTCAAAAAGACATCGTCCAGGGGCGACGAGTGCAAGATACGGCGGAAAGTCTAGAGAAAGGTGACCAAAGAAAAAAAAAAAAAAGACCCAGAGGGGGAGAGTGTTAGCTCGGTTTGTCTCCGAGGCAGCAGCTATATAGACTGTTGGGTAAGAAAACAAGAACGTGGCCCCTCTGCATTAGAATTAACCCATTTGCAATAGGCGGATGTCCATTGGTCTTAAGTAATCATGTATCATTTTTTTCTTGTGCTCTTGAAACTGTTCCTGAGGTCTCCTCGGATGTCACTCCAAACGTGGCCATCTCCGTGTTGTAGGGGCCCTGCGCCTGCACCTCCGCCAGGCCGGACTAATTGTTCGTGTGTGTATGTATGTGTCATCCATCCATTTACATTTCCAGTGAGCCCTCCATTTCTGTCGTGTTTCGAAAGACGAGGGAGGGGGACAATAAACCTATGACCAGTAACTATTCCAAGAACACGCCCCCGGTCCACCAATGTCTCGTGCGCCCATGACACGATGCTGCAACAGATTAGATAGCATTATGGAAGCTGAAGGAACAAATAAATAAGAAAACACGCCCGCACTGTGTCTTCCTTTGAACACAAAAAGATGGCCAGTAGCCCAAACACAAGGGAAGAAAAAAAAAGATCGTAATATGCCGTTTCGAACCATGCCAGCGGCGAAAGTTTTCCTCAGCAGACTCTTCTCTTTGTCAGATAGATGGTCAGAGTACGATAAAAAAAGGGGAGATGGATTGCTACAGAATGGTAAATTGGCTATTCGTTCAGCTTGCCTCTTTGAACTGTGCCTCCGTGAGGACATTAGACTTTGAGGCGTTCGAGGTCTTTTCGAACTCTCGTCTCAGCGTGTTGATCTCTCTTTTCGAGACTATTGGGAAGAGGCAGAGGAGAGAATGTTAGAGACGGAAAGAACAACAGCGGTGCGGATGGTATAGCGGTAAAGTAGGCAAAGTAATTACAGTGAGTTCGCCGTGCGAGGTCCTTGTTTTCTTTTGAGTGTTTGGCTCCCATGGCTAGTGTCGAGGGGAAGAGGCGATGGCAATAGGGTCGTGGCAGAAATAAAAGGGGAGACTGTTGGAAGTTTGCAGCCGAAGGGATGGATGGGGAAAGAGGAGGAAATGGGTGGAGTGTGATTGAGATTAGGATTCAAGGTGATGAGATATTATAAGCTCTGAATTGAGCACGGGAACCGACAGGCCAGGGGGACAATCGGCGTTGGGGTGGTGGCCCTGCTTTGCCACGAAAATTTCATCTCCAAATGAAAAAAATTCCGAGTCCGTTGATTGGACCAATCGCGTTGTCCTTGGGGTATGTGCGTAACTTTTTTACCGTCAGACGCGCTTCTTCGTGTTATTCATGGACTCATCGATCCTATCTCCAAGGGAGTGGACCCTGGCTGGAGGCCGGAGCACGTTCTCGCTTGTAAACAAGTGAGCTATTATTTTGGCTTGTATCCGTGTGCAAACCCTTTGCAAAAGACTTTCGTTTACTACGTAATGTCCTTCCGCCGCCGTGATATCATAAGCGCTTCACCAACAATCAAATCCGGTCTCAAATACGTCACAGAATTCATCCTTGCAAGAAAGTAACGTATCTGAACTGTAGAGTGTGCTTGCTGCTTGCTGACACAGATATTTCTACATAGTCTATAGTCGCTTAGCGCCAGGGGTTTCCATCCCTTCCAAAAATGAGGCTGCTCGCTTGCGTCCTCCAGCCCGTCCTTGCTTTACTCTTTCCCCGCCGCGCTACTGCTGCTGCTGCTACTCCCTCCGGCTTCTGCGCGTGGTCTTGCATCATCCTTCAAGGGTAGTGCCCGTCCTTATCTACTGGCTGAAGATAGAGCGGTCACTGTTGATGGAGTAAATGGCCGCGAACGACGTTGCAAATGTTGTGTCCTGCCATAATATCGCGGCGCATGGAAGTGCCGCGGGTTGAGCAGTATAGCATTCGGATCTCAACCTGCCTAAATCTCTCGCCCTTCGCGTGGCTCACGCCTGCCGACGTTCGAGAGCATATTTGTAATAAGGAACACAGGAGCTTTTCACCTAGGCCAATCGATTAGGTCTTGCTGAGAAGGAATGATATCTCTGTGCTCATAGTCCACCAGTACTAGCTCCTGGAGTTATTTCTTGAGCGCAGTATTTTGCCAAAACAAGATGCCGAGCCCACACCCAGAAAACGACATGAAAGGCTGCTCCGTGCCCGTTAGTGGGGCCGTCTGGCGATAACTTTTGTTGGACCGGTTCAAAAGCGCGAAATTCACGATCGCTGGGATGCCTTGGTCGATCTCTGTATGTGATCCATCTGATATGAGACCCTTCATCTCCAAAGTCTTAAGCTATTATAGGCAGATTGCCAATGTTAGTATTGTCGTTCTTACAGCTGGCCTCTACTAGCACACATGTAGCGATAGAACACAAATTTTGTACTCTACCTTTTTCTCGAGCTCATTGCTGCTCCTTCTGTATTATTTTTTGATTTTACTGGACAACTGCGATGAGCAAAGCCGCAGCAGGGTACGGCTTCCTGATCAAGCTTGCAGCTCTATTGTTCCTTCTCTGCAGCAGCCCAAGGTTCGCTATTCGATCAACGAACTGTTAAACGCGCTTAGCAACCACATTCGTCGTGACGGTGGGGTCGCCTGTGTAGAGATGCTGGCGCAGCACAGTATGGAAGCGTAGGTGGTCTGAGTCCTTGCGCCCCGTGTCATCATCATCCTAATCTTCCTCCCCCTGCTTTTCTTCCTCCTCTTGTTCATCATGATCACCCGCATCGACATCTCGCTCGACTTTGATCTTGGACAAGACACATGGACAGATATTGTGCAATATATCTCTGTCTGTTGCACCAGGCTCGCGTGAAGCAAAGAGACTCTCAATGAACCGCCCCATGAGTCGCTACCCCTGCCACTTGATGTCGGACGCAACCCGAACAACATCCCGGAGACACCTCTTGATTTCAGACACCAATTCCGACTCTCCCAAAGTCTGCTTCAGATTGGCATAAACGGTTTCGACACCGAGGGTCACTGTCAGATGTCCCCAATTCATAGCTCGAACCAAGTCAGTCTTTCCTGTCGAGGCGCTTACTGGCTTTGGCGCAGTCTTCTTTTTCTTTCTTCTTCTTCTTCTCTTTGAAAGAGCCAGCGTCGAGATCCAAGGGATTCTCGGGTGCTTTTTCCCATGCCTTCCATGTGTACTGCTTCATTGCTTCAGGCGGTTCATGCTCCTTGAGTCGAGTGCGCTGTTTGACAGAATATCGCGATCGGTGTTGCGGGGTTTGGTACGAGGCTGGGCAGGGTTCATCTCACCTGCAGTCTGTGCCTGGTGTGGAGCAGGGTGATCGATCGTGCGATACCTGTTGAAGGTCTGCGAAGACTTGTGCCGCCGAGTCTTAGTACCAGTTGACTCGCTATTAAATTTATTAAAATTGATAGCGATCATAATAAGTTAGAGTTAATTTATACATGCCTTCATGCAAGTGGGAAGTTCTTACTAAGCAAGGCTGTGTTTGACGTTGTATACCTTCTCTTCGCCTCGCGTGCCTCTCGCATTTCCTTATGCATTTGGGAGCACCACTGAGAAATACAATCGAACTGCTTCCGAAGACTGTTATGGGTCATGGCAGCTTGAGCTGAGGGGGAAAGGAGTAGGCCAATCTGCACAGGGGTCTGTAAAAGATCCATAAAAACCTTTTGCGAAGTGACAAACGTCTTCTGGGTAGTATTCTTGCGCAAAACTTGATTGTGTGCCAAATAATGCTTTGTCATTGTCGCAGCGTCTGCAATCCAAAAAAAAAAAAAATGCCGAGACGTTAGAATCGATAATACGTTTTCTGCATTAGTGATATACACGATGATCTGATTGATCTGTTTACCTACTCCATCCAGCTCCTTGATGATTTTGTAGTTGGTTGCACTTCCGAGAGAGGGGATGTTGCGATTGTAGTCGTTTTTTTTATACGACACCAAGTACAGTAAACTGGACCAGGATGAGACCTAAAATCGCATAGACGCTTGGAACGTTGTACACAAGGAGTTTTCCTTTTGAGATGGGTCGCCAAATGGTCTCGACATTCTTGTACATAAGCATGTCACTGTCTTTTGATACAACGATGTCGCCAGGCTTGCATTCAAGGTCTATTATGAGATCTGCCTCGGTCGAGCGCTCGACGACCCTCCATCGTTTCTTGCGCATGTATATGGCAAAGGCGCGTCGAGCGTCTAGGAACCAGTAGAAGGCTGAGCTCAAGTATTTTTTAATGTCGATGAACTGGTGTTTCGCACGCGAAGCTTTTTACCCACGCGGACCTCGAGCTCACGCAGACATTTGTCGGCGCAGTTAACAGCTTTCTTGCGAAGGTTCTTTCGGTGCAATTGAGCGAGTCCTTTTTCTTCCGAAGGAAGGCCGTCCAGGTAAAGAACCAAGTTCGTCTGGGTCCCAAACTTCAGTATCTCTCGCTCGACAATGCGATGAGCATCGTCCATAGGGTGCGAAGAATAACCGTAGCGAATGGTGACATAAAAAGATTCAAGGATATCGACTCGAATCACCGAATTGTGATCAATGGAACTGGGGAGGTTGGATAAGTGGGGGTACTGATAGCGAAGAGCGGGTTCATACCCTTTCTTAGAAAGGGCCACAGGCCCTCAATGTCTACGGTAGTTTACACGACGAACGATATGGTATTTTATTTCAAGGAATGACAGCGTGGGAAGAATGAGGATTTGAGAGGGAATTGACCATGGAAAGTGCGAGATAAAATGTATTGTGTGTTAAGGAAGAAAAAAAGTGTACAATAGCAAGCGAAAGATATGATGGACGTAGATGGACTCGTACTTGGATACGCTTCGCTATTTCTGCACCGAAGATGGAAGCAAGGCAAGCAAAAAAAAAAAGATGCGCACTTTTGAGAACTCCACTTACTTGAAGAAGGCGAATGCTCGATAACGCCAGTAGAGCCGTTTTTTTCAAAAACCTCGGATGGCTAGTCCACTTCTGGATTCTTCGTGTCTCCGACAGAATAGATCACTGGCGTCAATCCTTGTCATGCTCTCAAAACGGTCGAGGCTGCCGATCTGCATTCCTTGCACCCGACTCTTTAGTGTCTGTATCGAAAAAAAGGGGCGACGAAAATTACTTTCGTTAGAGGAACAACGCCCTTATTCATGCGCGAATGGTGGGCCAATCTGTGCCAGTTCGTTGAAACTGGTATATGCTAAATAGATCTTGGACGAGTAAACGCTGGGAGTTGCTGGCTTAGCCAAAGTATGGGATTGAGCGTGATGCGGATGGTTCAATCATGCGCCTATCCTTGTATGAGGCCGACTGGTCAAGATCAAATGACAACTCTCTAAGCAAGGCCATGTAAAACGGATCTGACCATGGCATTGAAATGGAGCACCTCCGTGATAAGGAGAAAAGCGGCATTTGTGCTTTATCAAGGAGAGAGAGAATGCTCGTAGGCCGCGTGTACACTTTTTTGATCCTTTTCTTTCCAACAGCAAAAGAAAGGAGAGGAGAGAATGTCGCACAAGATGCTGTTACTTCACGCGATTAAAGCATGCAGTGAGGTCAGATAGTCTACGTGTGTTTGTGCACCATAAAGCCAGAGGAAAGAACAGACGAGGAGATCGCAGCAAAAAAAAAAAAAGGAGCGCTGAACCTGCGTTTTGAACCAGGTGAGGTCGTGAGCAGCGGCGGAAAGGGGATGGAGTCAGAGTCGATATTCTATGGTTAAACATTCCTTGGACCTTTTTGATCTGTCTGGTCCATTGGAGGATTTTTTTTCTCAATATGCATGGGTGCATGCCGCCGTAACAAAGTCGTATGAAGAAATCGTGAGCACGCTGCTGTGTCTCCGTTGTTTCGTGCTTTGCCAGTGATCACATATGCATATCCACACGCACACAAGTGCGCACATGCATATCCTGTGTTGACCTTATATACATATTGTAGACCGCCACCGAGAATGCGCCTGTCTGTCGGCAGGATTTCTGACGGATCAGACTATTGGTCGCAGGATCTTCTGAATACGCGGACCAAACAAACAAAGACAACAGCCGTCGTTTGTTTGAGGAACATTGAACAATGTCTAGGTAAAGACGCAAGCATGGGAATGTGCCTTATCGCGTATAATAAAGCTAGTGCATCAGTCCTTGGGATGTTACCGCTGTTTTTCTTCAACTGCGCTAAAGGGTGCAGTAGCCGAAGGGGGACATTCTTCCCCCTGTCCGTTTTGTTCGTCTTTTTCCTGTTTCAACTCCCCTCTATGCGTCTGGGCTATCATACCTGCTCATCAGAGCAACTTCCCCGCCCGACCCTTTTTTTTTTCTTTATTGTGATAATGTCCTGCAAGTTCTTGCACGGACTGAGTTATTTAGTTGTTAATGGTCTGTTGGAGCTCTCCTTTTCTTCTCCTGCGCAGGGGAGTAGGTGACGAAGCTGGTTTTGGGATTAGGAAATGAGAAAGCTCTTTTCGTCCCTCATGATCCTGTTACGTTTGTTTGAGGAGGAAGAGATGCGGTTCGAGGACGAGGACGAGGACAAAAATGAGGTCGAGGGTCAATGGGGTCGAGACATTTGTTCTGAGTTCATTTCATGCAAACTTGTTTTTTTATTATCATCACAAAGTCTCCTTTGGCGTGTTTTCTTTGGTCTTTGGCTCAGATCGTTGGAATGAGGAGAGACCAGTCTGACCTGGCAGGACAAGCGGACAAAACATAGAACGGAGAAAGGCAGCTGTCGAATGCAAATGCTGCTTTGCTTTTGCTCGATGGGTTTCGCTCTCATGCTATGATCAGACAACGATAGCATCGAAATATGTTACAAACATACATCCTCGACAACTCTTCATGCAAATCATTTCGTAGGCATGGCATGGTTGGTCGGGCTCTTCCGGGTTCCCATCCATACCAACTTGTGTGCCTCGAGTCATACTAATATGGCCGAGCAAGGTACACCATAGGACAGACCACATACGCACACGCCAGAAAGCAAAATACACAAGGCGCATAGACAATGCATATAGCAAGGAATAGAAAGAGCAAGTGTCCACATTCAATCGTCGCAAGCCAATTCGATAATGTAAGAACAGCGTTCTCGTGCTCCGTTCCCTCTTTCTCTTTCTAATCGCTACATTGCCTCATTCCAGTTGGCATCCTGTCCTTGATTTCGTGCTAGCAATATGCCTAAGAAACTGTTCAACTGACAGCAGGGGGAGGGCGTGCTATGTACTCTATGTGATACATTCATACTCATATTGTCTGTTCATGACAAGCGGTATATAAATACCCTCGCCTTCTTCAGTAACCGCCCTTTGATTTCATTTCTCATCCTCTTTGACGACTTCGCCTTCTCCTTCCCTCTCATTGCTATAAAAGCATCTCCGAATCCAGGGCATCTTCTTCGCTTTTCTTTCCTTTATCACCTCCGTTTCTAGCGCCCTTCCTCTTTAGCTCGCACGCCTCTCTCACTTCTACTGAACCTCCTCTCTCCCCTCCACAGCCCTACCGCTATCGCTAACCAACATGGAGTACGCAGAAATGCCCAACATCGCTACATCGCTCCCCCATTTCCGTGAATCCTTTCCTTCACCCTCTTTCAACGTTCCCTCAGAATACACACCATCCAACACATTTATCGCACCTCTCTCGGCATCATCCCTTCAGGCCTACAACAACATGAATGCCTCAATGATGTCAACAAAGAGGAAAGTTCACGACTTTGACGTCCCCCTTCAGGACGAGTTCGAGACCATCCACGACTCCAAACGTCTGATGCTTGACAATCCCAGGGTCGGTCTCCCGATCTCAGGCACACGTCAACGTCAGGAATCCGGCTGCTCCGTATCCTCCACCTCGTCCTGGTCGTCCTCCGCTTCCTTTTCGACTGTCTGTTCTTCAGCGACCGTGCCTGATCTGTTACCCTCGCCTCCAAGCCGATCTGTGGCCTCGTCTCGCTCCCCTTCGCCCTCGGAATCTGCGACAGATGGGGATGAGTACAACCCATTGTGGCATATATGCGAGGCTATTGCACTGGCAGAGAAGCAGAATGGCCCTCTGGCACAGGTCAAGAAGACCGCTGCTGCTGCTAATGCTAAATCGGGATCATATTCTACGATCACCCCCTTTACTCCCAGGACTAAGCGAGAGCGTGATGATAGCATGTGTGGTCTCAAGATCGTGTTCCTTGAACCCAACTGGCTGGCTGAGCACATGGCCAAGTCGAAAAGGTTCGCTGCCCTCAAGAAGCAACAACAGCAACAGCAACAGCAGCAGCAACAATACCAACATCAATATCAACACCAATATCAACAACCCCGTTATTGAATCGGCGGTGTTTCCATTTCTTACCACGGAGAGGGGAACTTCAAGGCCAAAATGACCTTGGCCGCATTTGTGCATTATCCCAATATCTTTACCAGTCATTTGTACATAGCCATCCTCGCCCATTGTTCTTTATCATCTTTGTATCAAAAAGTAGTGCGTTTGTTTTATTTGCATAACTTACTTCCCCCGTCAAGTTTCAGTATCATGGCGTTGCTCATCGAAGAAAAACATAGTTCTCAACACGTACGCTTGATCCTGCACCTTGCGCGCGACCACTCAAAAAGAACACGAAATAAAACGTATATCTTGCGGAGCCAGCGATCTAAACATGGCCTCAAGACCTATATCTTTTACATCCAGATCGACATGGAAGGGGCTGTGAATACGACCAAAATTTTGTGGTCGAGCAAGATCGACCCGACTCTTTGTGTCTTTATCTTACCCGAGTAGGTCATCAACACTGCAATAGTCGATCCAAGGAAACCACATTTCCTCATGCTTCCTTTTCCTGCTTTTAATGTCGT